CATTCCGCAGCTGAAGGATGGAGGACGATCAAGCTCAGCATCTCGGGAGCGGTTCAGGGAGCGGTTCATATGGGGTACAGCCGGTTGGCTTCTGGGGAATGACGAGAGTCCCATCGTGTCGGCCCCAGAAGTGGAACTGTTGATGATGGTGATGATGATGATGATGACTATAGGCGGATGAGGTATCATCCTTCTTTACTCACGTACATTGGGTGAAGTATACATTTTGCCTTCCCCTTGTTGAAATCGCTCCGGCCGGTGGCGTCTTCGCTTAAAAGTCTTTTGCCAAAATTGCGTGATGTTCTGGGCTATTTGCTGCTTCACACACGGCAAGGGTGCTTCAACCGACTCCTTTCCCCCTCCCAGCTTGAAACATTCATCCATACCTGCCGAAGGTTGATCCCGATCATGTCAAGCCGTGGCGGACCAGCTTGAGGCATGCTATCACGACGGTGAGCTTACACGAGTGGGTTAGACCCAGGCACACCAGGAGATCCAGTTGGTCAGTGTGCTGATCAAGGGTGCCGTCGGAAGTCTGGAGTGCTGCATCCGGACCAAAATGGAAACAATCCTAAGCCATGCTGGGGTTGCGTGGCTGTCGTCTCAGATCCCGGCCGCAGAAGCTATACGGACTATCTTATAGTCGATAAGGAATATCATTGGACGACGCCCCCGGGTAGTTTGACTCTGGTGGATGACGGAAGCTGACGGGGGATGACGGGGTTGACTGGGGAGAAGGGGAGGTGTATGGATGGGATGGGATGTGGACACGGGCGGGCGGTGATGGATGGTGGTGTTGATCGGTCACTCACTCACTCACTCACTCACTGCCTCGCACCGAGAGATCATCTGATTAGTCATCCGGAGATACGGCGATCGGACTAGGCATCCTCCCCGTCAGCTCATCATCTTCGCCTACCTTTCCTCTTCCAGCATCGATCTCTATAATTGCCTTTGCCACTTCAGCCATCCCAGTCCTGTCATTTGCTGAAACCACTTATTTCTCGTTCCATGGGGCAAAATCGTCTTTCCTTTCTTTTACGGGTACTCTTACATGTGAGCTGATCCTCTTCCCTATTCCCTGCTGGTGTTGTGTTAGTCACATCCCTCCCCTTCTCCTTCCTCCTCTGGTCGCTCGTACTTCTGATGCTCTCCGTTCAAAAAGGTACAAAGTCACGATTACGTTGCCTCGCTCATTTAGCCGGCCAACGATTGGTCCCGATGACCAAGGCTAATTACACTCTTATCAGCTTATCTGCGACGCCTTATCTCTGCTGCATTATGGGTCGTTTAGCGTGGCAGACACCGATTATCAAGCACTAGCGCGGTGGACCTCGCGGTCGTTCCTCGCGTGGGGCCGAAAGGGAGCAAAACGTGCTCTAGGAACTTTGTCTCTTGGAACAACGGGGACGGTTTGGCCCGTGTGTGTTCGTCTGGCAGGACCGAGGGACCGCGGCAGTGGTTGGTTTCTGTCCTGTCCATCGTCCTGTGCTCTCTTGCCCGTCTCGTCCATTACCCCCGGACTCTACACCGACCGACGATGACGGCCAACGGTCACCGTGAACGAGCTGGCCGCGTCTTGGCTCTATCATAGCTCTACAGGTCGCCTAGCTCCGTTAAGTCTTCGCCACCGCAGGGGCTGGGATGAGAGGGGCATCTCTTGCTCCGTGCTTTCGACACCGCAGTGTGCACTGTGCTTCGGAGATACGAACGGGTCCTGCTGAGGAGGATGACGATGATGTTATTGTTGATGATCACCAGCGTCATCAATTTGAGTCGGGATGTGTAGCGCTACCCTTGACCAGACCGACGAGCCAAGCTGGATTGAGATTCTACAACAAGGACTCGAACCGATTCGGGTTTCCCTGCTGACACGATGTAGTAGCTGCATATCCGAACGGGGATCTAGCCATGAGTATCACAATGCCGACCGGAATGTCATTGCGTTGCCTTCAGACAGATGTGTGCCTGGTCTGTCCAGGCCATCTGTCTCTTGCCTCTAGACGCTTGCTGTGTTCGAGGTAAAGAGTGCATGACCCGCAGTGCAAGGTGGATCTGCGTTCATCAACCTGAATCGTGGATATTATCATTGATTAATATCCCTGGCGGTCGGAGTGGAACAAAGGGAGGGAGGATGGGATGCGGCTGTAGGGATTCTTCGTAGCGTGAGTGGCCATTCATTCATTCAGTCCTCTCTGTCCTTGCCGATTGTTCAATGCTTGTTTTCTCCGGTGATACACGCTTGAAAGGGTTGTGACAGTCGTGACAGTACTGGCGCCAAATACCGGCACATACGCCGGATCGGGTAAGTTAGGGATTCTGGGCAGCCTCAGCTTTCTTTTTCTCGGTCAAGTTCCAGTGTAGTCAAGGGCTAAGAAGGAGTAGTCTACGCCGGAGGATTGTCCCCCCACGCTTGTCGCTTCTCTGCCTGTTGCTAGTTGCTGCTCTCTGAACTGGTTCCCAGGCATTGGGTCTATGTACCAGAACGATCTCCGTTGATTGTTGCCTCTCCGGATCTGGTATCTTCCTCGACGTACATCGCAGCTTTCTCCTGCAGTTCTAGAATAGAAACATGATGAGCGAGAACAGTGACATCAGACTCACTCTTCCCCAATGTTGATCAGATCCATATCATCATGATGGTCGTCGCCCGTCCAACGACCCTGGCACAGGAGTCTTAGAGCCCGCCCGCCCACTCACGAAGCTAGATTGGCAGCCCAAAGCCCAAGGAGACTCAGACTAGAAACCGATCCGGATCCTTTGCTATGATGGTCTTCACCGCCCCACCAATCACACCCTTGTAATTCACCCCTAGGCAATAATGGACTGTACTTTGGTTCAAAGACATCGCAGGAGCACGGAGTGGACAAGCTATACGAACCATGATCCTGATTCTATCTATATCTCTACGACTACGAGGCCGACGTGTTCCAGGTAGTCGGAAAATCTAGTGGGGTGATTCAGGACGACGCCTCGGGATTAGAATTCTCACCTGTTGTTGACTCACCTTGTAGACCTTTTTATCGATCAGATCTATGAACGGAGACTCTCCTGCATGTCAAGAGTACCGGTGACCGGTGTTGTCCTTCGGTGGTCTGCAGCAGAATCGCACTGACCGTAGCCCTCCCTGCCGATGACCGGCCGAATCGCATCTATAGCACGGCCACTATTACTATCTCCGGTGCGGTGCAGGGGATCTGAGCGTTTCTGGACCCTCCACCCTCCCTTGGTTCTCCCCGGTAGTTGCGATCTTAACTGTCTACTTTACTAGTAATAGTAACAGGACCTTGTTGGAATCAAATCCGCGCACCGCAGGCCCAACCCCCTCTTCGGACGGATGGGGTGACTACCATCTATAGCATGGATTGTTGGAGTAGCGAATCTGCAGTTGGTCGGACTAGTCAATCAGTGTACAATATACAGTAGCCACTACTGCATCAACGCTGCATTGAGAGCTGCTGTCGTGTCAATTTACAACCGCGCCGTTGATCGGAGACGGTGCGTCCGATCCGGACCTATGCCCGTCCCTCCGGGTCCAGAAGACAGGTCCACAGACAAGCCGGAGCACTAGAAGTGAGCAGCGACCCTACCAACCACTGACAGGGTCGGCGAAGTCATCGCAACCGTCATCGTGAACGTACTCAGCCCAGTGTGCAGTGTGCAGTGTGCAGTGTGCAGTGTCCACCTTCTACTGTCCACGGCGGGGCGGGGACATGGACACATCTTCTTTCCGGGCAGTCCGTCTGGGCCGGACGAGGACCTCCCTTCCGTCTCCTCCCCTCCCACCCCAAATTCCCACCATGCTCTTTGGTTGATCAGGACGGACCACTGTCAGGTCAGGCACATGGCTTTTCAGACAGCCCAGTATTAAGGTTGCTCGCCTTCTGGTGGATGTGAGCTTAGTGCAGTCATCAATCGGCCTCAATAAGTTGATGTCAAAAATTCTGACCCTCTCACGCTAAATGGTGTTAGTTATACATCATCAGACCATGACCGACATGACAAAACTAGCTGGAGTTCCCTAAAAAGTGATCGATGTCCTTGCTTATTCTCTCTCTGACTTTCTGCCACCGGAAGAGAAGCTTCGTGTATTCGGAAAAACCTCCCCCACAAGAGCTGCGGCTAACCCCAAGGCAGCAGGAGCCTATCCAATTGCTTCCCATTCTTCGAAGTTAATCTAAATTGCGCAGCTTACACTTTTAGTAGTGTCTTCGAGAAAGTCCCCGTCTCTCATCCAAAATAACCGCTAGTTTTCAGACGTGCAGGTTTGGCGGTTTCGGTATTACTGCGGTACGGGTTAGCCTGTCGCACCCGGGGGTTGATTGTCCCCTGCACTTGCACTGCACTTTGCACCGAGCTTACTGTACCTTAGCTTGAGTTTTTTTTCCCGGCCACGGCAGTGCTTTTTCTTGGGATCTTAAACAGAACCTGCCTAAGGACTGCAATGCATTCCTTTAGTGGTGCGGCTACTGCATGGCTGGATGGAGATTGCCTCCATCCTGCCAGCGGATCTAGGCCGAGGGAGGGTGAAGGAGGGGCAATGGAGGGACAGAGGGGAGAAGCAATGTCCTCTAGAGCAGCAGTATGAGACAGAGAGTGTGTGTGAGGTTGATACCCGACATCGCGATGAATCAGAGACATCATCGGGTCTGCATTCTCAATGGGAGGGAGATTGGAAGGGTGCTTGCTCTTGTTCTGGTAGTCCAACTTGCCTGGTATCCCCTTTCTGCTTCTATCTTTTGTCTGTCTCGTCCACCGACTTCACATCACCATCGCCGCAATCCTCCAGACAGCGGAACGGACAGTATAAATTACCAGAGCCCGCTGCCAAGGACAAATCAGCGACCGACAGCCCGTTCGTTCGGTACGGGAGGTGGATCAATCATGGATTCGGACTCACTGCCCCAATTTAACCTATTGGCGGACCATCGGGATAGACTACTTTTGCCTAGAGTCTCACTATAACAATAATTTAAGTACTGTACACTTCATGGCGACCGAAGACTGTGGTCCCATTGGCAAATCAAGAACCACTGCCGTAAGTCTTGAATGATAATTAGATCTCTCTCTCTCTTTCTGTTCCTCTGTTCTTCTGTCCTTCACCCTCCCGAACCCACCTTTTCCCCTCCTCTAAATCCTCTTGATTAATGTTGTCTGGTCTCCATCGTCATCTGTCATTGATTTTGCCTCTGTGTCGGGGAATATTACTGACGGGGTTGTCAGACTGGGGGACTACTAGTACTCAGTACATCCAGCCCTTGGATCCAGTGTTTCTCCTCCTCCTCCTCCTCCTCCTCCTCCTCCTCCTTCTTCTTTCCTCTTAATTAATCTCGTTCTAGTCTTCTGCTTCTCTCTCTCCCCGCCCTCCATCTTTCCATCTTTTCTTCTTTCCTTTTTCCTTTTCTCATTGCTCTTCTTCCGAATATAGTTTACCACCGCGTCATGTGTGCTGGAAGGGTCTAGCCCCTCCATCCGCAGCCAGCCAGCCAGCCAGCAACAACTACCGACAACAACATCAGCAACCGCAACAGTATCAGCATCAGCAACACCACGAACCTCATTCCATTGCGTGTCTCCTCTCGACCAGGCAACCCCCGGCCCTGTGTAATTGCTACCTTTCCCACTCCTTCAGGTGGAACCGACGGGGGGAAACTCTTCTCTCTATTCCCGAACCCATAACCTACCAGGTATGCACGCACCACCACCCATGGATTGAAACAGGAAAAGCCGGCGCAGAAAGGGCCAGGGAGTTGCATCCAAGCTGCGATCGAAGTCAAAAGCACGGCCGTTGATTGACTCGATTGGTCTCACCACTTTTCTCTTGTTCTTTTTCTTTTTCTTTTCCCTGGTTGTCTCCTTCTCCACTAGAAAGTAGCTTTTGTGTGTCCTGCACACCTGCACTTCCGGCTGAATTACCGTCATCGCCTCTTTGGGAGAGATCGATGGATGGATGGATGGATGGAATGATTGATTGACTGATTATTATTCGCATCGCGTTCTCTTCCTTCTGGTCAATCTCAATCCTCTATTAATATTGATTCCAAAAAGAGAGAGTTGTCTGTTCTGGAGACCAGAAGTGGGCTTGAGATCCTTTTTGACATCATTATATTCATACTTTGCCCACTCTTCTCCGTTCATACCTGCCTACTGTTGCTATCATTCTATTTTACCTTTTTTTTTCTACCCCCCTCAAACGTTGCAAGTCTACTGGGATCTGTGTCCGATTATTATCCGGGGGACAGACAGCAGAGAAGCAGCATTGAACAGCATTGCCAGGAAGGACCAAGAGAGAGAGAGAGAGAGAGAGGGAGTGGTGGAAAGGTGACTGTTTTTTCGTTTAAGGCGGGTAGAGAGGAATAATCGATATTCATTTCCTCGTGCATCCCCACCACTTGCACTTCTCCGACTTTCCTCTCTCTCTCTCTCTCTCTCTCTCCTCTTTCCCGTTTCTTTCCCTCCCTTCCTCTCCGACCCTCCGACAGAACAGAGACACACTGACAGACTCTCTCTCTCCCTCTCTCTCCTCCTCCTCCTCCTCTCTCTCTCTCCGCACTTCACTTTTCTGCTTGTCTTCTTTCTGTCATTCTTGTTTCTATTCTCTTCCCACCCCCCTGCCACTGGTGGTGCGTTTCATCCCCCCAATCAATCAATCAATCAATCAATCCATCCATCCATCCATCCATTTTCCTTTTTCCTGTTTCCCCTCCTGCGCTCTTCTTCTTCCCTTCCACCCACACCCACTCACTTTTCTTATCGCCTTTCCCGCTCTGGTCTATTTTCGCCGTCTTTCCCGATCGCCATTCTTCTGCAGCTCTTATCTGGCCCGGGCTGAGACCCCTCTGATTAATCATTTGATTCCATCAGTTTGCCCTGTTTCCAACTTCCGCCCGGTCTGCCCCTCGTGGGCTCTACCAATCACGCCCTCTCTCCCCCTCCATGATGTCTGGGATGAGTGGTGTGCGACCGACGCAATCCGCGGCATTTGCCTCGACCTTACATTCCGCCGACTCCGACCGCCGTTCTTCCACCACCACCACTAATCACAACAACAACTATCGTCTTCCTCCTTCTTCTTCACAACTCTCCGACGATCTCTCTTTCGATTCTCCCATTTCTCCCGCCGATTCCTCCCAGGCTCACGACGGCTTACTGCACGATTCCCTCTTCCCCGAATGGAAGTCCCCCCGTGAGAGTACCGACTGTTCGGATGAGATGCAAAGGAACGATCCCTTGGCAACTCAGATATGGAAGCTCTATTCTAGGACCAAAGCCCAGCTCCCCAACCAGGAGCGTATGGAGAATTTGACCTGGCGGATGATGGCTATGAGTTTGAGACGCAAGGAACGGGAACGCGTCGAGCAATCGAGGTAGGTGGCGCTCTCCGGATTCCCTCCCCACGGTCGCACGGTCGCTCTGGTGGGAATGATCGCTCACCGTTCCTCCTTCATGGCAGCATGTCGACCAGACACAGTATTTCCGGTCCCAGTGGGATCGCCCAGCTGCGTTTGTCTAATCGAACGCCCACCGCCTTGCATCAACCCTCCACCACCACCGACCTGGCCGCGGATCCCATGAACCTCGATGACTTCATTGTCCCCTTTGAATCCCCCTCCGACCATCCCTCTCCGGTGGCCACCAAGGGCGAAGCGGCCTCAGCGGCTATCCCGATCAAATCGTCTCGCAAGGAACACCTGGCGGAGCCCACCCCAGTCCCTGCCTCTTTTACCCATCCGCCTCAAGACCAGCGGAAGAACAGCGAATTTGGATACGTGCCTCGTCGTGTTCGGAAAACCAGCATTGACGAGCGTCAGTTCTTTGGTCTGCAAGTTCCCACCCGCAAGCGACCGGCCGAAGCGTCCCCGCAAGTGCCGCCCATGTCGAACGCGATGCTGGCTCACCACGACCCCGACCTGGCGGGCGCTGTGCCCGACTACACACTGGATGCGTCGTCGGCATTCGCATTGCACCATGCCAACCACCAACCCTCCCATCCGGCCAACCAGACGATTGCCAATATGCCCTTTGGGCTGGATACGTTCAACCTTGGGGACGACCCGATCTTGACCTCGGCTGGCCCCTACCAGACCAACTTCACGTTTTCCCCGAGCGACTCGCCCATGACATCCGGAAATCCGTTCGCCAATCTGTATGCGCACACGCCTGTGGCCTCGTCCCTGAACTCGACCGATTTCTTTTCTCCGCCCCCGTCGGGGTACCAGTCCACGGCCTCGACGCCGCAGCCGGCCTACGATGGCGAGCACAATCTGTACTTTGACATGCCGTCGATTGATGCGCGCACGCAGCGGCGGGTTCCCAACTACGTCACGCATCGATCTTCGAACTTGTCGGCTTCGTTGCAGCCGCGTTACATGTACAACCAGAACCAGGACCAGTCGCACCACGCCAGCAACCCTCCCTCGTCGATGCATTCGCCGGGCTACCCCATTCCTCAGCCGCAACACGTGGATCCGACCCAGGTGCTGGGCGACTTCGGGACTGGTGCTTCCCATGCAGCCATGTTCAGCTTCGGAGCGGATTCGGACAACGAGGACGACGACGGCAATCAATTCTCCGACCGGGCCGGATTGGCCATGCCCCACGATCTGGCCGATGAGGCTGCGGAACTGAGTGCGGGATTGCAGTGGGATGCGCAGTTCCCCGGCTCATTTCACTCCCTGCCTGGCTTTGCGGCTCAGCATCGGAAGCATGTGACGATCGGGTCGGCTGACATGATGGACACCCCGAGTGAGTGGGGCCAAGCCGGTAGCCTGGGCCGCACGCACGGGTCGGCTGCCTCGGTCAGCGAGGTCCGCAACCGGGAGCAGGATCCCCGTCGACAGAAGATTGCCCGCACGACCTCTAGCCCCAACACCTCGCAACTACTGCGCCAGAGCATGAACGCCAATAATACCTCTCATACGTCGCCCAACACCCCGCCCGAGTCTGGATTGAGCAGTGCCGTGCCCTCCCGTCCGGCCAGCCCCGGGGGTTCCAAGAACGGCGAGAGCAGCGGGCCGACCACCTGCACGAACTGTTTCACGCAGACGACCCCCTTGTGGCGGCGCAACCCGGAGGGACAGCCGCTGTGTAACGCTTGTGGCTTGTTCCTGAAGTTGCATGGTGTGGTACGGCCCCTGTCGCTCAAGACAGACGTGATCAAAAAGCGCAACCGCAGCAGTGCCAACAGTCTCGCGGTGGGTGCGTCGCGGTCGTCCAAGAAGTCCGCGCGCAAGAACTCGGTGCAACAGGCGAGTGTGACCACGCCCACGTCGAGCCGGGCTCAGAGTGGCACGACCTCGTCGGAGTCCCCGCCTGCCATGTCCAGCGGCCCGCCCTCCTCCAGCCGTGCTGCGGGAGTGGTGCCCATTGCGGCTGCGCCCCCGAAGTCCACCCCGTCGACGTCCTCGCCTGGCCAGGCTCGTACCTCGGTTCAGGTGGTGCCCAAGCGTCAGCGCCGGCTGGAAAAGGCCACGGACGCGGACGCTGTCGATGATCCGAGCAAGTCGAGTCTCTCGTCGGCGGGTCGCTCGAAGGTAGTCCCGTTGGCGCCGGCCATGCCCCCGGCTGCTGCCAACCCTGTCAATCACAGTATTGCTGGCGGTCAGGGAGCCAGTCAGGAGTGGGAATGGCTGACGATGAGTTTGTGAGCGCAGCTTAATCGCCTCACCTTTTTTTTTCTTTCTCCCTTCTTACCTTAATCTCGATAATCGTCGACACACGATACGTACTATCGTTCTCGACTATCCCTATCAACACTCCTTCGAACCCTTTCCATGACATAGAAGACATGATGACCGCAGTCGACTCCCGTCTCGATCGAATCCAAGATGCATGAACGACTCGCTAGCCGAGGGGGTTCGCATCGGGTCTGTTTTAATGAACCTTTTCTCGAGTCGACATGTGGGAATTTCTCTTATCTTTTTTTTCGGGGATGGCCAGAAGCAGCAGATAATGGCTTGAATTATTTTGTGGGTGGTGGAAAGATCGCATGATGACCCGCCCCTCTTCTCTTATCTCCTGGGGCGGATTGATTAGCTTGATGTTGTGATTTTTGTTTGTGCTTTTTCTTGCTTGATACAATCGCGTCTGTCCCGGCTCCCGGTCTTTATGTTTGTGATTTTCTTTCCATTTGGTTTGTTGAGACTCGGGACCGGGCAGAAGTGCGCATCATCGTTTGGCTTTTGATTTGGTTGATAGAATTATGGATGAGTATATGTTTATGTTTATGTTGATGTTGATTGATGTCGATGTCTATGGTTATGGTTATGGTTATGGTTTTGTTAGTGGAATTGAGATTGATGATCATGATTGATTGTTTGAGTAGCTTGTAGCTAGGAGTGTTGGGATGTATGGATGGTAGGATGCATAGGTAAGGTAAGAATGTAGTTATTCCAGTCTAGTCTTGTGTCTCTGTTCTGCCTGCTGGGCCGGAGGTATGTCTACCTCGATGCTGAAGTGTCAGTACCGCCAACTTTCCTCTACACGACTGCTCTAGGTATAGTCACAACAAGCCTATCGTCCCTAGTAACACATCCTCATCCAGTCAACCTATCCCAACGCATCACCCCTTTACCCGGGTCTACTCCCTCACAACCCTCATAGCACAGACCAACCCCATCGAATGCGCCACCATGCCCAAGACAACGAGCACATGCCAAAAGGCATGCGACGACCACAGCGCGAACACTTTATTGTCGGGGTACCAGCTCTCGGGAATTTCTTTCTGTTCAAGGTGAGGTGTTAGCCTATCCTCCTTCCCCAATTGACTCTCTCTCTCTCTCTCTCTCTCCCCATCAACCCTGGTAGAAAGTAAAGGATGGGGGGGGAATAACAAACCAAATAAACCACCGCCCCAACAATCATCACCACCCCTTCAAGGATATACCAACCCACCCCGACAGCAACGAGATACGCAGACCCGCGCAGCGCATACAGATGCGCGATGGGGATTAGCGCGCTCAGGCCGGTGACAATCAACGAGGTAACTCGGAGGGTACGGTTTGGGTCGATCTTTTCTTGGGGCGTCTTGCTACTTGTTGGTATCTCGCGTCGTGAGAGCGAGGGGTGCAGGTGGAGGGTTATCGAGGGGAGGGCTAGGAGGATTGTCTTTTTTTTTTTTCCCTTTGGGGTTAGCTAGTAAGGTTTGATGGGAAGGTTGATGGCCCGGGGGAGACAAACCAAAACAATATACCCATTGCGCCACCTCCGATCCCCGAACGCATAATGCAGCCCCGTTCCGAAGTTCACGACCAGTAACTGCAGGATCCCGCAGTAGTCGGCTTTCAGGGCGTAGGGCGAGCGGTGGTTGTTGGCGTGGTAGGCTGCTGAGAGGAGCAGGCAGATTGTGCAGCTTGCTAGGTGCAGGTTTGGGAGGGTTGTGACCAGGCTTAGACTTGAGAAGATTAGCGCGGGGATTAGGTGCGTGTAGATGTTGCTTGTTTCGTGGTGCAGCGTTGTCCATGTTGCCTGGCTGCGCCAGGTGATCTTTTCGGAGAGGAGGTAGGGGTTCACGTCTGGTTCTTGGGGGATGCTTTTGGGTGTTAGTGGGGGGAGGGTGGTGCTGGTGCTGGGGTGGCGCTGGCGGAGGGCTGTGCGGTCCATTCTTTTGTTTGGCTCTGGGTCTGGTGGCTAGGTGTATGGATATTATATGGTAGGGATGGGTATGAGGTAGGTACGTATATGCTGTGGTTTGTTTTATGGTGGTGGTGGTGCCGTGAAGTCGGCGGTTTGTTTATCGGTGGTTTTAGGGCAGGTACGCACTGCCTATGTGACCTCATGCTTGCCTGTTCGGGGACTTATTGTATCTAGGTATAGTGGGTTGTATGAGGGTTCCAGGGAGCTGAAGAGAAGGGGGGTCCGGGGGTTCTCCCCCGGAAATCTTTATATCCTGGTGATCGATGTATTGATTTATTGTTTTCTAATGCGCTGTGCTCTGCTCAGGGCTCTCGCAACATACATCCATCCGGGATGTGTTATACTCCCACGGGCCAATGGCGCCACAGAACGTCTCTCACATGACCTCACGTGACAGTATAAAAAATCATCGGCCGTCCAAATCGCGCAAACCAACGACACCACGACCTGGCCAGCACGCAACAGCGCACCTAGACCTCAAACCGTAGAACCGTCGCCGACCGGGACGTCAGAGGATTCAAAATGGGCTCCAGCGCCAAGAAGAAGAAGGAGAAACAGAAGGACTTCCAAGTACACCCACCCATCCGCCCGGCCCATCATCATACATACATGCATGCATACATGCATCCACGCCATACATCCAGAAACTAACCAAGAGCCAGAAAGCGAAACTAAAAGTCGGCAAAACTAAAGTCAAGCCGGATAACTTCACCGACACAAGCTTCAAAGCCAAGAGTAGTCCCCCTTTTACCCCCACCCCCTTCACCCCTCTGAGAGGAAAGCAAAGATACTAACAAGAGGATAGGCATAACCCTAACGCAACAATCCCTAACCCTGCACGCACCGACAAGCAGCAGCCAGTTCACGCATAACGTGTCCCTCCTGTCCTCCAAATCCGACACCCAGCGCCGCGACGCTCTCGCGCATCTCACCACGCACCTCTCCAACCTCACGCCCAGCGGCAGGGCGCCGCCACAACCAACCGCCACGCTCCTCCAAACCCTCACGCCACTGATCCTCGACAGCAGCGCCTCAGTCCGCACCAACCTCCTCCGTCTGTTCCGTCTGCTCCCGCCCCGCGACGTCCAGGACCACGTCGCCCAGCTCCTGCCGTTCGTGCGCGCCGGCATGACGCATCTGGCTGCTGATGTGCGGGGCACCGCCGTCGAGGTTCTAGCCTGGTTGGTGGAGGTTGCGGGCGCCGAGGTTGTGGGTTGTGCGGGTGGGTGGATTAAGACTCTGAATTGCTTTCTCAGTGTGCTCGGCTGGCATACTGATGAGTCGGCGAAGTGGTCTGCTTCCCGCGCGGCGTTTGGCAAGGCGGGGACCCAGGGGAGGCCTGTCGTTAGGATTCTGGGGGTCTTAGCGGGTTTTTTAGCTGTGGGAATTGGGGGGGATGATGGGGATAGGAATGGGGATGTGGCTATGGGGGACGGGGATGCGAATGTTAAAGTTGCGGGTGGCGTCGCGAATTGGGAGTTCCCTCTCGCCTCCGTCGAGGCGCATATGCTCCCCAAGACGGCTCAGCCGTATGTGTATTTGAATCTGTTTGGGCAGCCGAGGGATGAGGAGGGCGAGATGTATGAGACGCGCGAGGATCGGTTCCGTGTTTTCGGGGCGAAGTTCCTCAAGGCGGTTGAGCGCGGCGTCGAGAGTGCGCGCCAGGATGGTGGCGAGGTCGGTAGGGCTTCGTCGGCTGTTAGTAAGGTGCTCAAGGAGGCCTTGGTTTACGCGCGCGGCGCGGGTTTGGATGTTTGATTGATTGTGTGCTCTCTCTTTAGTTACTGGCGTTGGTGGGTATTAAATGGATTTGCGTTGCGGCTTCAAATTTGCGGAACTAAATCTGCGGAACTCCTGCTGCGTACAGTAAATGATATAAAGTCCCGCTGCGTTACACCTTTACCTTCTCCTCGTGCAACGCCTCGTCTGAGCCCGACACTCCCTCCACTCCGTCTCGCCCCTCGTAGATCTCCTCGGCCATCACAGCCTCCGCTATGATCGACTCGCGTGCGGGGAGCCAGAACGACAGCCCCACATAGACAATGCTGGTGGCCACAAACCCCAACAGCCACCCGAACTGATACGGGTGAATCCCCACGCCCACCGAGATACTCCCGTTCACCGAGTTGATCAACCCCGGCAGACTCGGTACCACGCCCACCACAAACCCCACAATGGCTCGCCAGTTCACCCCCCAGGTGTACCGGTAGATCGGATTGTGCGGCTGATACAGCGCCAAGGTGTCGTATTTCCGCCGCTTCAGAACCCAAAAGTCCCACAGCATGATCGCAGCAATTGGCCCGAGGAAGATCGCATATGCAGACATGAAGTTCATGAAGCTGCCCGCCGACTCGAGGATCTTCCACGGAACAAGAGCCCAGGATACCAATCCACAAATAATCTGGCCCCGTCGGAGATTGACATGACCCGGGAACAGTGCCATCAGATCGTTCGCCGCCGAGATCGAGTTGGCAGAGATATTGACTCCCAAAGAAGCCAGCAGAAACGAGAATGCTGCAAAGAACCGACACGCTCGACTCGACCAGTGACTGATCAAGTCGATCGGGTCCCATGGGATCGTGCCACCGTAACGGGCCTGGCCCGCCGAAGAAGCAGCAATGCCGATGAACGAGATGAATGTAAACACGATCGGCAGCATTGGAACGTACAGAAGCTGCCACTTTGGGGTGACCCGCGAGTATCGAGAGAAATCGGACTGCACCGCGTTAGACACTCTCGCCAGTGATCTTAAGGAGGAGGGCATACCTGGTTCACACTCAATGTCGCGTAATTGCCAAGGACTGCAGTCATGCTCGACAAAAACACCCAGCTATACTTCGATCTGGACACCGTCGGCTTCTGCGCAAACATATCCCCTCCGCCCTCGGCAACAAAAGCCCAGATCAAAATGGCAATCCAAGCGATCGGAACAATGATAGACTTGACCACGAACAGCCACCGCACTTTGTTCGGGTGGATGCAGAGGAAAGGCAGCTGGATGATCCAAAAGATCATGTAGCTCACCATGCCGTTCGTGGTGATTCCCTGGTCTTCCGGGATGTCGTTTTTCAGCTTCAAAAAACTGGGCCAGATGGCGCCGATCATGACCCGCACTGCATTTCCTCCGTTGACATTGTGAATGGCAAACCAAAACAGCGCCAAGATAACCCGAGAGACGATGGCGACATATGATCCCCAGAAGCCCCAGCTTGCTCGCGCGATCACTGGAAAAGGGACATGATAAATCGCACCCACCGCGCCATTTCCGGCAATGACAAACGATATGATGAAAAAGGAGATGGCGACGATGGCGAGTGATTCGCGCCAGCTGAGGCCGACGGCAATGATGCTGCTAGCGAACTGCCATGTAGCCACATTAAAAGCGTCCGATATCCAATAAGCTAGCACTGATTAGCGAAATTGCGGACTGAATGTCTGGAGAAGTCGCACAGATGAAGCTGAGAGGGCCCCATTTTCGGCGATGCAAAGGCACCGGATCAAGATCGAGATTCGTCCATCGAGAATTCCCCTCTGCAAAAGCAGACCTCGACTGGGCCACATGGAAATGAGGCCGATTGAACTTCATAGCTGCGGTTTGGAGTCGTCCGTTGTGGTCTGAGATGCGATTGAGATGACGCCCCAAGGCGGCCAGCCGGATGCGCAAAAGCAATTATAATGAGCCCGACGCAAGGGATGAAACTGCCGCACACTCAGTCGCACCCACGAACTATTTGCAGATAGCCCGACGATTGACTAAACCCTGCAGGCTCCCATCGATGATCGATGCCCCAGGGTCAGATAAGCAAGATAAGCACCCCTGCTGGATGACAGCTGTGGCGGCCCACAATTGGATGCCACATGCGATCAGGCAGTCGCAGACCGATAAGAAGGTCGGAGGGCGAAGGGTTCCAGCTAGGCGTCTGCTCTTCATAAAATAACTTTGACCGATTCTGGGCCTTTGTCGTGCGTCTCTTAGAAATAAGCTCCAGCTCAGGCATTGGGCCGCTTGGAGCATCTGGATTCGATCCATGGGTGGCAGTCGGGTAGTCCGCCAGTCAATCGACTGTGATGTATCGTCCACTATTGGATTGGATAAGATTTGACGCGGTTTCACCTGGGGAGGTGGTATCGAAGTGGCACAGTAATGTCACCATCCCTCCGCATGCAGCAGATAACCGAGGCGAAACTGGCTGTTGCGTCTTGGCAGACCAGTCTACTGGTATATAGGGCAAAGATGTCATCCTTGTGCACTTGCACACGCATGGCACGATATATTAACGTGGCGATATCCCTGCAAGGTGGTGTTGTTTGAATGGAAAGTATCTCTGAGAAGTGGGGAGAGAAAGAGGGGAAGAATGTTTTGTTGGCGTACGGAGTAGAAAGTGGAAGGAAGGAAGTCGATCTGTACCAAGCGGGGGAGGGGAGCTTCTTCTTGTCTTATCGTCTCCCCTCTCTCTCAGTCACGCTCTGATGAAAACAACATCCACATCATTTCTCCCTCTATCTACAGCCATACTATCTCCTTTAAGTTGCAAGCAAGATGACTTTCAACATTGCTGAGGCTCGATCTCGCTTTCCAGCTCTGAATCAGGAACAGGTATTTCTCGACAACGCGGGAGGCAGCCAAGCCTTGGATACAGTCATTGAATCGTATGTTTGTGAAAGCATTAGGAAGAGCACCTTCTCATATGACTCCGTTGCAGGATCACGAACTACCTCAAAACCACCAACGTTCAATTGGGTGCCACCTACAAGGTCGCCAAAGCGTCAACCGCCGCCTACGGTCTCGGCTACGAAGCCGCAGCCAAGTTCATCAACGCAAAGCCCGAGGAGGTACGATAACTCGACTCAATCCATCACAATACTGACCGAACACTCCCTTCAGATCTGCCTGGGCGTATCGACCACGCAGCTCCTCCACAACTTGTCGACCGCCCTCGACTTCCAGCCCGGAGACGAGCTGATCGTGTCGAAATTGAACCACGAGGCCAATTCCGCCGCCTGGGACAGAATCGCAAAGCGACTGGGACTCACTGTCAAGTGGTGGTCGGCTTCCGACCGTCAGAACCCCATTTGCGACCCCGATGAGCTGAAGTCGTTGTTGTCCGAGAAGACGAGGCTCGTGGCTTTTCCGCACGCCTCGAACATCACGGGCACCATTAGCGATGTCAAGAAGATTTCTGAAATAGTGCATCAGTATCCTCGCGTATGAGTCCCTGCTGCAATTTGCGATCATGTCTCACGCGCTTTAGGCTCTGGTATGCGTCGACGGCGTCGCTCTTGCTCCTCACCGCCAAGTGGATGTCAAGGACCTTGACGTCGATATCTACGTAAGTGTGCAAGGTCTGTCAGTAAGTACCCACTGACACAAACAGGCCTTCTCGTGGTACAAAGTCTACGGCCCCCACATCGCCCAACTGTACGCCGCCTCGCGGATTCACGACCAGATCAGCCCGCTGTGCCACTACTTCAAGAGCACCGAAACCCTCGACCTGAAGCTCAACCTGGCGTCCGCCAGCTACGAAATGACACAGAGCATCCCCCGCGTGCTGGAGTACCTTGGCTCGGATGTCTCGGCTGCATGGGACCAGATCGCTACGTTCGAGGAAAAGCTGCAGAAGATTCTTCTGGACTATCTGAACGAAGAGGAGCGCATCACAATCTACGGGGAACCCTCCGCAAGCAAGGAGCTTCGGGTCCCCGTGATCAGCTTTGTGGTCAGGGGAATTAAGAGCCAGGCGTTCGTGGAGGAGGTCGAGAAGCGATCGCCCTTTGGTTTCCGAAGTGGACATATGTATAGCCACCGACTGGTTAAGGATATTATCGGGCTGGAGGATATTGAGGATGGCGTTGTGCGGATTAGTATGCTGCACTATAACACTGGTGAGGTCAACCCGATAACGAGATGGCGAGTATGCTTGCTAATTTGAGATAGAGGAGGAACTCACGTCCCTTGTGAAGGTGTTGCGGGATGTTGTTGCCGCGATATAGGCTGCGATATAGATTATTATACTATATACAGTGCGACAATAATCCAATCATTCTTCACATCATGATATTTCACAGGACTAAGCATGATTTTCGGCGGATACTATCGTGGTGACTTGTTCTCTTCGAGGCTAGATGCTCACTGAGTGGCCCTGAACGTGGGATAAGCACACAAGTGCGTGTCCAGAGTGAGTCGACCTTCTGATGTGGATCATGGGGATGGGTGTGGCCTACCTTCCACCGAATCGTACTCTGTTGCCATTGCAGAGCAATCCGGGGGGGTTGCTCCTAAAACCGCAGGGGCGAGATATTCAATTTATAGGATATTGGACGTGAGACTTGTAAGTCTACATGGTATACACAAAACGGTGGAAGAGTCATTTCCCTCCAAGAGGGCAGATTGGATTAGAAAGTAGCTGAGAGTATTAATTTGCCAGCCCCACATATTCGGAACATGTCAATGCCATTCTCTAAGAGAGTCATTCTGGCTCATCTTTGTACTCCATACAGCACGTGCATGCACAGTAAGCAACCAGTGCGTGGTCAAAAACACATACAGAGCAACTCCCGTGCTGCATGTTGAACATGGCAACGATATCATAGTCTCTTCGCAATCATGCAGCAGACCTTCTCAATCGAACATTAGTGAGCTTGCATGCTTCAGACTCCGCTCCACAGTCCTGGAACATCAACGCTCTGGCCACCCCGCTAGGACCGCTGCTGCTTCTTGCCTAAAGCCTAGATCGACCTCATACTATACCAAAGAATGCTAGCGCAACTTACTGACGGCAGCTTCTCTGCACAATAAACTTGATCTGCCAACCCAGGCTTTCAAACGTTCACCGGATCATTAATAATCATGGCAGCAATATCAAGGCGAGATACAAGTGAGTCGACCGACCCCGCAGTTACATCATGCTCTTCCCCTAACAACTGAACATAGTGAAAACAACAATCCCCTCATCCAAGTCCACACATCAATCGCCACATCTGAAGCATTTAAACAATGGCCCTCGCATACGGCGACATCCCGTCCGGGGCAGAGGTCTCCCCCAAGCCTTACCAGCTTCATATCCCGGACGAGCAAGTCGAAGAACTCCTCGTGCTAATTAAGCTCGCGAAAGTGGGCCCACCCACCTACGAGAGCTCGCAAGAAGACCGTAAATACGGCATCACGCGGGACTGGCTGCTCCAGGCGAGACAGACGTGGAAGGAATTCGACTGGTTGGTGCCTTGTCTCCATTCTCCGTCATATTCTGAGATGTGTATGACTAACTACGGGGGTTGATAACTAATGAACAGGCGACCTACAGAGAAGCGCATCAACAGCTTCCCGCAATTCACCTACGATATCGAAGGCATCACCGTTCACTTTGTCGCCCTGTTCTCGAAGAAGGCCGATGCGGTCCCTATTGTCCTGCTTCATGGTTGGCCTGGTGAGGATCCCAATATGCGCAAGCGTGTAGTTGCAGAGATGGCGTGGCATTTTAGGCTCGGTGCTAACCCGTCACAGGGAGTTTCCTTGAGTTTCTACCCCTGCTGTCGCTCCTGAGGGAAAGGTACTCCCCGGAGGAGCTACCGTACCACGTCGTGGTGCCCTCTCTGCCGGGCTTCACGTTGTCTTCGGGACCCCCGCTGGACCGAAACTTCACCGGTGGCGACACGGCCAGGGTCATCGATCGGGTGATGGTCAATCTGGGGTTCAGGGGCGGGTATGTGGCGCAGGGCGGGGATATCGGGTCGTGGATCGGTCGCACCTTGGCTGTTGATCATGGTGCTTGTAAAGGTATGTTTGCTTCCCTTTGTGTTGGGACGTGATAAAAGGGGTAGGGGGTGGTTTGACTGACGGTCGCGCAGCGGTTCATCGTAAGTCGTACTCCGTGTCTCAAGGCTGGTAAACGGGTCCCCCTAACCACACTTACATGCAAGTGAACGCATGCTACATGGACAAGCCGGCCAACGTGCAGGACTCAGCCATCTCGGAATTCGAGAGACAGAACCTCGCGCGGGGCGAGTGGTTCATGACCTACGGTAGCGCGTACGCGTTCGAGCACGGTAGTCGCACCAGCACTATCGGGAACGTTCTGGCGACGAACCCGGTTGCGTTGCTTGCTTGGTGAGTTCCCGGTGCTTCCGGAGCTGTTTCTCGTCCATGCGCCGATTTGGCTAACGCGTTATACCCTGGGTGGGAGGAAAGGATCGGAGAAAAGTACCTCGACTGGGTCGACGAGCCGCTCCCTTTGAACGATATCCTCGAGTCGGTGACGTTGTACTGGCTCACCGAGTCGTTTCCTCGGGCTCTCTACCACTATCGCGAGGTATGTTCTTTCTCTGTTGATCTGGCATCTGACTGAAGTCGCTAACGCCGCCCTCAGAACGTCCCCATGCCCCTGTTCAAGCAAGCCGAGGACCCCAGATGGTATATCCAGAAGCCGTTCGGGTTCTCGTACTTCCCGAAGGAACTCGTCCCGGTGCCGCGCGCTTGGGTCGAAACGACGGGGAACTTGGTGTTCTGGAAGGAGCATGATAAGGTACGTTTCTCTTTCGGGGTGGTTGATGTGGCTAACGCCGTATGAAGGGAGGGCATTTCGCCGCGCTGGAACGGCCTACCGTTCTGCTTGATGATTTGGAGGGTTTCGTGGAGCAAGTGCGGGCTGATATCAAATAGTCCGACAGTATTCCTCCGCGTATGGAAGTCCGAACGTGGACAATCCAGTTAGTTGTCTTCTCTAAGCATAGGAAGAGCCATCCGTATACATACATACCTCTACCTTCATAAGCTCGCTCTACACTCTTTTCATGATAGTAGAAAAGTACTATACCCACCCTAACCTCACCAAACCTGTTACAAATTCACCTCCACGTCCAGTCCCCTTCCCTATAGATCTGACCTCATCCCCCCCCCCCCCCCCCCGCCTTGCCAAGCCAAACGACAGCAAATCTTGAGTAATCCTTACCAATCCAAAGGAAGGAATTTTCCCCCTGTTAAACTCGTACAATTTCCGTTCCTCCGATTGGAGCACCGCAAAAGTCAACTTACCGTAACGATCATCCGTGTGCGCGTGTGCGGCCCACCCCCTCCCCTGTCAAAGACCACATAAACCCGGCATTAGCCTTGCATATTACCTGCATGCTGTCCCGGAAAAGAAATGTAAATGAGGAGAGTAAGGTTTCTTGGTCTGGTCGCGTTGTTCCGGTTGTTTTGGATGGTGGATGGTGGATGGTGGATGGTGAGGTGAGGGGTCGGGTTGTGTTGTACAGTACCTACTTGGTAGGTTATGGGAGGCCTTGGATGGCTTGTTTGTATGATATAGAGTATATGGTAGGAGTATATGGTAGGTTGAGGTGGGATGATGGGGTCGGGGTGTTGATTTACTGTACTATTGTCTCTATTTTGGGAGGAGGTTATGTTTAAGTATGGGAGTATAGGTGGGGGGTTGTCAAGGCCCAAGAGGAAGAGGGATGTTTTCCATCGTTGAATATACTAGCATTGTGAGTGAAACGTAGGATGCTGGTTGTATACTAGCAGTTAGTAAATGGACTTGATGTCTGTACTTCGGCACCGGAGATGCGGGATATATGTTCATAGCTGCCGCTGCCGGACTATAAACAAAGTTCCGGTCTAGAACCAGGCCTGCTGCGTAGCTAATCTATTGCTCTGCCTGCAGTGGGTGCTATATCAGGTTTAATCTGCATCCGACACGGTTGCACATACCCATCCATCATACCTCTATCAAAGTGATCTGGTCGATGCCATCAGGTTATACTACTGTTGTCGGCACTGCGGGGCTGTAGATACCTAAGGCAAAACTCCGATCCCAACTTTGCAGCCTTGTAGCCTTGTAGCCTTAGCCTTAGCCTTAGTCTTGTAGCCCGCCGCTGGCGTCTGCAACCGTTCACCGAACAGTCGAAAATTGCCCCAGACACCCCCCACGTCATTGGGCGGTGCAGCTGTTCCACCCCGTGGCTTCGGTCGCAGGCACCTCAGACGGAGTCCTAGCCTTTTTTAGCGAAGTCTTAGTCAGTTATCTTACGTAGGATAATCCTGAGGCAGTCAGTTACCAATCATTAGATATTGCTTGGGCTTCGGCTCCCCATCCCCTCTTTTTCTTTCTCTCCAGCAGGAACCACTATTCAGTACAGCCACTCACGCCATGACTTGATGTACGGGGCTGTGGGTACGGAAGGTCATGGGGCTTAGTCTTCGTTGTTTTTGACCTAGGACTCTTAGATTCTGCGCTTGAGGAGAGGCTGGCAGTGCAGTTGTACTTGAAGTTGTATACTTAGTCTCAGGGTTAGCCTCATTCCCAGCCTACTTTAGGCAGTACAGTAGGCTGAGTTTCCGAATCAAGCTCTTGGCTAATGATCCATAATGACGACGATGATGATGAAATGGACAGAAAGTATGGGGTAGATTCGAAGGACAGACTAAGAAATTACTAGCACCATCTGACTTGAACCCTTTGGCTTCTCATCCCGGCGTGCGTGGAATACATACTTACTGTTTTGCTTGCTATGCATGCATGCATGCATAGCCGGACGGGCTTCTAGCCTTGTCCTGTCCTAGCCTGTCCTAGCCTGTCCTATCCTATCCGCTCGTTGATGATGCTTTTATTGTCAGAGAGAAAGAAGATGATTAGTGAGGACAAAAGAAAGTTGAGGTTGAGTGAACTTCCGCGGCATCCTGCTGGATGTGTGGTCTTGTCTCTGTCTGTTGTTTTACTTGAGGGTGTTGTGCTAGCCGTAGAGTTGTTCTTTGTTGTTCCATACCCTTTCTGTCTTGCTGGACCGGAATTTAGGGGTCTGCGGATGACGGGTGAGGAGGGATTTCGGATGTTCGGATATAGATCTGTGGTTTGCTGCCTGTCGGTCGCATTCGAAGGATTCCGTTCGATACGAACCCCTAACAGAAGGCTGGAAGGGGGATTGATCAGTCAACCTACTTAGTTAGTAACTAACCCGCCGAAAGGGGCCTGGAGTTGACGGGCGGAGACTTTCGGAGTAAGTGTTGGACCGCCAGGAGAAGAAGAAGCTGGGCTGTTGCTGTTGCCTGGCTGCCTGGGGAAAAACAACGACTACCCCGAGGGAGATTACCTAATCGGACCGACGGCGGGGGGCGGGTTCCACAGCCAGCTCACACTGTTCTTGTTACAGAGGTGGTGCAGTCAGTCGCTAGTAGACATGTGGGACTGGAAAATGAAGACATTCAGCATTATTTGCTTAAGTAACTATGGGTTATACTATGGAGTATGTCGAGTAATGCTCGTGGGTTGACCTGGTCAACAAAGCCACTCGGGAAAAGGAGGATGGTAACTTTAGGGCAATGATCTCGCCATGTCCAGTGTCAGTAGGCGTGTACGTGTCACTGCCTCGCCCGGTTGGTGGTGGCGTGGCTGGCAAATCCATCCGCCGTGGTTGGCGGACCCGTTGTAGTCATCATTAATTCCCGGGTTGTGTGCCTCTGAAGGTTCACCTCCCTTGGGTCACCGACGAATCCGGCAACCTTCCATGCATATATCCGTCTGCTCTTTGGTGGGCGATGACACCGAATGCACAAGGTTGTCGGACATGAACGACTATGCCTATCACAACTTGAGGTGATCCCAACTGGCGAGTTCGGCTCGGTGGGATACCGATACTATGGAGGGTCGAGACGTCAACGCGAGGGCTCGTCGCGTTTTGAATGGACCACTCCAATCTGGTCAGTCGGTTTAGTTATAGCAGTTCATCGCTTACTTGGTGCTGGAGGTCGTGCTGCTGGATGCAGGGTGGTAGCCGATATCGCTCGTTCTGCGAGGGTTGCCTTTCTTGCCGACAAGGTAGGACAACAGTCATCGTCATAAGCACCTAAATCGTGGAGCGGACTGATAGAGAAGGACGGAGATGATTGATAGCTAGCCAATACGCTAGTTCGCGATAGGTAGTACTCGCAGTGAGTACTCCGTAGTCTAGTTAGTCTATCAATCAGGATAAGGCTCTTTGGCTGGGTTTGTTATCGTTGCAGGATGACTCCACCCGGTCGGAGAAATTGGGGTTGGGTAGTTAGTTATGTCGAATGTTGATACCACCCACCCGGATTTCACAATCTCACAAACATGGATGGATGAATGGATGAAATCCAGAAAGTGCCGGGTTGGGGAGATGGGGTCGGAATAGGTTTGTTCTACCCATGGTCATCCTTCCTTTGATCGAAGCAAAGGAAGGGTAATCGAAGAGGGGTCGCCGATGATGAATCCAGGATACCTACGGAGTAGTTTAAAGCATCGTTGATGGTCAGCCAAGTATGAAGCATGAGATAAGAATGCAGGATGGATAACTAAAGCAATATCAGTTGTTGGTTAGTTAGTTAGTTGGTTACTCAATTATTTATCAGTATCAAACAGGCAAATAAGCATCAGCATCAGTAATAGTACTTGTAAGTAGTAGTATGCCCAAACTGTTCGGGCGTTGAGAATAGTCTCTAAGGCTGGGATGAAGAAATGAAGAGTCATCAGTCAACTTCCTCGATATCCGCTCCCGTCCAGTTCCCGATCCCCCTTCTACTCCGGCCTTCCCACTCTCTCTCTCTCTCTTATTCATCTTCTCTCCCTCCCTCCCTCTTCCTTCTCCTTTCCCATTTTCTTATCTCCTCTCTCTTCCTTTCCCCTTTGATCCTCCCTCCCCATCCAGCCTTCTGGTGTAGTGTGTCAAACGGTAGAAAAAGAGTGAGACCAAAAGTTTGCCATTTCTTTTTCTTCTTCTGTACACTTTTCCCTTTTCGCTTGCTTGATTTCCCCATTGTTCTCCCTCTCCGCTCTTAATCCTTTTTTCTTGCCTGCCCTGAAGAAAAGCGGTTCCTCTCCCCCCCAGCGAGTCCCGCCACTGTTGCCACTCTTGCCCGCGGTGAGTAACCACGCTTTCCACTTCCATTTTTAATCTTCTTGTCTTTCATCTTCCCCCTGCCAAAAAAAAAAAAGTGTGCCATTTGCCTCCCTGCCTGATTTCAGGTTGCCATCTCAACCTGAATCATCCACTATCCTTTTTAGTCTGGCAACTGGATCGCCCCCCCCCAAAGTTTAGTCACTATTATCTATCTCCGCCCGTCGCCGCCTCCATAGTCAGTCACCGGACAGGAGAAAGCCTTCTTCGGTTCCTCTGCCTAGTGAGATCCGGAGTAAGAGTCATAAACCATTTAACCCACACCCACTCACGCACACACCACGCCTCCCAAAGAAAGATATTCTTTACTTATCTGACTAAATCGTTGCTGACTCGATTCGTTTTCGCCTTCAGCCTTCTACCCTATTTGAGCCTCACCCCAACTACACTCTTCGCCGCGCTACGCTCTCATCCCGATAGACCGTTGACTGCCTGAACAAGCGCCGCTGCTTGTTTGTGTCAGTTCGCCGTTCTATCGGCCCTTGATATACCACCCCTCTTACCTCAAGATGTACCCTGTTGTTTCGAAATCTTTTGTTCCGATCACCCGTGTTGCTGCTTCCCTGGTCTCAGATATCCGAATCTTTGGCAAGATCGCTTCTATCTAAAGTGCTCTTTACATACCGCATCTGTCACCTGAAAGATCACGTTGTCATCCGACGTGTCTCTTTGTCGCGCAACATTCGGCTTGATCTCTCCGGAACTCTACACCCGGTGATCGGAACAGTAGACAGTGAATAACTTCCTTGACACGTTACTCACTGCCTACTTAACTTTCGTCTTTCCTACCCAACCTCGCCTCCTCCTCGCCCTCTTCAACTTCAACCATCTATCCACGGAACCCCGTGTATTGAATGGTTCTTCTCGCCTACTCCTGACTCACACCTTATTCACTCTTCAACTCATACCACACTGGCGATCCGTCGCTACTAAGGGTTTGCCGTCGCCTGCTCCATAAAAGACGGCTTCTTGTCCTACGGCTACTCGTTTACGGTCTTCTGCATAACGGTTATTTGATAATCCCGGTACACACACGAAACGCACTCTTCTTGGCCTTCTCCGCGGCTCCTCGCTTGAGAAGTCTAGCATCAGGTTGCCAGCCTTCTGGATGACCATTTGAGGTACTTCGAATCTTTTTCTCTTTGTTAAAAGTATTCAAGGTCTCTCGACTGGACATCATCCCGGATATGTCAGGGATTGACGTTTTGGGTTTGAAGGATCCAAACCCGAACTTTCAAATCAGAGCTGCCTATGCGCACCCCTACGCATCGTCGGCCTCTTCCTCCGCCTCCTCCTCCACCTCTTCCGTCTTCTCGCTGGATGGCGTGTCCGCCCAAAGCTCGGTCTCCTCTGCCGCCACCCTGCCGGTGGACGTGATCTGGGAACATGAGGGGGAATACCAGGCTGGAGGAAGGGGCCTCGTCGCGGTGGGCGCGCGTGGTGGCTTGAGGGGAAACGTTCCCCGAGCGACGGAGTCGACTGTGGTCCCGCCCGAGTTACGTAAGCATCCCCGGCGGACCAACAGTGCGACTCAGGCCAACGGCGCATCTTGCACGCGGCCTCCGCCCTGTCTTTTGAGGCAGTCGGAGCGGAAGGTCAACTTCGTCGATAACCTTGTCGGTAAGTCCTGGGAGAGTCCTGAACATGATGGTCGGAAGTATCGGAGCTAAGAACCACCCTTGAAGATACCGCGTCGCAGATCGTCGAGGCCATCTGGCCCTTATCCGCCGTGTCGCTCCGGAGTGATTCGACGACTGGGTGCAAAGGCGTGCTGCCCCTCCGCACTTTCATCCAAGAGACACTCCGTCGCTCGCGCACGAGCTACAGCACGTTGCAGGTGGCGTTGTACTACTTGATCAAGATCAAGTCGCACGTGCCCAACCACGATTTGACGCAAGACCAGATCCGCGGCAAGTCTGCGTGCCGGGCCATGCAATGCGGGCGACGCATGTTTTTGGCGGCCTTGATTCTCGCCTCGAAATACCTTCAGGACCGCAACTACTCCGCGCGCGCCTGGAGCAAGATCTCCGGCTTGAACACCGCCGAAATCAACCAGAACGAGCTGATGTTCCTCGAAGCCGTGAGCTGGAGACTTCACATCCCTGAGTCGCTCTTCCAGCGGTGGACGGACATTGTGCTGCGTTTTACCCCGGGCGCAAGTAGTCTGCCCGCTGACGATGGCCACTGCTGGCGGACGATCATCCCCAAGCTCACCCCGGAGCTGGACGACTTTGACGCCAGCCCTGTGACGCCTTCCAGCATGGGAACCTACGATACTCGCTCCGTGGCCGAGTCGCCTTCCCCTCGGGGCACCTCGATCCGTAGGGTCTTGCCCCGGCTTCCTACGCATGACTCCATCACTCTACCCCCATTGGCTTTGGAATCGATGGTCCAACGCGAGAACTCTCTGCCGTCTCTTCCTCCCATGCCGCAGCCCCAGATGCTGCCGACGCCCCAGTTGACACCCCAGTCGAGCATCGCCTCCACTCCTGCAGTGAGTGCTGGCGGTATTGCTGCACACCGGCGGTATATGCAAACTGCTATGTCGCAGGCACAGAGTATGTGCACGGCGCGGTCTGTCTACGACCAGCGGCCGCCGCTATCGCTTTGTCCTAAGGCTAGCACGTTTGACGGTTACCCCAGCCTGGTACGCCGGTCTTCCCTGGCTCGCTCGGCTTCGTCCACCTCGTCTCCGGACTCGATGGTGTCGGACGTGTCGTCTCTGTCCTCGCAGTCCTCGCGGTCGTCCTCTATGTCGTCGTGCTCCTCGGTCACTGGGGCTTCGTCCTTGCCTCCTCTGGCGGTGCAAGCTACGCTCCGATGCACTGGCAACTCCTGGAAGGAGGGTCGGAAGAACCTGACTATTGTGTCTCCTCCCGATGAAACTTCGCTTGGTCATATCTACAGCTCGCCCGAGAGCTACACTGGTCCCATCGGCCAGGCCCCGGATCTCTCCGGTTACTCGCTGGAGAACCCGATCGATCTGACGTCTACGCATGAGGCGGCTCAAAGCCTGTGTGAGCTGTCTGGGGCCACTGCCCGTCCGCACCAACCCCTGAGCCAAGGGCGCAAGCGCGGTCGCACCGGATCGGAGGACATGTTGCTGCAGGGTCAAGTGCGTCAGCTGGCCAAGGCTAGTGCACGGGCTGACGGGTCTGTGCTACATGACGGCACTCTTGCGGATCTGTTCATGCGATCTGGGCCCGGCGCATCGCAGTCACTCTCCTTGTCGCAGTTGCACGCTTTGCACCAGCAGGCACCGCTGTCCGGCCCCGCCGGGATGAAACGCGCGTGCTGCGGTAGCGAAGCTCGCAAGGTTGCACTTCACCCAAGCATGCGGGCAGACTACTTGGGATAATTTTTACCTCTACTTTACTTTCTGCCCCACCCTGGGGAAATTCTTTACAAATCAGCTATTGCCTAATATTGCGATTGCTTTATGATCTCGTCGAACGAGTCCCTCTTTGTGATGTACTCGCAGCACGCAGCGGAAGACGCATTCTGGGAAGGGAAAAGTTTTGTGCGAACTTTTTTCATTCGTGTGCGTTAAGGGGAAAACAAAAGTCATCGTCTTTGTAAATACCCTCCGACTGGTTTGACTCTGCTTTGTGTTTGGCTGCGCTGACGCAGTCTGTTGTACGATGTATGCTTGGGGAGGTCTTCGTCTGCACGCTTTACTTCTTGTTCACATTTATAACCATCTACTATCGATCTTTGCCATTTGTTTTCTGAGGGACTGGAGTGATGGGACGGGTTGGGTTTCATTTGTTTTTGCGTTGGCTGCTTGTGGGTACACATCATCATGTCGGGAGGGGTTCCATTTACCATGACCCTGCGGAGTTGGGGGGGTACTCGATACTCTTTGATAGTTAGAAGGATAAGCCGATTGGCTTATGTGAGATAACCAATATATGTTATCATGGAATTTTCGTTCCTTTGTCTACTTCTTCTGTGTACTGGAATCGCCTGATTCGCGGTTGCCACGAAATCACTCGGTAGATCCGGATGCAGATTGTCAGGTGATGGGTCGTATGACTCACCGCCAGTATGATTGTGGAAGTGGAGGAGTGAGGGAACGGTCAGGCGGGATTTTGACTCTGGGTCAGGGGCGTTGCAAGATGCCTTGGTTCACCGGGCGGGTTGCCACTAGTGACTCATGAACAAACTGAGGCGTCGTTAGCCTGGAGCCTGAGGCAGGTGTGCGGAAGGGCCCGGCTCCGGCAGCGCGATCGGACGAGGCCGGAGTGCAATTGACCGGTCACGGGGTAGACCTGTGGGTTACTTTCAGGGCTTAGCGTGATCAGATAAGATCAGATGGTCTTCCCCTCACTTTGCACCTCGGTTGGGTGTTTCTGTTTCTTCCTTTTTATTCTAGACAACTTCCCCGTCAGGTCTGATACAGCGCAGCAGGAAGCATACCGCGAAGGATGGCACCCAAAGCGAGGACCCTCATCTCTGCCCTCGCTCTTTGGAGTGTCTGTGTCAGCGCGACCCCAGTCCAGGAACCACCGCACCAACTCGTGCTAGACCACGACACTGCCACCACCGCCGGAGACAACCTCTACCTCAACCCATCACTCTCAGACCCAGAAGAAGAAGAAGAAGCCCCCACCCTCGAAGATGAGCAATTCAGCCTACCAAGCTGGTTCGAATCCACGCTGCTAGCCCGCCGCCTCCTCGCGCTCTCCCCAACGGGCACGGCCTCCACAATCTTCCCCTCGCCCTTACCCAAGCACAGCCGTACGCCCGGGGAAGTAGCAGGCCACTCGATAAGTCTAACGGAGTACGTGTCCGACTGCGAGTCCGCCTTAACCCACCCCGGAGGCGAGGGTGAGCGTGAGGGTGAGCGTGACTACGGCCACGGCAACCCGATCTTCCTAGCCCTCAACATAGCAACAACCTTCCGCAACACCGCGTCGGGCTCGAACCTCTCGCTGTCCCTCAACTGGTGGGACCACCTCAACGCCACGCGGCCCATCTTCCCCGGGTTTCCGTTGAGTGCGGCGGGGTTACCCCGCGTTACGCTCCTGGGGGACATCGAGGTGTTGGATTTTGGGGAGTTCGATGAGGGGGCGGAGGGGCGCGTGCGGGAGTGTTATCTGTCTGTGCATCCGGATGCGGAGGCGTGGTTGCCGCATCGGCGCGGGTCGCCGCATGCGAGTTTCTGGGCGCGGTTGAATGTGCGGCAGGTTTATTGGGTCGGGGGGTTTGGCGGGGTGCAGCGGATTGGGTGGGTTAATACTTCTGTTTATTCGGGGGTGAACTTTTGGGATGATGGGGGGTTTGGGCATCATGGTGATCATGGGGAGTGGGATACGAGGGGGTGGGGGGCTGTGAGGCTTCCTGGTGAATCGGATTGATATCCCTTTCAGTTCCTGAAAGGGGAGGAGGGGTCCGGGGGAATCCCCCGGACTCCTTCTATACTCTGTATGGGATTGGGGTGGCCAGGAAGCTGAAGGAAAGGGGGGTCCGGGGGTTCTCCCCCGGCTATCTCTCTTTATACTTTGTATGGGATTGAGGGTTACCAGGAAGCTGGAAGAAAGGGGGGTTCGGGGGTTCTCCCCCGGAACGTCTTATAGTACCAGTGTATTGGTTTGGGTTTATCTTATTGAATTGGATTGCAAGGAAGGGTATAGAACTACTTCTTAACTAGACTAGAAAGCCCATGCACAACGCAAAGCAGGTACTTGCGGTCGGGCACGACGACGATCTCGTGTTTCTTGGTGCGCAGCCGCAGCAGCCGGACCTCGTCGCTGTCTGCATCTGCGTCTGCGTCTGCGTCTGGGTCGGGGCCCTCGTCGTCGCGGTCTGCGTCGCCTCGCTCGGAGGGGAGCGCTGAGTGGTGCGGAGCTGCGCCCGCTGTCGGTGTGTGTGTTGTGTGTGAGGAGGGGGTGCTGCCGCTGAGGACGGCGCTGAGCTCTGCTGCGCTGGTTACGTAGGCGAAGATGTGGGCGGCGAGGGTTTCGGCGGGGGTGGGGGTGTATTTTTCTTCTGTTTCTTTTTTCGGGGTGGGTGATGTGGGGGTTGGTGTGGGAGAGAGGGTTATTTCTGGTGGTGGTGCTGCTGCTGATGGTGCTGCTGCTGCTGGTGGTGGTGCTGCTGGTGCTGGGTCGGTTGTTGTGGTTGGTGCGGTGGTGGGTGAGGTTGGGGTTTGGGTTGGGTCTTCGCTGGTTTCTGGTTCTGATGTTGGTGCTGGTGCGGAGGGGGTTTCTGTCGGGGGTGTGAGGGTCTCCGGGTCGGGCGCGCTGGCGGTATTAGAGGTGTCCTGCGCTGAGTTCGTGTTGGTATGGGTGCTGGCAGTCGCGGGAGCAGCGGTGGAAGCAGTAGAGGTGGCCGGTCTGCTGGCGCGACGGCCGGGCGTCGGCGAGGCATACAGCCCCGTGCTCTGGATGATGGAGCCGTCTTTGCGCGAGAGGATGAAGGTGGACTGCACGCCGGGGCGCGAGGTCAGGTGCGACAGGAGGGCGGTGACGTGGTGTGGGATCTGAGGAGCCTGCATTTCAGTTAGGACATGACTAGAGACAGGGTGTTGGGTAGGGTGTAGACGTACGGTGGTCGCCATTTTGGTGGTTGCGCTTCGAGGGCAGGGTGTAGGTTATAGGTTGTAGGTGGTTGAAGATGGGCTGGGAAGCTGCTAGTTCGATGGCATGCCACGTGAGTTCTGGTCAGTCACGACCTCAATCCTGGAGGGGAAAGCTGCGGTGTTGTCGAGCTGGTTGTTTTGGCGGTGTTGGTGTTTGTTTGCGATCGGTTTAGATGCTGAGTCAGCAGGGGTAACGTAATCGGTAAGCGAGTCGGCCACGTAAGCGAGTCGGCCACCGCAGTCTTGGCAAGCAGCCGGTTATGCCACCCATATCAGAATTTTGATTTACATACAAAAAATGCAGTATTCTTAAATGTTTATATAGCTGTTTAAACGCCTGCAATTGTGCTTAATTCTTTCTTGTTAAATATCTTGTATGTGTATATCTAAGAACACCATATATGCTGTAGTAAGACGGTGCGCGGCGGTGAGGTTAATTTTCTATAAGCTCTGTATTATTGGCTGTTTTCTCTGCAGCCTAGACATTTGTAAAGATTTCACGGGCTTTCTGGATTATAAAGCTATTTAGACTATCTATTTAATGCTGATTCCGCCTCTGCTTGGTATTCTTCCTCTTAACAGCTATATAGAGTTAGTGGTTCTTAAGTTCTAAAAGGGCTGCTCGGTTTAAGGCTATCTCTGCACCTTTAATAATATATAATAAGGTAGTTTGTATGGGTAAAGCCGGAGGATTAGGGTGTTAAAGTAATTAAGATATTGATAACTCGTATTTCTTAAATTACTTCAAATTCCTAGGTGTTTTAGTAATAGTTGAAATAGTTTTTTAGCTACTTAGCCGGCTCTCCTTCCTGTAGAAAATAAAGTTATCTAGAATCTTGCTTGGATTAAAAGGAATAATTCCGGAAGTCTTAAAGATACTTTGTATATTTGTGGATTTAAATACTTAAATATAGGTGTCTGGATAGATATCAAGAAAATTAATTTTATTAATATAGTAATATCCGGTTCGAATAAGGTATTTAATCCGGCAGCTGTATATTTACTTTAATGGCGAGAATACAGCCACATCTAAAGGCTGGTAGAGATGAGAAGAATTAGCCGGCATGTATACTAGAATAATATTATTCTTATAGTATATATTATTAAATTAAGGTATTAAATGGGAGTTATGTCTGTTAAGGATAAGGAGGTTATATTGGCCAGTTCTTCAGTTCTTAATATAAGGAATAAAGTGTTTCTTAAGCTAGTGTTTACTAATTTCTTGATTAATCTACCTATTTGGTGATATTGTAATACGCTATAAAGAGGATAGATTATCTTTATATTATGCCTGTATATAGGTCTTTGCTTTTAATATTATATATACTAGTAATGCCTATCCTGTGGTATTAATACACTTAATTAAAGTTATTTATTCGCGGTTTCCAGGCTGTATAAAGAAAGGTCTTTTATGGTAGAATAAATATATTACCACTTTGGCTGCAGCCACCAAATTTATAGCAAAGCCGGTTTTATTAAAGTTGTAGATATCTGTATCTGTAATTATATATATAGCGACGGTGGTTTATATATGTTGAAACCAGGCCTGTATAATCTCAGGATTCTTATACTTTATATATTTATAACTGATTTAATATATAAACTGAGACTTTAAGAAATTATAATACTGAGAAATGAAGTTATATACCTATTTTTTATTCACTGAATTAGTTGATTTTTTACTGTGTTTTTGTATTAAGATTAATGCTATATTATATATATAAAATTACCTTAGCGGTGCGCCACGTTGATTTAGTAATATAATTTATTTAATAAGTGATTCCTCTTCTAAAGGAGTTAGTTTATAGTAATTAACGTGTGTTTTCTTGCGGTATGTGATGCTATTTAAATAATCTTGAAGAGTTAAATACAGAACTTTAAAAGTATCTGCAGCCTTGTGAATTGAGTGAATTTAATCTTTTTTTATAGTCTTAACTACGAGGCAGAGCCTGTCTTCTTGTTTTACTGAAACTTTTGATGATCGAGGCATTTTTGGTGGAGAAATTGATGTCTGTATACAGGCAGTTTTGTGGGCGTGGTGGTGGTTGATGGGGTGGCCGACTCGCTTACGTGGCCGACTTGCTTACCGATTACGTTAGTTAGTTCGCTCTCGAGCCAACTATTTACTAGTTAATCCTACTGGTATGGCCTTCAACTACTATGTATGTCCTCTAGCACTTTTACACGAAAAATCCAAACAATGGCACACCAGATGCATTCATCAAATGAACATACACGAAAGAACGCAGCAACAAAGTGGTATCGTAGGAACACAAACACAAACACAAAAGAGATATCCAAAGAATGACAGCCCGGCTGGTCGGGTACAGTTGGGCCGCGAGCAACAACAGTAAAAATAATCACAAGGAAAGATTAATGGCAGTGGCAGACTAAGCAGTCTCATAGATCGTGCAGCAATCCCAGCCCACAATATCAGCCCACAATCACTGGACACAGCCCCGAACGCAGCCAATACAGCCCGAACTCTCACTAAGTCTCCGACTTGTCCGACGTCCAGCCCAAGTCAAAGTCCTCGATCATATCCTCCAATTCGCGCACATTGGCACTATCGTCCGTCGCATAGCTGCCGCGTCGACTCGACTCGGGACTCGCAATCCAGCTCTCCGGGTGAAAAGGCGGCTTCCTGGTCCTCGGGTACGGCTTCCTTTGTTTCGTTGACACAGACGTACTGGTTTCCGAGGAGAACGACCTCCCCGTGTTTGGTGTCGCGGTCGCCGGGGGTGTCATCAAGCCGCCCAGCACACCCTCCAGACTTTGCCTCGTGTCGACATCCAACGCAGCCAGAAGCGCGGCTTGCAGGATCTTGTTCTGTCGCTCGAGGTGGGTGATGCGCTCCTCAAGAGCGTGGATGATTTGAGATGACTGTCTGGTGCTCCGAGACTCCTGCGACTGATTGGTGCTCTGGGAATAGTGGGAGTCCGGGGAGTAGCCCTCCAAGCCCTGCGGTCGATAATCCCTGGGAGTCAGCGGGACCTTGTGTGTCGAGAGCGACTTCTTCGATAGGCGAGTCCTGTGTGCTGCTTGCTCTCTGAATGTAAGAGGGGTCGGTCTCGAACGTCGACGCCGACCTGTCGTGGGACGAGTCCGTTTACTGGCACCGGTGCAGTCGTCGTCAGACGATGGTAGCGGCGACTCAGAGCGAACCTTGAGGCTCTTCTCTTTGGCCAGTCGCTCTTGAGTGCTAGTGCTGCGTACGCTGCCGCTTCTCTGTATTCCAGTTGCTTTGCTCAGCTTCGACGGCGGGGCGTCTTCAGGTAGGGCGGATTCCAACTTCTTTGACGAAGAAGAGAACTGTCGACCAGCCGTCAGACCAGCGGAGTGTCTCGCTGGGTTCATTGGCGGGGGAGAGCGCGGTGGCGGCGAGGGGGGCTCTGAAGCCACAATTCGTTGGTACCGCGTGTTGCTGTCCTGACGGTGCTCGTCACTACTTTTGCGAGCACCGGGACCATCGTCACCATCTTGAGACCTCTGAAGTTCTGGTGTCAAAGCACCGGAAGGCTGCTCTTCCTCTTCATTCCCCTCTTGAGGAGGCTCCAGCCCTTTGAGAAAGAGGCGTCCTGCAGTTACATCGCGCTGCTTCTGAGCCATGACCCTTTCCGCACGGTTTGGACCCATCCGCACTAGAGAAGTTGGCTTGAGTGTAGTTGTTTCCGTCGCCGATTCGCTGTTCATCTCAACTGTCGACCGTTTAGCGTCAAGCATGAGCCTTGTGGAGGACGCAGGCCGGGCGGCCGCGGCCCGCTCATGGACAGTAACAGAAGGACCCAGCTCGGGCAAGGATGGCAAGGGTCTCATAGGGGCTGGAAGGGGAAATGCATCGATGGCGCACATTGGCAAGGAGGAAGGCCGACGACAGTTTTTCTTCGGCGGCTCACTCTTTGAACTGTCCGCGGCTGCTTTCTCTTCCGGCTCACCCGATGTCTCCTTGTTCGGCTCGCTCGCAGTCGGGTTAGATTGCTCTTCTTTAGGCGCAGAGTCTGCTTTCGATTTAGTGCATTCACCCCCCGGCTCAGCCATAGCCCGGTCTCCCGGCGCGGGAGGGAGAGATCCGTTCGGTGCGGGTGGACGTCCGGTTGATATGCGCCACGCGCCTTTACTCGAGACTCCCGAAGGCATTGTGTCGGGAAACAACTTCAATGATGGAGGTGGAGTCTGCTTGTGCTGTGTAGCTCGTCCGGATGCAGAGGCCTTGGATTTTGTGCTGGAACGGCGAGAGTCGTCCTTTGTAGGTTCGGGCTATCGAAGGTCAGCTTGTCTTAGAAATGATATCTGCTTCTCACGCACCTTGTCTCGATCCACCGTTCTCCCTTCGCCTGAATTCTCTACCACACAAGAAACAGACTCTTCTGTATCCGGCCCGCTGGCCGGACTGTCTCCTTCTTCTATAGATTCCATACGGCGAGGGCTCTTATCTAGTGGCGCGTGCGGTGAGTTATTCTGACTTTCATTCGCGCTCAAGACACCCTCAGCAACCTCAACTGGCCGATAAGGCGGCGGGTCAATATCATCCGGCTGCACTGGAAATGACACCGCCGCTTCCACCAGCGACGTCAATCCCCGGAGATCCCGCGAGGATGGATGGCTGGCTCCGGTGCCCCTTTTGTCACTCTTCTCCAACGGGTCACTCAACCAGGGCTGGCCAATACTTTCGACGTCTCTGCGGGAGCTGGACTTGAAGCTGAGGTTCGAAATGGACCGGGACGAGGAACGGCTCGAGTCCAAGCTCTTTTTGTGCGATGATCGCTTGGTGGGCGCCACCTTGGGCGACAGGGCAACATGCGTCGGCAGGAATCCACCCTCCTGCAGCGCCATGAGCTGACGCGCCGTCTCTTCAGCTTTTGATCTGGGGTCGAGGTTCTTCCTCGGGCGTTGGGCCAGCTGCCGGAGACGTCTCTGCCCGGCGCGGAAAATATCGCGAGCCCCTGTCGTCGACTGCGGGCCCCCGCCTGGGGTCTCAATATACTTCAGAAAGTCGGTCATCTGGTCACTCTTCGAATCGGTGGGGACTAGGGTCGGGGTGTCGTCCCGGAGTTCTTGTGAGAGGGCAGACATGGCGCAGCGTCCCGTGCGGGAGGTGTTGGAACTGGGTCGGCAGGTTGGGACAATCGGGCTCGGTGCCACTAAGTTGTCATATGACTTAGTCCTCCGTTGCATGGGGTCCGCAGCTGGCGACCAGCTGCTCGATCGGCCTCAATTCTTGCACAGAGATCGGGCGCGGTTAACATTAGACATGGTAGGGTGGCGATATCAATGAGCGAGATGATGACGATGATTATGCAATGACAAACAATTGCAATGGAGAAGTGAAAGGTGAAGTCAACGCAGGATTTCTGTCATCAACACGCGACTGCGGACTACCGACAAGGCTGACTGTGTAATGAGCGTGTGGAACAGAAGAGCAAAGGGAGAGAATAGAATGCAACTAAGATCGTGCACGGGATTAGTATATACAGCTGACCCAATCGAAACCGACCCCGGAGCGGCGCAGAGTGTTCTCCCAGGAGAAAGATAAAAAGAAAAACGACCAGATGACCCCAGGGACGAGGTTCCCTCGAGTTTATGAAGGGACCTCGAGGGATCTCGAGGAGCTGTCAGGCCCTTGCTGGACTGCAGCCGGGGGGATCCTTCCCAGGATCTGTAGGCCAGTGCGGAATTGCGATGAATGGTCGAATGAGGAGCTTGCCCTCGTTCCCGATAGCTTGCGAGATAGAGTTGGATCTAGACAGTTCAGTTGCTATTCGATGGAGCCCAGGGTGGCCAGCCAGGCACCTCAGGTAGGGAGGGGAGAAGCGAGCCAGCAAGCAAGGCCGATGTGGAGTCATAATTGGCAGGGGCAAGTAGCCAACAAGAGATGTCAAGGTGGAAGAAAAGAAAAAAAAGTAAAAATAACTCGAAGGAGGAAAGCGATCGAGTCCGTGCCAGACGACTATTTGCTGGGCTGGATGGACCCTGTCATCATCGTCGACAGGATGGGCGCGCATCTTTTCTTTTCTTATGCAGCGAAGGAAGGGACGGTCAGTCAAGCTTTGAATCGCCTAGAATCAATGATCAGTCAATCAGCCCTTGGATTGATGTTGGTTGGTCTCGTGTGACTTCATTATTGCCGCGTCGCGTCTACTTCGCTTCTTTCTCTCCCTTCCAACTGTAGGAACCGTTGAGCACACGCAAGGGATATCACGGGATGGCAGCATCGTTCGGTTCCATATTCAGGGGTATCCAATGGAGAGAGAGCATGAGCGAATGAAGAGTCGGTACCCAACATTCGAGGGATGATGGTAGTGGATGTGAGGTGTCAGCCCCGTAACGATCCCATCGGTGTTTGTTCGATAAGTACGGAGTAGTTGGAAGAGTTGAGTTGTTGACAAATGGGGATTTAGTGGCCGATCGGAGCGGATAGCATTTCTTCTAGTTGTGAGACACATGCACAGACCGACAGCACCTACCAGTAGCTTGGTTTGTCCTTGGTTGACAGGTCATATTGACAAAATTCAAGACCTATGCATCCTTCCTTCCCTCCCTCCTGGACTATTCCTCTCCAGCTCTTCCTAACGATGGTGGTGGTGGTTGGTTGGACAAAAAATTAGCCCTTACCGAGTCTAAATCTATCAAGCCGGCAGCATGCCGCAACAACATCAATGGGAAGAAACCTCAATAGTTCCAACACAGAAACACCAAGGAACTGTGGGTGGTCGATCTAAGTCTAGAGGGGAAGTGAAAGCAAACAATTGATCCACCATACGAGGTGAGGTGGTCATCGGATTAGTCCACAGAAAAGTCCACAGAATCAAGTATACAGCATGTGTTAAATCATCGACTCCACCCTCGCAGTCTTTTCAATGCATACAATTCAATCGATACTCCTCTTTCCAAACCAGCTCTAGCAAAACAGAACCCAGTAAAGAGTTCAATTACAGCAGTTCAAGCAGAGGAAATAAAAAAAAAATTCAGGCAGACGCAGCAGCAATGGAGAAAAAAAGAAACCCTCCCTCCCCTCCCAAACTAACGCCACGACTCCCTTGCAGCTGATAGTTCATGCACCTCTCCCTTCCCTTTTTTCCTTCCTGTTATTCTCTCTTTGTCCCAATCCCAGTCCCAGCAGCAGCAGCAATTCTCCGATCATGGAAGCATCATCCCCCTCTTCTGAGACAGCACTTGCATAACCGACAATGCTCCATCCAACTGTCAAACTGGTCGATCGTTGACGTCTACAGTATCCTCAGCAATGCCAATGCAATAACTGCACAGTACTCCAGTCGAAACCTGAATATTGTTTTGAGTTTGGAATAGAGAACAGTGACTAACTGGCTTGTTTGACAACCGAATTGCTCGATCGAAGATCCGTGCAGACAGAAATTGCCACGGCGTCCAACAGGGGGGAAGTGAGATGATTCATCCTTCCAGATCGATTCTAAAGATGTTGTGATCGCAGTGGGACAATGGCATAGTGATTGAGCCGGTCTCAATCTTCACTGACACCCCCAAACTAGTCGAGACAATTCTGGTGTCGCCCTGAGACACCCCCTAGTGCTGCTGCGGTGACACATGGAGGAAGTTGCATGGGGAGATCTCCACTCTTATCATCCATCAGAAAGGAGTTTCTGAAGAGCAGACAGATGTCAACAGGGGGATCCCCCATGACGTGAGTTGGTCGCCCAATTGGTTGGTTTACTTGGTTCTTGGTCGTCCAGCATTTGTATCACTCTACGTCCCTTCGAACAATGATCCTATCTAGTCTAAGAAAGAAATGAAACCTCGCCCTCTTAGTGCAACTCAACCAGTCAACTACTCGCTGTCCTCCCCCAGCCCAGTGGGGATATCAAATAATAGTATTCCACCCCGCTGACTCACAGCAAAAGAAAAATCCCTTCTTTCAATAATACAAGGTGCACCACATTGCAGGAGAATGATAACACAACGCCGCGGATGCTGGATGAGTGTAAGAAAGTCAAGAACACTGCTTGCTCGCAAGCCTCGTGTGTGTAAAGCCCCCAACCGGCACAAAGTGGATAGTGGAGAATGCCACATCCGGACAAAAAAAAATGTAGCTGACGAAAAATCGAGTCATAGAACGCAATGGAGAAGCAATGAGTGTATCAGAGGGCACTGGTCGAATCATCGACGATATGCATGCAAAGAGGGGTTGCAACGTATCATACAGTCGGCCGTCCAGCACGTCAATAGCGCTTGTGACAGATAAGAAAAAACCGGTAAGAAAGAGAGGCTGCCACCAAACAATTGGCGATGCGGGGATCGGGATCGAGTGCTATCGGAGAGATGATTATCTTCGCTTTGGTCGAATGAACGGATCGACTTCTTTCTTCTTGCGCATCATCCCCGGGGGTCTGACGTTGCCAGGTCTCGGCTGCGGAGGACGTGGGGGAACCTGAAGGAAAAATCCAAATTAGTCACTCAGGGGCGAAGCATATCGTTGAAATGGTTGAAAGCGATCACATACGCTCCCAGATACTGGGCCCGGTCGGGGACCACTGTGGGATTGCCCGTGTTTAGAAGAAGCGTATGCCGGTCCATCGCGGGACGGTTTAACCAGATCCTGTGATCATGGATTAGAGTCACGACTATAGAGTCCGATAGAAGAGAAAGAGATATCTACCTCTGTATTTGGCGGAACATTGGCATCGATCTTGCGACGAGGACCTTTGGGAGCATTCGGGGGCGCTGGGTTCGGTCCATCCTTCCGCGGCCGTGACGGGTTCGAAAGATCAGCTGCAGGCGAATCGGAGCGTTTTCGTTTGCCCGGAGCATTGCGGTCTCCAACTTTGATCTGCTCAGAGACTTTCCGGTCTTGCGTCGGAGTCCCACTGGTTGCTTGAATAGTAGGCACCTTCGGATCGTGCCCGCCAAGTTGCCTGCGTCGCTGAGCCTCAGTCCGTTGCTTCTGGACTTGGGCTAGCTGGTATTCTTCCCGGCTGATCCTAACTTTCTCCTGTTTCGATAAGCTCTTACCACTACGGCATTCAGTGGCGATATGCCCAGTCTGCCCGCACTCCACGCAACGCTGTGCTCTGCAATGGCTGCGCATATGACCAGTCTCGCCACATCTGAAGCAGGTGCCTTTGGTTGCCTCTTTCGCATCCTCGTTGTCGCAATTGTGCGTCATGTGACTGAAGCTTCCACACATAGCACACGTGCGGGTTTCATCGAGTCCATTACCGCCCCCAGATGGCCCTTCGGGGAGCGGGGGAGGCGGTGTACCTTTCCCTGATGCAGATGCAGGAAAGGGCGATTCGGACTTATCGCGAGAAACTGAGGAAGGTCGAGACATAGAACCGGTTGATGTGCTCCGAGAAAGTGGTGCGGATTCTGGCGCGTCTGGGTCCTGCATCTCAATGTTCTTGTATCCTGTGAATTGCGGACGTTGGAGTATTGACAGAACATCGCCGTCTGTGTACACATTTCTTCTGCGGGCATCCTTGATCAACCCATTCCAGAACTCGCCCTGCACCAGAGATTGCGAATTACCAAGCACCCAGAGTGATGACTTGGCACGGGTTAGACCGACGTTCATACGTCGAATATCGGCCAGGAAACCAATACCTTTGTTGGAGGCTCGGACACAAGAAAAGATGATCACCTCGCTTTCCCTACCTTGGAAAGCATCCGTGGTGTTGAAGTCAATCTTGCTCAGAATAGACTCTCCGTATTTTGCAGAGAATTGTGCTTTGAGTTGGCGCAATTGACCTTTGTAAGGGGTAATAATGCCAATCTTGCGGCTGAAGTCATAGCCTCGGAAATCTGCCAGTAAACGCTCATAGAGCTGCATCGCTACCCGAAGCTCCGCCAAGTTGATCAGTGAGTGACCTTTGGCAGCGCTCTGGTGAAGTCCTTGCACATCGAAAAATCGGTACGGGCTGAGAAGTTCGCTCTGGTGCCATGGGCGAGCGCGAAGTCGAGCCATATTGGGCCCGTCTTGCAACTTGCCATCGTAGAATGCAGAGCTGGGATATGCACTAATCTCGGGATGCATACGATACTGGATATCGAGTAGATGCACATCCCTGGGATTGTTGGCTTGCATTCTGACGAACAGACTCTGCTCATACTGGAACTTGGAAGCGACCTTCGAGAGAACCGTAGGCGGCAACTGCTTCGGATCACCGACCAGGATACACTTCGAACATCCGTACTTCAAGGGGATCAGAGCGCTCAGCTCAATCGACTGCGCTGCTTCATCGATGACAACAGTCTCGAACTCAATACTCAGGTTCTGGAACATCTCATGCCCACTTCCGCTGAGAGTCGCGCAAATGACGTGAGCGCCATCGATGATCTCCTGCTGAATACGCCTTCTATTTAGATCAGCATCACGCGCCGCGGAATGGTTCTTGTCTCGAGCGTTGTCAATTTCCTGGCTTAGTTGTGTCTTTTTCTTTTTGTATAGGTCGTTTTCCCTTTCCAACTCTTCAGGTACAGGCAAGCCCTGAGCCCGGCACTGATCCATTTTGGCACGTGTTTCTTTGAAGGCCGTATCAGCAGCTTTATGCTCCATGTAGATCTTCTGCAGATCTCTTTCACCAGAGTCTTTGTTATTTGTCTGGCTCAGTCTCGCATTGACCAGCTCATCCAAGGTGACGTCCAGCACATTCGTATTTATGGCATCACTTCTTCCGAGACGAATGACGGAGAGCTTCTCCTGGCGACCGTTTATGGTTTTGACACCGTCCTTAAATCTCATAACTAATTCGTCAACAGCGGCATTACTGGGAGCGCAGACAAGTAGCTTCTTCGATGTCGTGGTCCTTCCACCAGGCCTGGCGTTTGCAGAAGCCAATGGACGTGAAATGGCAACACCTTGATTGCCGAGCACGCCGCTAAGAAGAGCACCTACGAGGGCCACAATCGTCTTTGTCTTTCCGGAACCTGGAGGACCTTGGATGAGCGTGAAGGCGTCATTATCCAGTGCAGACTTGATTGCCTTCGCCTGCGCAGGATTGACGTTGTAGTTGTCGGAGATGGGCTTGAGACTCGCATCGGAATACTTGAGAATAGGTGACGGTTTCGCTTTGATAATCTCTTCGCAAAGATCATAGTATTGGAGTGCCATGAGTGCACCGTATTCACGCTCGAGAGGAGTCATAGAGGTGATCTTTGCGCCTCGGAGGGAGGTACCAGGCCCAAGAGAGTTGATGAAGGGGTTGCCTGGATTGACCCGATAGGAAATCTCGACGGTTCCTTTCTTCCTCTTAATTCCAGAGACTCTGGCCAGACAATGAGGTGCGGACGAATCCGTTGTCGGCGACTGAGATTTAGAGAGCAAAACAATGTCTGCTTCTCCAATACCGAAATCTTTAGCTTCGAGAGCCGATACGGCGGTATTCACTTCCACAAAGGAGTCCACAGACAATCTGGTAGCGACCTTGATCTCGAATGGCTTGAATGAGCCTTCTTCCTTTGACGATTGAAATCCCTGCCAGGCTTCCAGAATGAGAAGAGGCTCAAAGGTTCTCTGATACTCAATGGGGTCTCTAAAGGCATTGGAGACTAGACTGTAATCCGTTCGTCCGGAATTCGGGGGAAGATCACCATTAGCAAAGAAATCCCAGCCGAGGATCGTACGGTGCAGGGAGGACAGATCTGGGGCTAATCGTGCTCTCATATCTTTGGCTGACCGAACTTGCTTAATCTTCTTTACAGGGCCCTGTTGTTTCAAGGACATGCGCTTGCTCTCCTCATAAGCCTTGACAGCGTCGGGCTTCGAGCGTGCCTTGGCGCCGAAAAGCTCCTTGTCAAGCTCGTCTTCGCTTTCGGATTCGGATTCTGATCCTGAGGAAACCATCATACTGTCAGCAGGAGTGTGATCCTTGCCTTTGACGCCTAGACCAAGCAAGCCCGAGCCCTGTTCGGCGGTTTGCTCAGCGACGCCAATTGCCGGCTGGTTCCTCTTCAATCGTGCCAGCATCTCCAAGTCACGCTTCTTCTTCGCCTCCCTCTCTTTCTCCCGCTTCTCACGGAAAGCCTGGATCGACACGCTCGGCTTCAGTGGAGCTGGAGCTGGCTTGGGAATGGCAGGCAGTGCCTTTGCCGCTCTCTCCGCTCTCCTCTTGGCTTCGGCGGCAAGTCTCTCCTTATTCAATTCGACAGATCGTGACATCTGCAAGAGGACATCGTCCGGAATATTGTCATCGAACTCATCAGCGGACTTCGGGCTGGGAGTCGCCGTCGGATCGACTGGTTTCGCGAACGCTGTGATCATACTTTGCTTCTTGAGGCTCGCTGTTGATGCGGTGACAATGGGTTTCTTGTAATAAGCTTCCAGGGCTTGCACAAGCTCTGCCTTCTCCCGTGGTGTCAATATCGTCTTCACGGTAAAGTTCACTGCGACGCCTTCTATAAAGCTCAACGCATCCTGCTTAACAGTCGTGACGCTGAGCTCACCTAACCGTCGCAGGATCTTCGATACAAGGCCGACCAATGTTGTCGCCAGGTACTCGTCCTTTAAGCGAAGCCATTTTACCATTGCGCTCATGGTTGTAGTTGCAGCCTTGAGGAAATTCTCACGCGCAGAACTTTCTGCGCTTGGGTCTGCATCAACAACAGCGCTTAGAAAAACACCATATTGATCGAAGAGAAGGTCGGCGAACTGAATGCTGTCACGGCAAAATTCTAACATGACGGCTTTATCATTGCCTCGGAGGTGCCATGATTCAGTGCAGTCAAAGATCGTAGTCAACGCTTGCCATAAATACTCCCATAGCTTTTGAAGAGAAAGTATCTCCCGTCGGTCTGCCAATTTACGGGTTCTAAGCATACCTGTTTGGCTATCGCACAGGATGTCGACGATGTCTGTTCCCGTGTGCAACATCCTTGGCGCGGACGCAAAGGTCTTCATGTTCGAGATACGTCGGAAAGACCAGCTCAGTCCATACATAGTGGTCGTGAAGAACGATTGCAGCAGATGTGAAATTGCATCTCTTCGGGCGGACTGGCCACTAACGTTTTTGATCAGGTCCACAGCAGCTTGGTATGTGTCCAAGTCAGCTGCAAATAAAGCAGAGATTAAAGCACTGCTGGTATCTTGACTCCTGAACAACTCGTCTAGATGCTCGGGCTTGAAATCTGCAAGACGCTCGATAATTTGACACGACAAATTGGTCAAATGGCCGTAAATCACGTTGAAGTGTGTTTTCTCTGGGCTTGCCTCTCCTTTCGTGGGAAACTTCTCGAGGCCGACCAGGGGCAAGATACCAAGTAGAGCGGATGTTGAGAGAGCCAGGTTATCCTCGTGTAAGTGTCTAACGACTGCATCCCAGATCGTAGCTGAATATGTACTAACTCCATGTTGGAGGGTGTTCTGGTGCAGGATGACTTCGTAGTCACTCTTTAGGGACTGGCATTCCAAAGCAAGTGTATTACGGATGACATCCATACACAAGGATGTGATTTCCCGCTGGAGCGACTGTTCAACTGCAAACTGTGGGGGGCGCAGTATCCTTTCAATGTTTGCGCTTACAACACCTAGCGTTTCGGATAGTACGATGCGAGCCACGGAGCCTCTGGAGGATTCGTGGTCGGTGAAACTGCGAAGGGTATGGAGTAGGATAACCAGACCGGTATGGAAGCAATGGTACCTGGCCAGGTTGGGGAACCGTGAGTCTTGCAATCGATCGAGAAGTTGATAGACAAGGGATCTGCAAGCTGAGGGCTGATGTGCGCCCTTGAGTGACGACATGAACGGACTAATCCATGATAACATATCTTTCATAGCCGACTTCTCGAACGGCTCACCCTCCGTGGCCTGCATCAGGAATGCGTCCAGCTGAGGGTTGTAGAACACAAGTTCAATGAGAGCTTGAGGTGAGATTGTCTGCATGGCATCCCAGAAATCGATCGGCGCTTTCTCTAGAAAGATCTGTATCGTGTTGAGTAGAAAGCGTAAGCCCGGTGAAGGAATACCGAGGTGGTCCACAGACAGACGACAGGGATCAATTTCGAGAGCGCGAAGATGGTGGGTGATTTGGTCCTTATCCAGCCTTTTCACTACGAGTTGCATGCCACGCCACAGCCGTTGAATGACAGCTACCTGAGCCGGCTGCTGAGACGCAGTTCTTAGTGCATCAAGAAGACCTTCCTTGATCGCCCAGTCGAATTCTTCGGTAGTCGGAGGGCGAGAATAGCGCATCCAGGAATGAATAGCCCAGAAGCTGCGACTCTGATTTGATTCAAACAGGAAACGAGTGACAGCGGGAATGTAATCGGAGACTTTCAAACTGCGTTTTGTTTGGATCAACCGGAATGGCTCGTCAAAGTATTCCTGCAGAAGACTATCACTGCGCAGCATGGCATCACAACTCAGGGTCTCGAAGATCGAGAGCAAAGATGCCCGGTCCAGGACATGGAGTCCGATTTCTTGAGGGGGAACCTGTTTAAGCTGGGCTGTTGCCGCGGCTAAGTTCCTTGTGATTCGCTTGATGTCCCATTCGTCCAGCATGCGGGAAAATTTCTCGATATCCTCATCATCGTAGTTCTCTTTAAGCTGCTCCATCAACCAGATCTTACCCGTGTAATATTGCTTGATGCAAAAATCACATTTCTCAAGCGAGTCGTCGAGCTTCCGCCATATCCAAGACTGTAGCTCTTCGACGCCTTCCTGATTGTATGCCAGAATTCGCATGCACGACAGGAACTTCTCCTTGCGGGTGTTGGCCTCCGTGACTATTTCTTGAACCGATTTCCCCGACTCGTCGACCTGGCTAAGATCGTCGTATCGTGCGTGGTCGTCGTCATGTTGTCTAGGACACAGGATATGAATAGCATCAGGAAGAGACTGTAGCTCTCTGTAGACAAACAAACAAGCTCAGTCAGTGACTAGTCCATGAAAAAGTTAGGCGTAGATGGCAGGAAGTGAGTACGGACCCGACGACATCCATGACCTCCATGGCGACTATGATCCGGGGAGAACCCGGAGGCGATGTATTTGAGAAGACCCTCTTCAGATATTAAGAGAAAGTGAAAATCAGTCCGCAACAATCTTGTGTATGAGCATGGCTTCTGTGTGGCAAGGTAAGGGCAGCTGGTAGTTGCGGAGGGCTGCGTGGTGGAAGAGATTCAGGTGTCATAAGCACATCAGGTTGAGTGACAAATAAAAGAGGCAATTTGACTCTCCCGATTTGACGCAAGGCTTCCCCTCCTGCTGCGTTCCGAACAACGCCCGACCTGATCAGAAATTGTCCGGATTAACTTGACGGAGGTGGAAGTGATTCCCTCGATAGGTACAATTGTAGAGTTAATCAGTGCAGTCCCTTCTGGGCGATATGATTGGCTAGATATGAAGGCGGTGATTCCTGCCCATAATCCACTTAACGCGCAAAGACGCGCCTTCCGATTTGGCGGCGGACAGGACGGCCGCCTCCAGGCCAGTACGTACAGTATGTGAATACTGTGGATTATCTAGTCGACCCCTTGTTTAATTAGGTGATGTAGATAGTATCCTGAGTCTACAATGAACCTCGTCATGTCCGCCAGTTGTTTTTATGAAGACTTCAACGTGAACACTACTATTACATAGATTTTCAGGTCGCACAATGTGTTCTCATGGAGCTGCTTACTAGAATTCAACAGAACCTATGGCCCAGCCTCACATTATAATCATTTCCACGTGCCGACTCCAGGGTACATATTACCATTCAATGGTACAAGTGCATGAAATGTTCCAATTAAGATAAAGGGAAAAGAGAAACAGTGCTCAGTCGACTGAATGCGTATGCAGAGAAACGCTTTTGTACAGATGAAGTAGGGGGTTGGGTATGCTGAGGAACTGAGAAGTGGAAAGCTGGTCGAAGCGCCATGACACCTAGGTCAGGTGTAAGAAAAGAGCTTGGAGAATCGAAGCACTGCTGAAGTGATGCAGTGATGAACAGGAGGTAAAGAGAGCCAATTGCGCCGAAACGTTCAACCGTGGTGCCAAACGCCTTCTATCGTGGAATATGGGTAATCTACTCGTCAGACAAAAAAACAAGAGAACAGGGTGAAGATATGGACAGGAAAGCGGACAAAGGGTCGTTGCAGGGAATTCACTCCTGGCGTGCTGTTGTTAGGTAGAAAGGAAGGTGCAAAAAATCGATATATGTACGGTATAGGCTGTATGGTATCAAATCGCATGCAATGGTGGATCATGAGGGCTTTTGAGAGGGCTGTCGGGTTCTTGAACCTTGGGATATGAGAGCTCCCGCGTCAAATGTCCGGACTGTTCGAAGTCCTGGCTCACTTCAAATGTGGGCGGAACTCGGTCAAACGAATGTCGTGTTCGCTCTGATGAATAATGAATATAATCCACTGGTTGAGGGTGGGGTAATCGGGTAGTGTCAAGGCTAGAAGCATAGGTTGTTCCGCTGCTGCCATTCTTGCTGTGTGACTTGTGGGTGCGAATTGTCGGAGGATAGGACGGTGAGAATATCTGCTGCTCATCCGAGAAAGGATCGTGCTTCAAAGTGGGCTGTATCGGTTTCACAATCTCCGAAGATGACGATGACTCGTCGCTGGACATTGTAGCTGCTGCCGCCTTTTCAGCTGCTCGAGGCGGGACATAGGCTTCATACTGATCCAAAAACTTGAACTTTCCTTGAGAGACCTGCTCGCGTATGATGTCGACATCAAGCGGAAAGAAGACCTTCTGAAAAGATTTTACAGCGAACCGAGGCAGCAGGCATATCATGACAGTAAGCAATAGGACAACCCAGAACGACAGTGCACTGTAAACTTCGAGACCGGCGTGAAGGAAAGTGGTTGACGCTTCGAGTGAAGAGTAAATACCAGTCCAGAGGAAGATAAGAAGGGAGCTGATGCCGTTGATCATGACTGTAAGCCAATCCCACCGGTAGGAATTCATCAAAATGTAGCCATTGCTTGCGAAAACGGCGCTGGTGCCAACCAGGATACCCATGCGTGTTCGATCGTTAATATTCAGGCCATTGTGATGCACAAATGTTGCAGGACTGTATAGGAGGTATGGCATGAAAAAGCAAATGATGGACTGGTACAGACCATCAGCCATATATAACCTGGAATCGGTTAGTACCAATGGTAATTGCAAATATCACAGGTAACCATACCAAAATTTGAGCTGTGACCACTCTTTTCGCTCGATACCTCTCATATAAAGTTGGGGCACAGCTAATGATACCTTGTCATCAACATCCTGGTCGAAGATGCCCATCAGGATCACAGGAAGCGAGGTAAAGGCGACGTTGACAAGCACAATGTAGGTATAGTCAAAAAGATACGAGCCATCGTAATCATTATAGATGGAGTACCAGAAGAGCGCGAGTGTCCAGACCAAGTTCTAGGAAGAGGGAATCATCAGCGCACGTAACCATTGGATCGGCATGGCGACTTACCTTATAAAAGAAGTTTGCGATTGTCTCCGCCATGCGACGATATGAATACCTTCCGTGAACAAGGACAAGACGCTGCAGAAATCGAAATTGCCCGATGGCGTAGTCCGACGACATGGCTGCTTGTCTGCCTTCTTCACCAATGATTCCGACACCAACATCTGCCTCCTGAATCATGGCTACATCATTGGCACCATCTCCGATGGAAAGGGCCATGATGTCTAAACCATTTTTGACCATACGTACGACTGCTGCTTTCTGAGCAGGGCTCACCCGACAGCATAAGACGGATTTGCATTGTTTGCACAACAAAAGGAAGCGTTGTTTCCGTTCTTCATCGAGCATCAGTTTGAGAGTCTCGCCATCGATGACAACGGCATGCGTGGCGGCGGGTGGCCTGTGGTCACCCCGTGCAGCGATCAACTCTTCATCGGAGCCGGTCATTCCAAATCGTTCCAGCTGTTTGTCTAGCTCTTGTGATGCCCGCTGCGGCTGATCACTGGGAATGTTGAAGACAATAAGTTCCATATCATTATCGAGGAGGTTGCATGAGAAGCCGATGTTGATGGCTGTCTCGACTTTATCACCGGTCAGGACCCACAGTTTGATACCGGCTTCCGCAAGCAGAGAAATAGTGTCTGGGACACCATCTTGAAGTCTGTCTTCGATTGCTGTGCCGCCTATAAGCATAAGGTCCTGTTCGATATTACTGGCGACTTCCTCTAGCTTTTCTTCGCGATCAGTGAGCGCAGCAGCGGCGAGATCATGTTCCTTGCTCCAAGCCAGATATTCCTCTTCGCTGAGCTCACGATCCGCCACACACAGGGTCCGCAGACCTTCGCTAGCAAACATTTCAAGGTGCTGAGCAGTTTGCTTGCGCAGCTCCTGTTGCTTGCCTGGTGCTAAGCGCGAGTAGATAATACTATCCGCACCTTTGCAGAAGAGCCGTATGCTGCCATCGGGCATTCGGATGATTGCACTCATGCGTTTTCTCGTGGAATTGAATTCCAAAGTATTTAGAACGGTATATGTCCTTTCCTCGCCCAAGATATTCACGATCAGGTCATCGTTTGACCTCCCGAGGACGGTAAAGCCGCAGTCTCTCGCCGTGCCTACCAGGGCAGCCTCATCGGGAGACTGTGCTTGAAATTCGATCTGAGGGGGATCTCCAGGGGTATGCTCTGTGATAACAGTATGACAGACAGCAAGCGTGAGCATAAAGTGTTCCGTTGCTCTCCTCTGGGCTTCACCAGAGTGACCGTCCAGGTCTGCAACGAAGTCTGGCGAGATGAAAGTTAAGCTTTCGTCACGTAAGTATGGATTGTCATACATGTTGCGAAGCATGCCAATCATCTTCACTGTGTCCGCGGCCAGCTTTTTCCTGGCATTGGCAGCCATTGCATCGGCATCGCCTCCTTCTCGCCGGACGATTCCAATTTGAGCTTCTGTGAAAGCTTCACCATAGGACACGCCATTGATTGTACATTTCTTGAAATCCATGACGTTCTGGGTCAGAGTGCCTGTCTTATCGGAGAAGATGTACTCGATCTGTCCAACATCGTCTGAAATGTTCCAGGATTTTGGAATACACGAGATCCCCAGTTTCTCATAGTACATGAAGACGTCGCTATGAATGAAAACTGCCTGGATAGTGCGAACAATTTCCAGTGAGATATAAAGCGAAATCGGAACCAGGTTCTGAAATAGGATTAAGGCGACCCAAAATGTAATAAAACCAGTAACGGCCGGGGTGCTTCCATATGACCCGAAGTCGAAATAATCTAAGGACCTGTGAGACGAACCCCACGCGGCTCCGTTGGCAATACCGCAAATAAGGCACATGACAAACAAGATGACAAAGTTATAGATGACATTCCAATTGAGATCTTTGGCCAGTCTCGGTCGTTTGGAAGGGGTCACACCCGAGTTCAACATGACCTTTGTCTCCTCACCGGTGAAGAGAACCACGCCAAGGGCCCACTCAGTATTGCGAAGAGAGCAACCACGAAGAAGTAAATTGTTGATCGTCACAGGTTCCACCATCTCTCGTCGAGGCGCGTCGGGGTAATCCGAATCGCGCTGATCCCAGCGCAAAGCACCATTATAAGCATAGAGATTAGGATGTGGGGCCTCGCTATCGATCACGAATTCAGCCTTCTCGCAATCTCGGGCATGTCTGACTTGGCGGCCACAGTGTAAAGCGTGTCGGACTTTGAGATTCGTTTCTCCGTCTAAACTTTTCGTTTCCACGTAGCAAGCACCGTCGGGGTCAGACGTCGAAAGCAAGATAATATCGGCGGGAACCTGATCTCCGTTATATAATCGAACATAGTCGCCTACTTGAATGTTTTTCCAGTAATCACGTTTGAATCTTGCTTTTCCCAGGGTCTGCTTCGACATATCGACTATGCTTCCGCCTTTCTTTGGTGGAGTCGCAGATGCATCTTGTCCCGCAGTCTGATATCCTGAAGCTTTGTCCGGCATCGATCGGTAATCAACATCGGCAGCCGGGAGGGGCCAGTCGGGTCGGGCCTCGGGTGTAAAGTTCTGAACCGGTGTCATTTGAATGGCCTCCTCTTCACGTTGCGAGGCGAAAGAGGCACGCGGAGATATTGTGGACATGAAAGTTGCGCGTCGGTTATCGCTAGCTGGTTGGGGGGCATTCTTCTGCTGAATCAAAGCCTTCATTGCCCTATATGTGGAGACAGTAGCTCTAGTGCAAGCCTTCTTGAATCGGCGCCACAAGGAGATCTGATCTTCGGTCGAGTTCACATTGGTCCAGTCTATTAGGCGATATACAGGCGTGTTGTTGAGCTCATTGTCCAAAATGGTACGGCGGAAATCTTCAATGGCATCTTTGAGCGAGGTGAGCACGACAATGACGATCAACGGAACAGTATTCACCGCAGGCGAAGCGACACCGAAGATGGAGAAGAACTATGAACGGGCGTGAGCTTAACGTATCGAAAGACCTAAGGGGAAGGGAGGTAAAGAACATACACCAAGGATGATGATAAACAGGAAGTAGATATTGGCAATGTTCTGGAACTGGAACCAAAGGTTTTTCGGTACGAATGACAAGGGTGTATATTTGGCCGTGCGAATCTTGTTCCTGGGGTATTCCATCTTCGGGCGTCCATCTTCATCTCTCTCGCTCTCGGGAATCGGAATGTTGAAGTAGACCGTTCTATTACTCGGTGGTGTCGGGCCCGCAGGACTCTGGGGCAGTGGGGGAGGCGGGTCGTCCACAGCTGGTTGTAGCTTTTCTTCCTTGACATCTGGGCGCTTGTGCAGTCGATCTATTATTGAGACTCGTTTTCGCGCTCCGCCTGAGCCGGCAACTCGTTGGGTTGCCCATCGTTGGCGCTTTGTTGGTTTGGAGACATTACTGCTTGCCTCGCGAGCCTCGTTGTCGGACTCAATGCTATCTGCGCCTAAATCGACAGAAGCCATTTAGGCTACTTGGGACCCTATTGTGGGCATAAAATAGGCACCGTGTTGTTCGGAAGGATGGAGGGAGGGCATCCGCATCAACGAGCTGGACCCCGGCCGCGCAGCCCGCTCGCGAGTTGATTTGTTTATACCGTAACGGAGTCGGAGTCAGATCGTAAGCGTAAGGAGTCAGAATAGGCTCGATTCGAATCAATAAATTGCGGATAATAGCGACAGGACCGAATGGGACGAGGGAGGGGTGTGCTCAAGTGTACGTCACGGCGATGCGAAAAGGTAAGGAGTGTCAATAACACCAAGGAGATTCACAAACACAGGGTAATAGCAGTCAGGACGGCGAAACGAGCGGAGGGGGGGAGAGGAGGGAAGTCAAGATCACCCACGATGAGCCATCCGTGTGCCATGAACGAATGAATAAAACAATGCAGGGGAAAAAAAGACTAAAGAATCAATAAAAACCACAAGTAGACTGGAAGAACCGGCCTCTGCGGAAGAAAGAGTCAAGGAGGCTTAAGGACAGACAGTGTTCGTTCGGTCTCTTTCTCATGGAACCCCCAGCCGACGGACCATTGGGGGAGGGAGGGGGCGACGGCGGCGGCGGCGAGTCGGGAAACGAGAGAGGTACCGTATTAAATTACTAGGGCGGAACGCGGACGCAGTACCAAGCTGTCAACTTCCGTCAACCCCAATACACGGTATTTATTGCATTCGGGGAATGCCAGAGTTTTCTAAAAAAGTCACTGGATCAACCCAGTTGATACTGCTTACATTAGAAAGGAGGTAGTTAGCTAACAAGTCAGCCAGGTTCAAAGTGCTTGGTAACTAAGCTTGGTGATTTCGGAGAACATGGATCTTGCTTGCTCCCTGCCACAAACTGGCGACAGACAGATCCAACAGATACTGATTTGATACGAGTCTGGCACTTCGATGATCTACTTACTACCCCCTTCGCTTGATCGCTACCACTTTTGATCAGCTTTTATTGGCAGATATAGCCCAAGCGACTCTTTAGGCTCGCACACGATGGGAGGTCGCTGATCCTCAGATTCCATCGGCTCATAATGCATATCCTGCTTAACATGGCTCAACATACTATAGGGAGGGAAGTTCGACCAGCAACAACCACAACCCAGCCTCGCCTTAGACCGTGGACAAGCCACGCTGGCATGCGCAGGATTTGTGATTATCAGTCCCTGCGTAGATGGTCAAGATGTCAATCAACATTGCATCGTGCCTCTAAGCCCAGTCTCACTGCCTCGAGATCTCACACCTTTTCCAATGCATCATCCACCACTATCGGGCCAATGGCGCTGAAATGGCCTTTATCGGCCCCCTCCCCCCTGGGTCCATGCACGACAGCAGCCATGCTGCCATGCATACCATCAGAACAGACGAATCGCCCGGGAATGTGAGAGTCAACGAGTCTCCCGGACGATATTGCTTAAGTATTTCTGGAAGTTATGCTTGCTGATCTGGTTGCTTCCATCAAGGTAGGGCGAGTGGATGTATCGATTACTTTATCAATACCGGATTACCGAGCTTTCTGGGCTTTCTGGAAGGGACCCAGGGACTGGCCGTCTTAGTCGAACCGGGCCTGAAACAGACTAAGGCCGTCCGGGACGGCACATGCTGATGCCAGCCATGGATACGCTCCACCCAACGGAGCGCGGAGATGTACCACATCCTATTTCCGTAGGACTAGCCCGACACTCAAAAGAGTCAGCTCACCGGTGGAATCTATTCAATTGTATTGTTGCATTCATTAGTCGTTAGTGCCGAGTGCGCAATGCGCATTGCCTAAGACCCCCCAAACTTATATCCGTTCGGCTATCGGATACAATGGCTATCCGCTTGCACCTTGGGATCATACATTTATGCCCTCGTCCACCCCCTTTTTTTGTTGCTCTCTTCTCTGCATCTTGGCTGCTGGTCAAGACCAATGGAGAGTAACCGCTGCCAGATACAGTTTGGTATGGTCCCATCCCTATTGCGCGTAGACAATCTAGTAGTCCCGCGAACTTGCATTGGCATTGTGTTCCTTCGTGGGGATTAGTGAGGAGTCGATCATCATCCAGCGTTGTACCCGGTCGGAGTGTTTCAGTGATCAGTTTCAAGCCAGGACAGTTGACGCGCAAAATGAACGGACTTGATCTTCTGCACTGGTTCAGGTTCTCTGGACGAGATTTAAAATAGCTTCACCTCTCACAATCAGCTCCAGTCTTGTCTATGCTTTCCTGGCACTGCGATTCGTTCCGGGCAGAGAGGCTGGGCAACGGTTCCATCACCATAGCCCCATCTGCTAAAGTACTATTTGCGCTCGCGCCCACGCTATGGGGAGTACATCCTTTCCTCGAAATATGATGCATGAGACTTTGCCATTCATCACATCTTAGTTACTCATGGTCATTCGGTCACAGACTCTGGCTCAGGCACCTAAGATTTGATTCATATCATGGCAGTGTCAGACCTAGCTTTGGTCGTGAGATTTTTCCCATCTGACAACCGAGAGAAACTTCACCACGACTGAAGTGGACGAAAGCAACACTGACACTAACCTGGCCGAGCCTGGCGGGAAGGAATGAATATGACACCGACAGGATAGATCGGCCACGAACCCGTGTGGAGACGAAAGTTATAACTACCAGGCACAGTGTTGTCGGCACGGCGTACTAACCCTTAGATCTGCACCGCTCCCAACCCCTGGGCCACATCCGAGAGCGATCAGACAGGAAGGATTCCAAGCTAGGAATATGAAGTGTCCCCGTTGTTCCACCGGATCAAAAAGGTGTGGATGGATAATGTCCTAAAGGCGAGAGACTCGTCGCCCTCACAATGTGAACAGACAGCCATTATCTCTTCTTCGCAGGTTTCTTTGGCCCCCTTGGAGGGGCATGCTGACCAGGAAAAGCTGGTGTTGGGGTCGGAAAGAGCAAACAAAGACGATTTAAGGCTAGAGCGAATTTTTATTTCACCTGTGGATGTCAATATTTCGAGAGAAACCGTATCTTTAGTACCTGTATGATCAATCCATACAATAATGCAATAATGGCCGTAATGATATTCTGCCCTGGGAAATTGGGAACATCGGAAGGATCCCCCACAATCATTTATCTGAATATTGTGCCACTAGGTGCCCACCCCTACATAACGGTTATGGTGCATGGGGAAAAAGCTGACGCATCACCTCAAAAGATGGGCGAGACCATCATAATAATCTGAAACAGAGAAACAGCAAACGACTGGGCGGTGCCTTCTCCGGGGCTTCCAGGCTGGAGACAAGGCAAAATCCATCCGGTTTTGTCGGACTCGAAACTAACTAAAAATATGGACAGCTTAGTCATTTCCTTTGTTGGGCAAAATGTACACTGTCGTATCATGTGACTTCGCGAAGGGCAGTAACGCGCCCCGACGTGTGCCGCCGTAGGAATAGATAGCGGAGATCTAAACTGAACAAAGCATGCGGGTCATCCTTGACAGCGTCATCTCAGTGTGCCCCTCAAAACACACTGCCTAGCATGCGGCGCATCAGCAGTTACTTCACGCGCCCTGCGTACGCTGTAAATTTTGAAAGCAAGCAAGACGTCAGCCAGGAGCCTCCGCCCAAAGATCCTCCACCCAAAGATCCGAGTCCGGCCCCTCCGCACTCTTCCCCCCTCACCGAGATATCGTCATCTTTCTTCTCCAGAGATGGCTCGACGCCTCCACGAAGACCGGGGCTGAAACCACCCACTTTGCCATCACCGCCTATCAAAGATGGGGCTGAAGGCGACGATCAAGATGGTGATTTCCCGCCTCCGGGGAGTATGCTATCAGGATCGAGCTTCAACGCCTCGCAGCGGGTTGTCAGGGACGGCAAAGAGGTGGTGATCGGCTCCGATGGAGAGGATACAGATTCCATAGGCTCATTCGAGTCTCCGGAAGACCTACTCATGAGATTCACTAAGCCGAACCATTCTTCGCATTCCCCAGAGCTCGGAAAGAGTGCTCGTTCTGGCCGTACTACCTCGGCAAAGACCGGTGTCCTGGCCCGCCTAGAAAAGCCCGCCCCATCGTACAAAAACACCCTTGATTCCCTTGTCACTGCTGCAGTTGACGATCAAGAGACCGAAGCGGGTATCGCCAAGCTGAGGGCGTCCTTTGAGAAGGCAGATAATGAATCCACTCGTCGGAGAGGACAGCTACATGAAGGAATCCTAACCTCAGCTCTGGGTGACGACGATGATGAGATGGATATGCACCGTCTACTTCACGCACTGCGAAGGACAGATGCTTTTGATGCCACCAAGGCATGGCATTTTTTCGATTTTAAGGAGGAATTGCCTCCTGCGCTTCCGTTTCCTGAACATCGCATCAGTCCGAGATCATATTTGACATCTTTAACAGGTAGGTGTAACTCTCCTTGGGGACCCCTGCTCGGTCAGAACTCACCAGTCACAGCGAATCACTCGAGAGAGCGAGCGTTTCATTCCGGTATCGTGGATTTCGCCCTGTCGAGGTCAGTCTTGCCTGACGAGGTGATCTCATGGATCTTCCACTCTAGTGAGTCTTCTAGAGCATCAAGCTGGTCGCACTGCTAATCTCCTTCAGTACCCATGGAGCCGCAGGACAGCGTCAGACATGCCTATTGCCGGGCTATCAGGGTGATATACTTCCTTTCATGCTAGGCTCTTCGCAGTCTCAACTGACTATTTGGTGACTACAGAATACAAATGCCCAACACATTAAAGCGCTGATTAGACCGGACGATTTCCGCAAGCTTTTCGAGCGATTGGGGGCTGTTTCGAATGCACTAGCTGTTCATGAGCCGATCGTCCCAGACGCAAATCCCAAGGGCAAGGAGAACCAACATCGAAGCGAGACTTAACAAACGTTAACCAGTCACAGACTATCTACAAACTATCTCACGGCACCAAGGTTTGGTGTTATCTGTTCTAGATCTGATCTGCGGTGCGGCCGATTTGTATGTTTCCAGAACCCCGTTCCCTGCAATAAAGGCTGATCGACCTATAGATTCGCAGACGACACCCGAGAATATCTGCTGAATGTATTATTCCGGCTGACGCTCGACGTTACTCTGACCGGAGTCCCCACCATCAGCTCTGAAATCGAAAGGACCATCCTCACGGTTCTAGAGAGCGCTTCGGAGGGCACAGTGGATGACTTGGTAAGGCCGAACCATCAGGGAGACATTCTAGTGTACTGACAACTCTAGATGTATCGGGTTTGCACATCCACACTCGACACATTCAAGGATGCCAATTTCCAAAGCCGCCTCCTGAAGCATATCTTGCCCGAGACCGACTGGATCGCTACGATCCGCTGCCGCCTAGCCGTATCTTTCTTACTCGGTGACCCAGCGCCTCTGCGCGAGCCACTGAACCAGCTGCTCAGCCTGACACGCATCGCAGACATCCTCAAACGAGACATATTCGACGTCAAGAAATACAAAGGAAAGGATAAGCCCGAGTACGATTACGGGGAGCTCCTCGCCATCACCTCGCTCCTCAACATCGCCGTCGATTCAGGACGGTTTGAGGCAGAGTTTGCGGACCGCGAGGCGGAAAGAGCCTTCAACGCGCAGGTCGATGCCGTTGCCGACCGTCTCAAGAAGATCTTCACCTCCATCGAGGACTCCGGCGCATCGCACCTGAAGCGGACTCTGGCGAAGGAAGCTCTTGAGATGCTACACTACCGGGTCGTCTATAGCGTTAGGACACGACCGCGTCCGAAGAAATCGATTTACGGGATCATTGAAGCGCGGGATTATGACCAGAAGGTCTTCAAGCGATTCGTCCCCGCAAAGAAAGCTGCTGTTGTTGATACGGAGATGCCGATCCGACGGCATGAGGTCCCTCCCCGATGAAGGATGCCGCTCTTGTGGTATGTTCTTTCCGAGTATCATCGCCGTCCTGATCAACGATGTGGTTGTTACCCATCTTCGGGCCACTGCGGAGACCTTCCATGCAGCTCCTGGCAGCATGCCAGCAGGTTATATGGTACTAGCTCGCCAGGCCCACTTCGCAAGTGCAGCGCAATGTCACAAGCTGCTGGTCTACGTGCCCCCGACTCATCCCATAATAGCACCAATGCGCAGTGCAGCATTATGGATCAGCATCCTTACAGCATGTCCACAATTGCAAAGCTATCGCAACGACTCGGCCCTCCGCAAGCATTGCACTAGATATCGACAGTTTAATATGCTTCCAAACGTGACGAGCCTCTTGCCTGATTGCTTGTGATCCCTGATCCATTCTGCGCCAGTCAGTACATACGGTGGTTGTTGGGAACTGCTGGGTATGTAATGTAACAGTATACATCGGGCAAAGGCGTCTGGTGCAGTAGCTCGACAAATTCAAGGGAGAGGATTGAGCAGCAGCTGTAGTTGACCAGAGCAGAGACAACCCCTCGGGCTCACAGGTCTATCAATTACAGGTTCATAGAACGTTATTTTCTGTTCCCGTGTTCACCCCCACCCCCTTTCTGCAGGAATCCAAACTTCAAATCAGTTTCCATAAGTAATATCTATCCCAGTATACGATCGTACTTTGCAAGGGGCGAGGCACTGTCGCTGCGACTACACACACCCACGATATAGAAACTAGACAGCACAAGTTGAAAAGCGTAAAATCATCATTCGGCTCGAATTGAACTCCAGACAGCCACGAATAGCAGAAAACGAAGGGGGGCCTGTATACAGAGCTGGAACGATCTTCAAAGAAGAGGCAACGGGTAGATAGATACAGAGGTGATGCAACGGGACAAATATAGCAAGACGAGATAGTTCTAAAGGGTCTCCGAAACGTCCACCTAGTCATAGAACCTGCGGTTTGTGTTCTTGCCGAAGAGCGTCTCTCGAACGGCGGGCAGAGCATCGATCTCGAGCAGACGCAGGCGCTCCTCGAACGTGTTGCTGATCTCGATCTTGCCCTGACCGCCAACGATCACGACACCACCCGCACTGTAGCGACAAGAATAAGAGATCAGTAACCGTACAGCCCGGGAAACTAAACAGAAAAGACAAAGGGGAGCGAAACTCACGATCCTTCAGGCAGGTGCTCCTCGTCATCCAGCTCGACAGTGACCTCCTTGCCGACGGTCTCGTGGAACTCCTTCTCAGCGGCCTCGATGGCCTTCCTGATGGTCTCGAAGTCCTGCTTGCGCGACCGCACGGCGACCTTCTCCTCGTTCAAAGCGTACAGACCCTCGAGGATCAGACTCTTGAGCACGGTCTCGTACTTCTCGGCGTCCTTGGCGGCGATGCCGGAGATCTGGTCGCGGGCCTGCTGGAACAGCTCGTCGAGGAGCTCCTGGCGGGCGGAGAGGACGCGCAGGCGGGTGCGGTTGGCCAGGGTGGAGCGGGTGATCTGTTGGGACATGGCGGCCTGCTTGAACTTCTTCTCGTACTGGGTGTCAATGGCCGCGGTCTCCTGGCGGACCAGCTTCGACTTCTCGATGGCGAACTCCTCGTCCGCCTTCAATTGGATCTCCCGCGCCTTCTCCACCGCTTCCTGCCGGATGAACGCCGTCATCTTGCGGAGCTCGCCCGCAACCTATTTTCCGAGATGGAGGTGGTGAGTTTCGGTGTGCCCCCGAGAATGGCTTGCCCTCCCTGGCGGGGAACGAGCATGGGGGAGGGGGGGGGGACTGGCTGCTGCGCACCTGATCATCGGAAAGAGCATGACTTTGCGACATGGTGACGGTGTGTTGATCAAGTCTGATGAGAGACAAGAATGAAAGAGGGGGCGAAAGGTGGATAAGTTATGATATCGGAGGGGGAGGAGGGTTGTGTCGTGGATAGGTTAGGTTAGGTTAGGTATGTTGAGGGCCGTTCGAGCTTCCCGATGCGGAGGAGTGTTCTGGTGGAGCACAAGGAGGAGAGAAAGAGAGACAACGTCAGCCTGATAGTGACTCCCGACCGGGTACTGATAGTGATTGATTGATTGATTGATTGTTCGTTCAACCAGCACCACCAGAAAATAGGGGAGGGTCAGAAGGTAATACCATGCAGAAAGAATATACTCACCTGGTCGTAGAGAATCGGAATGTGGTTGAGGGAAGGAGGGGCAGGGAAGGGAAGAAGCAGCAGAGCAAGCAACAACAGCAGCAGCAGCAGCAGCAGGAGGGAAACGTTGCACTTGGCGGGATCTGCTGATCGGATCGCAGCTTGGCGGCTCTTCTTCATTCTCCCTCCGCCCCAAATTGCCCCCCTCGACTTCCTTCTTCCACCCTCTTGTAACGACCCTTCCGCTCCTTACTCCTGTTCTGAAAATCCCCTCAAGCCCTCATCTGTCATTACCATCGTCTTCCGTCAGACAATGGAGTTTGGACTGTCTGGCTGTCCCTATCCAGTCTGAGTGTGTCTGGTCTCTCGTCCCCCCGCTCAGTAACCAATGCACGAGGACATCCTTCGCGATGGGCAATCTCGGTGACCTGTCGCCTCAGGGGAGCGTCGCGGTTGGTTTTTCTCTGCTTATCAGCGACGATTGCTTGGACATTTGCGACGGATCATTGAGCTAACCCGCATCGTGCTGCTAGGTTGGAGTCATTGTCGGGTTGATCTCGACCAGTCTCCAGGCTATCGGACTGACCCTCCAACGCAAATCGCATATCCTCGAGGACGAGAAACACCCGTACGATCTACGTCGACCGCCCTATAAACGTCGGAGATGGCAGGTGCGCAGCACATGTTCCCGTTCCGATGCCTTGCAATTGTCTGATAACGCGCTCTTATAGCTGGGTATGCTCATGTTCGTGGTTGCGAACATTGTTGGCAGTACTATACAAATCACAACCCTTCCGCTCCCCGTACTCTCGACACTCCAAGCAGTCAGTCTCCAGCCCCGAGATAACGCTCATTGAGCCTCACTAATACCCCGCCCGTAGTCCGGTCTCGTCTTCAACACTATCTTCGCCACTTTGATCCTCGGTGAAGCGTTCACCAGATACTCTTTATTGGGCACACTGCTGGTCTGCATTGGTGCATTGCTCATCGCGGTATTTGGAGCCGTCGGAGAGCCGGCGCATACGCTTGATCAGCTTTTGGGGCTCTTACAGCGGCGGAATTTTATTCTCTGGATGGCAGGTACGGCTGTGATAGTGCTGGCTATCTACGCAGGGTCCAAGTTGCTCGAATTCCTGACGTCACCTTCCCGGTCCAAGCATACAGGATCGCGTGGTTCATACCGGGCCCTGCAGATGTCCCCCGGGCGTGTCCGTTTGATACGCGGGCTTTCATTTGGCATGATCAGCGGGATTCTGTCCGCGCATACTCTCTTGCTTGCAAAATCGGCTGTCGAGCTGCTGGTTCGAACAGTCGTAGACCGCGTCAACCAGTTCAATCGATGGCAGTCCTGGGTCATCTTGCTTGCCATGATAGCGCTTGCTCTGTCCCAGCTCTTCTACCTACATCGGGGACTGAAGCTGTGCAGTACCAGCATCCTGTATCCGTTTGTCTTCTGCGTCTATAACATTATTGCTATCATAGATGGTCTGATTTATTTCCAACAAATGTCCCAGCTGGCAGGCTTCCATGCTGGACTAATTGCGCTGGGAACTATTGTTCTCTTGAGTGGAGTACTCTGCCTGTCATGGCGGTTGGAGGATATCGACAGTCACGCCGCCGTGACCGTGGCCGGGCCAACGCAAACTGGCCTGGGTCCAGGGATGGCCGTCGTTGAAGAGCACCCGACATCACCGGTTGGCTTGGGACTGGACGGCGAAGGGGCGTCAGAGCGTGAGCCACTTTTACAGACAGCTCACCTCCCTCGCCGCACCCCACACCAACGGGCACCCAGCCTACCTCTGTTGCATGCGCCATTGACCCATCGAGACTCGACAACGGATGTGGACCCTGCTTCCATCTGGGCCGAGCTCGACGATTCGGACTACGAATACGCCGCATTTGCCTTACGGTCCGGTCAGCACAAGCGCGCCTCGGCCGGTTCCTTTCCCTCGCGACCTCGAATTCGAAGCGGGGCCACTTCCCTACGTAACAGCGTACTCCGGGGGCCCCGCCGCTCCAGCACCAATCCTGTGGGCCAGCCGCACACCTCGAACCAACGCAAGAACCTCTATTCCATTCACGACCGCCAAAAACAACGGCGAACATCCGCACCCGCCTCCGAAAACCGCCAGCTCCATCTCTCCCGGCCGGGAATTTCCAGTGGCCTCGGTGCACGAATGTCAGGATACGGCGCGCAGGACGAACGAAGCGACAGCCTCGTCTCTCCTAGTCACCGTCGCCATGGATCCTTCTATCAATCAGCCGGCACACCCGGCAACGATGGAGACGAGGGCGGAGCCCTCCTCGCTGGTCCGAGGAGAGCTCTCCGCCAGGCATGGGGAAGCCTACAACGCCTTACGCGCTGGCGTCGCCTCCCGCCCGACCCTGATCCCGATCTGGAGGCTCACCCGGACGACCATCTCGAACAATAGCCATTCTTCTTGTTTCTTGTTCTTACCTTCCTTTCATAGACCTCTACAGGACAGGAGCATCACCATATATGCCTCGAACCGTAGACCCACAAAGCCTATCACTTAATGTACAACAATCCATACATTTTATACCTACTATACTTGCAACCGCCACCAGATTAATACACCATCTTGCCGCTGGAACCTTTATACAGTGCCCGAGTAATATCCCTAGTAGAAGTATCACGGCCAGCTACCTCCTTCGTAGTGCCCTCAACTCGAAGAATCATCAATAAAAATAAGTACACGCGATCTCATGCCCTCCACTTGGCGCAAACCAAACCAAACCCACCCTCCAAAATTCAACGCAGAATATCAATAGGCGGATTCAATCCGGAATACGCAGAATTCACGACTAGGACGATACAGAGAGGAAGAGGGAGAAAAGGTACCCTAATATACGCTAAGATAGTAACGAATCTCAAGGATTGATCATACATGGCATTGGCCTGCCCCAAAGGAGAAGGGGAAGTAATAATGAGAGAAGGAGTAAGAATTAAGTCAAATGCATGGGTGGATATGAGTGTGTGTCTGGTTGGAGAGGAAATGACAATTTATGATAAGAACACATAAACACGCGCGCGCATACACGCATTGCACAATCAGAGCAAACAAAACAAAGAACCACTTCGCCCGCAAAGAAGAAAAAAGGTTCAACAGACACAGAAGAGAAGAAGAAAAAAAAGAAAAGCACCAGAAACACCGCCACTTCCCAGCGTTCGTCTAGGAAAGACATTAGTAGATGAATGGAAAACAGGAAAGAAATCAATGTATCGCCTGGGAACCTTCCCAGATTTCGGAATGCATCCTTCATGATTCGATCATCCATCCATTCTGGCCTTCTGATTTTTGTTTTCTGTATCTCGATTCATTTTTTTCTGTTTTATAGGCTGTTTGGCATTTATGGTGAATCAGGCAAATATAGCAGACGCGATCTTGCCAATACCGCGATCAGCGTGACTTTGGATTGCATGCAGCACCAACTGTTCGGGGATATACAGAGTATGAAAAAAAGACATTGGAATCATCCCTGCTCTTGAATTCTGGATTGCTTTCGGGCATACAGTGTAAACCGGAATTTTCACCTTTTTTTGGGGGGGTTTTCGTTTCGGAAGTGTGCCAAATAGGTGGGAACAAATCGTCTGGGTATCAAAGAATGGCCGTGGAGGAGCAAGAGTTGCGCGGGCTGATGAAGATTGACGAGGATGCGAACAGCTTGCCTGGGCTCCTCAGGTTCCTTAGAGCGCGCGGCAGGAGAAGCTCAAAGCCACAGCTTATGCGGTGGGCTGGTGCTGGGGGGGCATCCGATTGCCTACAGGCATGCCAGGATATTGTTGTCCTGCTTGCTGCTGCTGCTGCTGGAGATTCTGGTAGTAGGCCATCTGCTGCTGCTGCTCATTCGTCATGTAGCCGGGGTGCATGCCTGCAGGGCGGGGGATGTTCGACTGCTGAGGGTTGACGTTGGCGTGGCTGACGTCTTCGGGTGTCTCAGCAGGCACCTCGGGGGCATCAACGCCGTTCTCATTGGCGGTCGGGTCGGGAGCGTTGAGACAAGCCTGCGATGAAAAGCTATGAGTCAACCGAGCTCAATTGAATGAGACATTGGCGAACGCCACACTTACCTGAATCAGGTTCTTGCCCTCAGGCTTGGTCACCAGTGGTTGAAGCTTCGGGGTGGTGAAGGTATACACGAGACCGGTCTCAGACACGACCAGAAGCAGTACTTGAGTGCCAGTCAGGACGGAGAGCTCATATGCCTATTTTGCGACCGCCGGGTTGCGTCAGTACTGGTGGAGAGAATGGGAACATTGACTTCACGCGACCATCACGAATTGTTGCAGGATCTCGAGCCAATGCAGCGACAAAGACGAACACTCGCGAATTGTGAAGCATTGCAAACGAGGGAAAGAAAAAGAAGGCGTTTGATGGGGGAAGAGACGCGCAAAGCACGTACCTTCTTCATGATACCCGCCTTCCGCTTGGAGAAGGTGATGTGGCGACGCGACTTATCCTGAATGAACTTGATCTCAATCTTTCTGCGCTCGCGACCCGGCTTGTCATCATCATCGTCGTCGTCGTCGGCAGCGCTCATGCGAGAGCGTTTGGTGCCGCGGTTGTCAACGGCGCCGTTACCGGCGGCCTGCTGCAGGTCGTCCTGAGTAGGGGAAGGGTTCTCTTCACCGACGGCGGTGATGTCGGCCATGGTGGAATGAGGTGTAAAGAAAAGGGAAAAGACGGGGCGAAAAGAAAACGGTTTGAGGAGGTAGAGTGAGGAAGGAAGATACTGGGGGACGTGAAGACAAATGCCCAAAGAGGAATGATGCTTTTGAGGGGGAGGGAGAATGACCAAATCGAGTAACGCGTTTGCTTCGCAGGGTTTGGGTTCAGGACGAGAAGGAAAGAGAAACGGGGGAGGAGAAGGTCGAAGAAGGCAAAGTGCCGGTTAGGACAGGCAGGCGGTCAGTCACGTGGATCTGGGCTGGTCTGAGGGGACTGCCGGGGCAGATTACTAAGTACGGTAAGGGTCTTGTACCGGATGGATGATGCTGCATGGCCACCATTCTTCTTCTTCCTTCCAGTTCTTCTTCCATAATCCCTTTCTTAGAGCAGACACCTGTCATCTTATCTAGCAGGGCATTGGGGCATACTACTTCGATATGCTCGAATTATCATTGTTCTATCTTTTTCCTATCTGCAAGTCACTTCCACTCAGGATCCTTCTCTTTCTTTCACCCCCCTCCCAACTTCCCTTCATCCCCCCAAACTTTCGGTCACAATACAGGCGGTGTCCAGACCCGACGGTGGAGAAGACTGACTCTTGGCCCGAGTGTCTATTGGTGCAACCGCAGTAAGGCATTGGGGGAGAATCGATTGTAGAGGCCAACTCACATTCCCCACTGCACTCTCCCTCCGTATTGTTACGGTATGGGTCTGGTCTGGTCTGATCGTCTTGTTGTTCTCTCCTCATCCAGAAGGGAGGGAATCCTTCCATTCTACTGGACCTCCCAGAATATGCAGTCCAAAAGACTTATACTCTATACTCAAGAGAACCAGTGTGATACTTTGGACTGTTTAAGCTTCAGACTATCCCCCGATGTAATCTGCTCGAACACCCTGATCATGTGCTGTTGGCTTCGCAAGCGCATTCCATTTGACCAGGTTTACCCTCCCGTGTAACGGTAAACCACAATAATACGGGAGGGTGTGGTGGGTGGCAGTGACAGTTCGCCCCCAAAACCAAACATCCTATGGTAGTTACTGTGTGTGCTACCGACGCAGAGACCGGGCAGTGACCTGCAGACGCCTTGTTCGACTACCTGCTGGCTGTGTAGCACCGTAGTACCTCTCTGTCTCCGCCTGTCAGTCAAAGTCGACTACCCAGCCAGCCTGCCAGCCAGTCAGTCTGCCAGCCAGCTCGGTAGAAACTTCTTCAGTTTGAAGGGGAAGGTGCATACACCACGACAGCTAGTCTAACTACTGCTCACTACCGCCGCTTGTCCCCCGGGTTGTGCTCTCGCATGCATGTAACTCCACAAGCACTCCAGTCAGAGTACTGTACAGTGCCAACTACAGTAGATCCGCGCCAGCGAAGAGACCATCCATCTCTCTTCGAAGAATCATTGACACATTCAATCAGTTTCCAGTCAATGTGGACCACCATCTCCTAGGCCCTATGTACCGTGCATACATCATACTACGTACTCACAGACAAATACACTTGATCCAAGAATAGCAGAACAGAGCACTAAGCAAGCACGACGGACGCAACCAGAGGCCCTACTATCAGCAATAATTGCCCCAATTATTTCCACCCGACACCAATAATATATTCCTCTCTGCTCCAATAGTGTTTTTTATAGGTGGTCGTCTACACACACACACACACACACACACACACATCCCTTGAAACCGAACCCGACCAGCATTCCAAAGGCCGGGTGACTGTTATTGCCATCCTAACCAGAAAGAAAATAGATGTAGCGTGGCAGATTGCATCCTCAGGTACGGTACAGCACAGGACAGCACAGTAACAGCATCGACGGAACGAAATCTCGATCACCATCCCAACTCGTGCAGAATCAAATCCATAGCTAAGGACTCTTACCTTCCTGTAGGACTGGCCCAGTACCCAGCAATCCAAACACTATACCTAGTCTGTCCGCAAGCCATTAGCCGCGGAAACCCGCCCCGTGATGACGGTGAGGATCCAGAATGATGATGTCCGCGATCATCAATGAACTATACCGTAGTATATCTCCGTCCCTCCCGCCAACAACGCAGTAACCCATCCAATGTCCACTGGACAAGATACACATCAGCCTACAAAAGTATAAGACAACAAACGGTACCTGTATAAATTATGTAAACCCGAAGGGCACGACGCAGCGCAACGAAAAGGAAAGCAACAGTAAGCAAGCACCAACGACAGCCCTCTAGACCACAGATGACTGATACTGATCTACAACTAAACCCATCAGGTTACATCCAAAAACTTACTTTCAACATCACCCCCGCGCGCGCCCCTCTCTTCCCTTCGTCACACATCACACCTAAACATAGCCTATGATAGGATCCAGACCAAGCTTTTAGGCGTTCCGAGCTGACGACTGGAGGCCATGACCCGTTGCATCAGAGATATTCCCAGGCGTCAGAGGTGGGAAAGCATGGTCAGAAACTCGCCGGTCTACGTTGGCCTCTTCTGGACCACTTAGATGTCCAGTCGAGAGTCTTCGATGTCTTAACTGCTGGGTCTATCTGTCTCTGGGATCATGACGCATATTCAAGATCAATACCCGTCTAAGCCTACCGCATGTATGAATAACATGAGGCATGACATCAACACCAGAGGGAACCAATTCTCCAGCAGCAATCTCATTCGCGGAGTTGAAGTATACAAGGTACTGTACAAGTGATTGAATGCAGTTCGATACCGTACACTAAACTGATCATCCATTATCTATCTCCCTCTCGTTCCCTCTCCTTCCTCCCCACATCAATAAACCATCAAAATCGACTAACTCCCTAACTCAATCCTCATTACCGAGAAATAAATACCCTCGCCCCCTCCAATAACCTCCACTCAAACCAACAAACCAACCCCTCACATCGACACCATCCTACCAGACCAAACCCCAAAACCAAACCAAGAACAATAAAGCAGGCCGCAACACATCCACGTCGAATGACCGCATGACCTGCTTTAACAGAACATATGAATAAATACAGATACAAACTGGCAAGGGAACGGAGAAGGATATATTTTGGATGATCTCTAGTTGAAGTCGACAGACGTGACCTCATGATAGAGTAAGAAGGAAGGGAGAGGCAGGGCGAACGCTGGGTAAGTATATAAAACTGAACTCCGCTGGAAGCTGCCGCCAAGCCTAGGTGCACCGTGACAACACAGGACTTGTTGCAGGAACTGTATATCTCTTGCATATTTTTTTTACCACCCAGTAAAAAAAAGATGAGTGTCTAATTCCCACCGCAAGAAGCTCCACGGTCTGTCTGCCAGTGTCGATGCGCATACCTATGATCACTCGCGGCCAGTTGGAATGGCAGTCCTAACTTGCAACATGACGAATTATATATCCACACGCCTAATTAACCTGCATCCACATAAACCATCACGCATACGAACAATTCTTCTCTAGAAAATCTATGTCAAGAACACCAAGTAAAAGAAAAAGAACCACTTTCTATAATCTAGGACTTGACTCGTAATATTCGTGCCATGACGACACACACCACACACATATATGCGCTAATCTCCAAAAGAAAACAAACACAGCAAATAACCGCGACACCGTGGTGGGAGAGACGTGGTCAGGGGGGAAAAGGTTCTAATTTTACAAGTAGTATGCTTCAGGGAGAATGACGCCTCAAACATGAAGGTGGGGAAAAAAAGAAGAGAAGGGAAAACAAGAGAGTGAAAGAGTGTCTTGTCGGGGGTTGATACATCGATCGAGTCACCATGCTCTAGGCGAAGCCTCGAAATGAGCGAAGCCTCCGAATTTTTCTCGTCAAGTTAAAGCCACCAAGTTCCCATTCTTTCCCTCGAGCGCCCGGTTCCTGACCCAGCCGATCACAACGCCGAGTATGGAAATATGAACACTCGAATATAGGATAGGAGATGCCAACGAGAATTAGGGCTCCGAAAAAGAGAAGTGGATGCACTCTTTCCGTTCCCTTGTCCGCCCATCCGCTTTTTTCTTTCCAGCTACTTCGTCGTCGATATTTGAGGTAATGTAGCAAAGGTTGTTGGCTGGTGGAGGAGTAGCAAGGAAATAGGAAAAGCAACAGCAAAATAATAAATAAGAGATTGGAAAAAAATGTGCAAGAAGAGAAGCTTTGCAGATCCTAAGGACCAGCCTCAGTGATCGTTCAAGTGATTTTATGACGGTCTAACCTCAAGGCTCAGTGTTGTCTGCGAACAGCGAAGTCCTTGATGCCTGCACCACCACCGCCCTTGGGACCGAGCCAGACAATCTCAATCACACTGTGGCCTTCATCTTCCTCACGCACATACCACTGATGGACGTTGTCGCCCACAACGAAAGCTTCGCGTAGCAACCAACGGTCCTTGGTGACACCTTCCTGATCTCTCAAGCGGAGCGGACCCAGACGGGCCTCGTAACCGCGGGGATCTTCTTCCCAGGTCTTTTCAGCATGGTCGAAGTTAATGGCATCATCAGGTGTATTCTCGTCGTAGGTGTACTTGACAAGCGAATATCCGTTCGTGAAAACCCAGAAGGTACGGGTGGACCGTCCGGTGGCGTTGTTGACGATCTCCTCCTGGTCAAAGACCCAGCGGCGAAGAACCGACCGGCGACCGGCGGCAGCAGCCACAGTAGTCATCTTCACAACATCCTTGGTGTACCAACTATTCCAGTGGTGAAGAGACTCGATCTTACGACCGGACTCATACACACCATCGACCTCACCCTTCATGTCCATCTGGTAGAGAGAGGGCCAGAGGGTGAGGGGAGTGTCTCCATACCGCTGGATGCACTGACCAAGCTTCTGGTCACCAGGCTGCTCACCCCAGGACTGGCACTCATCGTATTTATCCACCAGAACATCGAGCAGGGGCTTCGAAACAAAGACACCAGCGCCACCAAAGGCGATGTGACCGAAAGTATCTACCTGCCAGCTAGCCTCGGACAAAGCACCAATGTAGTGCTTCTTGCTCACATCGAAAAGCTTCAATTCCTCAGCGACTGTAGGCAGCGACAGAAAGAAGGTATCATCATCAATGAAGCTGACCCACTGGGTTTGAGGGCGCTTAGTCTTGATGTGCTCCGCAAATGCCTGCACGAGACCGAAGTAACGAGCGGTGAAATCAAGAGGAGACTGAATCAGGGTCAGATCCAGACCGCGGTTACGGAAGTAGGTCTCTTGCTTGGGAATATCGTCATCAGAATCGGGGACAAGCACAATCAATCCGACCTTGGTGTTGCCGTAGGAGTAGAGGAGGGATGGCAGCAGGCGATCGAGACGGTCGGCCGTGGTGGCAAGACCGAACAGAAGCTTGTCAGTCTCATCCACATCGTGATCAGCGGCAACGTTCACGTCGATGATCGGAGGGCAAGGCAAAGACGATTCCTTGTTGTCGGGCGACACAATCATGCCACGCTCCATGACGGTCATAGGCGGGAGAACGGGAACCTCGATATCCTCCAATGAGCTGAACTCGGTCTTGGGGCTCACATGGTGAGGGCGGAAGTAGGCACGGGTGTAGTTCTTGCGAGGAAGCCATTCAGCGAAAGGCAGAGGAGGCATGAGATTGGGGTCGACCTCGCAGGACTTGGTGGAAGGCGATGTAGGCTGCAGCTGAATCTGTGGGGAGGCCGAGCCAACGACGTGATCGGCTGGCTGTTTGAACCGCAAGAAAGCCGCCCGATCGAAGCGTTCAACGCACCAAAAGAAAAGTGCGATTGAGAGAAGGGCAATCAGCGGAACCGCTGTTTTCAGGCGAAGCACCGGCATTTTGGGGGTCTTTGTTCCGTAATCCTTGAACATGAAACAGACGCCCGAGATTTGGTTATTAGACTTTATTTCGTATTACTTGGACGGCTCTGGGGTAGGCTCGTCGTCGTCGTCACCGGTATCGACTCTCGTTTAACTGTTGCTGAGAGAGGCCGAGATGGGGGCGGCAAGTTGCTGCAACGAAGGGAATTGGCGAATATGACAGATATATCGTCTACTGCCAAGCAGGCTGTCAAAGAAAGGCCGAGAGCGTCAAGACCTGCGACACGGTCACAGAGAAGGTGAGTTGGACCCAGGAAAGGAACAGAAGTATGTCGAAAAGTCGCAGCGACGAGAAAATTGTTGTTGGAGGCGAGAACGAGAAGCGGCCAAGGGGGGAAAACGGGCCGACGGGAAAACGAGTCCACCAACACAGCAAGACAAACGCGCTCAGAACCACGAGTTGGAGGAACAGAGGTAGAGAGGTAGAGGGGGAGGGGAGGGGTGGGAGAGGAGGAGGAGGAAGATGGTTGTCGAGTGTTGCGGAAGGGAAAAGGAGAAGAGGAGAGGAAAGAAGAAGAAGAGGGGCGATTGGGGGGAGAGGGGGAAAAGAAAAGAGCGAGTCTTGAAGAAGAAAGACAAGAGAGCGAGAGTCGGACTGAAGAGAGAAAGGACTCAAGAAAGAGTTAGACAGTTAGACAGTTAGCTAACTAACTTAGAACTGTCCTGTCCTGTCTCGACAGGCACTGCAACTTTCAGTCTATCCCAAGTGGGAATGCCGAAGACTGGACTGGAACTGGACCACGGGCTGCGTTGTTTCAATGGGGCCAAAGCTTCCACTTCCACTTTTGTTTCTCCCCCTACCGAGTGGAGTGAAATTAATGCGCAATCAATAAGCTTGCTCTCCCGTCGCTGGAAATTGCCCAATTTTCCGATATTTGGTACCAATCAAAGGGTCTCAGTTCGGTCGGAATGCTCTTCCAACTATTGTATTGTTCTTGGTTGCCCTGCAGGGCCAAGTAGAGAGGAGATGAGACAGAGACAGACAGATAGACAGGAAGAAGAAATGTGAGGGGGTCAAGTTGCAAATTGAGGTTGATGCCCATGCCCGTGGTTCTTATCTTCCATTTTCATCGGTGGTGCTTCCCGCAATGGTGTAATCTATCTATCAATACTTCGCCCATCTGGACGTCCATTTTCTATAGTTTCCTGTCACAACTCGGACTCCCCTCCATCTACCATTTACACTTGCATATGGTTCAATCCTGCCTGTCTACTTACTTGCCTACTGCGTGCGTCTGGTGCAGATCCCGACTCAAAGGCGAAATTGGCGATGGCTGATGGATCCCTTTGGCTGCTCCCCACTCCTCTGACGGTGGCTAGACCGTAATTTTCAATTCTCGTTTCAGGACCCTGGCCATATTGCGCAGTCCCCGAGACGCGTGCACACCTCAGGTTCGTAGTCGGTTGAGAGGAGACTTCCATTGCCTTGTCCATCTCGATGGGATGGAAGATTGGCAAGACAAAGCAAAGTGATGGATAGAGTATCCCTTGGGTGGCATGTACCAACATTGTCAATGCACTCCCCATTCCCCAGTCTCGATCCTTCCGAGACCCCCATGCACACTTTCCGTACAGACTTACAGATAGACAGACCTCTCCTTCAGCAGAATCAATCGGTGAGAATCTCCGGAGAAGGCCGACCAGACAAGCACAATAAGAACACTTATTCAATTTCGACACCTCGTGTCTCTCGGTTATCCTCTACTCGATGTCGTGACTGGCCCACTACAACACGAAACCATGATTATACTCGCACATTAACATTCATTGCAGTCGAGACGTCGAGAGCCCGGATGGATTGCGTAGTGTCAACGTGCACCTCCAGCATATCTCAGACAGTTGATCGCCGTTGCTGCCTTGATCTATCTATCTCAAACCCGCGGTCCCGTGTTACAGGACAGCGGTAAGTATCAGATGATGAGTGACAGCTGGTCCGTTTGGGGGGTGCGGACAATAAGGATCCGCTCCTATTGTGCTCGCTCCAGCCCCCGGAAAGGTTAAGCTGCGATGCTTCTCGGAATGTTCCAGTGGTGGATGGTCGGTCCAGTCCATTCATGGGTGCAGCAGCCACTGCCGTATCAACTTAAGTTATTACTATTCTTATCCTCATCGTATCTGCCTTGCTCGGAAAGTTGATGCTCAGACGCTGCAGCGATGAGCCGGTGGCTGCAGGGACAAGATTTGCTTCTCTTTGCTTCTATCTGCTTCACGACAGATGACACAGAACGAGGAGGGGGAAAGGTTTCAACCCCGCAATTCCTGGTTTGATGAAAATTGCAAAACAACTTGTCAGAACTTCAGAAGAAGCGCGAGCGACAGACAGGCAGACATGGTGGAAGCCAACTGCAGTAACGAGACTAGGAAGTTTGGTGCAACTGCAGTCAGTGAAGCCAGCTGAGTGGGAAAACTGCCCGCCTGCGCTTTGGATCTGCGCACTTTTCCCGCCGGGCCAACCACTCAGGGGCGACAATTTAGGAGAATGGCCAGCCCGGCAGCCCCACGGGCCGCGTGTCCCATTTTGTTGATCGTTTTGCCCCGTTGATGTGAAAAGGTGCAAGCTGAACTTAGCCTCTTTGTCGTCAGCACATTTCATCTATCCCAGCCATCTTTCTACACTTTGATAGACTCAGCACTACTATGTCAATGTGCTTACCACCGTTCCATGGTGCCTGATATTACTCGGTAGTACCGTGTACGGAGGGGCTGGAAGATCACTCAATATGCCCTCTTCAACCTGCTACCGGCCGGTCCTTACACTTAACGAGTATGTGCAGTGTGCACACTCCGAATGTGCCTTGCCCACGGTTCCTCTCCCCTCTTCCCATCTGCTGCGTACTGTACCTGAAAGGACCACTTGTAGGGACAGAAAAGTGGACTGCTTCTCCAATCGGGAGGGTTCTATGTATAGTAGTGTATCCATGGTTGCTTGTCCGCCCACATATTGAGCGTCTGGCCGAGTGTTGCCGCCAGACTGCGCACAGTGGCAAACCAGACCACGACAACAGCCTTGAGCCTCACCAGGGAGTATGGGCTGACAGGATTCGCCTCCGAGCTTTGTACCTGGTGGGCAGGACAGTGGATTGCGATCAGCATTTTTCAAACCATGAAAATTGTAGACTTGAAGGTCCAATGATCCAATGAACCACAGCAGAATCCGGAGCCGGGTGTCTGGACGCGTGGACGCCGCGACCAGCCAACCTCTCGTGCGCCTACGCAAGTTCACAAACCAGCCTTGACCCTTCATTGATGGAACTTTTCCCTTGATAGGCATCCGCCGAGAGGGACCAATCAGTCGCTGGGCGCATACTGTACATGTCCAAGTCTGGGAAAGCTGATTCGTTCGGAGTTCTCAGACGTTTTTTCATCAACCTCAAACCAAACCACCCTGACCTTCTGCCCGCCTGCTTTGGGGTAATGGCATGAAAGATGAGAAAAAAGATCGACACGGTTGTTTCCTGCTTTCGCCAGTGCCTCAGGCGGGTATGGCTATTGTGGTCGAAAGTCAATGCCGGATAATTAAGCTTGAACGCCAGCCTTGGCAGCTGTCAGGGACCCTTGATTGAAGATACAGCTGAGATCTGTTTGTGGTCCATCTGGCCGTCTGTTCCCTTTGGTCCACGATATGTCAGATCACTTCCCAGACCTGCAGCACACAATAATTGCCACTTCCTGCCTAAATTACATACATCAACAGGCCATGATAAATCATGCAGGTTACGCAGTCACAGTAAAAGAACCACCCCGGCGTCCCCGATCTTCACTCTGATTATGGCCGTTCGGTTCCCATCTGCCTATCAATCCTGGCTAAAAGACAAGGGGGATGGTATCCACCTAAGTAATCCACTGCAGACAAAACTCCATCGCTCAATCTGGCAGGATGCGCGCCCATGGAGTAGAAATTTCGGGATGATTGTCTGTCCCAAACTGCTTTTCCCACATCCGGACGGAAAATGGAGGTCGATAGAGAGAAGACGGGACGATCGTACTCATAACCACAATGACATCAATGGGCCATGCCATGCCATGTCACGCCATTCCCCTTTTCATTCAGGGTCCAATGCCCAAACGGCTCCCTTCTACCCCCAAGGGTCCGGGTATCCGCGCCAATTGCAATTTGCGTGAACCGGAGACCGGGGGTTTATCCACTATTCAGCCAGATTTTTTTCACACTTCGTGGTTCGTTGTAGTGCCGCTGCCGCATGGTGCCCCTTTTGGGGGGATCGGTGGTGTTGATGCAATCCGCTCGTGAAGGGTACAACCACACTTGTACATGTACGAGTACTATAAGCGGACTTGTCGGCGGTTCTCAGCACTGTCGAGGTAACTCACCATGCGGCGATGCGGCGGATCATTTCTCCTGCAAACAATCAGTCTGGGAGATACGTAAGTGCACGTACAATACACCTAAAGGCCACCCGTATCACCGTAGCACGACGGAGTCATTGCGAGTCTCATGTATATCAGATCCCGAGTCCATGCCCGGTAGATGCAGGTTCCCGGCTGTTGTTCACCACCACAAGTAGACTCGACTCGCACCTTGAATCCCAACTCTCATCCAAGGTCTTGATGGAGTATCTCCAGCCAACCAAGATCCAGCATCAAAGACAGACAACAAATTGCATACGTACTCAAACCCCAACCACCTAGTATATCAATCACCCCAGCGTAGACATAGTCACTCTACATACTGCATAAAACTACTACGTACACATTACAACCACGAAGTAAAGATAATGCCATAACAGACCTAAATGAGGGCATTCCCAGCCTCCCATTCCACATCCCCAAGATACCTGATGAACCCCCCTCAACGAAGCACAATAACCACTAATCCCCCTCAACCAAATCCAGAAAAAAACCCCTGCATACATAGAAGACCAGAACCAGAAGAACGGGCGAGTACCAAATTAAATTCCCACTTCTGTCCTTAGCGGCTGTATCTAGTGGGCTTCCCGGAACTATTAGAAAAAAGCGTGTTTCAGGTTTGTTCTAACTCAGAGGTTTAGGTTTCTAGCGAATTCAATGGAGGGTTTTGGGGTTAAGGGTTTGGGGATGTGCGCGGTCCACTCGTTCTCTCTTCGCGAGCCCCTTTTCGAAGGTCTTTGCTTCTTGCTTTCGTCTTCTTCGGGCATACTGGGGAGCGGGGGAGTTTGCGGTGAGGTTTCGCTGAGTTTGTGGATGTTGGTATTGTTGGTGGGATGGGTTCATGTGTATTAGCGAGTAGAGGGGTGATTGGGGGGCACGGTCTGCTTTTATGATGATGGCTATTTGGCTTCGAAAGGAGGATCGGAACCAGGTACAGCGAGGGCTGCAAATACGAGCGTGCTACGGTGCTTCTGTGTCCATAACACAAGCTTCCGCTAGCTGGCTTGTTGCTTTGTCAGGCTGCATATGACCTGCACGAGAGGGAATACAGATTCGCCAGTGTAGTACACAGGACACAAGTCTGAGGTTGTGTCACATACATCAATCTTCAAATTCAGCTTGTATGTTCGCTCTATCGCAGAAGGTTCTATGATCATAAAATACATTCATTAAGTCGTCACTGCAATATTACAGAGATCATCTACAGCTATATCATTCCTCGTAAGCGCCCTCGCGGTCCTCGAACGTCATGAACTCATGATCAATGGCATCATCTCCCATGATAGCCTGCCAAGCATCCTTGACCGTGTCAATCAAAGAGTCATCAAATGCCAGATCAAGGCTCGACGGCGGGAGGCGGACGATACGGTCAGCTAGGTTGACAGACTGCACAGAGCCAGTCTCACTCCCAATAGCTCGTCCCAACTGCGTATAGCGGAGTGACCAAAGAACCTTCGCATCAGGACCAGCGGCAGATTCAAGAAGCTGCTGCACAGCACTCTCGATCAGAGCCTGTCCGTCGGAACCGGATATGCTCACACTACCATAGAGAACACCTGATAAACATATTAGCAAGATGTTGAGGACAAACACGCAGCAAGAGAAAAGGAAGGTTGCTCTTTATCAGTCTTCGTGAAGTTTACATCAACAGTGATCAGGCAATGTAGATAAGTTTTGAAGATAAGTCATCATAAGAGCAGAGGGACTGGGAAGGAACAGATGTGCAAAAGGGGGGAAACTTACATTGACCTGTTGGACACTCGCCAGTCTCGCTAGAGTGAACCAGAATGTAGACTGGAGGTGAATCATCGGCTTGCCCAAGAGCAGCACCTGGGAAAGCGACAACCGCTCCCACAGGTACTGGCCCGCCCTCAGCCGTGGTCGGAAAGAGGCTCCCGAGGGAAGATGAAACAACCGAGATAGACCGAGCCACTCTGTCACAATCGCAAGACGAGCGAGCTGATGTTGGAAGATCCCAATTTGAACCGACCACGAACTTGGTCTTGATGACCTCTTCGTTGGACAGTGACAGTTGAATGCGAGCACCCTCACCGTTACTATCCTCTGCAAGATGGCTGAGCGACTTAATACCAGTGTTTAAGACATAGACACCGCCGCCAACGGCAAGAGCGCGACACCCAACCTGAGAGATCTCGGAGCCACCACCCCACTTGACCGTGAGGCTTCCAAAGCCAGAGCCATATACACCCAACGAGGTCAGATGTCTCTTGATGCGAGACACGGCATATTGAGCTGATGTCTGCTGGGGAGAGGCTTGCGATAGACAGAGAGATAGTAAGGGTGTATGCAATTCGTCTGGCACTTTGAACTTGGATGTCAGGTACTCCGTCAAGGATACATCGCCGACTTCCTCTTCCAACGACGAGCCTTCTCCCTCAGCTTCATCAGAACTCTGTTGGGTCTGGCCGATGTGACGAATGAACCTCATCAGAGTCCGTTTGGACTTAACGCTGAGCATGTCATCTGCGAAAATATCCTCACGACTGCCAGGGACGCGATACAAGCGTTTATCGCCGCTATCTCCGGGTCTGTGGATCCACCAGCTGCCGACAGCTTGGAATTCGAGCTGTCGGTGAACCTTGGACGAGACCAAGGTCGGTATCAATTGGGAACGGGCATAGATAAGCTGAGGAGACAGAGAGAGGGTGTATGCTCGGGAAGCAGACAATTGTGTACCGCCCTCAGAAGATCCGTCTCCTCGCCAAACGCTAGCATCTTCGAACGAGTGGTCACCAGTCTCTAACTTATCCACACCCGTCAGACAGTGCTCAGATGTGGCGAGAGAACGATGGACATACCATTGTTGACTCTGTTGACCCACTCCTCGGCCTCCTGAAGGCTAAATGCAGCTTCGGGCCCCCCATAGTAGGGGTTCTTATCAACGTGAAGTACGTTCTTACCCGACCGAGACAGGGCTCTGTCAAGCACCCAACGGTCAGCAATGTATGTGACAAGCTTCCTCATTGAACAGAACTCACAGGGCTAGGAGAGACTGGGCCAGCCCAGTGCCGGAGATTGTTACATCCCATGGCGTATCCGCTAGTGACTCCATTGCGATGATGAATTGGCAGCATACAAAGCTAGAATGAGGGGCTTAGTGCTGTAATGTTGTTTGATGAGCAAAACCAGCTGCCGTCACGTTGGATGACAAGCTGTTGAACAACTTCGTAGAAGGACTATCCAGCCCATGGGTGGTGCAACCCAGACCATTCGTCTCAAGAACGAGAAGGTTTTTTGAGGAGAAAAAGAAATCGAAGGACGCGCGAAGAAATACATGACCCGCAGTGGTGGGTCACGTGATACACATCACCGGACCCGCTATCACCAGTCACTTGAGTATATATGCAATCTTCCTTACTGTGCCTTGCATAGTGTTGCGGCGCGGTAGGGACTGATTATCTGGTCTCCGAAAAGCTGTGATGCTCATAGTAAAATGAGCACGAAAGTTCAAATCATGAAGCCTGGTCCGTCTGAGAAGAAATAGCCAGAATTCACACTCGAGAAGAAACAAAGCTGCGGAGCAGAACATGTGCTTCCTTGGAGAACAGAAGCAAACACTAGATCCATCGAGAGATTATCTTATAGCTCACATAGTATCCTCTTTATACTACTTAAGTATACCAGTGGTGCTAGGCATTGATGCAGCTCGAAGTAAGCTCCCAACACATGCCTGAGGCTCGAAGCTCCATGCGCTACTCCTGATGCGGTTAGACAGAATCTGCAAGAACCGCTTAAGGAGCAAATCTCCCACAACGTCAGGTTTCTTTCCTCTTCACACCACTCCTGGTGCTCTGCACAGGCTTACTGCTGTCTCAACCGTAGCAGTATGTCGTCCACGGGCAAGCCTTCACTGGTCTTGTCTTTATAGGAGTGGTAGAAAGAATTCTCACTCTGTATCTGCTGCTCTGGATGGTAACATCTGATGGAAGCGGTTCGTTTTGTAGTGATACATTCCACTTTTCTAAATCTGTCTGCAAGTTCTATGAGCGTATGTCTACCCTAATCTGCAGATAGTAAAGCATAGCTTCCGTAGCTCATCCATTGAGCCGGGCTTTGCTGGATCGGCAAGAACCGTGGCTGTCAGTGCCATTCGACGTTCCCAATAGCAAGGCAGCCGATGCACGGTGCCTTGTAAGCGTCAATGGCCATCCTGGCCCCCAAATGACCAACATTCACTGTTCTGTGTCGCGGTGACAAGTGCATGTCGCTGGGTTGGCCCGATGTAGCTCTCCGTCGAAATTTGCCCGCAGCAATCCATCTCTATCACAGACCATCTCACTCGTCCGTACCCTCTTCCACGACTCTGGCGCGGATGATCTTGACCTCATCCATCGGTCTGTCCTCCCCATTCGTCTTCACGAGACCCATGCGCTGGATGACCCTCATACCGCTCTTGACGCGACCAAAGATAGTATGCTTCCCATCCAGCCACGGCGTTGGCGCAAGCGTAATGAAGAACTGGCTGCCATTGGTATTGGGTCCGCTATTCGCCATGCTGAGAATCCCAGCGCCAGTATGCTTCAGATTGGGGTTAATTTCGTCCTCGAACTTCTCTCCGTAGATAGAGCTTCCTCCTCGTCCCGTGCCGGTAGGGTCGCCCGTCTGAACCATGAAGTTGGGAATGATGCGGTGGAAAATGACGTCGTTGTAGTATCCTCTCTGCGCAAGGGTTGCGAAGTTCTTACACGTCTGTTCGTCACGTCACGGTAGAAATAAGCCAAAGCGAACCTCGAAATGGGGAGTGAACCTAGTCTTTTTGTGACTGACCTTCGGCGCATGCGCATTGTAGAGCTCGACGGTGAACGAGCCCTGAGCAGGATTAGCTATCTTTTCTCTGCGTAATTGCACGTAGACGTACCATGCTCGTGTCGAAGGCCACGTCAGTTGCCATTGTGAGAGATGAACTGATATCGGCGAACGAGGACGTGTAGAGGATGGAGGGGGCATCGGAAGGTCAGTCAAGGTGCGGCGGGAAAGTGAAGATTCGGCCTTGGCATTACATCGTCGCGCGGAGCAATGGGCCGCATCCTCATACACTGGTAAACACACGACTCGAACAGCCATGGATTGAGCACCTTCTACGAAATCCTCCACAGAAACACCTTGATCCTCCCTGCATAGGCTTTTGACCCTTTATCCAACTCAAAATATCCTGCTCAAGGCCTCCGCAGCCAAGATGGACGAAATCAGCCCTTTCGCGGAGTTCCTGGGCCAGGTCATCTACCAATTTACCCTCATCAAACCTCTCCTCCCAACCTACGGCCATCTCCTCCTGTCCGCGATATTCCCGATCTATATTGGAGCGCATGCAGCTCTGGCGAAACCATCCTCTGCCACGAAGCCGCCCAAGAAAGCCAAAAAGTCTGGGTACCAGTCGGATGACGATGATGTGGAGGAAAACAAAAGTGATGGCCACAGGATGGAAGGTCTCGCACCAAGCGACGCCTTGATGTTTCCTCTCACAGCTGGACTTACACTCGGCGGACTGTATCTCTTCATTAAATACAAAGGAGCCGAGACGCTGAACAAAATCCTCGGCTACTACTTCTCGCAGATGGGCCTCCTCTTCGCTATAGCTTTCTTGAAAGACTTTCTCTCTGTCGTCAGATCCTTCCTCTTCCCCAAGAGATACAGCTACTCGGGCCGAATTTGGAAGCAGAAGCCATCGGAGCAGGCGTTTACTGGCGCCAAAGGCGACCAAGACAGCTCTGAACCGGTGGAAGTGCGGCGTTCTCCCCTCCCAGGGATCCTCAGTCGGATTCCACTACCGAACGCTACGCGTACCGCGATCTGGAAACTTCGAAGCGTTCTATATTGGCGGGCTAAACTCCGCGTGCATGTGCGCCGCGTTGTGCGGGGCGAGACCTGGCTTGATATGCTGGATGTGCTGAGTACCTTCCTGGCATTACCCGCAATCGGTTACTTCACTTTCGTCACCAAGCCATGGTGGCTGACCAACTTCCTGGGTTTCAGCTTCTGCTACGGCACCTTACAATTCATGTCTCCGTCGACTTTCGTGACAGGGTCGCTGATTCTGGGATCTCTGTTCTTCTACGACATCTATTTCGTCTACTTCACCCCTCTGATGGTGACCGTCGCGAAGAAACTCGACGTGCCCATTAAGCTTCTTTTCCCCAGACCGCCTGTCTCTGGCGAGGCTACTGACACCGTCTCATTGGCCATGCTGGGACTGGGCGACATCATTATTCCGGGTATGATGGTAGGACTGGCACTGCGCTTTGACCTCTACCTCTACTACAAGCGGAAGGGCTTGCAGAAGGCTCGGGCGGAGGGCAACGGCGTGGAGTTCATCAAGCCTGTATATCAAACCGTCACCGGAGGCTGGGGGGAGCGCTTCTGGACGCGTTCTGTGGCGCCCAAGGAGCCTGAATTGCAGCCACCGTATCACGATGCTCAGTCTTTCCCCAAGACGTACTTCAAGGCTAGCATCGTTGGATACCTGGTGGGCATGGTCGCGACGCTGGTGGTTATGCAGATCTTTGACCATCCCCAGCCCGCTCTCTTGTACCTTGTTCCAGGTGTTTTGATCTCCCTGTGGGGCACTGCCTTGGTTAGAAACGAGATCGGCGAGATGTGGGAGTATAGTGAGGGGGAGGAGGACGAGGAGGAAGAGAAGGGTGACGAGAAAGAAGAGGACAAGAAGGAACAGACCGAGAAGCAAGAGAACCTAGGCTTTTTCGCCCGTGTTCTCTCCTTTTGCAAGCAGGCCGACAATAATCCTGGTGAGACATCCGAAGAAAAGGATAAGAAGGCGGCAGATGACGAGGACGAGAAGAAGTCCAACGCTTCCAGTGGCAATGTGGAGGACCGGGAGGTCAAGGACTGCGAACTGTTCACTATATCCCTCTTCTACCCCCGCAAGTCGAAAGCACACAAACCCAAAAGCCCAACGCCCAGCACCAAGTCGAGTGCGGACGAAGAGAACTGGTCGGTTGTTGGCGCCGAGGGTGACAGTGAGCCCCCGACCAAGCGTCGTCGGCGGAGTCCTCGCCATGCGAACGCAACCAGTCCGTGAAGAGGGATTATCAGATCGGATGAAATTTCAGAGTTGCACACCCTGCTGCATTCAACCGATGCATGTTGACCTACATTGCTCGGCTTAAACTGGCTACGAGGAACGAAAAAGAAATGACGAAGAATTGGTATCATTTACATGTAACATTAGCTAGCTAGTTTGGCATTTGCTAGAGAAAGGAGAACAAAAAAAAGGATAACAAGGAACAATCTCAACACTGCTCCAAGATCTGCTTCAGACTCTCCCACCTGGCAGCGGCGACATCCAGCAACTGCTTCAACTCACGACTATCAACGGCCCACCCACCATTCTTCTCCATCTTCACAATAACCGTCTTACCCTCCCCACCCACCACCTCCTTATCCACAACCAAACAAACCCGCTCCTGACTCAGTCCCTCCTCATACCCATCAGGATCCGCCAGAATCCACCGACGCAGCATTCCCCGTTTGGCGGTATCCTCAATCTCCCTCTCCTCATCAGCATCAGGCACAATCACCGCGCGCCAACCAGCCGCAGCATCAGCCTCAAAGACACAGAACGAGCTCGCAACCGGCAATCCACGCAGCGTCAGCTTCCGGGCCTCAGAGACGACATCCGAGCAAACGACCATCTCATTATCGACATCCCACCACGCACGCGGCAGCTTCGTGTCGCGCAATGCCGCCAACACCGCCGCCCACGCCGCGTCGAACGGATTTCCCGCCAACGAAACAATCATGATATCAATATACAGCACCCAGAACGCCTTGATCTCCTTCTTCGTTGCCGCACTATTCTCGTCCCGTTCCCCTTCCGCATCCACATCCACATCCACATCCATCCGCCCCCCCTCTTCACCCGTAAAGCTAGGCCCCTCGTACCAAACCCGCAGATCCTCCGCCCGCACCAACCGCGTACTATGCAGCAGCGCCAGGATCTGATACGACAGGGACTGTGCGAGCGCTGACGGCGGCGCGCCGGGCACGAACCCCGGGGCGCAGCCTGTGCTCAATGAGAGGTTCGGCACCAGGAGGTTGAGGTCCTGGATTTGCGATTCTTCGGCGTCGGCGGAGTTGGAGCTGGAGTTGGACTTCGGGGCCGCGGGGGAGGAGGAGGAGGAGGAGGAGGAGGAGGAGGCGGAGGCATGCGAGACGCTCCAAGAGGCGATGTCGGTTGTTGGGAGGAGCTCGGCGCGCACGCCGCAGACGGCTGTCGTGTCGCCTACGCGCACTACGGCGCTGCCGTTCGTGTGCGTGAGGGAGCCTGTGTTGGCGGAGGTGGGCCGGAACTGCGAGGGGGCGCGCCCGTTGGCGCGGATGGAGAGCTGGTTGCTGGAGGCTGGTGGGGAAAGGTGCGCGAGGAGGTACGCGTGAGGTTGAAGTCGGGCGAATTGGGACGGGGGCAGCGTGAGGGCTGGTGGTGGTGCTGGTGGCGCTGGAGAGGCCATGGTTCCTTGTACGAGGTGGGTTGGTTGGGCTGGTGGTCTGTTTCTTCAAGTATGTGTATGTATGATTGATTGGAAAGTGATTTCAGAAATGGCAGGATTGTGTAGTGAGTAGTCTGAGACTCTGTCGCAGAGTGGGTGAAGGTAGGTTGGTTGGTTCGTTGATGGAGCAAATTGAGTTGCATTTTTCGGCGGCAGAATTGGGGGGCATCTTGAAAGCGGTGAGGGTGGAGCTCCGGCATTAAAGCCTCTAGACCAAGATAAAGCTGCTATCGCTCGTTCGGTTCGGAGTGGATTCTCTCCACGATGTCTAGCTTGGAATATCATGGTCTTGTGTCACGAGAAAGTAGAAATAATGACTAGCATAATCATGTCCCCAAATCGAAGTATCAATTCTCATATCGGAAAAATCGTGTCATTTGTGTAAAAGGAGTCCTACAAAGCTAACTAGCTTCGAACTACGATGATTCTAGATATTATGTCTAGTATCCGCTCTTGGTTCAGATGTTTCACTGAACCCTGGACATACGCATTGTCGAACGGCGAGTGCAGGAAGGCACAAAAAAGAGAGGACCACCCGGGACTGGGATTCGAACTCAGACCTTCGATGGAGCGAATGGGTTTACCCCGAACGCGCCGCCGTGCTGACCGCTACACTACCCCGGGTCTTGTTAAAAGACGCCGACCATTCAAGCATAACAGTCATTCGAGGCCTAGTTCAAAGGCCCCAGAGTGTGTGTAGCAGACAGAAGAAGAATGGTCAGATCGGTCGCATGACGCCGGTCGCATGCGACACCGTCCGCCACTTCCAGGAAGTCAGGACCATACCAAGCGCATGCGCCCTGGGTGTGCCTTCCTATAGTCCAAGTTATACCATGCAAGCTCCATATAGTCCGGCCCTTCCCCCAAAACCGCTAACGTTCGCATCGATCTAGCGCTGAGGCTCTAAAAACCAAAGCGCGGGGAGAAATGTGCTTTCCCCATGTCGAGTAGAGGATCTAGAAACTTCGTGGGTGTATGAATCGGAGGGAGCGCAAAAGAAGGGAGGAAAAAGAGGATGTTGCCGGTGCTGGGATTCGAACCCAGAGCGCCCTCAAGATAATGGAGTGTTATCCACTTACACCACACCGGCGATTGTTAGCGAAGAACCGGAAATCGCTACCTAGGTATTAGTACTGAATCTGCGCGCACTGGTCCCAGTCTGAGTGTCTCCCCAAGCGCTTCGCATGTAGAAAAGCAGAGTTGGTCGCCATTTTCGCCGGAAATGATTTTGCACCGAATCTGACGCCGAGTACTTGACGTGGGCTATTGCTTGCGGCTCTCTCTATCGTTCAACGAAGTATTGCTGCTGGCTACTAACCGTGTATGATTTGGGAGGGCGCAAAAGAGGAAGCCGGCGCTGGTGTTCGAACCCAAGAGCTCCTGTAAACTCGTGTCGGGGGAAGGCGTGTTACCAGTTACCCCACCTCACAGCACACTAGTGGCTGTTGCAAAGAACGCTTTCTTGATCGCTCACTAGCTCGGCAGGGCGCATAGGCGGGTGAGGACATGAGGAGAAAGACACAGGTTGCGGGTGTTGACTGAGACCTCAGTCCCCTCGCCGGGCGCAAGTTCTCACCCGCATCGGCGTTTGATTGTCTGGGTATTGTTCCTTGTTCATCATGTCGACACTGCGCGTACGGATGGCGAGGCCATTGATGGGAAAAGATAAAAGGAAAGGTAGATTTCCGGTGCTGGGATTCGAACCCAGGGCGGCCTGGCAAAACATGGAGTGTTTCCCACCTACACCACCTCGGCGAGCTGGTGCCGCAGTCCGCAAAATTGTTCCTAAGCTGATTGCGCGCGAGCTCATCGTGATGAGGTCATACGGACAAGCGAACGAAAAAGAAAAAGAGGATGCCAGAGCTGGGATTCGAACCCAGATCGTCTCGTTTATCACAAGGCATGTTCTCCACTTACACCACCCCGGCGAGTTGTTGTCAAAGTGTTGTCCTTTGTCGATTCTATAGTGGCCAGCTGCTGCAGTAGAGGTACGCTGAAGAGAAAATGGTCTTTTTAGATTGAGTCTTATGATTCAGGATACATGGCGAAGACATTCGAGGAATGTCTTGAAACCACTGTCGAGATAATTCTGACAGAAGATAGTTGTGGATGGGAAAAGAGCGATGGTTGAGAAATATTTTTGAGCAACGCGGGTAATTTCTGGGCGGGAGGGGGAGCGGGCTTCTTTATATACGCGGTGGTGGGTCCGATCCGTGCACTCCCGCACAGAAAAGCTGCCTGTAGAGGTGTGGGCGGTGGAACACTCAAAAACGGATTAGTGGCTACAACACTGCATCCACTGGGCACCGATTCACAACTAGATCAGGTAGATGCCTATCACATGGATGTCAATGGTACGATGAATTGGGCCTATTTTTAGATGAACAGCTGGTGTTGAGGATAGGATAGCTCCTTCAAAAGGGACCCATCATACCCAAAGCTTGAAAACAGCCTGATACATTTTCCTGTCTGTACTATCTTTTCGGAAGTGTAATATCCCAGTGTTGGGAAGTTTGGAACGGTTGGCTGCACGACACTCAGGCCTTGCGTCTATAATAGACAGTCCTCTATAGTGGAGTAATCCAGGCAAATCATATATATAAACATGGAGCCAGTTTATACGCACGAAGGATGGAATGATGACAGAAATTGGATCGAACGCCGCCCAGGAAGATGATGTGCGTTCTATAGAAAGAGAGATGCAGCTAGCAAACAGGGTATCCATGATATATCGAGAACAAAATGCCCAAGAGATGCAATGCGAAAGTAGAGTCAGAGGTGAAGACAATTCTAGTTAAGTAGTGGCGGATTAACGCTTCGCGTGATCGTCATCAGCCTTGCGTTTCCTATTCGAGCTATCGTCAGCATCAAAAAGCCTGGAATCCTCCATGAATTGCACTCCGTGGTCTTCCTGGTCGTCTTCTGCCTCAACCTTTTCCCAACCATCATCTTCTTCTTCATTCGATGACTTGCGCTGGAGACTGGGGGAGTCTGGACGGTCTTGCTTCTGGCTGTTCACATGCACGTGCTCGTCATCGTTCCACTGCAGGACGAGCTTGACGATCCTCGCTCCAGAGGGTTTCAGGCGGCGGTAGTAGTTCTCAACAACGCCGTCCTCTAATTGGAAGCCACGCGCAAGGTACCATTTCAGACCGTCTTCATTGGCTTCGTGCACGTGTGCCGTGACAGTGCGAATATTGTAATGTTTCACGAGGTCTGAGACATGAAGAGCAGAGGTTGATTTTGATGACACAGAAGAAGACGGGGGTACATATAGTAAGGAGTTGAGCAGTGAGGCTGCAATTCCAGAGCCCCGATATGGCGAGAGAAGGTGCAGAGTCTGAATGTACAGGTTAGTCGGTCCTTGCTGCGCGGAGTGGGATCGCGCCTGCAAAATCTCTGCGGTGGTAGAAGGCAGTCGCTCTAGACGACAACGAATACCCCCAATGACCTTGTCAGTGCCGGCCGTTGGTGCTTTAAAATTGGCCGACGAAGGAGGCGAGGTGGATGTGGGCGCAGCGGCCACCGGATGATCATGATAAATGGCCACGCGGGACAGCGACGCGATCACGGGGTCGGTGATCGTGGCTGTGTAGAAAGAATTCGGGTAGCGAATGGGCAGCAGCAACCCCGTGATCCGGGTGAGAGAGGGTATGTGAGCTGTGCCCACGACTTCAATCGTGACATGCGGGTGCGGAGTTGGGTGGCCTGATGCGATGCGATGGGGATACGCGGCCGGTTCAAAGGGCGTCTCCTTGGAAGAATGGGGCTGCACTTTGGTGGGTAGATTCACTGGGAACGGGTTCGACGAGGAGGTAGGGAGACAAGATGGTGGATAATTTAGTGGTCGATTATGTCCGTTTTGGGGAGGGGAGAGAGTCGACACTGAAGCCTGAGGGGCAGACAAAGGTGGAGAGGTGGGCACTTTGGATTGATGCGCCTTCGCGAAGAATTGGTATGCCATGGTAAACGGGAGATGGGACACAACAAGCAGTATAAGTCCAAATTGAACAGGCTACTGTTCCTTGACTCGAGGCAGCACAGCGCTATATCATCGGTTCAAGAGTCAAAGGAAATGGGGAGAAAGTGAACGAGGGGAGAGACGCTAGAAGAGGGGAAAGACGCGATCCAAAGCGGTGGACGAGGAAAACGCGGAGATGCGATAAGATAAGATCGGGCGGTCGGACCGGGCTCGAAGAGGCAAAGGCCAGCGCCGAAAGAGCCTCTCGCTCTCCACGGCCCCCCCGATCCAGGATTGCCCCCGGGTGTTGCGCCTGTTGCTTGCTCCCTAGGCTCTATTCACCCTCATATTTCTGCCGACCAGCTTCTAGTCTATATATATGAATACCTTTTTGAGTATCAAGGTTAGTGGACCCTCTGTGGTGGGATGACTGGTGTAGCGCGCAACCCGCTGATTCTCCCTACCGCAGGCTGTTTCCCGCCCCCGGTTAATAGACGCCCCTACAACCAACACACAGATGGGCACTACCTTTCATCGGCTGTGTGTGTTAATGACTTGAGATAACTTACATCACTACTGCCCCACGTTCCTTTACGTCCTTCACAGCCTCGTCAGACCGGACCAACACGCGCTGAACTGTCTATTACGACATCGTCGTAACCTATCCGCATCCGTTCGGCGACCAAGGGACTCCGAAACAAAATTTGCTCGAACAACCTGCACAGAAACTGCATGGAGATTTGGCATTGGTATTGTTGAAATCCTGGAACTGTTGCGAGATTACTCTCTATCATACTGGCCAGTCTTTTGGGAGAGTCAACCTCATATTTGGAACAAAACATATTGGTCGAAAGGTGCGTTCGAATTGTCGCTTTCGCATAGCAGCCATCATTCGATAGAATGCCACCGGAACATTCACTTCAAACCCGATCTCCTCTTCCTAGTGTTAAATAGTGCCGACCGACACACTTTTCACGGTCGCAGCCTTTCTTGTCCTTGTGCTCTCTTCTCGCATGCCCCTCTCCATGAGACTACAGTATCTAACACTTGCACTCTAGAACAGCAGGCTTAACGATGGGCGAGTCAAACGGAACTGAGGGACGTGTGAATTCTTTCCCTCCCGGAACGATAGCAAAATTGGTAAGTGTTTCATCATTGCTTCATTTTGAGGATAATACCTCCGTTGGCCAATAGTCGCGCTCTAGCCTACAGAACACTAACATGGTGCAGACTTGCGATATTCTGAATGACACGTTCTATAACATCATCCACGACATAGTCGCCAAAGTTCATCGCGATGAGAAGGTTTCACGCATGCGCTCGGCCGTCGTTGCAGCCAGACAGAAGGCAGATGAGGAGGCAAACAGGCGCCGTGAAGAAAGCGGCAAACCGGCGAGCACGTTCAAGCCTGGCGACCTCGATTTCGAGGAGCTAAAGGACATCCGCGTGGAAACCGACGGAGCCATCTTCGATGAGGGCAAGGTCTACTTAAAAGGAAATCCTTTGCAGACTACCAAGGAGATCATCTGTCCTGACTGTCGACTGCCTCGCCTCTTGTACCCTGTGACAGGCATCGGAGCTCGTGCCCCTCCCGACCCGTACCGCGAGTACTGCCAGAAGCAACCGACGATCAGCAAGCCTGGGCACGACGTTCATGGGAATCCCTTCGTGACGGATAAGTTGAATCCCAAGAAGAAGAAACAGCCCGCCGCGTCGAACACCCCAGCGTCGAGCCCGCCCACGACCCCCGACGGCTCATTCAAGCAGGCCGCGCCGGAAAAGATGACATTCCCGACCGTGAAGTGTCCAAACTGCCCCAGATACTTCGTCGTGACCCGAGTCGCGCAGCACCTCGACCGCTGCCTGGGTCTGTCCGGCCGGCCGCTGGGTGGCCGCAACAAGACACCCCTGGAAAATGGCAATAGCACCCCGAGCTCAGCCCCGCCTAAACGCCCCTTGCTCGACGAAGATGGCCCTCCCACCATGAACAAGAAGAAGAAACTGGGTGCCCCCAAGAAGCTGACGGGAAAGAAACCCACCCCTCCCAGCAGCAAGCTGAAAAACGGCCTAACACCCGACATGGCTGCCGCAGATGATGGCTTCGGGGAACCTGAAATCAAAAGCGAAGCCAACGGCGATCATTCATAAGATGAGGGGTAGCCCGGGGTACCTCCCTCGCTCTATCCATCCTTGACCACCTCTGTTCCCCATTCTCTACCACTTTCATCAAGCATTACTCTTTTGTTCTTCCCCCTTCTTTCTTTCTTTTCAGGGCAAAACATGGGGTCAATCATTTTTCTACAGTCAGGGGAGACGAGACATTTGGACATAAAGTCTCCATTTGCCATAACGAACCATTTTTTTGACGTAAATACCCGGCATCGAAGGCGTCAACGGGCGAGGACCATCGAATCGCGAAAAAAAAAAATTCAAGAATTCTGGGGACTTGGTCTGGCGCTGCCTTTTTCTTTCTTTCTTTTTGCCATTTTTTTTTCTCTCCCCGTGAACTTCTGATTTGTTATTGGTGTTGTGCTTGTCATTTTGTCGGGGTTCGTTTACGGATAGATGATTACTATGCGATTTTTGTGTGTACAATAAATGCTGTCTGGTTTTTCGATAGCCAGCTTTGCCCCAGAGATCCCCCGCATTCGAATTGGGATATACCTTTTCTTGTTGGGTAGGATGTATCTCTTGTAGTGACATTCGTAGCTGTTGATATGAAGTGGCCGGCATTGCTCCAAGAGCCAGAAAGTGTCAGATATTCATGTATCATTATCTACCGTTGCGACTCGAACCACTACGCCTCCGCGCAAGTGAACGGTCGTCCTTCATCGCTTCTCAATGCATAACAACCGCCACATGGTCGTTCATATACCGCCTCACATCCCCTAAGAAGCACGCCGCCAGGATTGCCACCCCGCCAAACCCGATGCTGGCATAGTACACCCACTTGTAACTCTCCGCGTAGGCAATCTGACCGGCCGTCACCACCATCTCGTACGCCGCCGGGTTGCCGGTGATTCCGGGGATCGAGTACAGGTCTTCGAGAAGCGACGCGCCTGTCAGCTCGATTGCCTCGGCAATGTAGCGTGGGTTGGTGATGTTGAGCTGCGTCATCATGACCCCGCCAATGTAATGTTTGGCATTGGGCACGAACTTGGAAATGAAGATGTTGTAGTAGATCGTGTAGCCGATGCCGCCGCCGACGACGCGGATGGAGAGAGTGAGGGCGGAGATGGTGGCGATTAGGTCCTGTAAGGGTATGGAATCTTAGCTGAGGTTTCTCTTTGGGCGACGGGGCTCTTCAGGGAGCTTTGCTGTGGGTGGATGTAGAATAGGAATGGAGATCTGAGGGGAAGGGGTAGGCTGGGTACTGGGACGAATCGTCTTACATCGGGACATATTATGGTCGTCATGATGGATGCCGGAACGACAATCCCACCGATCCCCAGTCCTGCAAGGACAAGAATACCCCATAATTGGTAGAGGTTGTCGACTCGGCCGATAGAGAGGGCACCGCAGCCTGTGTGAAAGTTAGCATACGAGGTTGCACCTTATGTCCTGAAGGATGCGGGCTGACCTGCTGTCATGAGAACGCTGCTCAGGATCAGAAGCTCTTTGTTGTGGCCCCGAAGGACACTCAGAAGCCATAGGACAATACATGCACCGAACAGGATGGCGAACGCGGTGGGAATACTGCGAACACCCACGTCGACAGGGTCATGGCCGTAAACGTTGAAAGATTGCGTAGGCCAGAACATGAGGACAGAGAAGAAGTTCGCCCCGGAGATGAAGGTGATAACCAATGTCAAGCCCAAAGTCCAAGGCTCCTGCTTCAACCGGCTTGGAAATATCGGATACTTGGCGCCATAGACTTCCCAGATAGCGAAGAGGACTAGGAGAACGAGTCCAAGGATGAGGGGTACGAGGACATGGGCTGTTTTCCAACTATACTGCAGATGTGGAGAGGCCGTCAGTGAGATGGGTGCGTTGGAGATGTTATGCGTCACATACCATGTATCCACCCCATTGTAGGCCGGCCAAGAAGATGATGAGCCCGGAGATGCTGAGAAAGCCACCGATGAAATCGATGCGACGAATGAGTTCTGCCTTGTTCAATCCTTCTGAGTTTACTCGAGGGGGTGGAAAATAGAAAAGGACTGTGGCTAACAGCCCGAACCCATTCCATGCTCCACAAAATGCACCGACGTATCTCCAGCTGCTGTGTGCTGCAATGAGCTGAGCCCATAGTACAGACGGACAGAATGGTAAAATGCTGAATATTAACACCGCAACATATTTGCCTCTCTGTCGCGTTGGTGCCATTTCGGAAGTTGCAGCCAGTGCAGTCAGCTCGTTCACGCCTGCTCCTGCTCCTGCGATCGCCATCCCGGCTGTAATGTGTCAGCACATATTCAGAATGACGATCTTCATTTAGACATACCGATGAATGTGTTCATCGTATTGGCTGTACTGCTAACGATCATACCGATGCAGATGAGCGACGCTCCGATGATAGCAACATATCGACGACCAATCAGATCGGACAGCGATCCAACGAAGGGGCAGACGCCAGCGAGAGCAAGTAGATTCGCCAGGACCTATGCCATGTTAGTCCGTGATGAATAATGCCTCCAAACATGAGATGGCAGTCTTACAAACCAAACCCATCTGTCTGCACCACCGATCTCTCTATAAATATAAGGTGGAATGCCCCCTACCCAGTTGTTAAGGGAAAATCAACTCCACGCTGGAGTGTAGTCTCACCGAATAAATATACTGGGATCTGACTTCCAGTCCACAAAAACGCCATCGCCGTGAAACCCATGAACCGGCGAAAGGTCATCTGGAGATCGCAAGACGTCAGCAAGCCAATACCCTTCTCAGAATGATATCCTTTATCACGTTATACATACCGGAACCTTCATTTCGCCTTCAATATCCCCCTCATTTGAGTTCCGACCAACCACTTCCCGGTGGCTAATATCGCTCGCAACGTTGTCATTCAAAGAGGAATGTGCTGCCGTCTTCTCGTCGACCCCATCATGGCCGCGCTGGACTGCAAAGTCCATGGCGCTCAATGGATTAGGAAAGAGATTGGATGAGAATTTGACTGAAGGGCCGGATTGACTACCAGACTCGTAGGATGTGGCGGAGATGCAACTCCGATGAGGATTCACAATCGGTCGAGTCCAGGTAACCCTGGTAGATATAGGCTATCGTAGCCGCATTGAACAACAAATCGTGGTGGATCTCGATGATTCTGATTCCCCAGTGCGCGTCGATAACGCAAGTGGCAGCCGTCATGACTACCTTGCTCGTTCCCTGGAGGGAAGATTGACAGCCGGAGATGCTACCTCTTCGGGCTACAGCCGAGGCAGTTGGCCCAATTTCTTGGTTTGAGTTGTACCAACTCGGAGTGACCGGTTGGTTCAAATTGGTTGTAGCCCCCAGAAAAATGCGGGGACGGGCGAAATCGCGGGGAATGAATGGCACTGTGGAGAAATGATCGAGGCATTTCCTCCCCGCTTCAAAGAAAGCTTACCTGCTCCCCCCCCCGCTTGTTTCCGTCAATGCTGCCCTCCACCGTCGTGTAAGACAATGTTACTATGTTGTGTTGGTGCTACAAACTTTGCAGTAGTTTATCTGGCCAGGATGGTACTGTACAATGACCGCTAGACTACATCTCTTCCATTCGGCCAGTCCGGAATTGGACATCAAGCTGATATATTCGCATAATTATGAGACAACAAGCAAATGCACGGGTCCCTGTTCTATTATATACAGTTCCAATGACACACCTACTAAGTCTATTCCACACTTCAACTAATAGTATATGAGTAGCCAGACTCCTGCCGCCGTCCTAGAAGCGCTCTCCATCTTCACGGAGCTTGTAGTTTTTGGGGACGACAAACAATGCACTGGCCTCAGCGCGCACCGTTCCAGAGCAATCACGAACTTCCCCCTTTACGAAGGCCTTGCGCTCGGTGCTCCGCTCCTGATCCAGAGTGGCATGGAATGTGTAGTACTCGTTCGAAACGATTGGACGCCGGTACTGGACCTCGAGATTGGCAGTGACTCCGGTTCGTTGCGGGAGGTTTCGGATGGCGACGCGGCCTAAATGCTCATCGATGATCGTGCCGAGGGCTCCTCCATGTACCATGGTCGGCCACCCTTCCAGACCATTTCCAAGCCATACGACATTGACGGCCGTTTTCTCCTTATCATTGTAAAAGACTCTCTGCCCCCAGTCAATCAGCACAAACACGTTCGATCAAACCGCTCCAAGCCAGCGCGCAAGTCAATCTCCCCGCTGCGTCTCTATGCCCTCATTCCATAGTGCGCGCATCAATCGAACTTGCTTCAAACAGAGAGCGTAGTACAGGAGAGGGAAGGGGTTGTTTCGCAGCGACACTGGAAAGGCATCGCTGGCCATGCCGCACAGCACATACCTGAAATCCAACTCCCCTGCTCCCCCGCAGAGGACCCGATGTAAGCCTGTGCGCTTTCTCCTCCTCCGAAAAATTGCCATAGACTTCGGCCTCCACATAGTCGGGGTTCGCTCGCAATTCTCGCACTATCGGCACGTAATTATGCCAACCCGAATGGATCGCGCGTAGCTTGGCTGCATCCTCAGCTGTATCCAGTGTCGTGCACGCAAGTAGGTTTTCATCGACCACACTGCCCACATAGTATCCAAGACCACCGAAAATCGCTGTGTAGAGGATGCGCCGCGGCCATCGCGACGACCGCGGGGTCGATTGCTGGGCGGTAATACTTAAAGCCCTTCTGTTTGTCCGCACATGGCGTGCTAACAATTGTGAAGAGGATGTTAGGTGAGACAGTCGCGCTTGCCAGATTCTGTGGTGGCCCAGCATCTTGATCTGCTTCGCAGTTGCGATGGTGCGTGTCGCTGGGGAACTCTTACACTAACAAATGCGGAGGACCGGTGATTAGATAAGGGAGGGCGGCGGAGCTTCCTATGAACCACGTGATTCGTACCGTGTATACAGATAAGTGCATGGCCGCATATTTGGACTGCATGTGCTATGCTCTTAGGAATGTGATAATTGATTGAAGTTACGAGGGGAAGAGGCGTCCGAGCGGCATATTTGGCAATAGTGCCCCAGAGCATGGATCAATATGTATACGTATACTAGAAGCAATGCATTCTGCTAGGGCGAGCAGCCAAGCTAAGCTAGTTTCAAGTCAGTTCGTCATCTATGGAGTTATACTTGTCGCATCAATCATTATCATCTTGTTGCGGCGAGACTGCTCAGTTTGCACTAGGCAGCTCCACCGCTCTGTAGAGGAGGATTAAAGCGGAGTGGGATTCGCCTGATGAACTCGGTTAGGAACAAGTGCGGTATAGCTATAAAGAGTAAGGCAGACTTACCGCCACCAGCAAGGGTCTCAATCTTCTCTCCATCCACTTCGGTGACCTTCTCGTCGTTGAACCACCACCACTTCCCTTCGGCGCTGCCGTCGCTACCGTCGTCCTGCTTCTTTACATAAGCTGTATAATGACCACTATCAGCGCTGGCACCCTGGTGGGTAATCACGCCTCGGAGTTCGTAGAGGCCAGTTGTGTTGACACCGGCATCAGCTGCAAGCTTCTGGTCAACCAACGCAGACAATTCTTTCTTGGCAGCGAGGATCGACGCGGTCTTTTCCGCCTCATAATCGGCGTCGGTCTTGAAAACATCGGCCATGGCTTCATCCTTATCCTCCTTGCGCTCTTCGGCTGCTTTCTTCTTCTGCATTGGCTCCATGCTCGACGAGGACTCGGCCTCCTCATCCTTCTCTTCCCCTTGTCGATGAGCAAGCTTTTGGCGCTTACGGGCGCGCTCGACATCCACCTCCTCCTTCCGAATCTCCCGAACCTTGTCTCTGACAGGAATAAGCTGCTGTTTCAGCTCCTCGGTACAGAAGTCAACCACATCAAGCTCGTGCGGAAATGTGACTTTGCGCATGATCTTGGCCTTCTTTTGAGTTTCGCGCTTCCAGAAGAACCGAACGAAATGCACTGTGAGGTATTTAGGTAGGCGAGCGATGCGGGAGCGTTTAGTGTAAACGGCATCGCGGTCTAGAGTACTGGAGTGCTTCTCAATCTTTTCCTCGAGACCAGCCATTATACCGTCGCTCAGGTGGTTCGTCTCCTTGCCGATGTGGCAATCAAGTTTGTAGAACACATCTGTGCTCTCCGTGGGTTTCTCTCCGACTTCCTTCGCCGCAGCGTCGTCGCACTCCGTCACCGATTCGAACCGGCCAGCAAGATATTTATCCACAAAAGATACCTCTGCCGCAGACTCTCCTTCGCCCTCTTTGATGACGAGTTTGTTCCTGAGCTGTGTCACAATCTGCGACCAAGCCTCCTCAGCATCTTGTTGTGCATAACCGTGTCCGTTGCGATCTCGCTGAGCAAATTGAGGGTAGGCATTTCTCAGTGCATTGAGGAACATCAGTGGCGGGAAACCTTCCTGCGTCTCGGACATCTGCTTGAACAGATCCCGTAGGGAAGCAGTAAGATCAGTCGAAGCACCAAGTCCTCCCAGACCCAGGCTACTGAGGCCTGCAAGACTGGAACCCCCGCTGGAGCCTGCAGAGGGCCGGTACCTTTGCAGCTCCTCCTGGAGCTCAGGAACGCCCCTGAGAGCTTGTAGGGTAGAGTTGAGGTAGCAGGTATTGCCAAGATTTTGGAGGCCAGCGGGAGTTGCGCCCTCGGCCCTAGCAGCCTCCGCTTCCGTCATATCTTCCAAGAACTTCATCACCTCCTTCGGTCGACCGAGATCTCCAGCGCCCTGGGTACCAGATGGCGTGCCCATCATCATGAACGTTTGCCCAGGTTTGGCGTTGAGAGACGACAGTGGAGTCTCATCCTTCAGCTGACCACCCTTGACCAAGATCTTCTGCCGTTCGGGTTCGACACCGGTGAGGGAAAAAAGCTGGTACTTGAGCGTTTCGCCGTTCAGGGAGGGGTCAAGCTCGACCTCATGGCGTTTGCCCTGGTGTTTAATGATCACTAATGTGACGTTAGCGGCAAAGCGAGCGACTTGATGCTCGAGTATATCCTCCACGGTCTATCACACACCTGGTATGGAAGCCATATTGATGTGCTTCGATGTAATTTGAGATACAACAATTGATGAGATTCAAGCTTTGGCGGGTAGCAGGATGATGAGGCAACGGACGGTGACTGCGTCAGTCAACTCCGCGGCGGCGGCGGTGGGGTAGGCGGTGAGATAAAGGACATCAGGCTGCATCACCGCCCTGCGGGGACCGTCCCTCCTGAGTCCTGAGTAGGTAGCATCATCAACTGCCTCCTTTAAGCAAAGCAACAAGAACAACCAGCGGAACTGTTCTATTTGGCGGGCATCATCACCCATTTGTCTCATTATAAGGCGCTCACAGACCGTCTGGCTTCCACTATTCGATCAATTAGCAACAATTTAACATTGAAACTACGTCACAATGGTCAGCAATACGTCCCGAGTACTACATGCTAGGCAGTGGACTCTGTCAGCAGTATCAAGCTAATATATATCTCGATAGAGCACGAGTCTCCGGCCGTATCTTCAATGCGTCCGCTCCTCACTTTCGGCAGCGTTAGCTATCTCCAATTTCGCTAGTCAAACTTCGGAACGGCACAATGTGCCTGAGATCGAGGCAGCAAGCTCTCCTGAGCTCCTGCTCAACCCATTGGTCATATCTCGGAACTATGTACGTATACCCGCCTTGAACTACGAATTTAAAAAGTCTTTTCTGATGCATTTGTTGTCATGAAACAGGACGAACGGACTTTCATCGAACCTTCGGTCAACTCTGTGCGCGTATCTCTCAAAGTTAAACAAGCCGACGAGATTGAACATATTCTAGTCCATAAATTTGCGAGGTTCTTAACGCAGCGCGCAGATGCGTTCCTGATTCTCCGGAGGAAGCCGGTGGAGGGCTATGATATCTCGTTCTTGATCACGAACTTCCACACAGAGGCTATGCTGAAGCACAAGATTGTTGATTTCGTGATTGAGTTCATGGAGGAGGTGGACAAGGAAATCTCGGAAATGAAGCTCTTCGTAAGTTCTGGACTCCTGGTAGTTGAATGGCAGTTTCATGCTAATGCTTTGTAGTTGAACGCCCGTGCTCGTTTTGTGGCCGAATCGTTCTTGACACCGGTAAGCAATCAAGCCAAGCACTTTGATGGGATATTACTGACAGTAAGCTATAGTTCGACTAAATATATGCTTTGGTGCCACTACTACTTTCTCAAATGAATAAGGTTTCCTTTCCCAGGAGCAATCATTGTACAGGCGATCTGGGCTGGTGCTGGGAAATCGCTATGCTTCTTCCATGCTTGTTCCTTTTACAAATCTTCAGGTGTAATCCCATCCTTGAATCGTGCCCATCCTTCACATAGACAGCTTTTCCCGGGTAGTGCCAAGTACAGTTCCAACTGACGAGTGTAGATATAAGCAACCGGAGGCGTGCAGCACTGATACATGAGCCGCTGGTTTGCTGACAACTTTAGCACTTGCATCTAACAATTGCTCGCTTTTAGGCCACAAACGCGGGCTATTCACCAATTCGGTAAGCTATTGGTGGCGTATGATCCGGCTGTTCAGTGAATATATATACACACATGGTCAAATGACCCTGATGATGCTGGCCCCTTTCATCTTTGCTCTAGGATACTATTGAATGGTCCTGGCGTGACAAATGTCATTGAGCAGGCTGGGCTAATTTGGCTTTCTGATATGAATCACTGATATGTGAGTCTTGCTGTAACAAAGGACCAGTTTAGCCGCGTGACTGGATCCTTGTTCAAATAGCAATCTGAATAACCTCATTCTCTGTCGATCTCACTATTTGTCTCCATGCCTTTCCACCAATACACATTTCAAGTATTTTTCACAAGGAAAAGGCATCACGCTTAGTGCTCAGTGCTTCCTGATAGTCTTCTTCGAGACCCGGTAACACGCTGAAGATCATATCTTTTGCTCTGGCGCGCTGTGTGAATGGATGAAACGCGGCTGCGCGCGGTGGTTGTATGAGTTCTTGCTTTGCACATAACTCTACTAGGATCCAAACTGGAGTCACCTTTCCCACATCTTACTCTCTTCCACACCCTTCCTCTTCATCTTTACGAATTTCCTCCTTTTTCTTCTCTTCTTGGACTTATAACCTCTCAACTTCTCAAGATGGCCCAGTCTGGTCATCAGCATCTTCCAGCCATCTCGAAGCACCACTACAATGTGAACATGGCCTCATCCAGCGAGTTCTTCTCCCCTGTATCCTTCCACAAACAGCTCCCGAGCTCTCTCGCCGAGGATTTGATGCTCGGCTCTCGTCCAGCCTATGGAGATTTACTGAGTGCTAAGATGGGGAGCCTGTCCCTCACACCATATTCCTCGAACTCACCAACTCCAGTTCATCCTCTCTCTCAGCATGGAGTGGTCTCTCCTCCTTTCTCCCATCGTAGGGGCTCTTCTTTGGTTGTCGGAAATCATATTGGTGAGACTCAGAACATTTTGAAGGCCGTCGCAAAAGGTGGTTTGCCACACGAGATGCCAATTGGAGGCCTTACTTGCCTGCAGCAGCCGCCCACTGCAGGCGTTATGAAGATCTCTAATGTAAGTGGCTGGAAGTACTCTTCAGGCACAATTCTAATGTCTGAGCAGATCCCCTATTCCATCACCAAGCAGGAAATACTGCAATTTGCTGGACGCCAGTCTCGCTTGATCCCCGGTCAGCCCATTCATATCATAATGGAGAGATCGACTGCGAAGACAATGGATTGTTATGTGGAATTTGAGACACCAGAGGATGCCAAAGAAACCGTCCAGAGAATTGACCGTATTCAAGAGACCGGCCGCCCTCCTCGTTTGGGGAACAGACACGTTGATGTTGAACTCAGTTCCCAGGATGCTTTACTGCGCGATCTCTTCCCTCGTGCTAAATGTGTCCAGTGGAAGGATGGTATGCCCACTCTGCGTCGTAATACTGATCAATGGTCGACGGGCTTTGCTGGTTTCTTTACCAGTGAAGAGATTATCGGCGCCATCCGCCATGCGGAGATGCCTCACAGAGTAAGTGAATCGCAGAACTGTGCTCATTTGTCCCGGGGCCTGACAGTTGCCAGTCTCCTTTCAGTACAAAGTGCCCTCAGCGTGCCTACGAGTCGACTATTAGTACCCTTTACAAGGTAAGTAAATCAGTGGACCCGAAATGTAGATTTGCTCACACCCCATCCAGTTCCCTTGGTATGCCGTTGATCTATACACGGTGCATGATCGTAACTTGTTGTTCGTCTTGGTCCGTCGTCAGATCATAGCTCTTTTTGCTCGTATGAAGAAAACAAATACAGTTGGTCTGGATCAGCGCCTTCTGAATGATCTTCTTCGCGCGGGACTCGAATGTCCAGGCTTCAATGAGCGCCAGCGGTTTTGCTTGTGTTTCCACGCGGAGAGTCCACTTGAACTGCACAAGATCTCGTATCTCAGTAAATGGTTTCCATTTGACACCTTGGCTAATATGCCTAATCTCGACGAGCACACTTACAAGGTATGAAGATACTTCAGGAACTTTGCCTCCTTTACCCTCACCACAATGTCTATGCCTTTACAATGTGCTTGAACTCATATTCTGATCTCCGACCTAGTTTCTCGTTGATGTGATTGCCAAGGGCTCTGTTCCTGCCTCCTCTCACCCGGAACTGCCGAATAGTTTCCCATCGGATAATGTCAGCCTCATTTCGCCGTTCGGCCCAATCTGGTTTGAATGGCCCGAAGAAGTTGCTAAGCGCATGTTTTGGCAGGATGCGGTCAACTATGAGACCAACATCTTGTTCAATCTTCTATCGAGCGGCTCTAGAAAGTCTCGTGGGAGAACCATGTCTTCCGGGAGCCACAGCAGTCTGAGCAGCCAGGCTGTCAGTTCCCCTCCCACAGACGGATTTTCCCAGTTCGATGCGTTCGCGCCCCCTCTGCGCCGGGGAGGTGATACTTGGCATATGCGCGCTTACTCTTACAGTGGTATTGAGGAAGACCCGTGGAACTCCAAGGTGCTTCTTCCATCAGGCGCCAGGGCCCGTGGTGGCTTTCCTGGACATCGCTTCACCAGATCTTCTCCAGTCAACGTTCCGGTCTTCGAGGATTGATCATCAGGAAATCCATCAATCTGGCCCAGCGCGGCACACGCTTCATACGATCTCAATCATAATGACTCAATTATTTGCTGTGCCTGGAGATTGGTTCTTCTGGAGCAATCAATACACCGATTGGATCTGGATTTACCTATCGTGCGATGTTCATATTGGACCATCCGCCATCATCATTAAGTTTTTCCATAATTTTTCTTGCCATCTTTGCCATTTCATTTTCGACACTCCTTTGGTCATTTGATTTTCTCTCATGGCCCATGTCGTCTGACTTGCTCATTGGTTGAATATCCCATGCACGAATTCAGTACATCATTTCATGAAGTGCTATCAGTCCAAAGCACATGCTACACGGGTAAACTGCCTTGAAGCTATGATGTAACGTTCTCCTGTTTTCATTTCTCATTTTGCCAATACCTGAATTTCTTGACTTTGAATGGTTCTTTGTTTTCACGCGATAATTTCAGATATCCCCCAAGTTAGGCTCTAATAAATCGAAATTGCTGTCCGCACGCTTTCCTTCCTGTTCCCGACTCTGTTCCAGTTGCTGTTTCCTGCGTAATCCCTCCGCCCTCATTCTCTCCCTGCGCGCAGCAGGGTCCTCCCAGTCCGCTGGCTTCGCCTTACCCTTGGCCTTCGCGCCTTGCGTATAGTCCGTCGAATAGATCTCCAGCAGACTGGAGCGGAAGCGTTCCTTGCGTTCCGAATTGACGACGAACCTTTCGTTCGAGATGGCGACCAACATCTCGAGGTATTCCTCGGTGACCAGACTGTGGATGATGGGCTCGTTGGCGTCGGACTCGTTCTCGTCGTCTTCCTCCTCGCAGTACCCGATGACTGACTCCAGGGCCATACCGGCGGAGCGGACGGCAACGATGGGGCTGGGGCCATCGGCGTCATCTGTGTCCAGACACCGGAGGCTCTGTAGACCACTTTCACGGAAGCCAGAGCTGGAGGCTGCGGAGAGAACGGGGTTGGCGTGGTGGAGAGTTGCGGCCATTATGTGGAGGATCTAGGGAAACCAGTCAGATAGAATGCTTTTATCATAGCCGTATGTTGTTTGACATTCGAGGGGAAGGGATGGATAAACGTATGCGAAAGGAAGGACAGGCTTGCGCAGTAGCCAGATTGGAAGGAATGACCTACCATGGGCTCGTAGGAGAAGCGCACGAGACGCGGGGCTTGGCCCGTCCGGTCCAGCTTGGGCGGTTTCCCATCCCCAGGAATCATCCCGAATTGGCGATGCAACGGTCTGTTGTTCTCTTCTTCACCGCCGTCTTGCTTTCCTCCATACTCCTTCAACGGATCATGAGAGACATACAGCCATTTCCCGGCTCCTTTACCCCCTGAAGGTACGAACTGTCTCTGTTGCACTTCTGACGACGGTTGCTGCTGTTGCTGTTGTTGTGGCTGATGCTGCTTCTTTCTCCCCTCTAGAAAGACACTGATTCTGCCTGCACAACTGCTCGTTGTCACCAGTCCCGGCAAGGTGTTGATATCATCGATTAGCTCACGGATACCTTCATCGACCGACCCCTTCGGTGATAGATCAGTATACTCCGCATCGGGGATGGACAGTTCTGCAAGGATCTTGCGTTTGCGAAGCTCAAAAACCTCGGGAATGGGGTTGGATTCGGGACCACTCATGACGGGCCTCTTTCTTGCTCTTGTTACCTCTTTTTCACTATAATTATCGATTCCAAGGATCATTCACAACCGGCTAGGTATCTAACGCGGAGCAGCTCTTATTGTCTTTTCTTCTCTTGATCCCTAACCAAGATTACCAGTTCTCCGCTGACAATGAACAATCGATAGATTATCTAGCTACTGCGAGCCCCACGGCCGAGACTAGACGATAAGAGACCGCGCAATCAATCCGGTGGTCACACTACCGTAGTTTGCGCCTGCAAATCTTTCTTGAGACAGGGGGAAAAAAAGTCGGACTGACGTCGACTTGCCGAGCGGCGGCGGCGGCGCTAAAGATAGTTTAGCGGAGCGGGAAGCAAATGAAACGAACTCGCCGCCTTTTTTCCACGCGAATTTGGCCCCAGAAGTTACCAGCCTCCTGGTCTCATCCCCGGTCCCTTGTCCGCTCGAACCGCTGGAAAGTCAATCTGTCGCTAACGACGGAGGGCCTCCGATGCTCCATACCCCCCATAAGCCCAGTCCTAAAAGAGACCATCCATCGGGCTATCAAACCTCCCAGCGTCATCATCGGTTTTTCCTCTTCCGCGGAATTTGCCATCTCATTTGCAAGTCCTTTCCCACCCCCACGTAGCGACTTAATACTTCCAGAGACAAACCTTACCATAGATACTACTCCATCTTTCTGCGACTATATAATAACATACAGTTTACAAGCTCTTAGCTATGCCTCGTCGATCGTCTCGGCCCGTTCCCGCGGCAGCCGCAGCTCCAGAAGCCGCGCCAAAAAGGCGCGTGTCCGCCAGACTCTCCGAAGCCTCCAGAACGGAGCCTAAGAGACAAAAGTACGAGAACACTCCTGCTAAGAAGCCGATTAAATCCACCACGAAAAAGAGCAAATATTTTCAGGAGCCCTCTGAAGAGCCGGAGCTCGACTCCGTAGAGGTATCTGCCCCGAAAATCGCCGACTACGAGGACACCGATACAAGCATCCCCACATCTTCCGACTCGGGCTCAGATTTCGCAGAAGAAGCGTTGCCCTCATCTCCAAGCGCCGAGGAGCCTGAGTCAGAAGAAGATGAGTATAGCCCTGGGCCGAAGCGACGTCAGAGCCGCGGTAAGAAAGCTAGTGCTGCTGGTTCAAAAAGTCATGAGACGAATCGTTCAGGAGACGCAACTCTGTCGTTGACCGACAAGGAGCTATGGAGGGAGGGCGTGAAAACTGGTCTAGGGCCGGGGAAAGAGGTGTTCATCAAGAAGCCCAAGGCCAGAGACCCAGGAGCAGTAGCTTACGAGGATAATGTCCTGCATCCCAACACGATGCTCTTCCTTCAAGACTTGGCCGAGAACAACGACAGGCAATGGCTGAAAGGTACTTACACCCGAGCATTGAACGCCCTGTTCCTAGGAGCCAGGCTAATGGATAAATCGGCCACAGCACATGATGCGGACTACCGCATGGCCAAAAAGGATTGGGAGACGTTCGTTGAGACTCTCACAGAGCAAATTATAGATCAAGACGGCACGATACCCGAATTGCCTGTTAAGGATCTCGTAAGTCAAGAATTCCTAGATGCCAGAAGAAGCAGGAAGGATCAGAAGAAGTTAACATGGATCTGTCTTGATGCAGGTTTTTCGTATACACAGAGACATCAGGTTCAGCAAAAATCCCACTCCGTATAAGGTAGGCGCAGTGTCTACTATTCCTCCTATCTGGAAAGCTTGTTGTATGGGCTTGGCTAACTGCGTGAACCGAGCAGACGCACTTTTCAGCAGCTTGGTATGTGCCTAGCCAACACTCGGTGAATATCAGCATAAGCTAATCCTGTTGTCAGGTCCCGCACCGGCAAGAAGGGCCCTTACGCTGCGTACTACGTCCACTGCCAACCAGGGGCATGTTTCGTCGGTGAGTTATGCAAGCTTATGTACCCACTCGCCACGGTCGCATGCCAGATCAAACTCAACGTGTCTTCATCAAGCCTATTCACACCGCAAGTGACACGCTTGTTTTCTTCATATCAACCATTGTTCCTTGCACTCCTCGCGCCCAGCCCTTCGTCGTCTTTTGTGTCTTGCATACTTGCGTTGTTTACTCGAGTGTACTCGAGTATGGAAGGTCGAAAAGACGTCCCGCAAGCAACTGCACACGTTAATTCGTTACGTTGTCATGATAGCTCGGGCTAACGATAGGTATAAATTTCAGGTTCGGGGCTTTGGATGCCGGAGGCCGATAGGCTGGCCCGTCTCCGAGAGGATATTGATCACAATTCTCATCGTCTCAAGAGAGTGCTGAGAGCGCCCAAAATGCGTCAAGAGATATTCAATGGCATATCTGACGATGATGAGAAAGCTGTAGAAGCTTTTGTCAGCCACAATAAGGAGAGTGCACTCAAGACCAAGCCCAAGGTAAGCGTCGCCCATCTCCCATGCCAGGATCAGCTTCTGCTTGAGATCCAGAGCACTTTCAATATACTCGCATGCCCACTAGCCCTTGTGTACCTGATCGGTCGCTGCTTTTCAAACCGAACCAGTGTCTTCGAATGATGTTTATGTCTGCATTTTATGATCGAGACTGAGTTCCTGTCGACTGGAAGGCCATCACATCCATCCATGACAGAACTTTCTATCGAAGTGACCGAGTTCTCTGAGCCTTCGGGCCTCTTGATGTCGCGTCACGAGGTTAGGGTAGATCATGGTCGATTGTTGATGGCTGAGGTTGAGAGTGGGCATGTGTGGAGTTGCCCGCGTCCTCCGGGTCAGCAAAGCAGGTTCCTGCCGCGCCAATCGCTTCAGACACCATCAAACGTCATCTTCCAGCCGACGAATTCAAGCAGACATTTGCTCAACGATGGATAAGGCACTGGCAACCTTGTGCGCGATGGCAGCGAGACTGACTGGTCCGGGGTGATGGGTGTGTAGGCGCAGCCGCGGACGGCCAACTCGGACTGGGCCAGACGTGTCTCTCTGCCTCAGGCGCTGATCGGGGACCTGAGCTCCAAAATGCCGTTCTTGGTTCTGGCGCGGAACTGCCTGCCTTGTTGTCCCACTGAAGTGCTTTGGTCTCGAAGAATTTTTTGCACCGTCTCTTTTGTTTCCATGGTTCAGCATATGCCGCCGTCCCGGCGGGTCTTCGTTCTCGTCCAATTACGATACTGACAAACAACTTGCCTCTTGTCTAGGGCTACGATGCCGACAATGAGAATATTCAGTTACTCCGTCTGCGCAGTTTCACCATCGGTAGGCCTCTCTCGGACGAGGAGATGCTAAGTCCGAAAGCCCAGGAGAGGATTGCAGCGCTGGTCGAAATCATGGAGCCTTTCGTAAGCCACTTGAATCCCCATCTCTCCGCTTGCCCGCGTCTGCGTCCATTGTATCCTAGCACCCGTATCAACAATACACGGCCCCCCTCTTTTCCTTTCCTTTCTTAGCCTCAAGCGGTGTGGCTTCGGGCGCAACGACTACGATTGCCCACCATCGAACGAGTCAAAGTTGCTAGGTGGCAAAGGCATCCAGACAAATTCTTTACTGTTCTGTTGTCACTGACCAGAAGATAATACCATCCGACAGGTCACGTATCTCAATAGCGTCGTTATGCCTGATGCGATGCAGGAAGATGTCGATACCGGTTCGGAGGGTTCAGAGGACGATTAAAGCCACGCTGTTCAGGTGCCTATACCTCACCGAACATGACTCGGACCCTTATCTCTCAGTGTATAGGTCTGTGATTTCATGTCCTTCTAGTATATCGGGTTCCCATTGTATGGGCCCCATCATCCCGCGTGCCTTGGCCATTCTTTGGGCCTGGTCGACCGAATTCTGTTTGATGTTTTTTGTCCCAAAAATGTCGGCGCCTCCTGCATGTTGTAATCTCTCCTGGTGGACATTGATCACGCCCTGTATGTTTGCCACAAGGGTTTGGGGCTTGTCGAGCGTTAGCATGCCATGACTCTACCTTCTCTTTGGTTGACTCGTCTGTAAATTTCATACAAACCTTTTGTCTCTCTTGCGCTAAGGGCTCTCCTCCATACCTAGTCTTGCATTTCTCTTACCGCCAGTTTTTCTCCCCCAATGACGGTGGCCCTCGTGTCTAGCTCTCAACAGTCTGACAGGATCTCCGAGTCGCCGGTCCTCAGCATAGGATTGACGTGCATGTATGGCCTGCTTTTGCTGCTGTCCGCGCGCCTCAACCGGGCCGTCGGACGTGCCGTTGGCTCCACGATGTCGACCATCGACCAGCAGACTCAGCAGCAACGAATATCCACTTCTGCACGAGTGCAAATTCGTCGACAGCACGGTTTGAATAACTACACTTTCCGGGCTCTTCTCTTCTCGAATGATCAGCATATGTCACTCCCCGCCCGCACACTGCATCAGTGCCCGAAATCAACACTGACGCATACCTCTCTGTGTTCCTCTACCCAGTAAGAAAAGAAGTGGGGAGTAAAAAAAGGAAAGAGGGGTGAAGGATTATCTTCTCCTCTTTGGCCCCTTTTTGCACCATGACCTCCGTCTGCTGGTAAGACTAGCATTTCTAAACTCCCTACCGGATCATCGCCCTTCGAACTCCATCCTCCGCGGAAACTCCAACCTCCCCAGTAGCACGATGGTGAGGGGAGGATTGACGACAGGGAAAATGCACAGAACTGAGTCAAACCCCCCCCCCGTAATACTGAAAGAGGGTCCTTGCCCTCCATGACCCTGCAAGCCATGAACCTTGCGCATCTGTACCGTCTCTACTCTGTGTGATCGAAAAGACAGACAGGGTGATGAGGATGGACAGATAAACAGCAAGTGAGAGAACAGGACGAAAGATTGCGTTTAATAGCGTCTTGCCAATTGCTGTCCACACCCCCGTCGAACTGCCTTGTTTCGATCCCGGTGGTCGATCTCTCGGGTGCCCCTCATATCGTGAAGTCAAAATTTACACCTTTCCATTCGTCTGGGATGATTTAACTTTCCTCCCCTCCCGCGGGCGGGTTTCTCCTCTGTCTCTTTTTAGAAAAGGAGTGGTAGTGCTATGGGGATGAAAGTTTCAATGTCGTAGACCAAGGTGTCTGTGTGTAGGCGTTCAAAGAGAGACAAGTGGTTTGTGAGCTGGAGGGAGTGTCTTTGCTCGCTACGTCTCCACAGTGTAGAACCTTAAAAAAACCGATTGAACACTTGAATCAATGGTAAGCTACAAGGAAAGTGAATCTGGCAAGAATCGTCGAAGCAAGCCGCCTTTTCGAAGATCCATGAGGTATACACTAGGTATGGACTGTATCATGCACTCATGTCTCCTTATTTCTCTTTATGTCCATTCACGGACCTGCACATACACACCACGTAAAATGTACATGGTCTACAGCATGGCCTAGATTTTAGAACCGTACATTCAGCGGAGAGCTGCCTATTTTATCCCATCCGTATATTGTCTGAATCAGCCTGAGCCTATCTGTACTTAGTCGCTCAGTCCCCTTAATACCATCTGAGCTCAAATGCTTCACGCCGCCATAAAATAAGAAGCCCTAGGAGTACACCAGTTTCTCCTCAATTGCCTCGAAGCTTGAGTGAACCGTGACAGCCAGTCAATCCATAATCCATCCACATCCTCTCTCCCTCCCTTGCTTCGCAGAACCAAAGCCTACCACTAGTGTATAACACCCACAATTAAGCACAGCACGACACCCCCAGAGCCAGACAAGTACTTAGTTCCCCCACTATTCGATCCTTTCCCCTCCTTCTCACCCCCTTCCTTCTCCCTTCTACCTTTCTGGATGGATGTATCTGTACGGACGAACCGTATGCATGTATGTATAAGTATGTATGTACCTTTGTACACGTACCCACGTAGGTACCCCAAAACGCACCCCCCAAAAAAACCATCTGTCATATCCTAATCCCCGCCATACCAGAATAATGTGGAGACCACAGCCCAGCAGCAAATGTGATATGTCATGTTAGGAAAGTACCGGGCATTAGTCACGGGATTTCCTCAGGGGTATCTAGTCGAACTGCCGCCTCAAAATAAAGTCTATTACCTCATTCAGAATGCATCTGGACTACGGTCTGTGTCGATGGATTTGTCTTTCGCGATGTGACCAATCATCTTTGTGATATTGGTCCCTGGATTCGGGCGGGCTGGTCCGATCGATGCCCGTGGATGGAGGATGGGTTCGGGATGTTGTGCTTTTCTGGTGTGGACGATGTCCTCTAGTTTGTGTTCTATAGTTTGGCTAACTGGGGCGAATGGGGGTGGGATTGTTGATGGAGCTTGAATTAGAAATATAGGTCTTTTGTTTTGAGCAAGCGAATGGAATTAAGGAGCTGGGAGATAATTATATGTGTTTATAGCAGGTATACCAAGTTAGAAATTATGAGGAGGGATTATCATCTTGGATTCAAGGGGCGGCTGTCCTCTGTCCGTATTGCGAAGTTTTGATATCTCTTTCTCAAAGATTGAATTCTTGTTCCTGTTGATGTATGATCATGTTGGTGTCGCACCTAGGGTATTGTTCTATGTTCTGTGTTACTCGGATCGGATCTCGGATGACTATGATGGCAGATGATAATGGTAACCAGGCACGGTTACACAACAAGGAAGACCCGGATGAGAAGGAATGCTTCCCTTGGGTTTCGAAGTTGTTTCCATTCAATGAAGAAAGATATTACTCCCTAGTTCAATTTGCCTTGGGAGTGACCTCCTTCTTGAACCTTGTGTACAAGGTCGTTCACATGGTTCGCACCGTAGTATAAGATATGTATCCTACGTAGTATATCCCTTACGACCACAGGCTAGAGCCTTCTCCCCCAACCAACTTTGTCGCGGGCTCGAAAGTATAGCCGGTTACACCGTCACGCGACGAAGGCTACGCTGGGGAACTATTCGATGTACAACGCCAATTCCTCGTACAGCGTGTCACGCTCCCCCAGCCGGACAGAGTAAGTAAGGAGATCACACGGCTCTGCCCATGCACCGGATCAGGTGCGCGGTTCGGGGCGAAGTCAAAGCCCTCCCTCCCTTCGTCGCACGCTCGTCAAAGCACACCCGAAGATAGCATCCGAGAAACTCGAAAACAAAGACACAAGTGGTTCAGAACGGTTCGCGACGGCATGTACCCCTTCCCGCTGAAGACTTGGGAGAACTTGTATTGGTACCGTGCTGTTGCATAACCAAGACTGAATTGACAGCAAGGCTGGCTAATCCCTCATTCGGCCACGTCATAATAGCTGTGTGCACGGGGATATACCATACAATCGTACCTCGATTTGAGCGTAGACAAGAACAGACGGTTTTGTATGCAAGTTCTTGGTACAGTATATGCTTACTAACTTGTTCGGCTCATTGCTTCTGGTTCACTCTGGCAAGCCCAAGCAAGCCATAAAGCCACAAAGCCACAAAGCCACAGGTATGACAGCCCTGTCAAACTCGTCCCGAACACATCACCATGTTGGATCCCCGAGCGAGTAAGACAGCTGTCTCTCACTCACCTCGTTCCCCTTGGCCGATAAGGTAGAGGCAGGTAGCGCTCCCATAGGCTAGCCGGATTCACGTGACTGAAAACGTATGCGGGCTGATCGATGATCCCAGCAGGGCGCCGGCAGTAACTAAGGCAATAACTAAGTCATAGACCAGTGACAATCCCGGCTTCGGCACACTAAGGAAAAGGCCCTTGCTTTTTGGGAAGGAGGGGGGGCGTTAAGTAAAAAACAAGATGACGCTGGCATATCCCAGCCCAACCCCCCCCAACCGTCTTCTCGGTGCTTCGCATGTCTTAGGCGGGGAGGGAAATTTTTCGACAAGGGGAGGGAGCTGGACCACGCCTCAGATTGGGCTGCGCACGGGGGAAGACGGAGACTGGCTGGCTGACCGAATTCGATCAAGAAAGAGAGATAGAGAAAGAGAGAAAGAAACAGAGTATTGGTAACCGGTTGGTGCTGGTCAGTTGCTGTTACTCCCCAGGCTAGACTGCAGTGCTGCGACTCAGTTACCTCAACTGCTCTTGCCTCTCGCTGCGTCTAGTTTCATCAAGGACCGCTTTGTACCATGGAACCATGGAACAGAGCTGGAGAGCCTGTGATCTATTTTCCTCTGGGAGGCCGAGACGAGCGCGAACAAAGTCGACGACGGATGGCCGCAGTGGAGCACCAAAAACGAAAAAAAGCGTGGGATCCTGGAGGAAAAAAGACCTGAGAATGCCCACCACGCAGCTAGTCGAGTGTGTGGGTTCTGGCGGCAACGGAAAGACGCGGACGGCAATGCACCGCGCCGATTGGGATCGCAAAAAACGTGGCAAGAGCCGCTAAGGAGGGAAAGGGAAGGAAAGACGGAGGGGCGGCGGGGAAGGACCGACCGCATTTAATCACAATTATTAATCCCGTAAGATTTTTTCTGTTTTTATTTTCTGTGTTTCTGTTTTCTGCATTACCGAAATCAGGTTCCTGACCGCTGTTTCGGTTTTGTCCCTTACCGTAACACTCTAAGGCACCCAACCCAAACAGGAACTTCTCGGTCGAACCAATCTACCCTTCAGTTGAGGAGAAATGATTATTACTTTATCCACGCACAAGGAAAAGGAAATAGATACAGCTGGTTTGTCTCATGTGGCGGTCAAACGCATGAAACAGCAGATGTGAAGGATGCAGTCTCGCCTGCAGCATCTCGAGGTCTGTTCTTATCCAATATTGCGCCGTCCGACCTGATTGATGTGTTGTTCTGTGGCCATCCAACCAACGATAGCTTCGGATTTTAGCAAAAAAGCCATCAAAAAGCCCATGATGACCATTGGGATAAGTCATATCCACTTAGAACAAGAGGGCTTATGAAAGATTGCGGCCTACAGCTTACGCAGATACTAGGTACAGTACGCAGCAGTGCTTACTCTGAGACAAACCTCGAGCAAATCAACCCAGAGACAGTCCTAAGACGGCTACTTTTCACACCGTCTCCATCCGTCCCCCCCCCCCCCCCCAACACAAGAGTCATCATAGAGCAAACAGGACCATCACCGAGAGCCACGCCTTTCTGCTTGATTGCTGTCCGAAATATCCCAGGGTACACAGTACACACTAGGTATCACGTCGTGCATAAGATCGGCGGGAGTCGGGGCGGGCCGTCGTGGACATGACCAGGAGATGACTAGCAGAATCATAGGATGATGATAGGATGAAGTCCGTTGCCCAACGCCCTGACACAAGCACATCTGCATCCCGATCACAGCACCAATCCTAGTCCTTGTTTGCGACCGTGCAATTCCGACAGGATTGTTCTGCTGATGCCTCCCTTTCCGGTCAGCGGTGAAGATATTAATCTATCTACTGTCCTCTACCGTCCTTCTTGCTTGCTTACTTGCCTTCCTGGCGCTTGCATGCTTGCTTTATGCTCTAGAGTCAAGGAAGGATGCACTACACACAGTCCGCGTATTATCAGCGATGACTTGGTGTGACATAGCACTGGCCAAAGCACCATTATCAGCTTACTATACGTGAGGAGCGTGGTCATACAGGACAGTGGCTATTTGACTATCTTCCAGTCGAATGCCGCCTACCAAGGACGAACTTCATTCTGTTTCGTGCACCAAGGGGAGAAACTTCGGCCAACCCGAGTCACACGATCCGTTTACTGATGTCATACTACTTTTCTGGCAAGAGTCGATGACAACGTTACTCGACCAATCTTGATTACTAGCCTCAGATAGAATTGCATCTGCCGTGGAGGGTCGGAACAAAAAGGGGGTTGTACACTTGTTGGGGATGTGATTCGGTTGCAGATGCTCGCTCGAGATGGTCTCTCCCATCAGCAGGCGTCCTGAGGGGATCAGGGCACAGACGGTCACTGGTGACTAAGGCAGCCTTCTGCAGCAAATCACAACCTACCGCCGACCCCCTCAAACTTCCACTAACTCAAGATGATAATCAAACCGACTACGCACGATAGTACTGATTTTCAGCCTATTCCCATGTGCCCGTAGGCGCAGCTAGTTTCCGGCCTCCTATCGCTGACTTTGACCTCCGCCTGGGGCATTCCGGGCCAAAAACAACAAAAAAAGAAAAAAAAAAGAAAAGAAGGGATCCGAGCCAAACTAGTGTGAGTGGTCTGTGAACGGCAACGTTGCCCAGACCTCCCCGCAAATAGTTCTAGGACCGGGGGGAGGAGAAAGGGAACACCCTCTGATTTCCCACCACACCGATCGATGGCTTGGGATCCCGGGTACTACCATGTTAATTCCAGCCGGATTGAAGTGTTACAACATGTCAAACACAGGCTACCTACAGATACATCCTAGGGGCGGGTGGAAATGATTGAGTGCGATTTCAGAGGCAGAGAAGAGGCCGAGGAAGAGAGAAATTCTTGCCCGAGAGGCGCTAATGCACGTTATTCCCCAAGAGCCACCGATCGGGCCATCATAATGACCTCTGGCGCGGTCCCAGTGCTGTAGCACCGGGAAACTTAGGGTTCCTACAACCCGCACCTTAACCCCCTCACGGGAAGGGGCCGCCCCTCTTTCCTTTCCACAACCTTACCGAGGCCAAGTCAGTGCGAAAATCTTAGGTGAGCACGTAATGCCTTCAGGATTTGAGAATGCGAGGAATTCTCATGCACGGCATGAATTTCGTGAAGGATTTCAGGAGAACTGATTCAAGAGCCAGGTTTTCAACATGAAGTGCCACGCTGATGGTGTCAAAGACTAGTTTCCCAATGGACGACGACGTACGGTAATCTTTCTAGTTGGGGCCAGGCACATTCGATCCGAGCCGCTTCAGATGCTACGGAAGTCTCTACTAGACTACTACTGAAGACGGTCGGTCGGTCGGGGCCAAGACTTACCTCATCCTTCACGTCTTGCTCAACACCGCCACGAAACTCCGCCCTAAATGCTTTCCTAGAGCGGCAGGTGGGAGTCCTTCGTGTCTGTTTTCAGCTGCACACGTTGTTGATCTCAACTCGAAGTGACTCGTCCCCACCAGGTTTACTGGAGCCGCAGTTATCATTACCACTCGACAAACCGCCCAAGAACTTTGATGCGTTTTACAAGCACTTGAGTACTAGCTCATCCGCCCTGGATAGCTCATTTCACCGCCTATTATTCTTCTCTTGCCCCGGCCGTGTGGGCTCCACTCCACTTGCATGGGCTGTCACTCTCACTGAAGCCGAAACTGTGCCTATGTTTTTTCTTCTTGTCGCCACTATTATTATTAGGTTGTGACAGGGATGGAGCCTTCCATGTCTTCCTTTCAGTTTCTAAGCAGACTCTGATCCATGGAACACAGGGGTATCTACCCCGCTCATCCCAATCTGTTCGCTGCTATTAGACGCTGGGTGTACCAAGGTACTGGACTTACCGCCCGCTCCTGCAGTGGATTAAAAAGAAAAAAGGAATGCCGGAACCGAACATCCTCCGAGCTGAGTGGTAGCGGCGTACCAATGACCTGTTGGCTTGCATCCCGTGGACTGGTAATGGACGGGTAGCTAACAGACTTCGCCGGGCTGGTACTGTTACCAATGAGCTGGCATGCAACTACGGTTCGGAGCGCACCTTTCCCTGCTGGGCCCAACCAGAATCGAGGGGTCGGCTCTCAAGGGTTTGCTCCGTACTCTACGCCAATCAGCCCCGGGCGCGCCTGTCGCTTAACCGGGCTTCTGGACTGACTTGCATTGCTCGTATCCACCCGCCCATAATGAAGTTCCCACTTTGCGGGGACACCCTTAGTTCGTGATTTTCATTTCCCATGCGCTTTGCTTCAACTGTCGTGCCCATCTTTTGCCCATCTTCCAACCCGAAGACGGACGTCTTTTTGAGTCTCTTCGCCGAGTAAGTATGTGTGTGGTGGGATGGTGAGAGCTCGCATTGCTCTAGCCCTGTTATTCCTAATGCACGCAACTGCATCGATGGCTTCCCACCCCCTCCCTTTCCTCATGCCTGTTTTCTCTCATTCCACGGATCCCGCAGAAACCGTTCCGCACGGAACAATGGAACAAGCACAACAAGCACTACTCCGGAAGGATTATCCAGCAAATCTGTTCGTGGTGACCATAGCATCTCTTCCATGTTCATGGTGCATTTCCTACACCACGAGATTCCTTAGTCTCGCCCATATTTGTCGTTGTATGGGAAGGCTTTGCGAACAAAGTTCGATCTGCCGCAAAGTATCGCCCGGTTGGCCTACGATCATTATATCACCATGTTTCGAATTGTCCCCGCCAATGGATCGATAATTTGCAGAATGTAATTTCTCCATTGGTCGTGATCTAGAGGGAACCAAAACTGCAATTTAATGACCAGAGCGCATTTCTGGGTTCACAAACCTCGAAAATCCAAAGAAGGTAGGTAGGGTAAACGGGCCGTACTTCTGCGAGCGGGAGGTATCTCGTAACCTGTTAGACCAAATCAAATGACCCCGGAATGACGCTGCTCTTGTAACCTCAGGCATCAATGTACCACCCAACCTTCCTTACCAGGGCCTACCGCGCGACCACAACCCCCTCCCCTCCCTGCAACGCACTTGCGGACGAATAGGACAGTCAGGGGAATTGAGCAGGTCTGAAAGCGGGGACAGAAGCAGGATGAACTCCTGTACAATACCCGTGATGGTACTTTCCTCCCTGCCGAGCCGTGGCGCGCGGGTTTGATCTTGGACAGAACCCCGAACTGCCATAACAAGTAATAGGTACTTGGGGAATCTACTTTCCCAGGCGCGCATTATATTGATCGCCCTTGCTGGCGGGCTGGGCCGGTTCGCTGTAAGTACTTCCATCTTTCCCGCTCATCCGAAGGGACGAAGGAAAAAGCAAGGGGCAAGCTATCTAGCCTAAGGGGGGAAATAGTACTAAGGTCGGAACTCCATGTATGAAGTATGTACCTGATCAGGATGTGTCCCGTGACTCTTACTCTCCCTCTCTAAGCGTAGGACCGCTTGAGCTTAGAGCAACCAAAGTCGCTTCTATACTTGCAACAACGCAGACTTACTGACTAGTAAAACAAACGGGACTTGGGGCATGGTCTGAAATAGAGATTGATCAGTCAACTTCACTCATGCGGCGGCTAGACTGCTCTTTTTCTTATTGCTAGGGGGAGGCATTTTGTTGTTCTTCAGGAACTTCGCAGCGATGCAGCTAGGATTCGTCTTAGCTTGGATATGCTCTGCAGAGGGACCACATCCTTCCGCTTTGGCTTATCTTCTCGTCTAACGGCGTGCAGCATACAATACTCTTGGTAAATGGTATTGTTCGGTGGCGCAGGCGTTTGCTTGTTTGTGTTGGATATCTAGTGTCTCCCCCCTCCCCCATTCTCTAATTGACCCTACTCAGTCTGGATGGCTTCTTCAGCCTTTCCACCAATCCCTCATGAACTAGGAGTTTTTTTCTCCCTTTGCAACCCTTGTTTGGCCACGGCCAGACTCGCCGCGTGCTGCATGCACACACGGGCGCTACTGCGCAGCATACATGTTTGATCTGCTCCTGTCCTGTATGTAAATATGTATGTAAGTATCCCATCCCTCCTCCTACCATTGTATGCATGTATGTATGAACTAGGTAATCTGGAAGCACGACTACATACAGTGTACACCAGAACGGACTTAGACCCTGCGCGGGCAAACGCGAGTCGAACATCCTGGAACTATAGTCATGATAGTGCCCTGTTGCAGATTACATCTGCGTCCAGCTTGGCTGGAAGATTCCTACAGATATTCTCTGTCCTGTCCTTCTACAGTATGATGTCGTTGCGCATGAGCCAGGCTGTCTATTCTTCATTCCCCTGTGGTTTCCGCCTACGTTCTAACCCTGGTCATCAGATTATGACGATGTAAGGAGCTTTGATAGCAAACACAATGGTGACCGGCATGAGGATTCCCCCTTTTTCTTTTTCTTTTTCTTTTTCTTATTCTACTAACTCAGAAAAAAAAGCTGGTGATTCGAGAAACACCCTCACCGGAACAGAGGAGTGTATGAGGGTGTGATCCCCAAGAAATGGTACGCTAGATGATCTTCCAACCATGGTTCGTAGATACCCACTTTATGCTTCTAGGTGTAATGCACCGTAACTTGGAAGTACCGCCATGGGTTTGTTTCTTTCGGGGATCACTGGCCTGTCCATCTCGGGATCTAGTATGTGATTAAAAGCAAATCGGTTGTGAAGAAAAATCTTCTATTCTCGGTGGATATCTTAGCGGGTCTTTGCCCATGTGGTCAATCAATTTTGAGTGAGCCCACAAAGGTAAAGTGAAAAATCTGAACAGCTCAGGCACAGTTTGGAAGTGTCATTACTCGATACAGCAACAAAAAGTGGGGTTGATTAGAGAATTATCTATCTCAAACTCCTTCTCATCGGTATTTGCATCTGTCTCCATATAATCAAGATGTCGGTTGGAAAATGTTTTCCCGGTTTCTGTCAGCTGAGATGTGTTTAGTTAACGTGACTTATAGTTAGCTGACTGCTGGAAAGGGAGATAAAAAAAGTCGATGAATAATACTTTGCTGCAAGCGCGCCGGAGATCACTCATACTGATATATAGTAACAGAAGTTTCAGCAGCCAGCCCCTCTTTTTTCTTTGTGTTCTTCAGTAGAAAGAGAAATTTCGGGCTTCATCCGGGTGTGGTCCCCCTTCCCCGAACTCCCTTGGTTTTGTTTTCGGCCAGTATTCGGGTGTCAGGATGCTCCCGCTGTAATCAAATGAGGACCGGACCTAAATTCTCTGCAGCCATCCCTCTTGGTTCGTTCTCCATTCTCCATGCTTTTCGGGCGGGAATGGCCTAGGTCTTAGTTACCTTTCTGAGAACACCGTTGCTTTTAGCCCCTCTTTTTTTTTTTTTTTTTTTTTTCTCTTTTTTTTTTCATGTTTCGGATTTCATTCTTGGAGTGGGTGGCATGTACGCATATGTACCCGAGTCCTCAAGATAGGTCGGGGAACCTTTCCTATGCAGCTGCTGCTCTGGGTCTGGAAGAAGCCCAGGAGGAGGAAGTCTTCTAAGTATATCATGCTATTGCCTCTGGATGTGCAATGACAGACGACACCCAAAAAAAAGTACAATCTCACAAGAACTTGAGATGGCAATTGGCAGGTCACGAGTCACAGCTCAGGTAAAAGATTGCGCCGTCTTAGTAGTAGTACTTTCCTATATCGGCCGCGTACCTACATGTACTGCAGACCAATTTCTATCTTTGTAGCAGATCCAAGCACACAGTGCCGGCTCAAGTGCTAAAATTGGGATAGTTCGATATCCACCACCACACAGCTGGGGGTCATGTGAATCCCGAACACGGACATGGTCCACGACTTGCTTAAGTATGGTTATCTGTACAGCATTAGCAGGGACTTCTGGATGGATTTCTTTGAATCTGCCCATAATGAGACGCACAGCGAAGATGGATTTGATCAGTGGTTCGGTATAGTGTTGTATCCAAGAACGGCAGTAATAGATTTCAGGTTCTATTACAGAGATGGATACTGAAACAAAACTCAGTCAGAACAAACAACAGCAACAGCAACAGCAACAGCAACAGCAACAGCAACACTATTTAGTCAAGAAGTCTAAGCCCAAAACAGTCAAGTGTCAAAGCTGGAGACGGAAGGACCGACTCGAAGCCAGTCCCCAGTGGGTGGAGTTCCGTCACGGCGCCTTTACCCGTCCCGGCGTACCCTCCCTTCCTTCCTTCCTCCCTCAGGCTCTCTCCAGGCTCCGTCATCACTCGTCAGAATCGTCACACCTTTTTCCCAAACTTACGCCCCTCTTCAGGCTCTAGACTCTACAGTAGCGCTTGCCCCAGGCCCTGCCAAACGCCCAACCCGAGCGATTCACCTGATCCCCATGGAACCATGAATGCTTTAGCTGCGTCTTAAGAGAGTTCCCGTCCATGTCTATGGGTCGCTGGCGTGTCGGCCAGGGTCCACTACGACTGCGGACCGTTCTTCTGAGCGGTTTCCTTGTCCATGACCGCTATTCCAGTTAACCATCCAGTCATCCTCCAAGGCTCCAAGTGTCCCCAACCCCCTTCTCTTTCCTTGTCTAGGTCTTTGTCTAGGTAGAAAAAGACACTAGATAGCCTGGAGATCTCTTGTGCATCACTACTATGAATATTGTGGGAGTATAAGAAGCCTTTCCGACCGCCTCCCGCTTGTATCTCCTCCACTAACATCGTCAGACATCGTCCGTCGCTCATACTTGCCTTGCCCGACCGCTTCATGATGGGTCCCATCAAGATTTGTTCCATAGTGATTCTGGGATCCACGACAATTTAATTTCTCGCGTGGTGATTTTCTCCAGCCGGGCCAATGACGATCAGTTCTCCGGTATCGGGACGACAAACACCACACGGTAGTGACGGTACTATACTAGGTTGCCCCCCCCATTAGCTTGCCATATCCATGAAGGATCACTCTAATCATGGTGAATTGATTAATTGCTCGCTCCAAGCTACCTTGAGCTTTGCATTTCTATTGCGCACATCTCAGACTTGCATCGTATTCGAATCCAGGGACCCAGTTGATCCAGGGAACCGCATGTTGGCAGTTGCACTTTTTCTTTCTTTTTGATTTAATTCCCTGGGATTCCCCATCGCCAACCTTCCCGCCTTTCCGCTTTCCGTCAGCCCGGCCGTGGGACTGGCACCCTGCGTCTCGTGTGCTTGACCCAACCGTTTTTTCCCAATTTGCCTCCCGGGCGGACCGGCGAGTCGGCCACCCAAAGAACCACTTTCACTAGGTCGTACTTTTCCCACTGCAATATTTGACACCTCGAATTTGTTTGGTCTACGCCTGCGTAGTACGAGTATTATGAATGGAATGAGCTCGATGAGGAGGATAATGATCTTTTTTTTGTTTTGTTTGACTGTGTTTGAGTGAAGAAGCAACGTTCACTCGGTCTTCAAAACCACCAGCAAGCGAGACACACCAAGCGCAAAGACGTCCAAACTCTGTCTTCATACCTTGGTTGCTTTCGATCTGAGCGTTCAATTAGAGTCCGAATTGGTGCATTCGCATCCAATCTTTGCTTGCGCCTCCACTATCATCTTAGCTTCTAGGAGGCCCTTGGGTTTTCAATTCTTCATCGCCTGCTGATCGAGCCTCATCCGTATCTCTCCTTTGCATCTAATTCTTGACTGGACGCTTTTCGCCATCCTTCCACTCTTGTCAGCGGCAGATCGATGCTGAGTGAGAGGTCATTATCTCGGCTTAGCTTCATTGATTGAATCACTCTTCATTCCTCCTTCTTCCCAGACTACGCGCAGTCTATAGAAATAAGGTAGGTGCAAGAATAGAAAAAAAAGCACCCAAATTTACCAGATTAAAGAAGGGGCGTGCACTCGCCGGTCTGCCCTCGAGGGTTCCCGGGAGTTTCGCTACAGCCACCACTCCTCGGTGGTAACTGGCAGCTCTGACCCTGCCCTACTCATTCTCGCAGTTCTTGTCATTTTGAGGGATGATTGATCTATACTGATGATTGCGTCGCGCGACTCTCAGACCCAGCAGACGCCCTTCATTGCCCGCTGACGCCCATTATCCTCAACGGCGTAACGTTTCTTTGCCCGTGCCCGACCAAAAGATACCTTGCTGGTTTCCTCCGATTTGCGTGAGTGACTTCTGACTGTTCTTCTGCCCCTCCAATCCTGTGTCATTGCCAGCATCGCTCGAATCGCTCCGTTCCTGGCACTAGCACTATCACAATCCGTATGCCTTGCAAACGTGGGTAGGCTCTGCATTTTTGAGCTGCGTTTGAGCTGGGTTGGTGCAGTCCACTGCAGCCATTGCGGCCTACCGCATTGAGAGCCCCTCAGCGTTCACGAACTTTGCAGCAGTGTTCAACGCTCACGTCATAATCGAAATCCCCGACTCTTCCATTTTTGTCTTTTTGTTATTTTCCTTTTCCTTTTCTTTTTTTTTTTTTTTTTTTTTTTTTTTTTTTTTTTTTTTTTTTTTTTTTTTTTTTTTTTTGCTTTCTCACTCATTTTATCTGGCTTTTTGGGTACAGAATATTTCTATTTCAAAATTCCCTTTTCTGATCCTTTTTTGACCCATCTGTACTCTCTTTGTCCCTTTTGTTTTATTTTATCATTATTTTTTGTCCTTTCTTGTCTTTTCTTATTTTATTATTTTTCTACCATCGAGTGCCCTTACCCCCCTTACTACCTATCTATCCTTCCCTGACCCTTGCTAAGCTCGACCACCTTGACTTTCTACACCTACCGTATTCTTCCCCTCCACCGCCTCTCTCCATCCATCAATCCTCTCGAATCTCTCTCTCTCTTTCTCTCATCGCCCCTCCCCTGGTCTGTCTTCCCTTTTGCCATCTGTTCATCTCGCCTATCTGCATTCCTTCCCCCCCTTCCCCTTCCCCGTTGGTTCTCTCGTCCAGGTGCGGATTAGATCCTCTTTTAATTCTTTGCCTTTCCAATCCCCATCCGGTTCAGCGTGACCACGAGGCTATGCTATGCTAGCTTCGTAAATCACCCGACGGGAGCTGGGACTGTTTCTGATTTGGCCGATTTTCTGACCGGCTTCGACTCCGCATCAACATCCTGGTCGCTTTACCACACTTTCTCACACACAGACACACTGCATTGCACCTTCACACACGCGCACACACTTGTCCTCTTACACTCACATCCACTCTTCGTCCTCCCCCGTACATACTTGCTGGCTACTGCGACTACTGCTCTTACTTACGTACTTACATACTGCTTACTGCCATTACTTACATACATACCGTCCTGCCAGTCTCCTTTCCAGTCATCATACATACATACAACCTGCCCATACATACATACAACTGCCACTACCACACAGATCTTCCCCCCTCCTCCTGTTTCTAAAGGAAGAACACCCCTGCTGTCTGCTTATCCTTGGCCAAAAACGACCCGTGGGACGTGACTGTCGACTCACATCATCCTGCATTTGTCCTCTCGTTCCCCCCTCCTCGTCCCGTCATTTTAAAGCAACAGTCCTCGCTCACTCGCTTTTACCAATGTCCAACAATCCCCACGATCTCAGCGACCCTACGCGACAGGGACAGTATCCACCACCTCAGTGGAACACTAGTCAACCCGAGGACAACCCTTCGGTGCACTATCCGCCTGCTTCTCAGTATCCGGTATGTTGCTTAGTCTTGTTTGATAGCGTCGGTGATATGAACATGTTGGGGAAAGTGGAAAAAGCGGAATGGTGGTGGTGGTGGTCATTGTTATGGCCCTCATCTAGCTTACTCTGCCTTTCCTCGAGCTTCGAGTCTCTTCCTTCCAGTCACTTACATCCATTAAAGGCTCTATTGACTCGTCACTTCTGCACCTACTAACAATGGCTCCGTCCCTACAGTATCCTCCGGCTTCCTATCCTCCTCCGACGGCCGATCACCAATACCCGCATCCCCCGCAATCGCAGTATCCGCCTCCGCCTAACATGGCTGCAATCCATCCCCACGTCCAGGGCCCGCAAGACCCGTACCGTCTTCCTCCACCTCCTGGTTCTTATCGTCCAGATATCTATACACAGGCGCCTCCTCCACCACCCCAGGTAGTCTATCAAGCTGCCGCCCCGCGTCAACGGACTGCCATCGCTTGTCGTTACTGTCGGAGACGGAAGGTATGTTTACAATTGCATAGCTCAGGCGGCTGTCATTCGCGGCGTCAATCCATAGCAGTGTTGGCTAACACAAATTGCTCGGGATTTGTAGATTCGTTGCTCGGGATTTGAAAGCTCTCAAGATGGACGCTGCAGCAATTGTATCCGGTTTAACCAAGAGTGCATGTTCACCCCTGTCTCATCGCAAGCGCAGGCTTTCGTCCCCGCCCATGCTGCGTACCCACACCTGCGCAATCCGCAAAACCAGAATCGACCTGTCACGCTATATGGAGCGCATGGCCAACCGCTCCCGCCCCAACAGCAACCGCAAGCCGACCCGACTCTTCCACCACCGCAAGGAATGTACCAACATTATCCGGGCGCCCATGCCCCCCTTGCATCAGGAGCACCGGATCATGTGAGTTACCCAATTTCCCGGTCTTCTGCTACCTGTTCTGATCAGCACTGATCCGCACCCATTCGCAGAGGCCTGGACGTCGAGGTTCTGGCTCCGGTTACGACTATCCCGATCCCACCAACTTGGCTCCGGTAACACCTGTGACCTCAGCATCTGGCTATCAAACGCACAATGCCCCTGGTCCATACTACCCCGCGCCGCCGCAGCATGACCGCCGCCCTTCGCCGCAATCAAGTTATCCCTACGACAGCCGCCATTCCTCCTCGCCCCACAGTTCGCCCTATCCTCCGATGCATCCCACTCAGGGTGCAATGACCCCTCCGCCCACTTCCACTCCAGGTGGCTCAACTCGTGCAGGGCTCAATGTGCGTGACATGCTGAACCCAGGGGACAGCCAAGGTCGCTCTAGTACCGATAGTGATATGCTCAACGCATTGAACCGTCGGGGTCTGAACCAATAAACACCTCCACCGACATTTCCCAGTCCGCTTGTGATAGCCTACAGGGAGGGTCACACGCGTGCAATGTCGTGCGGGGAGGGGAGCTCCAGAATGGAGATAAGAATGAAACTCGATTCTATGTTGGTGGTTGGTGGATGCGCGTGGTTCGTGTGCTGGTCACACATTCCCCCACATGGCGCGGTCAATACGTTGTTGCGCGTGTGCTGATTCAGTAGCGGTCTTCATACTGTTTCTTGGACGGGATACGGGCGCAGCGAGTAGACGCAAGGGAAAAAAAGGTTGCAATACGTGTGATGTGTGAACGGATTTCCTCTTTCTAAAGGCGCCTTCTGGATAATGATGCTGCACGATCGTGACCTGAGCATTCTCGGTGACTTTCTCGACAGACAATTCGCCTCGGATTCAAAACGGCAGTGATTTCACGCCATATGCGCGCATCGAGATTGAGGGACTATGATGACTTTTTTAATATCCATTTTCTCCTACGACGAGGCCATGGAAACGAAACGCAAGGGTTTTATGAGCTGCATGATGTGACTATGAGTATGCCTGTCTTGGTTGATAATCATTTTGCGGTAGACGGCGTGTGCGGGGTGTCAATTTTGTGGCTCGTGTTGAATCCCTGCCGGATCTTGACAATCGACAATTCGCACAGATTTCTTCGCCATGCCATTTTCTTTCCCGGAAATCAACACCACGGCTTTTTACAGTACCCGGGCCACCCTATTAATGATTTTTCATTCATTATCAGCTTTTCGCGTTCCATTCGTATCCCGTGTTCAAACGCCTTTGGGCTTGACGAAACATTTGCGCTTTTCCTCGAAGATGCTGGACGGGTTTGTTCTCAAATTGGCAATATGTGAAATGATGTGGCAGACGTCAGTCGCGGTTTTCTGTGCCCATCGTTCTCGCATACCGTTTGTGGTTAACCGCAGTCCAACAAGACGACTCGAACGCCTCTGCTGCAACCATCACATCACGAACCATCAATTAATCGTGGGATTCTGCTCTCTTGTTCATCAACTTCTTGTTCCAAGTACGATGGGAATGTCCGTGGTGTCTTCCTCGCTTTCTTTCGATTCAACCTGTTTCACTATCCATTGATAAATTTCTTTTTTTTTTTTGTTTTCTTGTTTCGGGTGGCTATCTGATCCTGCGTTTACTAAACTTTGACATCTGCTTGGTTGGTTTGCGATTTTATTTGCTTCCTCTGTTTGCCGCATCGGGAAGTTCATATCGCCCTAAAAAGGAGGTTTTATGTGAGTTTTTCTTTATCAGTTGTAGCTTATTGTCGTTGCATTGGTTTCCTTTTCTTTTATCTTTATAACACTTGGGAGGCTGTCTGATCAACTCATTATTCATTCGCAATTCTTGCGAATCTCGAATTTTCCAGTGCATGTTTCGATCCAGCATTGTGCATTATGTTTTCTTTATATTTCTGCGTGTTTCTTTCTTTTCTTGTGTGGTCTACATGTTCCAAGATGCTTTATGCCTATTTCTTCCATTTCAATTCTTCGATCTATGGTTCTGGTACTATGGTTTCTCTTTTCGCTAGATTTCTGGAATGGACAACTTTTGATCCCTACTACACTGTTGTATTGGTGTTTGCTTTCAAGTTAAGATCGTAGTCCGATACAGTAGGGATCAACATACCCATGGTGAGTTCTGGAATAGAAGTAAACGTCGAGCGAGGTATATAGGTAGGTAGTTTTTCACAATTATGGAATCCCAGAGCCCAGACAGTCAACGCTGCGGTGGATTGGATCGGATTGATTGACTTTGTCCACGGTTCGGACCTTCCTTCCTTCCCCATTCCCATTAAGTTTAAGGTGCTCCGTTCTTCCAAGGGTGTCAACCCAAATGGAAACGAAAGAGCGTAGTCGGGCGAGGATATTACCGGACTACAATACCGTAGCTTTATTCCCTTCCTTTCCCCCGTTCCCTGTCTACGCATGTGATTTCCTTTCTGACCGGTTGGGGAAGAGCCATCAGGTTGGGGGGTGGGGAGCTGTGGGGATGTTGTATGGCAGGGACTCGGGGCAGCAGGGTCCGTCGTCCTATGCTATTCTATTCTATTCTATTTGGAGGGGTGTATATATACGGTGGGTATCATTTTCACAAGAGGGTTTGCGGAAAGGGCGCCATTGTTACTACTAAGTAAATTGGAGATAAGGTTCGAGTGTTGGGAGGGGAGAACGCGCTGGAGTTTGGATTACAACAGGTATTGATTGATCGGTTGATTGCATGACATGATTCGGACGCGCTGGGGGTACAGTACAGACGGTGGTGGTATGTGTGGGCACACTTGACATTGGTAGCTTGGAGTTATGTTATCGGAAGACCAAATAAGTAGATCCTGAGAAAGTAGAGTCGCGGATAAAAGAGCACAAGCGGGGACGAAAAACAAAAGAAGAGTAGCAGATTCGCTCAATAGCGGTTGGCAATATGGAATGAGATATTCAAGGAAGATGATAGGGCCAAGGTAGCCAAGGTTAAATTGAACGCCTGGTTCTGCACCGTAGCCTGGTTGTAGGGATGGCTACAGCCATCCTGTTGGCCGAAATGGGCCCTCATTTGTGCTCGATATCGTTGTAGGGACCTGAAGGTTAGAATACACCGAAACAGGATATATGGGTGGGTGTATGGGTCAAGAGGTAAGGGTTCAAGATTCGATCAGGAAAAGCTATGATTCGGGAAAAGCGTCCAGGATTCGAATCATCTCCTTTGCTCGGGCTGGGTCTTCAACAAGCATATTACGTTGCTTCATGACCATGTACAGCGTGTCGACCACCTTGTTGAAGGAGGATGCCGCTCCTCTCTCTTGTCTGAATCGGACAAGGCTGAGGTTCTCTTGTCGTCCCTGCTCGAGGTAGCTGCAGAATTCGGCTGAAAACTGGACAGGCCGGAGGCGGAGGACTACATTCACAAATCAATACTAGTCCGTGGGAGATTTACACGCTGATAGATATCGACTTACGGTTTCCTTCGCCAACGGTACCATAAATGACACGTTTGTCACGGTTGAGATAGACATCCTGCATGCCGTATTTCTTCCAATCCCTGAGGATTCTGTGCACGTCCTTGCGGGCTTTCGTCGTCGATGTGTTGAGTGCGACGACTCGAGTCGCCGGCTTAAAGTGGAAGACTCGGGCAAACCAGTTCTGGCTTCTGCCGGGGTTCGGTGGTCGTTCGGGAAGGGGTCGAATGTTGCTGTCATCTGTGTCAAATGTATGCTCAGGCTCCTGAGTCTGTTCAAGTAACTGGTTTGTTTCTGCAGTTTCAGGCTCTACGACTGGCAATGACTGTAAGCACGAGTGTATACAAAGCTGGGGTCAAAGGAAACTCACCTGATTCACGGTTTAGTGCACTTTTGCTTGCTCGTCGGTTGATCAAGCGCCGGAAAAAGCCCGTTTTGGGCTTTGAGGGCGACGGTTTCTCGTTCAAGCTGGACTCTACATTCGTCCCGAAGACATCCGTTGGAGGATTGACATCATGTCTTATCACGGTCTCCGAGCTTGGCTGTATTGGGCGAATGTGTGCCGAGAGCCTGGTAGCCTTGTCATTGGAGGTGTTGTACTTATTCGGGAGCCATGACCATTTTCTGTTGTCTGACGTTCGCGTGGTGCTGCGCCGAGGTGATCCGGGATTCTCGGCGATAGGATCCAATTCGCAAGGTATGCGACTATGACGCGAATTTACAGAGGCAAATCTTCTGGTGGGTGAAGCTCCCTGGTCGCCGTCAGGGGCCATCCTATACCCATCAAGCGACTGTCGCGCTTCCTGAGGAAGCACATTTTGGCTTTTCTGAACCGGCAGGTGCTTTGGGGGGTCGATTGACTGTACGGAGCTTTGAGGCACCATACGGATTGTCCGCTTGCCTTCACGGCTTGTGCGGCTAGAGGGGTATTCAGTGTTTGACCGGGGCCCGGTTGTTCTCTGGCCTTCAAAGGGATTAATGAGGCTATCCCGATCGCGGTGGTTAGCAGTTGGATTCGAGGGCCGGACGAAGGGATCAGCAGGAGCGGTAGAAACGGGGCGTGCATTTTCGCGCCTGTCCTTTCGATGAAGCTCATCCTGCTCTATCAATCTGTCGAGGTGGCCAATCACTGCAACGAGGTAGCCAGGGATGTCCTCATTTCCGCCCTTCGTAGAGTGTTCAATCAGTCTGCGTCGAGTCTCTGTAAGCTCCGCCACTGTATAGGGCTTTGGTGATGAAGCTGTAGGCAAAGGTTTCGGTTGCGTGGTGGAAGTCTTGGGCGTTATCGTTTGTTCTGAGGTTTCGGGGCTGGCGATGGAGACAGATGTTGCAGGTGTTTCTGATCCAATGCAAGTACTGGTGGTCGTGCATCCAGTGGATAGCGAACTGCCATTGAAAGCTTCCTCACATATTTGACTAAGTTCATGGGACACCTTGCGCGCGTCCTCTTTCCATGTGAAGTCACTGGTCCTCAGCTTCTTCATCTGAGGACAGTTTTTGATTGTCACTCCTGCACCCCGGACCACGGTAGGTGGGGCTGGAAGCATCGGGCTGCTGTTCGGGTCAACGAACGGATCATCCTGAAGTTCAGAAACCAAACTATCGTCGCTAGAATTCGCTTTGACTTCTCGAGTTCTCACACGCGAAGTCTTCATTCTGACAGAAACGGATCCCTGGGAACGAGTTCGAGCATGGCGAAAACATACGTTACGCTTGTAACTGGCCGATCGTGGGGTCGGCGTACCATACAAAGCTCGACGGGATGATTGTGACGCTTTGGACTGGAATGATTTCATGGAAGCAACTTTGAGTCTCTTGTTGCGGCTCACTATAAATGGGGAGCTAGGTGGGCATTCAATATCCTGGCATGACGATTCCTTGGTCGCCGGCTCGGGCACAGGAGGAACAGGCGGTCTCTCCAGTTCTTCATATTCGTTTACCCCGTTTCGATAGATTGTGATTTGAGCGAATTCAGCTTCCTTTAACTCAAAGTTATGTTTCGGAGATCGGAATGGATCATAGCTCTCCACCGTGGCACAAGACATTGGTTCTCTGATGGATCTTCTGGAACGTATTCCTGTCTCTTTGATCGAGGCCTGAGATTGCTTTCTGGAGTGATACTTGGTGTGACTGTTTCGCTTATAGGCACTTCGTTCCTCAACTCTCGATATATGATGGTAGTCGCTAGCTGAGTACTCCAGGGCCTGGCCTTGATAGTTCTCCAACTGCTCGTTTCGGAACTTGACTAATGCATTATAGAACATTCGCTCTTGAGTCGGTCTGTAGCGGGGAGACACGTCAGTCTAAATATCACTGCCAAGTCTCAACATCAAGGATCAACCTACTCCGGACATAGTATTCTTTCAATCAGCACCTCTCGATGAACATCATGCCACAATGTTTGGAGATTCCTTAGTAGATCAGGGTCAACATCTTCTCTATGGGAGATAGGTTCACCGCAGTCATCGAAGGATAGCGGCGGAGCAGGTCCCACGTAATGTTTCGTCATAGCCTGATGTAGTTTCTCATACTTTTTGAGAAGCGGATGCATCCATATACCTTGCATGTTGATTCGTTCTTCAGGTCGCTTCTGCAGAATACGCCTGATGAGATCTGCAGCCTCAAGACTTACTTCTGGAGGTATGTCAAACTCTGCCTTCTTGACCAGACGCAGCGTGTTGGGTAGATCGCCCCCATCAAACGGAAGGAAGCCCGTCAATAGAGCATATAAGATGATACCGCAGCTCCAAATGTCTGCCAAATCGCCCCGATACCTCCGGCCATGAATGATTTCTGGTGCAGCATAATGCGGGCTACCACAGGAGGTATTGAGCCATTGATTCATGGGCTGAAGAGCGGCCATTCCAAAGTCAGCCAGTTTCACGTTACGCAATCTGTCTAGCAGGATATTCTCCGGTTTCAGATCGCGATGGCAGATATTGAATCGATGGCAGTACCCAAGGCCTGCAATAATCTGTCGAAACAACCGTACGGCTTCTGCTTCCGGAAGAGGGCCATGCTTCTCGACGTATTTGAACAACTCTCCTCCTTCAACATACTCCAATACCAGATATCTTACGGACCAGAAGTTAGTGAGTAATCCAGAAAAGCACTTTGGGCTCACCTACAGTTCGCCGCGGTTTTCCCAGACATCGTACAAACTGATAATGTTGGGATGCTCGATGAGCTTCATGATAACCACCTCTCGCTCAAGTCCCGATGGAATATGCCGCATCCCCGTCCCAGGAAAGTGACCTGCCTTTCGATCCATACCGGCAATGCTCTCACTCTGCGTCATGGCTGCTGACTTTTTGGACACGATCTTGATTGCGGCAGTTTGTCCGGTGAGTGCATGCTTGGCCAATCTTACTTGACCACTTGCGCCACTGCCGAGGGTTTTATCGAGCTGCCATGGTCCGACATGCGTCTTGCGTTTTCCTCTATTCGAAGCGGTTGAGGTGGCTGAGATAGTCGAGTATCGATTTGTGGTAGGCCGCGAGCCGGCCACGGGCGAAGCGTAGTTCATCTCCGCATCAGGCTTGGTGGATAATGGACTGGTGACGACGGACACCGGCACCGGTGAGGGAGCTTGATAGTACCGTCCTTGCTTCATCTGCTCCTCCTTCTCTTCCCTTGGGCTTATGTATCTATTGACTCTTGTTGTGGCATCCATCAGTGGGGTCCGCATTATCTGGGCACTCAGGTAGACGTGATTCTCGTCCATTTCCTCACTCCCGTTACCCGATCTAGCACTGCGAGGTGACTTGCCTGATGATTGGCATTGGACTAGGATGCTGTGTTTATTTTCCGAGATGTCAAGCCAGTCGATTAGGGGAAGTGAGGCTTTCCTTGCTGCGCGCGGACGTCGAGGTTCAGGAGAGACACGAACTGACGCGAGATGTCAAGTCACGTATTCACACCACACAGAGGGTAAGAGAGAGGGAGAGACAGCACGATGGTCTTTGACGTGGATCCGGTAGGCGTAGACGTGTGAGTATCTGAGTGAGTTGTCGCGTCCCTGTAAGTGTGTGGTTAGTAATTTCCGGTCGACAGTCGTCAGCGAAACCTCATGTAGCACATGCGGGATGAATCCACGACGCGACTTCCGATATGATGCAGGCCGTAAGTAGTGGGTGGCGTGACGATTGTTGCTATCATCAATGATGGGAGGGAAGGACGGGAAGGCACTAGACAGTATACATGCAGATGTGTGCGTTGGTGTGTGTGTGTGTGTGTGTGTTTGTGCCAGCCAACTTTCCTTTACCACCCATGCCCCACGGGTACATACTCGAACCACCAGAAGCCAAACAAACACGGTTCATCCACTTGGTCTGGAGCATACCATGGAGAGGCAAAAGCCCGCGGAATGGCTAGCAAGCGGTTTGTTTATGTTCAGCTGAGGAATCCTCCTGGTTGGATGGTATTGCCGCAGACCTCGGTGGAATGCAGCCTCAGTACTCTGAACTTAGCTGAAGAGACTACAGAAACCCTCGGGCAGCATATGGTGTCAATCGTGATGGTGTTGCCTGGTGTATTCAGTCCTGATCTACATTGACTTGTTCGCGCGGTGTGCTGTTGAATCTTTATCGGTGGTAAGGCTCACCATGGCAAGCCAGACCCAATACTCACCCATATTCTCGCTGCTTTTTCTTTGCGAGAGAACTCGCTGTGGAAAGAGAAAAAGTTGAAGAATTTACTTTGGCGCTGCTCTGGTCTGTTGGCGCCTTTGCGCATTCCTCCCTTCGTGCCCCAAAACCAGGGGTAGCGACGCACGATTGGATGACCACAACAAGATACATACCGGCAAGAAACCCGTTTCTCTCGCTTACCTCCTTGACTATGCCGCCACGAAGCTTACAAGTGTAAAGAGCAAGAGAGATGCACCGTCGAAACTACGTCGAGATGAGGGGTAATGCGCTTTCGGATAACCGTCCTTTCCTCATACAGCCGAGCCTCTACTGCACACATTGAAACAAACATCCGCCAAATCTGCTAGGGGTGAACCCATTGCAGAGTCTCGGAGGAGGGACGGAGTAAAGCCGATTGACAGCTCCAATTAAACAGCCTCGCATGCAATACCGGCTGCGGACACGGAGATATCGTGCCTATCAAGTCCGTGCGTGCGTCAATTACACTATAGGAAGTCATAACGATATCACCAGCTCTGCTCTGTGGTGGGAGCCTGGCGCTGAAATCACCAATGCTCTTCCCCGATTTCCGCCTCTTCGACATCTAGCCCATCCACAAACCACCTCCCTTCGCCATTCCCGTCGGGTCCAATCAGCACATCATTCCCACTCATCATGCGCTTGGACATCTTGCCCGTCTCGCGGTCGAACGTCCAGTCCTCCAGCCCGTAGCAGCGCTTCCAGCGCAGTCCGTCTTCGACGTCCTGGAACTCGTACCAGAACTGCACGGCGATCCTGTTGTCCGTGAAGGAGAACAGCTCCTTCCGCAGGCGGTAGTTCTTCTCGCGCTTCCATTTCGCGGTCAGGAACTCGACTATGCCTTCTGTTCCGGCGAAGAATGAGGTGCGGTTGCGCCAGATACAAGTCGGCGTGTAGGCCTGTGCCACGCGGACGGGGTCCCTGGATCAATACTTGTGAGTTATGGACTATGTCGCGTGTATATTCAGCGCCAAAGGAAGTTGCAGATTATGATGTTGAACATGGTATATCAAATTCGCCTCCAGAAGACGATCACTTAAACAGAGTATCGAGGTGCAAGTCCCTAGTGCAAATCCATCGAATGGTCAAGGGGGCAGGATGCGCACGAGGCGGCGTGCTGCAGATAGGGAGAGGGGGACCATCTCAATTCTTGCAAGCAAGGGGGGGGGCAAATGTGTATGCATGATGATGTCTGACTCCTCCATGCCAGCACTAAGTCTCACTAATGGCTATTCCTGCCAGAAGGTGAAATTGAGGTACGTGTCGAACTCGAACTCGATGAATTTCAAACAGGTAGACACGAAAACGAGATGAAATCATGGCATATCAGAGCGATAAACAATCCGGGCCAACTCACTGAGTATTCCACAGGTTCTGGGCTGCTTTGACCTTCTTCCGTGCCGATTCTTCCGTAAAGGGCGGCTTGATGTCGGCCATTGTGAATTCAAAGTAATTTGATGAGGGGTCTCTACTAGGTTGGTAGATAATGAGAATTGTAGCAGGCAGCCTTTGATGTGTTACGTATAGTTGGTTGTTGAGATTGACTCACGCTGACACTATTCCTGGTCACGTGTTTATACTACACCGGCTTATGTTTCACAGTATTGGATATCAAATTTTAGTTGCGAGCTAGCATAATCACTAGTCAAACTGCGAGCTTTGGAAGATAGAATGACATAGCCGGTTTGCTTCTGAGAGAGGTATTGTATGTTGCAGTATGGTTTACTAGTATTTCAAGTTGCCATTCAGTTCTTGCCTTTGAGTCATTTGGCAGCGTTAGATATATATTCCCGATGCAGCGCAAACACAATAAATCATCTCCAAGCTCATCGTTGACATGTAACAGTTCCATCGAAATTTTGACCACAACCAACCCTTATGGAGTACAGACCGACCTACTGGTTTCGCTTAGGTTAGACCAGAGCGCTGAAATCAAGCAGTGATCAAGAAGAGCCCGAAAACCACATCGGACTGCTGCCTGCATGCATGGATTAACTGCAAGTATTGACTACTAGCACATGGGAGCAAGCACCCCTCACGGCTGGCATATATATCACCTTTTGTCAGCAGAAGAGCGTCAGGATATCCAGACAGACAAGATTCATCCTCCACAATACATTTGTTGATATACTTTAGTCGGTTTTGCATGTATCCGTGATGCCCCCTTCGTGGAAAATACACGACTACACCCCCCTTCCCCAGTCACCAGATCCATCATCGCCACCTCGCCGCCCGCAATCCATAAAACGGGCCATCCATGCCGTCGTATTTCTGCTAGTCGGGGCCGTGGCCCTTTCTCAGCTTCGTCCGGATCTTCCTAGATCTCGCTACGCTAAGCGACATGAACAGCCCCGTTAAAACGAAGGCTCTACTTCCGCATGGAATCAGGTATAAACCATGCATGCCTGATCGCCGGGACAGCTTGTGACGGTCTATTCAGATTACACCCACCGAACAGCTCATATACCACCCATGTTTCGACGGCTACCAATGCGCCCGCTTGGAACTCCCCATGGACTGGAACCGCACCGACGGTCAAGGAGCAAAAATCGCACTCGCAGTAACGAAACTCCCCGACAAAGTGCCAGTCACCGATCCAAGATACGGGGGTCCAGTCTTCTTAAATCCCGGCGGCCCGGGGAACTCGGAAGTCGCCATGGTTCTCAACAGAGGGAAATACATTCAGACCGCGGTGGACTCTGCACAGGCGCCGAATGAACCAGAAGAGAGCCGTAATGCAGGGCCCAAGTACTTTGATATCGTCAGCTTCAATCCCCGGGGAATCAACAACACCACGCCCGTCTTCTCCTGTTTTCGGGATACGGCCGCGCGGCAAGCGTGGAAGCTGCAGACGGAGGCGGAAGGTATTCTCGGCAGCTCTGAGGGCGCCTTTGACACTCACTGGGCGCGCCACGAGGCCCTGGGGCTCACCTGCACTCAGCTGCAAAGTACAGGTGATGGGATGGAGGAGGCCGGCGGTACATGGATCGGACGGTTCATGAACACCCCCACCCTTGGTGGCGGATATGGTCGAACTTCTTGAACAGCATGGCCAGTGGCGAGAGCGTGAAACGGATCGGATCCTTGCCAATGCGCGCAAATGGGGCTCGCGGGTGGACAGCGACGCGGTGGAGGCCATCCGCCTGCGCAACCGCTGGGTGCCGGGCCATGAGCAGCTGCAGTACTGGGGAATCTCGTACGGAACGGCCCTGGGCGCCACGTTTGCCGCGATGCAGCCCCATCGCATCAAGCGGGCCGTGATTGATGGCGTGTGCGACGCCGATGATTACTACGCGGGCGCCTGGCTCACGAACCTGCAGGACGCGGACGCGGCTTGGCGGTCTTTCTTTGAGCTCTGCTCGGCTGTAGGACCAATTGTCTGCCCTTTTGCTCGGAAGGGTGAGGACGTAACAGAGGCTATGGGCCGCTATGCGAAGCTTCTGGCGACGCTCAAGTCGGACCCTGTCTCAGCCCCGGCGTCGGGGGAGCGGGGCCCGGACGTTACAACCTATAGCGATGTCAAAACTCTAGTGTTAAATGCTGTCTATACGCCCATGGAGTCATTCGAGCAGGTGGCTCGACTTTTGACGGACCTCGAACAGAGGAATGGTTCTGCGTTTGCGGATTACAAGTATCAAGCACAGGGGGGAGTCACCACACGCAGCCATGTGGTTCAAAGGGTCCCAAGCCGTGTGTAGTTCCAGGTGAGAATCGCGACGACGCGCAGACGAGCATTCTATGCTCGGACATGACGGATATCGGTAAAACATCCAAGGATGGGCTCAGAAGCTACTGGCATACGTTGCAGAATCAGAGTGAGACCTTGGGAGATAGTTGGACTGAAATTCGCTTCAGCTGTATTCAATGGAAGGCAAGGCCAAAATGGCGGTTTGAGGGTTGAGGGTAAGTCATGATTCGATAAGTCTTAAGATCATGTATCAAACGCTGACTATGGACGCATGATACTCCAAGGTCCAATTGCCGGCAGCACATCTTATCCGGTGTCGTTTGTCGGAAACGCCTACGATCCTGTCACGCCTCTTCGAAAGTCAGTTAGCCACTATTTTTTTCGAGTCCCCACCAGGAATTGCAAGATCTAATGAAGCCCACCGCAGTGCAATCACGATGGCAGAACGGTTTCCCGGGTCGGCTGTACTGCAACAAAATTCAGTGGGAGTAAGTGCTGTACCACGCGGTTTTGCCACAGTCTACAGTGACTATACACACTGATACTGAATCAATACACTGCAGCATTGTAGTTTGAGCGGCCCGTCCTTGTGCACGGGCAAGGTGACTCGAGAATACTTCCAAGCTGGCGACCTCCCTAGGCATGGGAAGGTTTGTGAGGTGGATGAAAAGCCTTTCCATGTCCCTGGTCTTCAGCGACGCAGCAGTCTGCCAGCTGCCGATCTTGCTTTGATGTCTGCTCTGCGATCGCTGGCGCACGATGAGGGCTTTGCCCAGAAAAGTCCAATGCGTGGGTTCTTTTGAGCTTGTGGCCGGATTGACATAGCGCATGCCATGTCTGCAGAACCGCTGGTAAAGTTTTACTTCCTTCTGACCATGTGCTCATCAATCATGGCTGCTAATCATGTCTCTGTGTCAAGGTAGATGATAATCAAACCTCTGACAAGAACACAAGTGACACCCGCGTACCCCTACCCTCAATTTCAGCGTCTAGACATAGTCTCATTGATCTTGTATCCTGCGCGTAGGCACGTGTAGATCAGTCCCTGGTTGCATCGGACGCGACTTCACTTCCTTCTAGAATCCAGATGCTGTATAATCATAGTGGAGACGACGGTGTTGCCCCGGACTGGGCCTGTCTTGGATAATCCTGGCGATTGGCCTGGAAGTCAAGACCGAAGCCCAAGACACTGAGCCTCAGATACTGGGATCTACAAGGACTGACCTTGATTCAAGTCTACATACCTTAGGATTGCATAAGCATCCGAGATTTGCCGTTGTGGCCAACAGCAAAAATCTTATCAGATTGTACCTTTGGCTCACATCTGAAAAAATTGATTCCTTCGTGGCGAGTATGGCAGAGGGTGTGCTTGATACCCACGGTAACGATTCCTAACTTCCGGGATGCCATCAAACATGTTAAGCACTGCCTCGGAACCAGGGGTGCTTTGCCCGAATAGTGCGGCGGGAAGGGAAAACCAAGCACCAAGGTTCTCGGGTTCCAAGTTGGTTACGTAGTGGCGGGGCTTGGCGTGAATGGGAGATTGAGTAGAAGATTCCATCCCTGCGAGCAAAAGCCGTGGACATTTAATTGGGTTGAGATTTACCTCGGAGACCCACAGTCATCGCCATTTGTGCTGCTCCGCCAATGAGGCTTCTTGCTCGGTAGTAGTGGGATCGTTTCACGGGCTCAGCTGCAGACCGGGGCCTGTGTAGTTGCAGTACTTGAGGTAGGCGATGGATAGTATCAATGAAGAAGCAATGCCGTGTTTTTCGAGAGGGAGGAGAATTGTAGTCTTGTGGTGAGTCTGTCGGTAGCGAATATATGATGAGTGGGTATGAGATACGGTCTGAGAAGTAATCGTTTGGAGGCTGAGCCGGTGGGAGCCATTGATCTTCAAGGCGATGTCCGAGGAACCGGTATGGCCTGAGGAAGTGACTGAAGCCGTATACACTGCTGTACCTGCATCTGGAATTCAGCCCTGGGATTGTGTTAGAGGTCCGAGTAAGGGAATAAGTTCCGCGTCACTGCAATTAGCCTTGCTTACCGATTGTGGTATGCAACGCGCTCGAGACTCCAGGTATGGATGGAACAAGCATACGGCGATGACATGAGCACAAAAGCCAGCTGAGTCATGATATAACGAGGACTAGAACCTCTGAACACAAAATTGAGTGTTATCAATCAGCATCCCGATCTAGACAATGACGATGCAAAGAGGACGGAGGTGGATTTGTCACCGGCGGCGGTCTAGATAGTAGAGATATCGGCGGTGGAGAGGAGAGAGAGGTGGGGGGGGGACAATTGGCGGGGCTCTCTCAGTCTCAGTCTCGGGCGGTCTTCTTGATAATACACTTCCCTCTCAACTCCATCCCTCCAATGATCCAATTGATTCGGTATCTTTCTGCTTCGGATCACCTTATGGCGCCTTAGACGGCCCGTCGCCGCGTTAATTCGCTGGCCTGCCAACAGGCGCGCCTTCCGACAGGAACCATCCCTAAAGCCATCCACCCATCATTCCCACATATATTAACCCGCCACGGGCTCCCCCATCCATCCGGTTCCTTCTCTCTCTCTCTCTCTTTTCTCTTACGTATATAAACCATTCTCCATCCCACTTCTCTCAATTCATCCACAACTATCTCACTTCACTCTTCTTCACAAACACTCACCACCAACACAAACAAACAATCCATCACAATGTCTGGCCTCAACCCCGGTGACAGCTTCCCCTCCGACGTCGTCTTCTCGTAAGTTCATTCTACTTCAGCATCATCTTCCTTCCCTTGCGTGTTCCGACAATATCCGGCAGCCTTTTATGCCTTGCTTCTTAACCTGGCAACATTCCCACTAACTCGCCTCTTCTTGATAGCTACATCCCCTGGACTGAGGAGAAGGGTGACATCCAGGCTTGCGGTATCCCCATCAACTATCACGCCTCCAAGGAGTGGGCCGACAAGAAGGTCGTCCTCTTCGCTCTCCCCGGTGCTTTCACTCCCGTCTGCTCTGCTCGCCACGTCCCCGAGTACGTTGAGAAGCTCCCCGAGCTCCGCGCCAAGGGTGTCGACGTCGTTGCCGTCCTCGCCTACAACGATGCCTACGTTATGAGCGCCTGGGGCAAGGCCAACAACGTCACCGGTGATGACATCGTACGTTTCATTGGTTCCCATTAATCTGATTCAATGACTAATGAGATCACAGCTCTTCCTTTCCGACCCCGAGGCTCGTTTCTCCAAGAGCATCGGCTGGGCTGATGAGGAGGGCCGCACTGGCCGCTACGCCATCATCCTCGACCACGGCAAGGTCACCTACGCTAAGCGCGAGCCCGCTAAGAACCACCTCGAGGTATGTTGAGCTTACTGTTTGGTGAGATTGAATTAGTACTAACGTTCATCTGCAGTTCTCGAGCGCCGAGACCATCCTCAAGAACCTGTAAATGCACCAACGAATCATAGAGGTTGCATGGGCTTGATAGATGGCGTTGACCTTTAGCTGGTGGGATAATGACCTGGAAAAGAGGTAATAGAAAAGTCATGTTAGAGCTAGACTTCCCACTAGATAGTTGAAGAAATTCAACGCATTACGATGCTATGAAATAAAACCTGATCCATTGTAAACAGCAATTGACTGATGATGTCAGGAGTATTGAATCGTCGACGTCGAAGGCGTGGTCTAACCAGTCAAGAATTTCAGACAGACCGGTCTACAGACAAGATTCAGGGATGGAACTGTAGCTGTAAGCATTTAAGCAAACAATTAGCCTGGAATGATCTACAGCCCCAATTGAACCCATCCCAAGCGTCTAGATTAAGCAATTTGAGCATAAGCCCCTCCACTGGCTGTCATTGGTGCGTGCCTTTTTGTGTGTGGCTGTTCGGCCGGCGGGAGCGTGACGACGCTAAACCTTTCCATTTCATTATTACATAGCAGACAGGGATTAGAGAGGCGGAGAGAGCGACCACAAAAAAAGCTTCAATTACTGCAGTCAACCACCACCTTACCTTTCATCTTCCCCGCACCTCATTTTGTTTCTTTCCCTCTCTCTCTACCCCTTTTACTTATTATCCTTACAAGACCTCTGATCCATACAGCGGCCACCAATGGCCTCCAACCCGCCCTCGAAGAAGCGTGCCTTCCCAGCGGCGGGGAACACCAGCAGCAGCAACAGCAGCTATAAGAATGGAGGATTCGCCTCAGCCGCCGCCGCCCGCAAGCGCGCCAAAACCTTCGACGCCCGCACCCTGGCCGTGCAGACCTCCGACGCGGCCCTGTCGCTCTCGGGCGAGCTGGACGCGGCCGCCTACGTCGAAGCGCGGGAGTTCGAGATCCGCGCGCTAGAGGCCGGCATGCAGCGGTCGCGGGCGGCTTTGACAAGCCGGGCCTTCCAGAAGGTGCCGCGGTCATTGCGCCGGCGGACGGCGAGTCATAATGTGAAGAGGGTGCCGAGACGGTTGAGGGCGAGGGCGCGGAGAGAGGTATTTACCCCCTTCCCAGCTTCTCTCAGTATTGTGCGATGTGTGTTGTTTTGGGTGATGAATCTTTTGTTCTTGCTCCTGGGAGTGATGTCCATTTTTTATTAACCTGTTGTCTCTTTCCCGGGGGTAGATGATAGAAGACAACACGCCCACCGTAAGCTCACGGACCCGAAAACCCACCGAACAGATGCGGATCCGCCTCGAGACTGCGCGCCGGCTACAAGGGCTGAACGCCCGGACGAAAGCCAAACGGGCCCTGCGTCGGACCCTGCGGGCCCGGGAGTTGAGAACTCAGCTTGAAAACGAGGGCGGAGGGAGCCATGCGTATGAGATCGCGCCGCGCGTGCCCAAGATCAAGAAGAATCGCCTCTCCCGGCCGCTGCCGCCCGAGGCCCGCTACCGCAAGCGCCAGCGCTGCAAGACCTGGTTGCCCACCCATATGTTCCATGCCAAGCGCGCAAAGATGACCACTTCCCTGGATCCGTTGTGGCGGTTTGCGGTGCCGTTGTCGCCTACCGAGAAGAGTTATCGGCCGACGCATCGCGCGAGGGGTACTAGGGGCTGTGTGGCGTGGGATATGAGCTATATGGCTACGGTGCAGTTGGAGGGGACCGGGGCGGGCGTGGAGGCTGTTTTGAAAAGGTTGGGGGTTGGCGTTGCGGGGGGTGATGATGGTGTGCAGGCCTGGGGGGTTAGGGGCCGGAAGTGGAGGGAGGGGAAGAGGGGCCTGAGGAGTTGGGTATTTGAGGCCGCGACGGGGGATACAGAGGGTAAGAGGAGGAAGCCGATTGCGGAGGTTATGCTGGTGTGGTGTGCTGCTGCGGCTGAGGTGGGTGGTGATGGGGATGTGGACATGTTGGATGTTGATGCTGAGCAGCGGAAGAAGAGCAAGAAGCAGCAACAGCGCAAGAAACTCTGGATTCGCGTTCATCCGTCGGCTTTCCTGCAGCTGTGGAACGAGGTGCTGGCGATCTCGAAACAGATGAACCCGCCGGTCATGGTCGAGGACCTCCGATTCGAAATTGGTAGTATCGAAATCACGGGGCCGGGCTCAATGGAGGCGTTGATCGCGTCCCTGAAGCCGGTCGTCGCTGGTGGGAAGTCATTCGCAGTGAAGAGTCCAGAAGTTACCTGGGGCTCCTTGTTGGGCGTTTCTAATGCTGCCTCTTTACCGAGGGATGCGCTACTCGCTTTTTCCGTCTCTGACCCCCGGTTGAGCCACCCTCCGAAGACATTGAAGCCACCAACTTCCGAGAGTGAGATGCAGAATTTGGCTGTTCTACTCTCGACTTGGCATCCGGATGATACCCAGACTGCCCCGGCTCTTTTCGATCGTCGCGCACGTCTGGCCGCCGTGCGTCAAATGCCGAGTCAGAAAGCCATCAACCGGCGACGCTCAGCAGCTGGACCGGGAATCACGCCCCCTACAAAGGATACAGATCCAGAGATCCCTGTCATCGTCCTGGCGTGTCGATCGCCTGTGCAGTCTAAGGATAACAACGGTCCGGGAAGCTGGACCGTGCTGCTTCCGTGGAAGTGTGTGCTCCCCTTCTGGTACAGTCTGATGTACTACCCGTTGTCAAGCGGAGGCATCCCCCGATTCGGAGGCCTCAAGGAGCAGCAACAGCTGGCTTTTGAATCCGGAGGCCCCTGGTTCCCCGGTGACTTCCCTGGAACCCGTGCCGGGTGGGAGTGGGGTCTACGCGAGCGAGATGAGGCGAAGAAGGCGTGGGAGCGACGGCCGAAGGGGCGCCGAGTCGAATTCGACAGCCTGGATCTCCGCAACGGCCAGAAGGGCGAAATCGGTAGAGGTTGGGCCTGCGACTGGGAGAGACTCGTCCAGGGCCCAGCGAAGGACGAGGATGCACAAACGAAAGCCAAGCAGGCAGATACATTCATAGAGGATGCTGCTGGGGCTAGTACTACTACAACAACAGCCACAGCCGATGACCAACCGCCACTAAACATCCACCAACTCTCCTCATCCCAGGCCTTGCGGGCTCTGAGCGATTCCTCGATGAAAGTCGATAATGCCGCGCTCGCCACAGTCCGCATCTCCCTCGTCAGCCGTGGCACCCCAACGCCTCGAGCCCGGATCTACCGTCTCCCTTCCAACGACCCAGATCTCAAACGACGCTGGGTCTCCCTGGCATCGAAAAAGCCTGAGCAAGAAAAAGATTCCCGCATCGCTACCGCTGAGGACGTCCAGCAGCGCCTCGCCGCGTCCCTGCTCACTCCCAGCGCCGATAAGGATGCTCGTCAGGAACATCTCCCGCTGCCTTCTGAGGCCGATCTGATCGGGTTCATTACGACGGGCAACTACAACCTCGCGGAAGGCAAGGGAACGGGCATCGGATCTATCCAGGTGGTCAAGGTTCGGAAGAGCACGACTCCGAGCAAGGAGAAGGTGCAGGGGAAGAAGAATATGTGCATTGTTCGGTCTGCGGGTGAGCTGGTTGGACGGCTGGGGTATTGGGAGCTTGTCTAGCTGGGATTTACTGTGCTTGCTCAAGATATGCATGCGGTCATGGTTGTTAGTGAGGAGTGGGATTCGGTGTTTCATGATACCCCAGTAAATAAGTGGACTGATTTTATAGAGTGAGATGATTGACATGGTTGATGATTTTGCATGATATTTCGAGGCGATGATGGATGGGTTGGATTACCTTACCTGGTGCGTAGTTTCTTGGGTTGAGTTCTCTTCGATGTACTATATATGCTATTGCTGTGGTCTGCACTCTGTCAAGATCTTGACGTCTGATTGCTCAGGTAAGCCAAAAAAAAAGCAGTGAGGAAACCCAAATCTACTGCCATATACACAGACACATGATATGAAAGAAAAGCACAAATCGGATCTATTCATAAGAATCAACATAGCTAACAATACACACACACACACACACTAACACTCCTCTCTCTCTACACACGTACACGCAAGCCCAAGATTCCCTTGATCAGGCCACTATAACATCGGGCCCCCAAATCCCCCAAGCCCGGAGTTTTTTTGACTCGTTTCTCTTTGAACCACGAAAGCATCCCTCTCAACCCACAATCCGATCCACAAACGCCTCCTCCATCTTAGCGACCTCGCGCTTGAAGCTCTCGACCTCCTTCCAGCAGTTCAACGGCCGCCGGTCATTCAACCGCAGGCAACCAACGACATCGGCCTTGGCCTTCTCGACGCCCTCGTCCAGCTGCGCCAACCGCCGCCGGCCCTCGAGCCGGGCGCGCAGCTCCTCGATCTCTGAGTTCACCGAGTCGCGCGACACGTCCAGGTTGATCGGCTTCTGGTTCTCGGGCGCCGGGGCGGGCGTCGCTTCGCGGCCGGCGAAGGGGATGCGCGGCGCGTCCAGGTTCAGGGAGCCGGGAGGATAGGCGATGTTGGGGGAGGAGGACGAAGAAGTGGAGGCTGATGTGGAGGAGGCGCTATCTTTGACTTCGGCGAGGCGCTTCTCGATCTCGGCGAGGGTTTGCTGTTCGCGGGCGCGGAGACGCTCCAGTTCTTCCGAGACGCGCTCTTGGATCTGCAGTTCGAGGGCTCTGGCACGGGAGGAATCGGTCTGTTTTTTTTTAGTTGCTGCGGGTTAGGTATGGTTTGGTTGTGATGTGGTGTGGTGTGGTGTGGTGTGGTGTGGTGTGGTGTGATAATGGGGTTGGGGTGGGTTTTGAGTCGGTGGTACGCACCTCGGTGTTGCTCTGAAGGGACTCAACTAGGTTGGAGGAGAACTGGACGGGAGAGTTGCTGCATATGGGTAGGTATTGTTAGCTTGATGTGTACCTCTTTGTCTTTTAGTGGTAGGCGCAATCGGTCTTGCTGGGTGGATGGGGGGTGGGATAATAGCTTTGCTTAAGTTGAGTGGAATCCGGGATACAGGTGATGACGACGGTCATGGGCTGTTGTTCCCCGACCCATTGGCCGCGCAATTCCGGCTTATGCGCTTCGTCAAGCATAGGCTCATCTAAGGATACATAGGGGATATCATGTGCGTTAGAGACATCACTGCACTGACTACATACCTCGTGAAAACGTGTTTCGAGCCGGCCGAAGCCTCGGGCTTGGAGCTGCCGGCGCCCATGATGTGATGAATTGAGAGGGTTGTGTGTGCGGTTTTTCGTTAAAAGGGATGATGTTCCTTCAACCACAAGCGGACCGATGGCACGTTCAAGAGAAAGAAGGGCAAGGAGTGGCCGCTAAAATGCACGGGTCGAGGACAATTCCACTGGCGGCGGAGGGGATTGCATCTTGATGCTTCTTCGCTCTCAGCCGACTTCCGCCGGGGAATGGTCACGTGCCCTTAGTCAGTGAGGTAAGTTGAGTGCCTGAGCATTGTAGTGCCTGGGTGCCTGGGTGCCTGGGTGCCTCAGATCCTCTGATGCCTGAGTGACTGGGGTGTCATGTCAATGATCGGGATCTCTGCCCTGATGCCTCGGATCTTGGTGCCTAAGTTTGCCTGATCTCGTGCTATACTGTATTTGTCACGGATTCGAAGTCGCCTGATCCATTCGTCCTGATGGCAAGTTCTCTTTTGGCACAATCGGATTGATGCAGTGAGTGGCACCAGCAGAGGTCGCAGTGTGACGCTACCTACTTACTTACTCCCTACTACTTCCTACCTGCTACCATCATTCCCGGAACAATATCCTTTAAGGTTACGTCTCCTGTCTAAGGGTCCTGATGATCATCGAGATGCAGCTGACACGATCGACAGTGTCGTTTTGACAGCCTCAGGGGGGACCGATCCTTCGCTGCATGGTACTCCGTAGTTCTTCTTTCTCTCTCCATGCCCCAGATCAGAGGCATATCTGGAGATGTGGGAGGCCACATGTTTCTCATCAGGGGAAAATTACGCAAGATCCGAGGAATACCTGAGTGATACCGAATAATAGTGAGACCATCTTGGCAGAAAGGCCTCATCTTCTCCATCAGGTCTCTTCCATTTCCTTCCCTACTAAACCTCTTTTGCGCTCACCGGTGAAGGACGACCCAATCCTCCTCCCAGCACTGGTGGTTTCAGTACGTCATGGAATTCGGACATTTGCTCGCTACCAGGCTTAGAGTAGTTAGTCTATAGAATTGTTGGATAATGGAATACTGAATACCGTAAGCATCGGGAATGAGACTCGGGAAGGACAGGCAATGGCAATGACCGGCGAACCCGGCCTTCTCGTTGGTTTTGGGGGGGAGATTTTTTGCGCCCCGCGGCGGACTGACCTCATCGACCCCGCCATGAAAATGGGATAGTATCATCATTACTCTCCGTATTCCGTATTATTCTCTTCCTCGCACGTCTGCTGTTTCCTCGTTTCGTTTATTATCTTCCTGTTGCCCTTTCTTTCTCTCCACCTTTTTCCTCCAGAAAATCTTCCTTCATCTATCCATCTTCCCCTTCAACCTCTCTACTTCTATCTCTCTCCACAATCTTATTTCCTCTTCCGGCCTACAACTTTCCCCTCCCCCGGCCTCTTCCCCCTCCTACAAACTAACTCTCTCCGGGACTTCTCTCCCCTTTCTTTGTCCTCCTCATTCCCACGACGGACTCTCTTCTCTACTCTTTTCTCCTCCTTACACACACCCGGCCTATCATCATGTCTTCCCAACTACTCCAAGAAGCTGTGCGGATTGCCAGCCAGTTTGACTACCCCGCTGACGAGGTGCGTCGCGGTGTAACAGAATATGTGCGCGAGATGGACGAGGGCTTGTCGCAGGAGCACACCACCCTGAGCCAGATCCCAACATTCGTCACCTCCGTACCCAATGGCACAGAAAAGGTAAGATAACAAGACGGCTCTGAGACCTCCCTCCCTCCCACCACCCGGATGAACCCGGACCACAGCAGCTGACCAGAGACATGACAGGGATTGTATTTGGCTGTAGATCTTGGCGGCACCAACTTCCGCGTGTGCTCCATTGACCTCCATGGAGATACCACTTTCTCCTTGACCCAGTCTAAGATCATGATTCCTCGCGAGACCATGTCGTCCGGCACCTCCAAGGATCTTTTCTTGTTCTTGGCGCGTCAGATCGAGTCTTTCCTGCGCATTCACCACAACGAACACTTTGAAGCACACATCCGACGCCGCAATCAGAAGAAGGACAACTGCGAGGAGGACCTGTTCGACCTGGGTTTCACCTTCAGTTTCCCCGTTCGTCAGCTGGGCATCAACAAGGGTACCTTGATCCGGTGGACTAAGGGCTTCGACATCCCTGACGCTGTGGGTCAAGATGTCTGCGCGTTGCTTCAAAACGCCATTGATGAGCTGGACCTCCCCGTGCGTGTTGCCGCCCTGGTTAACGACACTGTGGGAACCTTGATGGCTCGCTCCTACACTTCTCCCGGTGCCACGGGCACTTTCCTGGGCGCCATCTTCGGCACGGGCACCAACGGTGCCTATGTCGAGAAGCTGGACCGCATCACTAAGATGCAGACCATCGAACACTCGACATACGATAAGTCTACTGGTGAGATGATCATCAACGCGGAGTGGGGTAGCTTCGACAACCACCTGAGTGTCCTTCCCAACACCATCTATGACCAGCAACTCGATGCGGACAGCAACAACCCTGGCGTGCAGATGTTCGAGAAGCGTGTCTCTGGTATGTTCCTGGGTGAGATCCTCCGCCGTGTCATGCTGGACATGCACCGTAACGAGTCGTTGGGCTTCCTCAAGTCCGGCGCATCTATTCCCAAGGAGTCTTCCCTCCATCGCCAGTGGGGCATTGACACTAGTTTGTTGAGCTTGGTGGAGGCCGACAAGACTGAGAACCTGGATCAGATCAAGACGGCCCTCAAGGATCACTTGAAGATCGAGAACCCTAGCAACGACGATTGCAAAGCCATCCAGACTGTGGTACACGCTATTGGTAAGCGTGCGGCCCGTCTGGCTGCCGTGCCTCTGGCGGCTGTTCTCCACTCCACTGGCAAGCTGCAGTCTGAGGATCTGGTCGATATTGGTGTGGATGGCAGTCTGGTTGAGTTCTACCCCAACTTCGAGGGTCACATGCGGGATGCCCTCCGTGAGGTTCCTGAGATTGGTGAGGCTGGTAACAAGAAGATCCGCATTGGTATCTCCAAGGATGGCAGTGGTGTAGGTGCTGCTTTGATCGCTTTGGTTGCCGGCAGAGAGGATGCCAAAAAGCCCAAGACAAGCGGCCTGCGCGGCCAGTAATGGGGGAGGATCTGGTGTTGCTTGATGGTTTTCAATGTTGCTTCAAATGTTTTGTTGGATTGAGCGGCCTTTTACTAGGGTATCAGGCAGTTGACGCCGAGTCTGGACTCGGACAACCCGCAAGGGGACTGACTGGCTGAATTCCGCATGGATCAGGTGTTGAAAGAGCGGCTGCGATGAAGGGAGGGTGCTGGATACACTATCATGTTTTACGGCGTTGCACAGCTTTTTGATTGGCACATCTTGTGAATATATCCTAGGTCTACTCGGTTGGGAATAACAAATAAGGTCTACCCTCTTTCGTTATCATATGGTCCTCAGTAGAGAGAGGCTTGCTCGGCTGATCAGGCTGCAATGGATTGGAGTGGAGGGGGGGGAGGGATGTTCGTCCAGATGGAAATGTTGCGATCAAGCCCACATGCAGTAGTGTTGTTCAATCCTTTCCTTATCGAAGAGTTGAGAGCCTCTTCGGAGACTCACCCTATCCCAGCGAGTGACAATTCCAATAAGCATTTCCTTCTCTTCCCGGCTTTCTCCTCCATCCGGGAATGCTCTTCGACTCGGACCGCGGAAGTAGATATCCGCCCGAATGTCCGAAAGCACAAGACGCAACAACAAAGGAAACGCGAGTGGGCGAGTGCCAATGCAAGCAAGCTATCCTTATGACTCTTCATAGTCTGTGACACCATGTCTGATTCCTACCTGTCACTGCATACATTCAGCCCCCGATCCCTTGCCTGTCTCCTAGCCATGGATATGATCTGGTCCGAAACCATACGAAAAGGAAGTCAAGTCATTTGGAAATTGATACACGAGCACGCAGCAGGGATGGGGCGACCACAGTCAGCATGGTTGCAGTCGTGCTCGCTGACAATTTGCAGCTCTGGGCCGTGGGACATTTGGAAATTCCTTTTTGATGACGACAAACGCCATCAGGGAGAGGAGGAGAAGGGAAAAGGTCCGGTGGTACAACCCGACCCAGATTGGGGAAGTCTTCCTTTTGCCTGCTGCTGCCCTGGAGGGGACTGGGTGAGTGAGTGCAGTGAATCTGTGCCCTTGCCCTTTTCTTACCACTCCATTCGGACACATTGTCTTTGTCTTGTTTGTATGGGCTGAGCTTGTCCCCTTCTTTCCCCCTCTAGCACTATCCAACCCTTAACACTACGGCACCCTTATCCTTCTGCACAAGCGTGGGCTCGTTTTGTCTGCTCAGACCCGTGTGTTCCACCAAGTGGTACCTGTATATCGATGGTGATATCGTGACTTGTTTTGACTGATATCGGTGTGCGTGTGAAAGAGAGAGAGAGAGAGTGTGTGTGTGTGTGAGTGAGTGAGCGCGACAGACTTCTAGGAAAGAGAGCATGTCTCGCCAAACATCGTCGATCGAGTTGACGCCTTCACGCAACAGACGCGAAATGAGAAAGGCTGCTTCGAGCAGGAAAGCGTCAACTGATCGCGAGAGTATCCCTGGCCGCTCGTCGCGTGGAGCATCCTCCCATTCCCAGATCCATGTGCCACTGAATGAATCTAAGTCAACAAGCTCACGAAACGGTAACCAGTCTGTTGGATCTGATACAGAGTATCCCACTTCCTGGAAGCTTGCCCTGATCCTCATCGGGCTGTCCATCTCCCTTTTCTGTATTGCCTTGGTGAGTCTCGCCTCTGAGGGGCAAACGGCCAAACTCGATCTTCTTTAACTCTGTTGACGTATATCAAGGACAACACGATCTTAGCCACCGCCATCCCACGTATCACCGATCAGTTCCATTCTCTGGACGACGTGGGCTGGTACGGCAGCGCCTACCTCCTGACAACATGTGCGCTCACGTTGATATTCGGCAAGCTGTACACATTCTACTCCACCAAATGGGTCTATCTGATTGCCCTTATCATCTTCGAGGTTGGGTCCTTGATCTGTGCAACAGCCCCCAACTCGGTGGCATTGATCATCGGACGAGCCGTTGCTGGGGTGGGATCCGCCGGTCTCTTCTCCGGGGCCATGCTCATTGTCGCTCAGACTGCACCGCTGGAACGTAGACCGGTCTACGCGGGCGCGCTTGCTGGTATGTATGGTGTGGCTAGTGTCGCCGGACCGCTCATGGGGGGTGCGTTCACCGACCACCTCAGCTGGCGGTGGTGTTTCTACATCAATCTTCCTATTGGTGGACTGACGATCTTGTTCATTGTCCTGTTCTTCAAGGCTCCCAGATCAGTCAAAAGTACGCACGGGCTCAAGGATCAAGTCGCCCAGCTGGATCTTCCTGGCACCTTCTTCTTTCTACCGGGGGTCATTTGCATGCTACTAGCGCTACAGTGGGGAGGTACGATGTACGCATGGAATAATGGCCGCCTAATTGCATTGTTCATTCTTTCTGGGCTACTCCTGCTGGCATTCGTCGGAACACAAATATGGGGAAAGGATAAGGCTACCATCCCACCAAGACTGATCAGGAATCGCAACGTCTGGGGCGGGGCAGTGTTTACTTTCTGCATGGGTGGCTCTTTTTTCACATTCGTCTACTATGTACGTGCTGTGCCTGCGGTTTATCTTGCTGAAGGGACATCCAACTGACTCACTCGCAAAAATAGCTCCCAATATGGTTCCAGGCGATCAAGGGCGTGTCGGCCACCAAGTCGGGCATCATGAATCTTCCCATGCTGCTGGGAGTTGTCGTCTTTGCAATGGTAGCCGGTATTCTGATTTCGATCTTCGGATACTACACGCCATTTCTGCTCGCTTCGCCGATATTCGTGGCCATCGGCGGTGGCTTGCTCAGTACCCTGGAGCCTGACTCCGGCGCGGCCGATTGGATTGGATACCAGCTCATCATTGGCATCGGGGCCGGGATCGGCTTACAGCAACCAATGCTGGTCTGCCAGGCCTCGCTCAGCGCGGCGGACGTGCCCAGCGCAACGGCCATTGTCGTTTTCACGCAGACGCTCGGCGGGGCGATCTTTGTGTCTGTGGCCCAGAACGTCTTCCAGAACAAGCTGCGCGAGAACCTGGGGCATATTCCGGGCCTGAATGTCCACCAGGTGGTGAGTGCCGGCGCAACCATGCTACGCCATGTCGTACCGGCGGACACTCTGCCACAGGCCTTGGAGGCGTATAATTCGGCCATCATGCAGACCTTCTACGTGGCCGTGGCGATGGGGGCGCTGGCGCTGGTGGGGGCGCTGCCCATCGAATGGATTTCGGTCAAGGGGCGGAAGATCGAGCCCGCGGCGGCCGCATGATTATTCTGTGCTTTGCTTCTCGCTCGCTTCTTTGCGTAAGATAAGAGTGGGCCTTCTCTCGCTTTCCACAAAAATGCTACATGTATGTAGATTTACTCTTCGGTTGCGGTTCAGTTCATACAGTCGGATGTGGCAGGTAATATGATAATGTGACATGTTAAAATGGGAGTTTGACTCTAGCAGCAGCGTCTCTATTCCAGAGAAGTGATAGCCCGCAGCAAACCCCAGCAACAGGAAATCGAAGAAGAAGTCTAGACCACCGCATACAAGCTCAGATAGACGCCCCAGATCACGCCGCAGGCACTGCCGAAGACCACACGCCGATCCACGGGTACAACCGTGTACATGAGCACGGAGACGAGCGGGCGATACTTGAGCCGAGCCATCATGATGGGTCGAAAGTCCTGAGCCCCCAGGTTAGTAAATGCTAGCACTGCAAGCAACGTCTGCCCACGGAATCTGAACATACCTCGCGCACCAAAGCCCAACACCCAGACCACCCCACCCCCTTCAACAAATTAATCAACACCACAAACAACAAAATATTCATCACCGATCCCACCGTCTGATCCAACAAGAACTTCGCCAGGAAATTCCTCCACCCGGTGGTGGTGGTGTTGGTGATGTTTGCCTTCTCCTTCTTCCTGGGCCGAAACATCCCCATCCCCATCCCCATCCCCATCCTCCATTTGGTACTGCTGGACTTGTTCTTCTCCTTAAACCACCCCCAGCCCCCTACCTTCCCATCCAAACCCAGATCATCACCGTCACTATGTTCATCATCATCATCAAGAGAAATAGTAATACACACCTCCCCAGCCTTCCCTTTCTCTTTTCCTGTCTTTCTTGATCTAGAAGGGGTTGGATGGGTGACGGTGGTATACCTCCGGCGGCGCGCGAAGGTCGGAAACCCTGGAAATTGGGTTTCCAGGAATCGTTGCCAGATGAAGTTCGGGAGGACGCTTAGGAGGCCGTAGATGAGGAATTGGAGGAGGGCGGGGGAGTTGAGGTGGAATTTTGATAGGGGTTTCTGTGTATTTAATATTGGGATTTATAGGGAGGGGAGTGCTGTGTCTGTGTCTGTGTCTGTGTCTGGGTATCTGGGTACATTCTTTATGGTTGGGATTGGGACTTGGGTTGCGTGAGGTTCAAAGGGTAGTTAGTATCGTTGGCTGAAGGGGTGAGGGTATACGGGGTGCATTGGCTCGAAGGCATACAGATTTCCCGTTTAGGTTAATCGTATCGTAGGCGGGGTGTTTCGCAGCGGGAAGTTCCGGAAAATCATGGGGAAAGACAGACAGACAAACAGACACAGCGGGTTCAAGACGGCACGGCAAGGCGGCGGGAGCAAACCTTCCCTCCTCTCCTCCCCCCCTCCCCAGAAAAAGAAGAAAGACCCTCTCACCACTGCACCCCATCCCTTTCCCCGTTTCCCTGCCTTCCCTCCCCCCTCGTCCCCAGAATTATGTTAGTCATGTATCATCATGATAAAAAGTGTTGTATTCGGACTATACAATGGGACTTCTGAGGGTTGGATTGGAGGAGTGGGTTGTGCTTTAAAAAAAGGAAAAAAAAAAAAAAAAAAAAAAAAAAAAAGCTACAATACGTACACCGCGGTGGTATTGATCTATGATCTGGGCGAGCACATTGGCGATAGCATTCAGGAAGGTCGATTGTATAAAGGTCGTGGTCAGGGCCGAAGGGGGCATTTCGGGGGGAGAATGAGATTGGATGGTTTTGGATGAAACACAAGGAGAGAAGCAAGACCAAAATAGATTAACGAGAGACGGAAATCAAAGAAGGTTCGAACGAATGACTGATTTCATGATTGAAGGTTGAAGGGAAAGAGGAAATGTATCTAGGGGACTTAGAAAAGAAGGGCTCATCTTGTCTCACTCACACACTCACTCACTGGCTGCTTGATTGTTGATGCTGGCACGTGTCCGGCACGTGTCCTTCCGATAGCGTCGAGGGATTCGAGGCATTCCCCTTACAACCTACTCGCCCGTCTCTCCGACAGCCTGCAAACAGCTTTAACTGTCCATTGTAGGGTGGGATTTTCAAATCTCGCAATTGTCATACCTATGTATGTATGTACTGGCTGGCTCAATCTATGTACAGTACATCACAGCACACACTACTTACTGGCTACGCACTCGGACAGTCACATTCGGTCCCTCCTTGGCACTGGTGAAGTGGTCCACCAACGCCAGGTGGCCCTCGGCGTCTTCTCCGCGGTGGTCGGCCAATTCCAGGTCAAACAGGTAGATTAACCGCGCAATCGTCAGTCGCATCTCCATGAAAGCCATGCTCTTTCCAATACAGCCCCGCGGCCCGATGCTGAACGGGCAGAATGCTCGTCGTGCGACCTCGACCTCTTCTTTGCTTGTCTTCCAGGACTCGAAGGCCGTCTGGCAGGTCGCGCCCTCAATCCAGCGCTCGGGCAGATACGCCCCAGGCTGCCGGTAGTACGCGGCCTGCCGATGGATGGAGAAGGTCGGTGTTCCGCAATCGGTCCCCTCGGGCAGAAACACCCCGTCCACCATCGCGCCGCCCTCCATCACCTCGCGGGGAGGCGCGCCGGGTACGGCGGGGGCCAGACGCAGCGCCTCGTCCAGGCAAGCCTTGAGGTACACCAACTCGTTGAGCTGACTGCCCGAGACGATATCCTCCACCGAGGTGAACGTCTCGCGGACCTCTTTCTTCAGCCGTTCCATCGCATGGGGATTGCGCACCAGATAGAACACCGTGGCCGAGAGGGTCGTCGACGTTGTGTCACTGCCCGCGATCATCAGCACGTTGGCCTCGCCCCAGAGCTCGGGCGTGGTGAGGCCCTGCCCGGATTCCGGGTCCCGAGCATTCAGCAGGTAGTAGAAGAAATCCCGTTTGGCGTCGCGTCCGGCCTGGGTGCGTTCCTGCGCGCGCTTTGTCGCCTCGACCCGAGAATTCATGATGAAGTTCCAGCGGTCGTTGGTCAGTCGATGGATGAAGATCTGGTCGAGATGCCATCGATCGAGAGGCATCCACAGACCACACTAGGGGTTTTTTTTAACGTGAGCTTTCTTCCTTTCCCATGTTCATCCTTTACACGCCACAATATCAGAACGAACCTCCCCACAAGAGAACACCTCGGGAAGAAACGGAGAGGAAAGAGAGAAAAGGAAACTCACAATATAATGCCGATTGGCGGCGCGATCCACCAACTCAATCAACCTCCGCCGACTACTCTCAATCAACATATCAAAGCTCTTCCCAAAGCACAACTCCCCCATCACATCATACGTGAGATAACTAAACCAGCGTCCGAGATCCTGCACTATCGCCGCGCCCTGCTTCTCTTTTTGTTGCTGCCCGGCCACCAGCCCCGCACAAAGCTGACGCACATGCAACAGCATCACATCCTCCATACTCTTGAGCGCATGGTCAGCAAACGCCTGGCTCAGCACGCGACGCTTCCGGCCGTGCGCCGTCTTATCGATGACGTTGTGCGTGTTGTACACGCCCTTGATGGCAGGGAAGGCATTGTAGAAGTCCGCCTTCCGGAGGCGTTTCCCGTGCCCGTAGATATCGTGCAGGCCCTGCGCGGTGTTGACCGACACGAAATTCGGCGCCACTCGCACGTGGCTGCCGTACTGCTCGTGGAGCGCGTGAAGCCAGAGGTGGCGGTCGCCGCGCAGGCCGTGGTAGAGCTGCACCCAAGGGGTGAGCGAGGCGAGGACGGGCCCGTCGATGTGCCGGAGCGGGTGGAGGTAGCGGTTGTAGAGGGTGTAGATGAGGGTCTAGACGTTGTTTGATGGCGTCAGTCATCTCTTGTCGGTGTTGTAGTTGCGGTGAGCTTATACTGAAGAAAAGAGAAAACTTACCAACCCCGAGAGCAGAGCGAGTATGCCCCAGGCGACTCCGCCCAGGGATACGACGTCCCAGCCGAGCTGGCCTAGCATAATCCTTTGCTGCGGTGGTAGATAGATAGAGAGAAATGAAATCCAAAACCAAACTTCGAGTCACACCCGAGCGAGAGAACAAGGGAGTATAAATAAGTGGTTAGATCCCAGTCGCACTGTACTAGCAGGTAATAACCCACGCAGTACTTTTGATCTTGTCTCAAAAGCCGATGATGATGCTGCTCCTGCTGCTGCTGCTGATAGATATGAAGAAGGAAGGGAAGGTGATTGGTACAACAACAAACCCTCCACCGAGTCTACCCGCGTCGAACCGATGTCACTAACTACGTAAAACAGTTGCGGCCGATTTCCCCGCAAACGTCGATCCTTTCGTTCGTTAGTGAATGTCTTGCTCTTATAGTATATGTGAGACAAAAGTAGGAGGGTGACGACTAATACGACAATCGATGCGAGAACTTCTGACCGACCTACCTAGGCAAGATTATATGCCTGTTGAGTCTCGGTTACTTGCGGGCTTACGGGGTGCTTACGAGCTGGTTCCATGGTCTGTCCTTCTGTTTCTCTCTCTAACACCCCCTCTTTTTGGGGAATGGGTATTGGCGTCATTGGGTTTTGAGTCTCGACTCTGGACAGGTTTCTTTCTTCTACTCGTACTACTCGTACTACTGCGTAATGCGGGGGATTGTGGAGGTGGCGGTGGGTGGAGGGTTTGTTTTTTCCCATGCGGGAATTTGTTGTCGCCCTTTCTCATCTGCGTGGGTTGGAAGAAATTATCTTGGGAGGAAGGGTAGAACTACAGACTACAAGTACATACATACATACAAGGAATGTGGCTACCTGCTATATAGCACGTACTGTAGATGGAGTCTGATGTGTAACGTCGGACAACAGGCTAGCTATGAGCATTTATTGAGGCGAATGTTGGCTTATAGTGCTTCATTTCGAACACGATTCGTATTCAGCCGCATGGGCGGGCTCGAGTCGGAGTACGTACTTTGAGGTTGAACCCGATGCGGGGGGTGTGAGTAAGTTCAAGGTTGACTTGAGCGCCTCTCTCTCGAAATGAATTGTGTCGGTTGTTGCATGCCAGACGGTCATTGTGCATAGTCATGGTTTCCCCTTGCACTACAATATTCACACGAGTTGTTAATAACTCAGAGCCAACCAAGGGTCACGGGTGGTGGCTGCACAATGACGCCAGATATTCTCCGCTCTGCATTAGAACATCCCCTTCCCCAATTCACGTATAGCCATGCACGCCGCCATCCAGAATCCATTGCTCGTTATCATCGTTGTCATCTTGCACCCGCCGCCAGGTTTGCTGGCGCTCCTTGCGCGGCGTGTCGGGCTGCTTACCGTCGGGGGTCTTCCACACCGGCCGCAGTAGCCCGCCAGACGCAAGGAGAGGATTATTACTGAATGCGTGGCCACCACCACGACCTCCCTCGCCGTCTCGAAGCTGCTCCTCAGCCTTGACCTCATCATCATCATTCTCCTCCTTCGCGGCCGACCCTGAGGCAGAGGCAGAGGAAGAAGAAGGCCCGGCCGCCTCCGCAGCAGACTGATAGACCCTCGTGACACGCCCGCCCTTGATATCCAAACTCATGACGGTCTTCTTCTTCTCCCACTCGGGCCGCGCCTTCTCCTCCATCTCGCGCATGATTCGCTGCTGTTTCTTGAGCGCCAGCGCCCGCTGCGCAGGCGTCATCCACAACGTCGACGCGACATTGGGGGTCTCGAAATCCGCCGCCTCGTCCACCACGCGCGTCCGCTTCGCGTTCTGCGCCTGGAATTGCAGCAGCTTATCGCGGTGTGCGCGGGCGGCATCCAGTTTATTATTGTTCTTGTTGTTAGTAGCACTACTCGCGGTACCAGGTCCCATCCCTGGTCCTCCATCCCGGTGAAACCCCTCATTGTGCGCGCGCATCTTCTCCTGTCCTCGCTCCGCCCGTAACTCCCGAATCATACTCTGCACCTCTTCGTCCGATAGGAGCGGCGTCCCGCAGAACGAGCACGGCTGCAGGCCCTCCAGCGCACAGATGATCTTTCCGCAATTCAAGCAGTTCGGCGCCGGGTCGAAGAGCGGGTGGATGCTGGCGTAGCAGGGGCATTTCCGAGCGCCCGTGCCTAGCGTCGGGTTCGTAGACACCTCTAGCGCCGCAATCGCCGCCGTCAGATCCGTAATGTTCGTCGTAGTCAGTGCGCCGCCGCCGCCCTTGCCCGATCCAGAGGCGGAGGAGCTACCCCCGCCACCGCGCGAAGAGGAGGACTTGGCTGCTTTCGACTTCACGTTGGGAAGGAGATCCGAGAGGACAGGGCCTGCGGCGGAGGGTGGGATTCGATTGGTAGTAGTAGTGGTAGTGGTGGTCGTACCCGTCGTCGGCCGTGAAGGAGCGGGCGACTGGTTGCGCGACGACGTAGCGGATGATCCCTGTGAAGATGTGACACGCAGGTTTTGTAGCGAGGAGCCTCCTCCGGCAGAAGCCTTGAGTCCCGAAGTATCCTGCCAGCCCCGCCCCGACGATACAGGCATGTAATCCTCGTTCTGATCCTCTTTCCTGTATCCGCCTGTCACATCGCCAAAGTTGTCCGGTCGACGGACCGGGCCTGCGCTGTGCAGCGGCGGCTTGGACTTCTTGCCTTTGCGGCCTGTATTGCCGCTGGAATTTCGGGCTGGTGTGGAGGGTCCGCTCGCGGGCGCTGCTGCTGCTGCTGCTGTTGGTGCTGGGGCGGGGGCTGAGGAGGATGCGGCGGATCGACGCGAGCTGAAGGCAGCGATGAACTCGATTGCAGCCGGCGAGTCGCCTAGGAGGTTCTTGAGGTGGTCGGCTCCTTCTTCCTTGGAGAGGCTGGCGGCGTAGTCGATGATCTGGGTGAGCGATTCCTCGTCCAGCGGAAGAAGTTCCGCCAGTCGGGGAACGCCCCATGCGACGAGACTGGGGTTGCTCATGGTGGTTGTCGATTCCAGGTATAAAAGGTGAGTTTGAAATATGTTTACTTGTCGAATATTCTACTCCTCATTTCCGGCAGTAAGGAAATGGGACTGCAGCACGTCATAAAATGAGCGAACGGGCTGTTAGTGAATGAACGAGGAATGACGGCGGGTTATCGATGATAGCCGATAAGTGGGTAATTTACGGCCATGGGTTTCAGGCACCCACATAAGCACCGTCTACCCACTATGATACGTTATTGTGCAACTTGTGTCTCTATACCATAACGCATCTAAGCTTGATTATTAACAGCAATCAGGTATATATATCTGCTACAGACTGTCGCTCTGCCAGTTGTGACAGATAAGGATAGTGAACGGAGCATATTTAGTTATCTGGAAGTATGATTCATTCCAGCAAGTGACCCCGTGGCTAATACATCAAGTAAACACAAACCGAAAGGGTATTAATAAATTGTCGCTCGCTAAAAAAGACAGAATATGGTAGCTCTCATCTATTCTCAACTTGGTTCATCGAAGACTTCTTGGGGACGAACGATGCCGCGGACAACTTCGATCTTCGTTTATCGTCCCGTAAGCGCAGCCCTCTAGTCAACCCTCCACCCAAACCTTTTGCAAGAGACGCAAAAGGGGATACGCTCGGCGACCGATCGGTGTCTTCTCCCTGTTGAGCACTGTTGAGCGCCGTGGCGTGATCCCCCGTATGTTTTGTGGAAACTGCCCCATCAGACTTCTTACTTCGATGTCGAGTCTGGGTAATTTCACGTTCTTGCGGACTTGGTAGGTCTGTAGTTACGTCCCAAGGAGATGTACAATCTGTGTCGATAAAGTCGGAGCATTTGCAACCGCAGCCACTCGGGCAGTATCTGTATTCCTCGTACTCATCATTATGATGATCAAGATGAGGATCTGCTGAAGCCATTGAGAACCAGCCTCGATGGCAGTCAAAGCAGCTGACATGACCGCAGCCGAGGCAGGGGATGAGCATGCCGTCAACGACCTCACCACAGATCACACAGGGCAACTTCAGAGCAAGTGACTGGTTTGGGTTGCAATTCGAACACGTAATGGTAGATGTCGGTGTCCCCTTCATGTGATTTCGAGAAGCCATCGCTTCAGTGACGGCCTTCGTAGCGAAGATGGAATGTTGAAGTGCCTGTCCACATTTGTTGCAGTGACGCTGGATATCCAGGCCTTGGTTTTCCATATCGCTAGGTACAACCGTTGCACCTCGATGCTTTGAGACTGGGAAGGAAAATGAATCATGGTGACCATTGGGGCTTCTATGGGGAACATGAAGTTCCTTGGGAGAGCTGGCCACTCCACCAATCTTGAGAACCTCGCTGCGTTGAACTGGTAGAGCCCAGATTGACAGTAAATGAGCGTATGCTGACCGATATGATCGGTAGAGGGATTCTTTCTTTGGGTCCAGAAACGTGTTCTGTGAGCTACCGCAATCGAAGGCATTCTGGTTTTTGAATGTTGTTTGCATTTTAACCCGAGGCTTAGATGGCGAAGGCCTCTCACTTTCCGTGTCAGAATGTGTTTGTGATGTTAGTGCAGTGGAGGTAGTCAAATAGTCCGGAATCGCTGAAGCAGGCTTTGCCGCAAAAGCACTTGTAACCCACATGCCGGATCCGCCAGTCGTATGCAGGCTGCCACTTGGACTTTGCTTCTTTTTCGTCAGCGCAGTAGCCGGGGGAGAGGCCGAAGAAGGCCCAAAGGTGAAAGACCGGGAAAGAGAAGAGGCGAGAACAGAACCAAGCCCCGATGCACTGCGCGGCTGAGACTGTTGGTCGGGAGAGGCTGCTATCGACACACTTTGACTCCAAGTTTTTCTGTCGGCCGGTAGGGCCGCGACACGGGAGTTTAGGGGAGGAGTCGTTCCCGTAGAATAAGGGGGAGTGGAATCTACACGCCAGATCTCGGAGGATGACCGTCCAGAACTGTGGGTTATTGGGGTCGTATGACTATCTTTGGGCGTAGTAGCAAGAGGTGTCGCGGTATGTGATCTGTTGTGGATTACTGTATGTGGGGGGTAGAAGTCGAACGAGAACGAATGCTCTTCCATGCGCTTAGAGGCACTCCTGCTGTGTTGAACCTTCTCCTTCGCCGAAATCACTTCATTATCTGGCTCGTGCAGGACACATGACAACATGGCGATCATCTGTACATCGCCGGCCCGTTCAAAGTGATCGAACAAAGATGGGATAAGCCAATTGCTCCCGAAAGGGTGGTCCCCCCATCTTATTGAGGGGGTCTGAGACCCCTTTGAAAACCTGTCATGGCCTTTCGCGTCGTAAGCGAGATCGATGGCACTGTCTTTTCGCTGGATGCGCGGAGACGTTCCCTGATGGTCAAGGCTTGAGGAAAGCATTGAGGTTTTCCGATTGTGAAGTATAAGCCTTAAGAGTCCCCAGATCCGGGCTAGCTCATGGTAGCCGTGGTCGAGAGCAACAGCGGAGTTGTGAGCACATACATCCGTGACTTTGCCACGGATGCGATATCCGACAGCTAATTCACGTTTCGCAGGCAGAATATCCCTGAAGTCGTGGATTGATATCACATTTTGAGGCGGATCAGATGATTTCGTGGTTACCGCTCCAGCAATAGACCTCTGGGAATTGTCCGTGGAACGGGGTCTATAGATCCCCAGACTGCCACCACTCCTCCATGTTTGAGGGGTGGGAAATCGATGCTGCAAGCCCGATAGGATCCCCGAGGACCCAGAGGAGCTCGAACTCTCGGCATCTGAATCATCGGAATACTCCGAGGCACCATCGTCAGTGCTAGCGATCGTAGCAGAGGGCCGCGGACCAGGCGAGCTCGTCTGCAACCGGCCAAAACCTTCAAAGACCTTATCGGCTCGCGAAAGCCTGGACATCTCCCTCAAGCCTAGGTTTTCCATCCAATCCTCCGATCTGTCATTCTTGGAGGGAAAAAAGCATACCAAGCGGCCATCATTTGCCCACAACGCACCACATCCTTTGGCAACAGGTACCATGACGTTGGCATTGACTGGACGAAGCAGTTCAGAACTCATGCTCAAATCTTGGCTTTGAGAAAGGCCCACTTCGTCTTCGTCACTTGACTCTTCACCTTCAAGCTGGCCATTGATGGGAGATTTCACAGTCTCGGCTGTCTCTCCAGAGATCCATGATATGCTCTCCTCGAGGGTGCTCTCGCCCAATAGATAACGGACGACTCCCTCCAAGCAGCCTCTCTTGTGAGTAAGATATGTTTCTGCTATCTTGCGAATCTCGGTCACGAGTCTATCGGCTAGCTCGTCGGTGACAGCGGCAGTCTTCTGCACATTGAACGTAGGGATGGAAGCTCTCGGATAATCGCTTGGGAATTTGATATCGACTTTCAAGAATAGAGAGTCGCTGTCGGTTCCCCAGGGTCCGTTAAGAGATATCATCGCTTTCCTTTGCCTGACGTCAACAGATTCGAATACAACCTTGGTGAACTTTTCTCCAACGTGAGTGATCTCATCACCCAGTGTCTCGATATCCCAGCCGGATATTTTAACGCCTCGCATCCATGCAATAGGGTTTGTATCGGCTCGGAAGTTCGTCCGGCCCTGCATGCCGATTCTGGAGTCAGGGTTGCCTCCGCCTTGGGTCCAGCCGCGCGAATATGGAATTGAGATCGTATTGAGTCCCTTATTACGGGAGTTCTGTGGTGTGGCGCTTTGCTGGGTCTTAGGCGAGAGGGACCCTGTGTCTTCATCATCTTGGTCGACGTTCGTATCCCGGAAGGACTTGTAGACCGCACCTTTACGGGTAAGATTCAAGTTGGAGATAAATGACTTCCCTTTCTCATAGCCCACTCTCCGTAAGACGTCCGGGTCGACTCTATGCAGTCGGAGTTCTCGGTCGGTGCCCCAGGAGACGAGCTGGAATTCTCTATGATCAATTCCATCAGCTATACCCCCACGAGCTCGCCACAGGAACTCCTTCACTTGACCTTTATGTCCTGGAAAACTGTGAACCAAGGGGAGATCCTCGTCGGGGCTGGCGCCTTCTCCTAGTCTACGACTGTACAAGTGAAGATCACTGTTACCTCTCTGCGGCATGGCCAAGACACCCCAACCGAATGGTGTGTTCCGTGCGCGCCACACCGGGAATGGCGCTCTGATTACCTTCTCAGGAGTCTCTGTATTGACTGTATAATCCCAAAATTTTATCGTCCGATCCAGGGAGCAGGTCGTCAGGGCTCCGGGTCGTACTCGATTCCAATCGACACCGTAAATCTTGGTGTCGTGCGCCTTAATAGAAGTGATCGGATACGCGCCCATTCTCTTGTCCCAGATCCGCAAGAATTTGTCATGCGAGCTCGCGATGACATTGGGATCCTGTCGGTTCCACTTCACTTGGGTCGCACCGGCAAGCCAGTCAGAGAACGAGATGGCGGGCCGGGAGGTGATGCGCAAATCCCAGCAGTGAACAAAACTGTCAACGGCACAAGTGGCCAACATGTCAGGATGATGCGCCGAGAAGTTGATGTCGGTGATGGCACGCGTGTGCGCATGCAGTACATGCTCAATTGAGCTCTCCGGTGTTTTCATCCCCAGGTTCCAGACCAGGGCTTTCTGGTTCGACGTACTGACCACCCAGTAGTCTCGGGCCGCGAAGGGGGACCATTGTACATCCGCGACTTCCCATGGTGTGTGATGAGGCAAGTATCGGGGTGGAGAGTAGGGGGAGTCTAGGTCAATTACATGCAGACCCTCCTTGGAAGCTAGTACCACATCACGTCCACAGGGCGATATAGACATGGACCCGACCGGTTGCTCCACGTGAAAAGAACTGTCTTCGCCGAAAGTTGGACTTTCATAGGCCGACGTCGGTGGCCTGGGCTCGCTGGTATCCGTCATGGTTCCGTCCTCTGGCCCAGCGGTCGAAAGCTCCGTCCTCTTTGCGTTGCTTGTCGACGACTACCCACACCCTAGAGAGTCGAATTCAAGAAGGCTTGAACACATGGGAGATATGGTTGTATGTGGTCAAATGTATCAATCTCATATCGGTAGCTCGAATAAAAAAAGGCTGGTCAATTGCGAAGATTGGACAATCTTGAGAAAAGCGGTTTCGCGCATCGAGCATGAGCCGGACAATTTCGAAGCTTAGTATCCAATGAACATGCGGGATGACATTCGGAGACGCAGTGAGCTAGGTCAATTGCTGAGCAAGGGGCCATTAGTCGATGATATCAACGATGAAGGTGTCAGGACTCACAGGCGATCCGACCTCAAGCAAGCGTAGCTGTCTCAAGGGGAGTCGAGACAAGACTCGAGCTGAGCACAAGCAACTCCACAAGTCTGGGGGAATCCGGACTTTCCATTTCGGGTCAAGGCATTCTGCATGGATGGCGTGTCAAGCGCCCCGTGCGTATTGCGGCGGGTGAAAGGCACCTGTGCTGCACTGCCCCTCGGTCGGTTACGTTGATCGATATCAATTTCCGGGAGGGGTCACGTATAGACACCTGGACCTGTTGATATTTTTCTCCCCTACCCATTACTCTCTCACAGCGCAGTTGCTGTTCCTCCTTCTCCTCCTCCTCTCCGGTGTAGCAACTTCATCCGTCGCACCCACACAGACTAGAAGTTGACAAAGGACAGAGCCGTAAGCCCCACCTCTCAATACTTGAAGACGAAGACGCTAGGAACCCAAGGGTCTGGATGTATATCAAAGCTCATATCTAATCTTACAGGTTCAAGATGGCGTTGCCGAAGAGAATCATCAAGGAGACCGAGCGCTTGATGGCGGAGCCGTAAGTAGACTGGACTCTGTCTCGAGTCCTCAGCATTGTTAACGCAGTTCTATCCGCAGGGTTCCCGGCATCAACGCGGTCCCCCACGAGGACAACCTGCGCTACTTCGATGTCTCGATCCACGGACCTGCACAGTCGCCGTACGAAGGTAATGCCATCCACGGTTCATAAAAAGGATGGTCGCTGATTGCTGTCTTCTGAAGGTGGCATATTCCGCCTCGAACTGTTCTTGCCTGAGGACTACCCTATGACTCCGCCCAAGATTCGCTTCTTGACGAAGATCTACCACCCCAACATCGACCGGCTGGGACGGATCTGCTTGGATGTGCTCAAGAGTATGCCCACCAAAAAACTCTCGTCTTTCTGGAAGAGACACCGCTCAGCCAACTAACACCCGTCTCAGACAACTGGTCCCCCGCTCTCCAGATCCGCACGATCCTACTCTCGATCCAGGCTCTGTTAGGTGCCCCGAACCCGGACGATCCGCTCGCCAACGACGTTGCTCAACGATGGAAGGAAGACGAGCCAGCTGCCATACAGACCGCCAAAGAGTGGACTAGAACTCACGCCATGACCTAGATACATGTCTTTTGATTTTGAGAAGGGGGTTGACGGAGAGAAAAAAAGGCGTTTCGGCGGCGACCCTCCCCAACGGTCACTATGACCAGAACCCCGTAGGCGCAACAGGACGTTTGGACGTGACCCATGAGACCACACAAAACAGAAGAAAAGTACTGCTTGTTCTTTTCATTCAAGACTTCCCCTCGACTTATCGCATCAGTCTTTCCAGCTACCTCACTTACCCTTTCACCCGAAGAGGGTCGAGGCCGACACTACACATGAGAAATTTGGGCTCCGCAACCGCTGAATTCGCTTTTTGGTCACCTCGTGTAGTCTGTGGGAAAGGCCGTCACTCGTGTCTGGTACATCTTGTACTGGGCTCATGGTCTTTTTGCGTTCTTCGAGAATGTAGTTAGTCTCGCTTAGCCATGTCGCCATGTTGGAGCGCTTTCGCATGGATAGATAGCAATGTACATATGATTTCACCATTCCACTTATGCGCTATCTTGTCTCGAGCTCTAGTCAAATCTGCCCAACAAGCAGTACATACATAACAAGCTAAGCGCGAAAACAGTGGAAACACCTTCTGTGGACTCGACTCGCTGAGCGGAGAGCTGAGAACCCAGCCTTCACAACATTGAATCCTACCACAGGAACTCAGAGTACAAGATCCAGGTCACTACTTTCAGCGGGATAGTTACTGATAGAAATAGCAGCTAATCATTACTAGAGAGTTTATTTCTGCAGGGCTCAAATCACTTCCGCTGTGAAGTTACACAGTAAGCTTTGATATGCAAGCCTTCTGATGAAGACTGTACCCAACACCAACTCCATTCTCTATGTCACAGAACCTGCAAAACAGTGATAAATCCTCTCCAGTTCTTTCTTCTTGTCGTATGTCCTGATGCAAACATGTCTGCAGTCACGAGACCATGCAGTGAGTGTTAAGTGAGGTCACGGCAGACGGTGCACACTCCACATCAAAAGGTGTTACTGCTATCTCACTCCACCTTCTACTTCAACTACCTTCTTCTCGGCATCTCCCTGTCAAACCACGTCTTCAACCCTTCATCAACAGAACCGCGCTTGTGACCATGCCGAGACTTCGAAAGATAGCCAATGACCTGCCAGGGGAGGCAAGGTGAGCACCATCCTTCACTACATTATAACATATCAGTGAGTCGCTGTTAACATCAAAAAGCGGCCAGGACCCGCGCGTGGACCCGTGTGCACCGAATACCGGGCGTCCAGCTAACCTGGCCCCCGTTGCTCGGCGCGATGGGAGTCGCATTGGGGTGTTAGGACCTTCTGGCGACGAGATCATTCTCTATGGCTATACAAGTCTGCCAAGCTGGACAAGAAACTTTTCCCCAACACAATCCAGCACGCAGACAAGCATCTCCTATCGGACTGAACAGTCAGGGAACGACAACATGGAGCTCGCCAAGGACAAGAGCGCCTCCAGTGAGGTCAACGCTGCGGCATCCGCTTCTGACGCGTCTCTCGTCTCGGCTGCTGTCTCCGGTGAGTCTCTTCGTCATCCTGCTCCAGTGTTATGAGCTCGTCTGACAGTGGTGGCTCACTCCAAACAGTGACTGCTGACTCCGAGGTCGCTGGTGATGACAACTCTAGCACCAAAAAAAAGAAAAAGAAGGCAAACAAGAAGAAAAAGAAGACTCAGACCGTGCCTGACGAAGACGCGAGCACCATTTCTCAGAGCACTGCGAGCCTTCTCAGCAGACTCGAGAATCAGAGCACTACAACCCTCGCCAGCAGTATCGGAACTCAGAGTTCTGCGAGCTTCGGCGATACTTCCGGAGGTAAGTCTCTGATTCCACGTGTTCCCCAGGTGTTGTCAACACAGCAACACTCTGCTAGGGTGTAGATGAGAACGGGAGCTGATCGTGAGCAGACATCGGCGATGGCCCGGTCCCTGTTTACATGCGCCTGGACTTCTGGGACCGTGGCACTATCATCGAAGAGACTGAAGAGGAACTCGTCTCGAATTTGGAGAAGGAGGTTGTTCTGAGCGTGAGAGATGAGGCAACTCGTCCAAGCGGCTACATGAACTCGCCCGCTTTGGCTTCTGCTTTGATGCTTCCACCACGCGAGCACACTGAAGTGCCTCACCAGAGCAGTTTCATGGCCCCTGTGGCTCTCGCTTCGTCTTCAACACTTCCCGTGCGCGAGCACACTGAAGTGCCTCGCCTGAGCGCTTCCATGGACGCCCTTACCCTTGCTTCTCCAGCCCGTCCGGAGAGCGAGCACTCGGTAGAGATTCATTCTGCCGCCGAGTCTCTGCTGAGCCTGCCCGGCAACGAGTCCACTGCTTCCATTCACACCGACACTCAGAGCAAGAGTGGGAGCGAAGTCCACTGCGACAACGCGAGCATCACCGAAGAAGCCAAGCCGACTCCGGCCGCGCCTCGTAAACCGTACAAAGATCCGGTAAGGCAGAACCACAGCCCGCCCTCAGACCCTCAAACCAGATCACAGAGGCTAACACAAAGCTAAGACTCTCTGGATGCGCGGATTCACCGGCACCATGCTCAAGCCCAGCTTGCCCGGCGAACCGGCGAGACCCGGGGACAGCCGTTCCTGGGACACGAAGATTCTTTGGTGCACCCACTGCTACGGACCCTGCCCTGTCTGCGGGAAGCCGTGCTGCGTCCGTCAAGGATGCCTCCAGTACATGGCCCAGCCGATCGCGGAGCGGCACTGGTTGCGATCCCGCCGGTGCTTCATGGTTCTGTGTCTTTTGGACCGTTACGGTAACCTCACCAAGGATCATTCTACTTACGCTTTGTGCTCCGAGCCCGGTGGATGCGGACGTTATGTCTGTTCTGACTGCTGTGGAATCTGTGGTACAGCCATGTGCCAGGATATCCAGTGCAAGGTGGGTTGATTGCGAGTCCTGAGAAACTCTGTTAGCGGGAGGGGAAAGTGTCGACTGTACCTGAACTAAGGGATCATTGCTAATTTACTTACGTCTGATATCTAGGAATGTAAGCCCGACCCCTGGGGCCCCTGTGACTGGCACTCCTAGAACTTCGATCGTGCTTCTGCAGAATGGGACGCGACTATGGTACCATCCTTGGATGGAACTATTATTGCGACCTATGTATGCATTGGCCGGTTGCTTTGTGTACCTCGATCATTGTTGCCTTTTTATCGGATTACAAACTGATGAGGAGTGAAGTAGACGGGAATAAGTAGGAAAAGTGGTCTGAGATCATTTTGTAATACGGTCCTGTTAGTTTAATTCTTTGCTGTATGTATCTGGATAGAGGGTTGGTGTATGTATCTAGTGGTACAGTCCGGGGTGCCATGACGCTTAACAAGCGGAATCGACTTTCATATTCTCTCCATAGTCTCAGAATAATTGAGCTTGATCAACTGAGCAAAGAAGATATAAAAAAAAATTGAAATCATGTGCGATTTGAATGTCATAAAACATCATATCATCGGGAGAAACAATCCAAAGGTCAACGAGGTAATTAAGCCCCGCCCCCATACATAGTCATCTACATAGATCGCGAGGTTGGAGAAGTCGGAGCGGAAAGGCAGCGCCAGCCAAGGGCAGGCGTGGTCACGTGGCCGGGTTTAGCGAGGCTCCCGCACCGCACCACCACAATTGTGTCAGTCTCGCCCGAACAGCCTCGCCGCAGAGACCGCTTCGACTCAACCACCCAACGCCAACCGACAACAGACCGGCTGCGCATCTCAGACGATCAAGATGCGTACCTACGACGATTCTTTCTCCGGCCAGAAGATCTACCCTGGAAAGGTGCGTTCTTGAGCTCCCTTTCCATAATCGCCCGAAACATGCAAAAAAAGCTCGATATGGCGCCCCGTTACGGCACGACCAATAAATTATCGACGATCGCATCATATATGAGAACCAAAATCCGTTGACTTTTTTTTCTCGAATCAAACAGGGTAAGCTGTACGTCCGTGGCGACAGCAAGATCTTCCGCTTCCAGAATGGAAAGTCCGAGTCCCTCTTCCTCCAGCGCAAGAACCCTCGCCGTATCGCCTGGACTGTCCTCTACCGTCGCCAGCACAAGAAGGGTATCTCTGAAGTCAGTACCACCGCCATCTCTTCCTTCCGAATTGCAGAAAGTCTATGTGTGTGTCTTGTGTCTCCTGCCTGTGGGATTCGTGGGATGGGAAATTGTGATTGGAACGTGTCGGAAGAAGCGACAACATCATGGGGGCTTGGGGACTTCCACTCGAGATGATCCGGGTTTATCAACTGCTCGAAGAGGAACACGCATATTGAACGAAGGAGGCAGGCGTCTAGGATATTCCTAGGCAGGCGGGAGATTCACGGCCACACAATAGAAACGATATGCTGATATCTCGGTTTGTGTTTGGGAAAACAACGGGTTATGCTGACCGGGAATTCACTTCGGTGTAAAACAGGAAGTTGCCAAGAAGCGCACTCGCCGTGCCGTCAAGCACCAGCGTGCCATCGTCGGTGCCTCCCTCGACGTGATCAAGGAGCGCCGCTCTCAGCGCCCCGAGGCCCGTGCCGCCGCCCGCCAGCAGGCCATCAAGGACGCCAAGGAGAAGAAGGCTGCCACCGAGTCCCGCAAGAAGGCCGAGAAGGCCAAGAACGCCGCCGCCGGCAAGGGTACTGGCCAGCGCATCCAGAGCAAGCAGGGTGCCAAGGGTTCCGCCCCCAAGGTCGCCGCCAAGTCTCGTTAAATTCCCTATATCAAAAAATAACGGGTTTGAAGAATGAGCGGTCTGGCTTGGGACTGGGGAGCAAGGATATCATGGAACTTTGGGAGGTTTTTCCGGAGCTGGAATTTACGTTTTCCTTTCAATCAACTTTCTTATTGAAACCAATACGATCTTCCGGCGCATGAGCGAAACTCAAAAAAAGGGATCATCTCTTCTCTCTCTCCGTTCGAAAGAACTTGGGTGTGAAGATTCTCGGCAAAACCTTGGCTCTCCAGATAGGTGGTTCTCTCTCTATCATGTTGCAGCCCATGGTACTTTTTTCAACCCATAAAAATGGAAAATGGATGTGATATGATGGCACCTATTCGTTTTTCGTGTGACTTTGTAGATTCCCCCTTTGCGTTGTGAAATCAATTTCTGCTCCCCTTCACCATCCGCAGTCAGGAATTTCCCACCCATCCTCGATACGGTCTTGTAGTGTAACCCAGCCAACCCTGAACCTGCCTCAGGCAAGTAGATTCACGGTCCCTGGCAGTGGTGCTTGGTCGTCCCACACAGCAAACAACAGGCATGATCCCGGCTGTCCTACCAGAAAATCAACGGAATGTTTAGCACACATGGATTACTCTCAGATCATGGCCAACATATGGATGAGCCTTGCTCTCGTGAAAACAGGTTACTTACTTCCTCTTTGGATATAATCTCAGGCCCGAACAAAGCCCACACACCGCGTCTGGCAAATAACCTCGTATATCTATACCGGGCTGCCCCTCTCTCTGACCTCGAAATTATGTATACATCAAGTAAAGTCAACAAATCAAGTACTCACCCAGGGTACCAAATCTAAACGGAACGCCCACAAAAACAAAGCATTGAAACAAAAAGCCAATAACCCGAAACCCTTTGAAAGATAGCCAACCATTCCCTGAGGCCCAGTCCTCTACCACCTACCATAAAACCTAGTAATAATGCGCCATCTCCAACCCAGCCCGCTTGAACCCACACTTAAGATAGAACCCCTCATTAGTCTCAGAGCAATCGAGGATAGTCTACCCGAAAAAACCACAGTTAGCCAAGAATATTAGAAGAAGAAAAAAAACTCCCCCTCATATACAAATCGACGATGAACATGGAAGCAAGCCATACCTTATAACACCCAACCTTCTCAGCGACGTAGTCCAGCGCCTGGATAAGCCGCAATCCCAACTTCTTACCCTGCTGGTCCTTGTCGACGGCGATGTCCTCGATGTGGCCGACCATGCCGAGCGAGTGGATGAACTTGCGCTCGACGATCAGACTGCCGGTGCCGACGATGCGGTCGCTGCCGTCACAGATCACCAGCAGGTAATACTCGTCGTTGCGCGAGGAGATCCAGTCGTAGCGCTGGTTCCACTGCGCCTCGGTGATGTCGCCCACGGTGGTGAGCACACGGAGCACGTCCAGATAGCCGCGCTGATAGTCGGAGCGGCGCACGGGCCGGATCGTGTAGTTCTCCGGCAGCACGCTGACCACCTCCGGGGAGATCAGGGTCGTGGGGAAGAGGAGGTCGTCGTGCTCCGTCGTCGTGGTGGAAGCAGGGGCTTTGCCGTTGGCGACGGCGGGTTGGGCGGCCGGGGTGGAGGTGGTGAGGTTTGTCATTGTGTCAATTGGGTTGATTGTGGTCTTGGAGGGGTATAGGTCTTTGTTTTGCGCGTGGTTTGAACAAGCGATGCGGTATTCAGCGACTTGGGTGGTGGTGGTGATTATGTTCTTTGAGGGATGGCGGGGTCGCTCAGGCACAAGGGTGATAACTCCTCGGTGACGGAATCTGCAAAGAAGGAGCAAACGCTAACCAGCGCAGGAAGGGTATACACAGTGATCTGAAAGAGAGACAGAGGGTTCAATTACAAGAAGTTGATGGGTTAGTGGAAGAGGAAGAGAGGAGAAGGGACAGATTACAAGGGCGCGGCGAAAGTAATAAAGATCGACAGCCGCAAACACTGCCTCAGGGCCCATGGGCTGCCTGAAACACTCCATTATTGATTGATTACTATTGCTATGCTGTCCGCCCCTGACTACTTACTCGTACGTGTCTTCCATTCTCTTCTCGATATAACATATAGCCCTGTCATGAATATTCACTTGTTAGCTGCTCGCCTCCTGCACAAGAGACTAGTGCTGCAGGTCTCAATGGCTGTTGCAGTTCTTCTAATCTGCATCCCTGGAGCATTCCAAAAATAGTACCAGACGGCGGTGGATTCGATCCCACTAAAACTACCGCCAAATCGGGATCTCATTCCCCTTCAACTTGGAAATCTCAATACTATCATCACCGTCATCAAAGAACAATAATACAATAGATTTTCCTGGGTGTACATAAATGTGAAATAGAGAAAAAAAAAAAAAAAGCAAAGGTTGGGCTCCGCTAAATTGCGTCCCTCCAAACTATTCCAAAAGATCAAGACCCCTCATTCCTGTCATCCAACGCGCCGTCTATACGTCTATTTCTTCTCCTTGGGGCTCAGCATCAGCTCGGGACGGACGTACTTGTCGAAGTCCTCCTCGCTCAGAGCCTTGAGCTCCATGGCACTCTGCTTGAGGGTGAGACCCTTCTTGTGAGCGTTCTTGGCGACCTTGGAGGCCATATCATAACCAATGACGGGGTTGAGGCAGGTGACAAGCATCAAACTAGAATTCCGATGTTAGTCGACAATCAACATACAATACCACAAATTATCCCAATTACGACTTACCTCTCGTGGAGGAGAGAGTTGATTCTGGGCTCATTGGCCTCAAGGCCGTGCACAAGGTTCTTCTCGAAGCTCTTCATACCATCCGCAAGGATGCGCACGCTGTGGAGCAGGTTGCGGATCATAACGGGCTTGAAGACGTTCAGCTCGAACTGACCGTTCATACCGCCAATAGTGGCAGCGACATGGTTACCCATAACCTGAGCGCAGACCATGGTGAGAGATTCGCACTGAGTGGGGTTGACCTTGCCGGGCATGATGGAAGAGCCGGGCTCGTTCTCGGGGAGAGAAAGCTCACCCAGACCGCAACGGGGACCGGATCCGAGGTAACGGATGTCCTGGGCGATCTTGAAGAGAGAGCCAGCCAGAGTGTTCAGAGAGCCAGAGGCCTCAACGACGGAGTCGTGGGCGGCAAGGACCTCAAACTTGTTGGGGGCTGTGTAGAACTGGGTGCCGGTCATCTTGGTGACCTCGGCGGCGATGGCCTCATCGAAGCCCTTGAAGGTGTTCAGACCGGTTCCGACGGCAGTACCACCCTGAGCCAGGTAGCGGAGGTGAGGGATGGAGTTCTCGACACGCTCAATGTTGCGGTCGAGCTGGGCAACATAGCCAGAGAACTCCTGGCCGAGGGTAAGGGGGGTGGCATCCTGCAAGTGGGTGCGACCGATCTTGATGATCTTGTCGAACTTCTCAACCTTGACCTGGAGCGCGTCACGGAGGCTCCGCAGAGCCGGGAGCAGGGTGTTCTCGAGCTCCATGACGGCAGCGATGTGCATGGCGGTGGGGAAGGAGTCGTTGGAGGAGGCAGACATGTTGACGTGGTCGTTGGGGTGGACGGGCTTCTTGCTGCCCTTCTCACCACCCAAGATCTCGATGGCACGGTTCGAGATGACCTCGTTGGAGTTCATGTTGGACTGGGTACCAGAACCAGTCTGCCAGACAACAAGAGGGAAGTGGTCGTTCAGCTTACCCTCGGCAACCTCAGCGGCGGCCTGCTTGATAGCCTCACCGATCTTGGGGTCTGTCGCGCATGTCAGTAATGCGCTCCTACAAGCAATTTCTCCCAGAAGAACGTCTTACCAAGGCCAAACTTCATGTTAACCGTGGCAGCAGCACCCTTGAGGACACCGAAGGCCTTGACGACGGCCTCGGGCATACGATCTTGGGGCTGGTTGATGTCGAAGTTACCCAGAGAACTATCCTCCTGTCAGTCGTTGTCCGTTCCCTTCTCTCATTCTATGATGATTCTTGTGGAAATGAGAGCAATGGAGTCGAAGCTCTTACCGCTGGGTCTGGGCACCCCAGTACTTGTCCGCGGGGACCTAAAGCAAAACATAGTCAGTACATCATCATCATCATCATGAGCGCTCCGACTGGATAGAATGAGGCCACATACCTGGAGTTCACCGAAAGCATCGGTTTCGGTACGAGTAGCAGAAGACTGAAGAGCCATGATCGGTTAGTATTGCATTCCTATGCATCGGATCAGGCTGTCACGCGAGTGGAAGCGTTCGAGGAAGAGAAGTAGAGACATATGCAACAAGACGCCGTTGCTAATCACTTATCGTGACCGACCGATGAAGGAAGACAAGAGAACTCACCATTCTGACGGTGGTGCCAAAGGCGCGCTTGGAGGAGGTAGAGTTCAGGGACTGAAGGCGGGGGAAATGTTGCATGACCCGGCTATTGGAAGCCAAGAAGCGTCGGCTACTGAGCGCAGCGGGGGAGCGGGCAGCAAAAGCCGCGGCAGCTGCGGGGGAGCTGGAGGAGACAGCGCGTGTCACGCTGGCCATCGAGCGCACTGCGGCCCGGGAGGTGTTGTAGGAGGAGGTCAACATGACGCTTCTTCGGCTTTTGACGAGCTGTTTTTGGTCATGGTGAGTTAGCTAGTCGGAACCAATTCCAATTGTGCAGGTGGTAGAGCAGAGAGAGCCATTGCGGCTTGTGCAGGAAGCTTGGGTGGTCGTCATACTCTGAAAATAATGCAGTAAGGATAGAATTCTAAATATACACGCTCGAAAATACCCAAAAATCAAGGGGATGGACGGCCACAGGGAGAAGAAGGGGAAGAGGAAGAGAGCAAAACGAGGCCTTAATGAATGCCATTCTTTTCCGATACCGCCTGCCGAGCTCTCCCGGTCCGGTACGGTCATGACGCCCGGCAGTTTGTTTTGGTCGCTTCTCCCAGTGTGTGATGATGATTTGAAGTGTAAGACTCGGTAAGGTATGGTAAAAGGCCTGTCCGGATAAACCAGGATCCTCAGATTCTCTCCGCATTTCTCCTACACCGTCAACGGTTGGGATTCATCATCCATTCTAGCGAGTATGCATGATGCAGCGTCGTCATCATAGTCATACTTTGCCTCTATTGAACTATAAGACTGGCCTTCAGTCCTTCAATCACTTTCAAGTTATACACCTGTCCTGACTTCAGGATCCCATCAAGTAAAGCGAAAGTATGTGGCGCCCCCTTCATCCGCATCAATTCGACCGAGCATCCCGCAGCCTTCAACTTCGTCGCGTAAGCTTCACCTTCATCCCGCAGAGGATCCATTTCAGCTGTGTAGATCAATGCAGGCGCCAATCCAGCAAAGTTGGGAGCTAGCATGGGAGATATCTTCCAGTCCTGAAGCGCAGGTCAGCGCCTTGCGCGTCGCGAATACCTGTCTCGGCACTCTGTAGGAGTAGCTCACCTCTTTTGATGTTGCTGGTCTTGAATTTCCTAGGAAATGTCTGTGGAAGTATGCTATGCGTGCAACGGACAGAGGCACCGTAAACTCCATCTCCCTGTACGAGTCATAGGGGCATCCATCGCGGTCGAATGTGCCATCGGAAGCGAACGGGCTATGCAGATCGCAAACGGGGACATTCAGCACCTGAAGTCGCAACGGGATGCCAGCGTCGCGGCAGAGATGAGCCATCACAGCTGCCAGATGTCCACCCGCTGAAATACCGCCGACAGCCATGCGATCTGGGTCGATATTGAACTCGTCGGCTTTTTGTGAGCGGACCTGCCTTCGTAGTTAGTCTTCGGTTACGTGACTACCCATCGAACCCTTTGGGAAAACTAAACTGACCCAGTTAAATGCTGTCCAGCAATCATCCACCGGAATGGGGTATTTATGTTCAGGTGCCAGTCTATAGTCGACATCAAAGGCTACCAACTGCCCGTCCAACCCATCGACGATCCTTTTACAGAAGTCATGATCGGTTGACAGATCTCCAAAGACCCATCCACCGCCATGGAAGTTGATATAAGCGGCCCTCTTCTGAGCCTTACCATGCTCGTTGACCACGGCTGGCGGTTCAAAGATGCGTACGGTTATCTCTCCGCCCTGTACTGGGCATTTCTGTTCGGAGATGCGGTAGACATCCGGACCGCTCGCACGACCATAGCTGATGAGGTATTTAGCTGGGTTGCGTCGGAAGTGCTCGATAGGGACCTCATGGGTATGGAGCCTTCCCGCATTGTATTTGTTGTAGTTCTCCACGAAGACCGGATCGAACCGAGACACCAACTCCGGAGGGATGCTGTTATGAAGTGGTTGAGTTAAGACCCTCGGACGGAGGTCGTGCAAGAGCTGTTCGTCATTCGGTGAGGCCATACTGATAGTAGAACGTAAATCGCAGTCGAATCCAGATACGGTGAGATAATTTCACTAGCAGAAGTGACTTGACCAGAGGACGAATGTCGTGGTTTGCTCCCCAACGCCAGGTTGTTCCGAGCTGACAACTTCCCCTCACGACCCCTCATTGTAACATTGTTATTATCGAGAGACGACCGAGTCGATCCGGGTGGTCCAGTCATTTGGACATGTTGCCTTCCAATCTCGGGTTCATGTTGGTGGGATAACCTACTTGTTTAATGGGCGAGATAAGTCCAATGCTTCTTGTCCCCAGGCATCGTGGATTCTACAAGCGAAGATTGTATAGTTCAGATTCCGTCCAGTATATTTGCTCGGCTACAACCGGGGGTTCTTAAGCAGGTGACCGGCTTTTGTCCGCCTTTATCCGAGTCGAACCTCACCTTGAGCTTCATTTGACATGCCCAGATCAGGTTCCCAATGAGGAATATCCCAACCCTCACTTTATGCTGAAAAGTGTACAAGTCTGGTTGTATACATACTGTACAGTCAATGCACTGTGAACAATAATGTGACCAGCCACATGATCCATTCCTGTTCTCGTCACCGCCCAGCAACGGAGGTTATCGGCAAGACAACAACGATAAGTCTACCATTTGATGGGATATCAATGGCCCATTCTGTGCCGGTCACACGGTCTGCAATGGCTTCCTTCGAATCATCGATCCACGGTTTCAGGGATCCTTCACTAAGCGGGGATTCCCGTTGCTCAATTGTCGTCAGCGGCGAAGAAAAAAGAAAAAGAAACCGCCATGCCTAGACGAACCGAACCGGCGGGTATTTGGCTGGATCCACGAGGGCGATATCGGCCAATCCTGCATGCCATTGACGACTGAATATTGACTCATGCAATCGGTCCACCGTCATTCTTTTGCTGAATCGAGTATCTCGCGTCCTGCCTCGTTCTCCATTCTTGCTCAACGCCAGCAGATCTCATAATCCCTTGTTCAGACCGTGCTCATAGCCTGCTTGTTCGTCGCCCGTGTCCCCGTCCGATCCAACTAAAAATCCCACTGCTCCACCCACACCGGCTATCCTCAAAACCTAGCCCACTGCCCCTCGGGACCGCCCCCCCTCAGGTAGGTTGCAGAAGAAGAACTAAACCCCAACCCTGGTTCCGGAGCATACACTTAGCCGGGCTTGCCTCGCTGACATTCTCGAAGATACGCTCAAACCGTCTGCCCTCCTTTCCTATACCACCAAAATGACCGTTCTCGACTTGCATCCGTTGCCGGCGGACGAGATCTTCGCGCTGAACCGCGCATACAACAACGACACGTTCCCGCAAAAGGTCAGCCTGGGGGTGGGCGTGTACCGCACGGACGATGGCAAGCCGTGGCCGCTGCCGGTGGTGCGGCAGGCGGAGCAGCAACTCCTGGCGGAAGACAATCTGTTCCGGCACGAGTACACGGCGATTGAGGGCGACATCCCGTTCCTGGAGCTGGCTCGGGACCTGATGTTCGGGTTCGACGCGAAGCAGGCGACGGAGCAGCAGAAGGCGCAGCAGGGGCGGATTGGGTCGGTGCAGACGGTGGCCGGCACGGGCGCCAACCACCTGGGGGCGCTGTTCCTGGCGCACAAGATGAAACCGCGGACGGTGTGGCTGTCGGACCCGTCGTGGGCCAACCACCTCACGATCTGGGAGCTGGCCGGGGTGCCGCGGCGCACGTACCCGTACTACAAGGCGGACACGCGGTCGTTCGACTTCGAGGGCATGATGTCGACGCTGGAGGCCCACGCGCAGGCCGGCGACGTGATCCTGCTGCACGCCTGCGCCCACAACCCCACGGGCCTGGACCCCAACCAGGACCAGTGGAAGGCGATCGCCGACCTGTGCGAGCGCAAGCAGATCTTCCCCTTCTTCGACTCCGCCTACCAGGGCTTCGCCTCCGGCTCCGCCGACGAGGACGCCTGGGCCGTTCGCTACTTCCTCACCGAGAAGCCGCACCTCGAGATGTGCGTCGCCCAGAGCTTCTCCAAGAACTTTGGCTTGTACGGCCAGCGCGTCGGCGCCTTCCACTACGTCCTCGCCGAGGGCTCCCAGAATCTCCGCGACCTCGTCGTCAACAACCTCTGCCATCTGATCCGCGGCGAGTTCTCCATGGGCCCCGTCGGCGGCTGCACCATCGTCAAGAAGGTCCTCACCAACGACCAGCTGACCGCCCAGTGGCACGATGACCTCAAGGTCATGAGCTCGCGCATCAAGTCCATGCGCCAGGCCCTCTACAACGAGCTCGTGCGCCTTCAGACTCCCGGCACGTGGAAACACATCGTCGAGCAGGTAAGTCGTTCCACACAAATATACTAAGTGGACCAACCCAAATCTGACTGACAACCCAGAACGGCATGTTCTCCTACACCGGTCTCACCCCGACGCAGGTCGAGGCCCTCAAGGAGAAATACCACATCTACCTCCTGAAGTCTGGCCGAGCCTCCATCAGCGGCTGTAAGTAACTTGTTCTTGTCAACATCTGTTGGCCCTTACCAGCATACTGACCATAATCCTAGTGAGCCAGGGGAACGTTACCTACGTAGCACAGGCTATCGATGATATTGTCCGTACCGTCAACTAAGATGGTGGGGTAAAGCCCGGAAAGCACGGAATATAAAATATATATCAAGAGAAAATATAGACCGAGGTGGCGATGTAAGAATTGTAAATAGTGGAGAGGGGGCCAAGCCCGGCTGTGAATTATATATGTCTTGCGCACTGACAGCAAACACCGTGCACGACATTCAATGATAGATCCACAGATGTTTGCCCTTGCACGTGCAGTGCGCATGTCCATTACGTCAAATTAAACCGAGAACCAAGATTCAACGATAAGAGGAAGGCTTTCAGATTACCGTAAAAGAAAACATGCATGGCGGCAGACTGGTCAAGTTATAATGCGGAAATGGCGCCAACCCGAGGTAAGAAGAGAAAAGATCAAACACAAAAGTACAACAGTCGGTCAACAGTACGCATATCGGAAAAATATGTTGATACGAAGAACCATAGTAGTTTTTTTGCTTCTATCGGCTATAACTACAATCATAGACGCTTACAAAGTCCATTTGAATATCGTCGCGGCAAGAAAAGATAATTAGGAGACAAAGGAAAAGCGAAAGGGACTTATGGGGGTAGCACAACTAAAGCGGAACTTCATTGAAATCACCCTCGCCCTCTTTCGAGTGGCGCTCCTTACTCTCCTCCTCTGCTGGCTTGCCTTTTTCCTCCCCGGGGTGGTCGGAGTGCTCCTCCGCCGTGCTCGCCTGTTCCTGGTCGCTTCCACTGGCCCTCTCTTCCTCTTCCGGCGTCGCTCCCTCCGCTGCATCGTAATCTTCTTGTACGGGGGCCTCGTCTTTTTTGTCATCGTCATCGTCGTCCTTGGGGGGAACCGGGGGTGGAGGGGACATCCGGCCCTCGTCGGACGAGACCTCCCTCTCTTCGGCCGTCGGCTGGCCTGTCATCTCGGCACCGGGGAAGGGGGTCAGTGGGGGTTCCTCGAGCTGCTGTTGCTCTGCCTGCTGCGAGCTCGAGGGGGCCAAGTTCGACGGGGACGGGGACAGTGATGATTGGTCGGGGTCCGGGATTTGGTTCGAGCTCTGGTTATTGTTCTGTGACTGGCCCGTGGCGGTTAGGAGCGACGTAGCAGTCGAGGTTGTGCGCTGATGCTGCGTCGAGCTATGGATGGGGCCCAGCTGGCGAGCCTTGGGGTCCGCGTTGAGGTAATAGCCCCGGACGCTGACGATGGTGCCCTCAGCCTCACAGGCATCGACCCATTCGGGCACGACGACGGGGATGTTCATCTCCACCGCCTTCTCCCAGAGCGGGCCCCGGCCCTCCGTGCAGACGAAATGCGTGGTGTCGATGCGGACGGTATCGATCAGTTTGCCGCCGATGCGGTCGAGCGCGGCCGCGAGCGCATCCTTCTGCTGCGGGGCCAGCACCCCGGCTGTGACCGTGATGCCAGACAGATCAGTCATCTTGTGCGTGCGGCAGACGAGCTTCTCGGACTGGTAGGTCCCCGCGGTGGTGCGCAGGACCAGGTGGAAGGTATACTCGGTGTGGATGGCCAGGCCACTGATCTTGGTGCTACGTGTCTCGAGCGGTCGGGGGATGGAGCCGGCCTTGGAGCCATTGCGGTAGAGGGAGAGGGATTTCAGGGACGCAGTGGCCAGATCGATGGGATCCCATTCGAGAACGAGGGAGGTCTGGGTTGCGTTGCGGAGGCGGAGGATCGGAGGAGTAGGCGTCTTGATTCCGTAGGTGTTGAGGATGCGTTTTTGGAGGGTCTGGAAGGCGGTTGCGCTGGCGGTTTCGGCGGCGTGATTGCGCGCGACGGTAATGTCGACGATGCTACCGGAGGTGATGTTGTTTGGCAGGAGAACTGAGGGGAATTCGATCTGATGGGGAGTGGTCGGAGAGTCAGCATGGGTTCGGGGAGGTGGTTTGGGAATCGAAGAATGCAAGGAGCCTGCCACCTCGCAGCTGCATCTCGAGTCGAGAAACAGCAGAATAATCACTTACCAGTCTGTTGTCCTGAGTCAAGAGTACGGCGACTCCGGCGTCGACCTTGCCGACAGTCAAGGATACCAACATAGTCGATAAGGTGGAGGAGCGCACGCAAGCTGTCAAGTGAAGCAACCGACTGGGCAGTCAGAAATAGCGCACCAAGTGATCTCGACGCCAAAAGAAGGAGAGATTCAAGGAACAAGAAAAGGAGGCCTGCGTCCAGGCAGTCGTTCCGGCGCGATGATGAGGATGAGGAAGAGGAGTACGTAAGGCAGGTGGTATGTCGGAGATGTTGTTTTGATTCTCCTCAAAGATCGGCCCGTTAGGAACGAACCAAACGTTGCCAAGGACCCTCGGCCGCGATCAAGAGGCATGTCCATGCTATACAATATGATATTATTTCTATTCATCTATTTACAGAAGAATGTGCCAAATTGTTCTCAAATGATCCTGACTGTCTCATCTTCTCCTTGGATAATAAGCAGACACACGCGGTCTCCCTGGCGGCGGAACCTTGCCCTTCTTCACGTTTGGATCCTTGAGCATGGTCTGGATTACCTCATGCACAATCAAATCCATATCCCTCTCAATCTCTGAGGATTTCGCGTTGAGGACCGGTTCCTGAATAATGACGTTAAGCGTCCCTCGGAGACCGTCAATATGTTTCGCCTCCTGAGGCTCCCTGGCAAACGAACTGATTGCTCGGCCGTCTCTATCGTATCCACGCGCTTCCATCGCTTTGCGAAAGGCTACTCTAGACCTTCCCAATGCCCATGACCGAACAACACTTTTGTATGATGAGATCATGCTGTGACTCATTGAGTACCATAGCGTATCGCGAGGGCGGTTCTGGTAGAGATGAGAGATTTTGCATTTGACAGGGTTCTTAGGTAACAGTAATTGTGAACGGGCAATGTAGGGCATTATATGGTCGGTATGATAATTGATGCCGTAAAGCGCCGTCTTGAGACGCAGCTTTACTGCGGAATTGCGCATCGGGTTGAGGGGCATGTTTGGTGTCAAGAAATCGATGACTCCCACTAATTCGCCGTTAAGGGTGGATCCAGGTGTTCCCCTACAACTGATATAAACACACCAGAGTAGCACTAGATGGTCTGTTCCTATGCCAACCAGGTCCGAACAAAGAGGAGCCGACTCTTCCAAAGAGATGAACGAGGTCGATGGAAGTTCGGATTCGACAAGCAAGCGACTGTTGAAAGCTCGATTAAGCCAGTTTCAAATAAGCCATTTAGAGGCGTAGGGGCGAGGCCAGATGCGTATATTACGAAGTTGGAAGAGCGTGGGGGCCTCGAATGCCAAAATCAGACATGCATGAAGAGTTCGTAATAATGAAGGTAAGAATACTTTCTTTCTTTCCTTCTATCGATAAAGCGACTCTATCATTTCTGTCACAGGGCGGTCAGACCCATCTTACCCATGATTGGCAGGCTCCTCGCTGACTCTTAAGGCAGGAATCAGGCTCATAACACCCACTGGGTGCTGACATAAGATGCGGCAAAGCCTGAAAAGCGTCGAAATCATCGTTGTCTCTTTCTGTCTCCCACCCCCACTTTCAACCCTCTGCTGGTCCGTAGGGACGTCCATCTTATCACCTCCCCTTTTTGTGTTCGATCATCGGCTATCGCATCGAGTGGAAGAATAACGCGGTTAGCGAGATTTCACCATGCCCAAGAACAAGGGAAAGGTGAGCACACGCCCCCTATGAACCCCGCCTCACAGATTTTCGCACTGCTTCGAAACGGGCGCCACACGACTTTCACCACCAAAGACCGCTGCGCTGGAGTGTTTATGTCAAGAATGCAGCTGTCTAGGTGGTGAGGCCTGGCGTTGTCGAGTACACGATACCACTATTTTGTCATAATACTACCTCCCCCCCCCCCTTCTATGAGGACCTTTGTGCTGATGCATGATCCTACCAACAGGGCGGTAAGAACCGTCGTCGTGGAAAGAACGAGAACGACAACGAGAAGCGTGAACTCGTCTTCAAGGAGGAGGGCCAGGAGTACGCGCAGGTCGTGAAGATGCTCGGTAACGGCCGCCTGGAGGCGCTGTGCTTCGACGGCGAGAAGCGCCTGGCACACATCCGTGGCAAGCTCAGGAAGAAGGTCTGGATCAACCAGGGCGACATCATTCTTCTGTCGCTGCGTGACTACCAGGACGAGAAGGGCGACGTCATCATGAAGTACACCGCCGATGAGGCCAGAAGTCTCAAGGCTTACGGCGAGTTGCCCGAACACGCCAAGATCAACGAGACCGACACCTACGGCCACGAGGGCTTCGAGGACAACGTCGAGTTCGACGAGGACCGCGAGAGCGAAGACGAGAAGGAGATCGATGTCGACGAGCTCTAAATTCCCTTCTCCCCTCTCGTCTCCGATGCATTCATACCCCTTTGCGCGAGGAGAGCTCCCCTGGGATTCATTCTCGCCCCCCTTCTCTCTTCTCGCCACACGTCCTTCATGCTTTCCCTCTCGGCAAATCAAACGTCCTTTCTCCGGGGAAAGGAATGTGTCCCAGTTTCCGGACCCTGTGCGAGCCAACATCCGCTTGCTTTAGGGTATTTGTGAAACCTAGGCGCTTGGCTTGGGTCTTACTCGCCTACGCCACCCTTTTCTTTCCCCTGAGAAGGCCTCTGGAGGATGGATGAAGGCAGCAGCGGCGTCTCCCCACCCGCTTCGCAACAGGCGCTCGCTTCAATCTCTCGTGTGGCCCCTCGCAAACTCAGGGTATGAATCATTGGCAGGGATAGACTTAAGGGCTGTCTCGGTTGGGTCCTCTTGGTCCCTGGATCATGGTCCATCATGAGGGATGCTCTTGGGTCGTCTACGGAGGAATGGGTCGCAATACGTACGGAAAAAAAGGCAGGCTGCGTGCAGCTTGGCTTGTGTTGACGATTTTCTTTTTCTGTTCCCTGGTTTTGCTATCTTCAAAATTCGCTCCTTTTTTTCTTCTTTTTGAAAACCTGGATGATAGAGTTATGAAATGGCTACGAATACAAAACCTACTATCAAATCCAGTTTCTTCTATCCCGTAATCTTAGCCCGCAGCTTGTTGCCTCAGGCCGCTTGTTAGCATTGTAGAGTAGAATCATAAGTGTATAAATACAGTAGCCAAGATGTCTTAACTATCCTCAAACACGCTCTTTCGAAAGAAACCAACTATCTTGCGTGCAGCTTCGATTCCAACAATAGGATCCAGTTGCTCCACACTCATATTCGCAAGCTCATGGATATTCTCCGTTTCCAGGATCAGCCGCTCGAGAACAGCGGGCGTGACACCAGGCACGGCTCGGAGCATGTCCTGAGGCAGGAGGTTAAAGGTGCGGTGCTCGATGCCGGCGGCCGCCATGATATCGCCGGGATGGGAGGACGAGGCGATATCCATGTCGAGGCCGATCTGCACGGCGCGAATCGGGTCGGGCTCAGGGTTGTTCTTCTTGAGCTCGGCGAAGATCTCCGCCGTCTGGTAGGGGGACGAGGACCAGATGATCCGCAGCTTGGGGAAGGTCAGGGTGAGGAGGACGAGCAGGTGCTGCGCCGACTTGGGGCTGGAGGGATTGACCAGGGAGCTGTTGGCCGACAGCGTGCTGGCGCCAGAGGACGAGAAGCCGAAGTCAGTCAGGAAGGTCGTGCCGGGCGTGGTTGCGGACGCGAAGGCGTCGAAGGTGAAGGACTTGTTCTGGTCGAACTCAATGAGGAGGAAGGGGTTCTTGTAGTGTTGCAGCATCGTCTCCGCTTGGTTGTAGAGGCGGCCATTGCGCAGCGAGGTGATAAGGTCGCGGACGGACTTGCGCTCGACGCAGATGTCCGGTGTGAGGATGTAGTCGCCCACCGTAAGCTGGCAAGGAACTACGATCATGTTGTTTCCGTGGAGCAAAGACGGTAGAGCGCTTCGGAACTCCCGCACGTCGACCACCACCCGCGGAGGTGATGCTGTTGCGGCCAGTCGACCCCCTCCGGCGATGCGAGTGTTCACGGTCCGTAGGAATTGCTCTTGGGGATCCTCCAGGCTTTTGTCGTGAACAATAGTGACGGCCATGCTCTAGTGAATATTGTTAATGAGGTTGCGGTTTCGCCAGGTCTTGGACAGGTACATACGCCTTTCTCCTTGATCAGCTTCGTGAACGAGTCCTTTTCTCGGCGTACAGCACTCAGATATCTTTGTTCTTCAACCGAGCCTCCATAGTAGACAAAATACACACGCACATTCCTGCCCACATGAGAGCTCCTGTAGACCTCGACTCGTCGAATGAACGCAGGGTCTGGTTCGTACATAATGATGTATCGTGGACGGACCTCCTCGAGGATGTGTTCGTCCATGTCGCCATCGTAAGGGTGTATCATGATCAAATCGTTCATATCATATAATTCGTAATAGTCGTCCATGCCTTCCAGGTCCTCCACAATGATCTCTTCCTTCTGAGTCTCTTCGATCTCCGTGGGCTTGATCTCGTCCAAGAGCGCCGTGACTTGGCTAGAAGGTTCCATCTCCACCTGGATGCCGGCGTTGGGCGCTCGTCCTGGCCCAGTTGCTGCACCTCCACCACGAACGCGACGTCGCTTACTTGCGGGTGCTCTGGAATTCATAGCTCCAGGTGTGGCTGGGCTTGTTGTACCGTTGGTATCTTCGTTGGGTGGTTTGGATGAAAGATTCTTGCTGACATTGGACAAAGAAGCCTTCCAGTCCAAGTATTCTCGTAGCCTTCGGCGCATCATCACATCAGCTGAGCCTTTCTTCTCACCCATGGCATCACCGGGGTCAGAACTCTCCCGCTTCCTGTTGCCTACGTGAGCGTGCATCGTTGCAAGGTACTCTCGAAGTTGCCGACAAGTTCGTTGGTCACTGCACATGATCAACACGGTACTGTTAGATTCGTCCACAGTTGTGGGGTTTAAATATGCATCGGTCTCGATCTCCTCAAGTACTTCGGCGAGAACCTCCCACTTAGGTTGTTCTTCTAGGATGGGCTGAAGGGTGGTAGGAAATGATGTCAACGATGAGCGGGCCACCTCATTGCTTATTTTACCTTGATAAACCCTCGCTTTCGCCGTTTGAAACAGCACATCAGCAGAGTCAAGGAAGAGCCAGGGGGAGTAGTTGTGCCTTGTAGAGCCAGGTGGTGGAGTGTGGGCAGTAACGATGAGGTCGAGGAATTTGAGGAATGATACGGCATCGTAGGTAAGCAGAGCACTGGTCTTCGGTCAACATTTGAAGATGCATGGTGAACGTACTCGTTTTCGGCAGGACGATAGGGGAACCTTGAAGGAGGAAACGTACTGGAGAATAGCACGTAGATCCGACAAATCACTAACTATTTGCCTGGTCCTGAAACTCACCCGGTGCCACATAGGGTCGAGCTGGCGCCTGATTGCGATATCGAAGCTTCGGTGCAAAGCACTGTCCAGGGTCCAGTCTGCAATATCAAGCCCGGTGTTTGCTTTCTTTAGCTCTCCGATGCAAATTTCTACACACTCGAGAACAGCGTTTTGGATGTCCCGCATCTTGTCACTCATGGGGACCTCAAGCTCGATCACCTCGGCTTTCCTGTGACCCTCCAAAGACTCTGCAACGGTGACATGAAAGCGAGGCCATAGCGATGCCTTGCGAAGGAAAAGATTTCGCATGGAGGTGGCCAATGGAGCAAACCCTGTTGTGAACGGCTCGGGGGAATCCGAGAACGCCTTGAGAAACCCGGTCTTGTTGTCTTCTCTATACACACGAATGATGAAAGCTTCGAGCGATGTCGCGAGAATCCTACACAATATCAGTATTTGGGTGCCCCCTATTACCGAACGACTTACTTGTCGGCATGAAGCACAACCATCCCCGTCACTTTCGAAGGGTCGAGGAGTTCTATTGGTGAGATTGATATCAGCAATAAGTCATTCAAGTAAGCGCACAGTGATACCTACTGGACAAGAAGTCCACCACCAGTATTCTGGACGTCACACTCAGGACACCACCCGCAGCATATAACTTCTCTCTGTGCGACCATTAGCACGCAATCCTCGGCAGTGTACCGCTCGCGAGCTACCTCATTGAAACAGTGGCTCTATCCGTATTGATCACCTTCAGGCCTCTAGCCAAAGGGGTCTTGCTGATGGCATAGTGTTCCGCAAGCGCTACAAGCTGTTGTCAGCCACTTGCCTGCGATAGCCGTCATGGTCGGGATCGCCGCTTACCCTCCCCAATCCACTCATTCTCTCGATCATCGGCACCAACGACCAATACAAGGTTATTTCCGGCAGCATCGTAGAAGTGAAGCAAGTTGGTCACTAGCCGGAGGAGACCTAGGCCTCGCGCAAGGATCACTAACTCATCCTCCGTGCGCAGTTCGGTGAAGATGTCCTGCTGGTATTGCTGATTTCATCATGTTAGTGACTTCGTGGTATGTCTGATAAAGTTCCCGGGGAACTATAACACTCACTAGAGGCAGAGACAGCTTCACCGGGACAGTGGCTCGTTCAGGCGGCATGAGGACACTCTTGACGCGATAGAGGCAGCATCGCAGCGCGCTGAGAGGAGCAAAGTGAACACGAAATCACGTGCATTATGATGTAATGATTCCTTTTCGGGACTATTTTCAGCAGCCCGTTGCCGGAGCCCGTTGCAAGAGTCTGTTGCAAGCCGATGCAGTTGGAGTACGGGCATACAGTAATTACGTACAGGTTTAGCAGGGGTAAACGGCCGGGGGGGGGGGATTTGTTTACTTCATGACACTAAAGTAACCGCTCGTGGGGAGGCGTGTGCTTCGCGATGTCAAGGTCACTGCATACAATAATTGGTCACGCCAAGTAAATATATCCCCGCAATCCGTCTTTAATGTGACATTTCATTACACCGACGGAATAACATTCGTAGTCTTCATGATCAATACAAAGTATGAAAGTAGGCCATTCAACATATCCTGCATCACTCCTGGTGTTTCACTGGTTTAGCTCCTTCTTACGTGCCTCGATCTCTTCCTTTGTTGCTTTGGGGGGCAAGTCTAGGATAGAGAGGTTAATGATGCGACATTCAACCGGTTGAAAGCACTAAGCTTACTATCCATGATCACAGGGCCCTTCCGCATGTAATCGTCCTCCGAGGGCTTCTTTGTACCCTGACTGGGCTCTTTCTGTGCCGAGGAGTTGGAAGGGTTGTCGTTGTTACTGCCCTGAGCAGCAGGGAAGCTAGCAGGCTCGGATGGGATGACAGGCATAGTGACAAGTTTGATTTGGCTTAGTGGTAGATGCGTAGTAGGTATGAAGAAGAGTATGTATGATTCTGGGGAGGTTTTCAGAGCAGTTGCAGCCAGAGAAGTGATAGGAGAGAAGCGGGCTTTCTATAGTTGTAGGCCACGCGATGACGTCGGTTGGGATCGATACTCCGACATGATAAGTTCACAATGTAAGCACACTCGCAGCCACATGATCGATCCATGCTTGTAATAGAGTCAGTGATAGGACGTTGCCTAGAGGCAAAAGTTAATCCATTCGAGTATCGTACTTAGCATTACTACCATGGACTGTGTCATTTCTGCCTAAGATGGCCGTTGGTAGAGGCGGCGACATCTACGGAGTAGTCTAGCTAGAACTATGGCACAATAGGGAGCATGATCGATGGCCGTAATTAGTCTAAGACTACATAAACCAGTAGTCCTTCGAGAAGCACGCAGAAGTCAGTTATAAGATATAGCAGTCGCAGGCCGTAATGGCATATTGGCATAGTATTTAGCAGCATTGATTGATTGCGGTGAATAGACCCGGCTACCTGCAAAAGATCCCCACCGCGCGCCTCCCTAGTGCCACCCGCCTTAGCCTCTCTCTCTCTCTCTCTCTCCGCCTAGGTATCCTTCCCCCTCACGCTTCTCTTCTTGCTACTTGACCTCTTCTGCCCCATCATCCTTCAAGGCGGATTTTCATAGCAGCAGTCAGTCTCTTCAGGTGAGCCCTTCAAGAGATAGCCTTTCTCTTATTAATTCTTCTCCCCATTGTTCTTATTCTCACTCCCACCGAAGCTCCCTGCAGAATCCGAGAGAATTCAAGCCCCCCCGCCCCCTACTCTCACTGCCTTCCGTTACTGTCGCGCCGTATCAGTGAACAGCCGTGCCTGAGGATCAACAACCATTCTGATCCATTGGGCCTACAAAATCGCACCAAATCACCTGCGATGCGTCCGCGAGAAACTACATAATCGCCTTGATCGCAATTTTCATACTCCACCTTCCCTAGTTCATTGTCCAGAACTGCCCGGTACCTCGTCATGCCTTCTATACTCACCGACTCCGACAAGGAGACTGTTAGAAGAATTGTTCCTAAGCCTGCGAACAAGATCCTTGCTGTAGCCGTTGCGCGCCTCTACGTGGCATATCCAGACCCCCAGAGATGGACTTACACTGGTTTACAAGGTGCTGCAGTGCTGGCAAATGACTTGGTTGGCCGCACCTTCTGGCTCAAATTGGTAGATGTCTCGGTAAGCGCATCCCTCAAGCTCTGAATAATAATCTCTAACCAATTCAATCTTCTGCACTGCAGCCTGCTGGAAGAGGCGTCATTTGGGATCAAGAGATCTACGATAACTTCGCATACAACCAGGACCGCACATTCTTCCATACCTTTGAGCTCGAAGACTGTCCCGCCGGGTTCTCTTTCGCAGACGAGAAAGAGGCTAAGACTTTCATCAAGAAAGTTCACGAGCGAGAGAAGCATGCGAGCAAAGAGACACGGCAGACACCATTTGCGTCGACTCGTGGCCAGGGCCCTGCCCCGGTGGTGAACGGCAAACACGGCGTAGGCCGATCGTTGTTTGGCAGCTTGCTCGGGCATCGCTCATCGTCCGGGTCTCACGCGCAAACGATCACGCCTGCAGAACTACCACCCGCACCTTCGATTCAGGTCGCTCCCCCGCCGCCTCCAGTTAGCCCGCCACGCAAGGAGCTGCCTTTCGACACCAGCGACCCGGCATGGAAGGGGCTACTGGATGAACTCTTGCAGATGGGAATCACAGAGGACCAGATAGCGGAGAACTCCGATTTCATCAAGGCGTATATTGAGCAGAAACAGGGTGCTTCTGGTTCAGACTCTAGTCCGTCTCTGGCTGATGACCAGAGGCGAGGAAAAGCTCCACCTCCGCCTCCCCCTTCTGCCCCGCCAACTCCGAAGGTGGCAGCCCTCAGCCCGCAGAACACTGGCAACAGTGGGGGTAGCAGACGTGGCGCTCCTCCGCCCCCTCCTCCATCACGCAGGACTCGGACTGATGTCGACGATGAACCTGCTACGCCTGCATCGAACCGCGAGCCTTCGCCTCCAAGAAACCGCTTCCGTGCCCCTCCACCAATTGCAGATGCAGGTAAATTTGCCCATATTACGGGTTCCATTGCTCCCGGTCGTCAGCGAGCAATGTCCAGCACGAATCCAGGCCCTCCCCCTCCCCCTCGGCCTCCCAAGACACCAATGGAAGATAATCATTCTCGGTTTGGAGTGCCACCTCCTTTTGATGGAGTGCGAAAGGTGTCCGCTCCGCCAGCACCACCGAGCCGCAGCCCTATACCTTCCGCGCCGCCGCCGCCGCCTCCGCGCACAATGAGCCCTGCCGCGCCACCCCAACTTCCACCCAAGATTCCCAATGCTGCCGCTCCAGGTCCCCCGCCTCCTCCCCCAAGAAGTCCAGCTTCAGTACCTCCGCCTCCTCCACCTGTACCCTCGAGCTCCCGCCCAATCCCACCTCCACCGGCGAGTAGCGCAATTCCGCCGCCTCCTCCCCCACCACCATCGTCAAGCGTGCCTCCCCCTCCGCCGCCCCCACCCCCTTCGCACCCTTCAGCACGCGCAGCACCCTCATTACCCCCACCTCCGCCGCCGCCTCCGTCAAGCACTGGACCTCCTCCCCCTCCACCGCCGCCGCCTGCACCAGGCGGTTCTGCTCCTCCACCTCCACCGCCACCACCTCCTGGTGCTGGCGCTCCTCCACCTCCACCACCACCCCCTCCTGGCGTTGGTGCTCCTCCGCCACCACCTCCACCAGGTGGTGCCGCTCCATCACTGCCCGCTCCGGATGCGGGTAGAAATGACCTCTTGGCTGCTATCCGAGCATCAGGAGGGAAAGGAGGCGGTGGACTCAAGAAGGTCAAAGACTCGGAGAAGAAAGACCGAAGTGGTGCCTTTGTGCCCGGCTCTAGTGACTCAGCCGCGGCTACACCAAGTCCTGGAGGCGCGCCTCAAGCAGGGTTGGCTGGAGTTCTACAAGACGTCCTGGCAAAGAGAAAGCAAAAGGTCAGCGGGAGCGGTAAGTATTTCCTTGTCTTCTACTCTTTCCGCCTCCTGTGGTAGGTTCATAGCTGATTTTTACTGGCAGATGACGAAAAGGAGGACGACGACGATTGGTGATTGCTGGGCGGCATCTACCTTCTCGATGCTATTTCGTTCTGGCGTTGCAGTGTGTTAAGCATGATTGTTTGCGCCAGATATCTTTGTTCTATACCTTCCCTTCCGTTCTCTTTAAGTGCCCAGGGTTCACTCTGCTTACTGTGCGGTCGGCACGCCTGGCAGTCGGTTGTCTTAACTAGCTAGTCCTTGCGCAGTGCAGCTGTACTTCCTAATCGGGTGATGGTGACTTCCTGAACACATTGCTCTATTTGATTCTATAGACGAGAAATTGGAAGTCGGTGTCTCGCCAAATTCCTTGGAGCCTAGACGCGAGCCTTGGTGCCTTAGTCAGGTACGTTTTCCGTCCTGTGACGTAATCCACCAACGGGAACCTGTCAGCGGGTGGGGCTCAGACTTTCTCCAGGAGTAAGTATGGACCATGGAGAAACATGATCTTAGAGAATCATCTTAAGTTCGTGATTCTTCATTAAGATATGGGACTCGAAGCGACCACTGGCTCCTAGATACATTTTGCTTTGTACAGATTCACTTGTGGCTGTATCGCTTTCTGATATCGAAGACATTGGGCGGCAGCATGAATGTATAAAAGACACAACAACAAGGAGAAAGCCAGTCCAATTGTTCAGTAGTAACATACTCACATATCATATCGATTAGTCATGTTTGTCAATTCCTTTCTCATAAGGACGATAAGGGGTAACTAGGTACCTGAGTAGAGAGAGTTGTATCTTTATCGTGAGCAGAACATCGGATAAGGGTCCGGATCATCACTCGGCCCGGGCGCGCGCAACAACTTGCGGCGCGGGAAAAAGATAGACGAATCCATTTCCGCCGGTCAAGATCTAGGACGAGTGGCGGTCGTCTTTCTGGTTGTTGATGAAGTCATCGCATGTGCCTCAGAAATGCCGTCCCCATCGTCTCTACCATCTTCAGCCCCATCGGCGTCTCTCCTCCGGTTCCTGCGTTCTCAGTCCGAGTCTCTCTTTTTCACAGCCAACCCAACGACTCGGGGCCAGACCCGACCGCCGCCTCGTCTGCCAACGCTGAGAAACTTCACCAACTGCAGTCGAATCGATCCATTGCCATGCCACGAACCGCTCCAGGCTAGTCTACTACCCCTGCCCAGTTTTTCAGCCCGCGGCCGGGGTAGTGGTGCAAGATGCCGAGCTTCATTAACACCGCCTCTCGCCGCGCCGGCATTTCCCGTTCCTAATGCGCAACCATCGCGCGCGGTGTCCACCAAAGACCGGCCATTCTACCGCAGGCTACTCGACTGGAGGCGGAACAAGGCCGCAGAAAGCAACAAGTACCTGCGCACTCCACCCAGTTTGATCGGCGACGGCACGGAGCCGGGCTTTACTCTCGGGCGCGGACTGGCGGCCAAGGCTACGAACGAGCCGCGACTGCGATGTACGGAATTTGACAGCAACGGGAATGTCACTCTGGTGAATGGCGAGTTCAAGAAGAGTGAGCTGATTGCAAAGGTGGGCGTTTCCCCGCATGTCCTGATTCTCATGGATTCCCTCCAGTTAACGCAGCCTTGCCCTAGTATGGCCTTCTTCCTCGGGATCTTCGCAAGATCGACTCGTCCACGCTGCCTCATATTCTTGTCCGGCCCAGCGCGATCCTGATCAATCTTTTACATCTCCGTGTTCTGATCAAGGCTGATCGAGTGCTCGTGTTCGATGCGTACGGATCGACCGACTCCTACATGCAGTCCCTGTTCGTATATGATCTGGAGGGCAAGCTGCGGCAGCGACAGGGACAAAGCGCGGGCGCTTTGCCTTACGAGTTCCGGGCGCTCGAAGCAGTCTTGATTAGTGTCACCAGTGGCTTGGAGGAGGAGTTCAACGGCGTCCGGGAACCCGTCGTGCGCGTTCTCCGGGCCCTGGAAGAGGACATTGATCGTGAGAAACTGCGCCATCTGCTTATCTACTCGAAGAAACTGGGTACTTTCGAGCAGAAGGCTCGCCTGGTGCGTGACGCGATTGATGACCTGTTGGAAGCGGACGACGACCTGGCTGCCATGTACCTCACGGAGCGTGGAAAGAAAATTGAGCGTGAAGAGGATGATCACCAAGAAGTTGAAATGCTACTGGAATCGTATCATAAAGTATGCGATGAAATTGTCCAGGCAAGCGGCAACTTGGTGACGGGAATCCGTAACACAGAAGAAGTGTGAGTTATGTTCGCTTGGAAGTCTTACCATTGGCTAAGTGACTAATCCCATTATATAGTGTCAAAGCTATCTTGGATGCAAACCGCAACTCTCTCATGCTCCTCGACTTGAAATTCAGCATCGGCACACTTGGACTCGCAACCGGAACCCTCTTCTCCGCACTTTATGGAATGAACTTGAAGAACTTCATTGAAGAATCGGATCTGGGATTCGGCGCTGTCTCTGTGACTTGCTTCGCTATCACGCTCGTCGTCTGCGTGTATGGACTGGCAAAGCTGCGTAAGCTCCAGCGTGTTAGGATGTGGGGTGAAGATGGCGCAGGCGGCTCGCCTATCGTTCATCTACCCACGAGGGGCGGAGGTCATGTGGGCCACCGGCCAAACTGGCGGGCTGATACTATCGAGCCTGTTTGGGGTAGTCTGCCTGGTGAGGCACGCTCGGAGCGATTGAAGCGCATCAGAGACAGCTCAGTTGCGGCTGCTGTTAAGTCCGCGGCGGCGCAGCGAGCATCCTCGTCGACTACGGCCGGCAATGCCCTTTCGAAGGCAGAAGGCATTCCGTCCAAGGAAGCATAGAAGCTCTCCATATGCTCCAATGCTTTCATGATCCAGTGATGATGGCTCACTCTTACGTCTCTTACGATAGTCTTGATTCAACGCCTGATCTGATAATGGGGCCATCACACCGTTACAGATGTGTCATTTGTAATAGTTTGCACGCAAGGTGATAATCTTCCTCTTCGCTCATTGTAATAGAAATGCATGGTCGGAGTTCTTCTCGTGCGTTTTTTCCCCTTCGATGCTTGATCGGAGTATCCGTCCAGGTCTATGCTTCACATCTTGAGAACTCCCATCTCAGTCATTTGTTTTTCCTCTTATGAAGTTGAGCTCGTGCTCGATGTCTATAGACTATTAGACACAGTTTATAGAATGTAACTCTATCACGGATCCCCCCTCCCTTCCTACTGATTAGTCGCCGCATCGATTGCCCAAGGTAGGTAACCGAAAAATGATATTTCCCTCAATGACCACGCTGCTTCCCCATCCCAGGACCCTTGTTAATGCCCCTCGCTCTTTCAATCCAGATCTTGGCAGCAGCTTCCACGCCGCCCTCGCGCTTACACTCCCGCTGCACAGCAGCCATAACCTTCTCCAGAACCACGTCTCCAGCATCCCCCTCACGACTTAGAGCAGCGTCAGGTGACCCGACCGTCTGCGCGCCCAGTTTCCAGCGCTGCGTCGTGACCCTCCGCCCACCCACGACCGCCATATTCCGGGTACTGGGAATGCGCAACAGCGTCTTCTCAACATCAAAGCCCACCTCCTCCGCCACGGCCATCGTCTTCGCCGTCAAAGAGCCGTACATACTCTTCAAAAACCCAGCCGCATCATTCTGCGAAGACAGTAGCAGCGCATCCTGCTTCTCCTTCCTCAAAGCCTTCAGATCCCCAGCCGCCGGCTGCTGTTCTTGTTCCTGTTCCTGTTTCTGCTGCTGCTCCCCCGAGCCCTTCTCCCCCTTCTCCCCTTTAGCCAACGAAGTAGTAGCCACCTTAGGCGGCGGATACCGATACTTAGCTCCCGACAACGAATGCGAACAGCAGGGGATAGCCACGAACGGCGACGGCGACTCGGGACACAGCAACGCGGCCATCAGCGGCGTCCACACCGTCAGTTCGTCCGCATGATTCGACACAATGAACGTGTCGTTGGGTAATTGGCCCGTGTGCGTGGGGATGCCGATGCCGAACGGATCGTCGGACTCAGACCCAGACTCGGACCCAGCACTACCACCACCACCGAGGACATCCCCAAATGGCCGCGGCACGTAAATCTCCTCCCTGAGCCTCGCTTGAATCTCCTCTGGGAAAGTCGCCCACGTCTTGCGGCGCCGCGCGTCGAACCCCCACCCCTCGTACCCTTCGCTTAGGAGGATGTAGACTAGCACGCCGTTGCCGCAGGCTACGTCGACGAAGCCGGGGAATTGGGATTTGTTGTGGCTGCTGCTGCTACTGCTGCTGCTACTGCTGCTGCGCTCATCCTCCGGGAAAGCGCCGTACATGCTGCGCCACAGCTCGATCAGGAAGGCGGCGATCGAGAGGTCCTCGAAGACGTGCTTCGAGGGCTCTGTCGTTTCGACCCAGTTTTGGCACAGGCTGCTGGCGTATTTGGCCTTGAGGCGGGTGTAGGTGTTTTGGACCAGGTGTTGCGGGAGGATGTTGTCTTTCAGGGGGTTTTTGTTGGCGCCGAGCTGGTGCTGGGTGGTGTTTATGGAGGTGGAGGAGGGGCCAGCGGTGGGGAGACGCGTGGTGCGCGCGAGGCGGATTTGCGTGTTCAGGAGGGCTTGGAGGGTGCGTTCGAAGCGGTTGGTGATGGGGAGGCTGGGGAAGAGGAGGGTATGTAGACTTAACGTTCCCCGTCCGGAGGTGGGAGTTGATGATGGCTCTGGATTCGCGGAGAGCGCGGTATAGTCGTATAGATAGGCGAGAGAGCGGAGCGTAGGGTGGTAGTAGGGGATGTCCTCCTCCTTGGTGATGTGCGGTGTGTAGATGACCAGGTAGCGTTTGAGAGTGCGCTGCTCGCCTTCTTTGGTTGCGGAGGGAACGTCCTCAGCTCCCTGCGCACAGGGCAGAGATGAACCTGCCTCGTAAAAGTGACACGTTTGGTCCAGGGTCCGGTCCAGCTTAGGGTTCCGGGGCACGAGCCGTCGCACGACGGTCCTTGTCAGCGAGAAGCCGGGGACTTCGCGCGCGGCGATCGGTTCGACCTCCTCGTCCTCGCCCTCACGAGCTTCGGCCGATGCGATGGTCGCCGCGTTAGCGTTGCCTGTGAGTGCGAACGACTGCGCCTTTTCCTTCGGGGTGCGCATGATGCCCTCGCTGTCGAAGAGGATATCGGCCCGGAACAGGTGGCTAGAGTTGATATTGGGGTTGGCCAACAGGTACAGGGTCAAGTCCTGCATCACCTCCGGCACAAACGACAGGCCATGTTCGGTGAGATCACGAGAGGTTGTCCAGTCTTCTGTCTCGCTGTGCAGGATGGGTGATGGCTCAAGGGTCTCTGCTAGTGGTTTCCCCGAGAGCTGAGCTGGGTCTCGGGGAGGCTTGCGCGAGGTTCTGGTCATTGTCGCTCGCCGTTCTTCTGTCTGATGCAGAGACTTATGTGAGGGGTGTGAAATAATTGCCCTCGATCTGTTTTGGGTCGATTAGAGCTACACTAGCTTGGGGGTTCTCCTGGTATCAATTTGATGGTATTCATCAATCCTGGAGAATTCTGCCATGAAAATTGATTAGTCATTTGTCCTTTGGGCGAGAAGCTTAGATTGCTTGTTTCTACATACTGGCGCAATCGATAATATTCTTGTTGTTGGAGAAGTATTCAACATGCTCATGTCATGGCTTCTAGTGCACTCAAGCATTGCCCCTCCGTTCTATCAGATATTGCCCCTCGTTAACTGTAGGGTGCATAAGGAATCATAACATATTAGTAAGCTTCATGTGCAGCAGTCTTTATCTACACGCACCTTACATCGTACTTCATGTACCTGTAGCTTGAGGTTTTGCTCTCGAAGCCGACTCGGTGGTTTGCGTCTATGCATGCATAATGTAGGCACTGTACATACAAACAGACATCTCCATGGCATTGACTCGCTGATTGGAATGTCGTGCAGCAAATCAGATCCGGCTGACCCTTAGAAGCCAGAAATACGAGGCATCCCCTCGGCGTCGCCCGTTGCATGGTCCGCTGACTTAGTCCAAAGCTCCACTCGCAATCCGGGCGTGAGCATTGTCACTCTTCTAGACCACCTCACTTTAATTATTCTCATTTGTCCATGGTGATCCCCATTGATGAATTCGGTAAGATCATCTCTCCATATCCTGCTTGGAAGATTGACCCCTGAAGACGGAATGTCTTGGCCTCGATGACTAATCTCCACCTCCGTTTGGCTTCCCGGTCACAGCATGTGTGGCTGAGGATGAGGATTCTCTGTTGCCAGTTGACCGTAATGATCGTCAGTGCCGACGAGAACAGACATCTTTCATCAGCCAAGAGAGTCGAAACGATGGTCCGGTGGAGAACTGGGCCTGTTGCGAAAATTGGTGACCAAGCCCCAAAGCAAAGACGGCTTCCACAACCCCGGTAGAGCTTCGCGCAACTCAAAAACACGGTCGATCTTCGCGTACGGAGTATGTACTCGTGTCTAGCGGGGTCGCGACACAATCATGACGTCTGCACGTTCGAGCTAGTCAAAAACTAGACTTGACACGGTGGAATGCTAGTCGGTGTGCCTATCAAGACACGATGGTCAGTTCTATCTGCTTGTTGCCTGCATCCCCTGGTCCAAAGCCTCTATCTTCGTTTTCCCTCTTATCTCTCCCATCTCTGTGCCTCCCTCAATTGCTGCGGGTGATAGCGGCTATGAACATATGCCGGGCCGGTCTACTCGTGCCGCAGGAGATCCGCCCGCCATAGCAACCATAAATATAATTCCAGCCTCAGACCCTCTGGAGAGTTGTCCTCGTCCGACCATGGCACTGAAGGTAACATGACAGGTCAAAAGCGGGACCTGGCGATTCATATGCACCTGCGCACCGTCCGGCTGACCTACTCCAATAGCACGTGAGCTATAGCGGCTACGAGTACGTACCACGTCCTACACTACAGCTACAGTAGTAGCAGCTGACCGTCCGGCATATACTGACACAGCCTGTGGAGAGCAATCTCAACAGAAAGACAGGCCATCCCGGACTAAATCTGTATAGCTTCCAAAGGCCGAATAAGCAACTAGTTAGGCGACGCTTTGTGGTTGCGGCTACCATCGATCGGCGCAGCCATTCAAAGCCCTGGCGCCGGTTCCGCATTAGAATGGATGCCCCATTTTGCATGGATGTGTTCGCTGCCTCTGTGTTCTGTAGCGAGCTGAGCTCCCTAGTCTGCAGGTGCAGTGGTCGGCTTTTGGTTGAGCCCAGACCACACCCGGTTGGGCCGTCCATTGTACATTAGACCGGGCTTGGCTCTTCCTCACGGGCTCGGATATGCCGTGGGGGGAGGGACTGTTTTCAGTCGGATTTCGAACATGGACGGCTGTAGGCATTGGGGGCCCTGTTTCCATGTGTTGTACGTGGTTCGGCCTGGATGAGAAGAGGTCCATTGTCGAATGCGGTACTTCGGGGAGGTCGTGAGATTTGCAGTAGTTACTACCGTAGGCTTTTTGACTGATTTATTGGTTCAATTCTCCAGACAGACACTCTTCATCATATAATAGGTTATTAGACTCAAGTGGCTGCATCCAGCGCATACGCTAGCATAGCCTGCATGTAGGCAGCATCCTCAGTTTTGAGGGAGCCATTGTGGCCCGATTCTCCCGTGAGTTTGAGCCGAGCACTGGCCGTTATTCAATTGAATCGGATGTTGACATCCATTCAGTATTGTAGTCGGGAACGGTTGACTACCTTGGTTCCTGTCGAGCTGGATTCCCGGACTGCAACCAAGATCAGACCTCACGCGCAATGGATAACATCACCTTCTAGAATTCTTCGCCACACACTTTGTAGTTCGAGACCGGAAGAAGAGGGACCACACAATGCGCTGGCACTTTTGCGGCGTCCCCTCGTCCCACCCCCCACTGCCCACGATCTCAGGAACCCGGAGGTGAAAAGACGCAAAGAGAACCTTTGGGGTTGATTTCTAAAGCCTAGCGGCCGGATGCAGTTTCAGACAGAGCCTACTAACCAATGCCAGGTGAGAGAGACTAAGACTTGAGCTTCCGCAAACGTTTCAACCCTGGCAATTGTGCATTTAGATCCATAATAGGTACGGACTTAGTAAGCCAAGCTGGAATCCTTCTGATGTTCAGATGCACACTGGGTACTCCGTACTGTAGGCAGAACATTAACTGGAGAGGAAGTCTTGGCATCGCATCCATCTCTTGGTTTTTCTCTTGCCTTCACTTGTGCCTAACTTCCGCCGACTGAAACGGGGAAGGAGAGAGAATAGAGAGAAAATTCCTTGTTTCAGTAAGTAAGATTGGATAAGTACCAGACCCACAATTGAGGCAGTACCATAGATTGAAACAGGCCGCTAACTCTCTCAGCCAGCCTAACTGTAAGAATTATTGAACAATGCGATTTGTTCTAGACGGCCCGGCTACCTCACAGGAGCTAGACTAGATTCCCGCTAGATGCCTTGGTTCCGTCGACGCTGCGGGTTCCACTTGGTCATAGTGATTACTAAGTAGTACTTAAAGTAGTTAGTTAGGTAAGTCTTGCCCTTCCTATTTCTCCCACTCTTCCTTCCCCCTCAAGGCTCGGAGACTCTGGTCGGGTCTCCCGGGCAGTGTGCAGATGCCAGATCGATGCAGAGCATTACTGTTATCCGAACAATGTATTGGACTCTCCCGCAAAGGTATGTATGGTGGAGGAACAACAGTGGAAATTAGATGAGAGATGAGGATTCCACCTCATTACTGATGCTATTGATTTACTACTGATTTCAGGAGCAATGCGGCGTGTCCGATACTGTGGATATGTGTCATCATTTAGACTTGTTGCATTGCTTTTTTTTCCTCACAGTGTTTGAAATCTGATGTCGAACAGCAACAAGCCACAATCACGTTCGTTATGTTATGCGCATTTGGGTGGTTTATGAATGCAACAACAGGCGGGCGGAGTTTACCGGTTGGTTTCAAAGCTAAACCTGGAAAGTCAATCTGAGACCAAAACTCTATCAACATGTGCATACACAGACTCATATATCCATTTCCTTCAAGACTGATTGATTGATGTCAACGATTACTTGGTGGCGAAATGCATCACCCCCCCCCCCCCTCCTGTATTGCAATCAGGTGGGTGCAACATGCAGCATTGCTGGTCGCGGAGACACCCGCTCGATTGCATCCCATCCAAATTGTTTCCTGCAAACAGAAAAGGCCCAGTCCCGGTTCGGTATGGGGACTTCACTGTCGATCCCTACTGCGGCTAGGATTCTGTGGCATGCCGGGTTCGACAAACACCGCCGCCCCCTTCCCGGTTGTTCCAGCGGCAAAATTCCACACCCCTCTCTTCCCTGGGGCCGAGTGATTACAAAGTAGAGAACAATAAATAAAAGATATAGCCGGAGTTATGGAGTGATGAAATGATGTCGCCGGAGAAATGGACTCTTGTGCAGAGCTCCCATCCCGCACGAGACTGTCTGTCTCTCTTATGCTACGCATAGGCTGGGCATAGAGAAACCGAAACCTCCAATCGAGAGATATAAGCATGGAGGATCCGTTTCGTATCACCTTCTTCTCAATCGAGTTTGGGACAATGGCACCAGGGTCTGGAAACACTGTCACCTATTTTGGGAGGGTTGACGATCTCTCGCCGTGCTTTGCTTGAGCATTGACTGGTCTCTCGGAAGTCACACCTGCTTTGCCTACACACAGGTAGTTTGCATTTAGGGGTCTTTGGGGGAGGGGGAGGGGGAGAGAAGTAGATGGGGCCGGTCGGAAGTATCCATGATGGTACTGTAGGCTGCTAGCCCGCTACTACGTACTGTATAGTAAGCATCACGAACGGTCAATCAAGCAACCCATCTCACCATAGTTCTTATTGATGTAAATGGCGGAAGTTCATGATTCTAATCACTACCTATAGCCTACCTACCAGTACAACCGTCGGCTGGAAAGTTTAGAAAAGATTGAGGATGATCCCGAGGGCTTGATATTGAATCATTGATCCTCCCTGTTTTACCTTGTTTCTAGCTTGTTACCCTAACCAGCTAGACTAGTGCAGGAGTTGCCAATTGCGATTCGCGACTTGCGAGATTCTGAAAATAAAACTCGGCTCCGCCCACTTCCTGCGACCGGCGACGGAGGAGGCACCCGCCTTCTCCCATTCCTATTCGTAGTTTCGTGCAATGGCGCACACTTGCCTGTTTCCAAACTTCTAAGTCTATTGTTGGAGGCCCGCATCCGAGGGCAGCCTACTGAGCCTAGATAGTCCTTTAGTACAGTAGACTGGCCAATCTCCCTGTCGCCCATTGCAGCGGGCGAATCCCCGGCCTGACCTTGACCACATCACCAGGTGGTGGGTTTCAGGGTGGGTTGGAACTGGGAGTGACGGGAGGATGTGCTTTTGCACTGGTTCGATGACCGCTTGGTCGCATCATGGTTGGCCCCAATCCAGCCAGCTCCCAAGTGGATTTTTTGCATGGTCGTGTATCATCAAAATCAAAAGAAATTTCCCTTAAACCACATAATAATCAGGATATTTCGACGGGCGGAGCGCTTGGGTTGAACCCGCTTTCTTTCATTTTTTTTTTTTTTCCTTTTCTTTTTGGCTTTCCCCCCTTGCCCTCGTTCCCTTACCACAAGAACAACACCTCCTCCCCCCTTCTTCCGTCGTCATCGTCCTCGTCGTCGCTGTCGTCGGCGGCGGCGCGGTCGTACGTGAATTACTTGGTAGTAGTGGTTGGCACTAACAGTCGGTGTCTATGATAATTCCATGGATCGAACACCTGGTGGGGAGGGAGAGACCTGACTCGTCTGTGGGCATCATTCAGGGGTAAAAGAATGATATCGAAATGGAGATGGATGACTGCGCTTATCAGAGATATCATGGGGGCTGGCCTGCATTGGGGACCGAACATCATCTGAGAATTGATTATTGTTTATTGCCGGGTATTGCATAGCCAAATATCCCCTCGGTCCCCATCTCCCCCCCTCCGAATCACCTAATAATAAGAAGTAATCATTCAAGTATAATAACAGGCCAGAAGCAAGAGGGCCTGAAGAATCGAACCGAAGGCGAAAACCGGTTTGTTCATTGGGGAACGATAGGACGTAGCGTGGACGATACTCTGAACGGGTTAGCTCGTACAACAGCCCTCTGGATGGATATCACCATCGTCGACTATTATCCTTTCCTTAGTGTGATGAGCTCAGTAGTAGCCTGACTCAATAGAATGGTTCTCTTTAATTGCGATGGGAAGTGACCACATTAGTATTTACAATGATCAATTGATTGACCAGGCCACTGAACCTGCGACCTATTCATTCACCCATCATGATGATCCAGTACATAAGAAGATCATGGCTTGTGTTTACAACTTAGTAGATGGCATTATTACCATACCAAGTGTAGCATATGAGCATAGAAGTGCCAGTCACTCAGCAACAAAGTAGGGAAGTGGTATTGGCCTGATTGTCATGGGAGTGTGTTTTCTCGTCGCGCGTCGTCCTTCCCTTCCTCCTCCCCTTCACTGCTGTTCTTAGAACGCAGACATTCTTTCTTACTCAGTCACATAACCACTCTCGCCATTCTCGCCATTCGATTGTTGCTTGCAGCTCTGTTTCCGTGTTCCTACTTCCCCTTCTCCCACCTCTCTCTCCGTTGACAGTCAATCTTTGTCTCCGTCCGCCTCTGTTTCCTGCCTCCGTTTCCGGATCGAGCCCTGGCGGGGGATCCACGACGACCGTTAGAGGTTTATGGGTGAACAAGCAAACCAGGTAAGAAAGAAAAAAAAAAGTAAACCAAAAAAAGTTTAAAAAATATTATTATTACAGAGGGAGAGAAAAAAGATACGTTCGACTCCATCAGCTCTCCCATTCGGGCTGCGCATCCGCCCAAAGCTGACTGAGTTGAATTGCCGGTCATCTTTGCTGCTGCTTGCTTGCTGCTTGCTGCTCTAGCTGCGAACACAGCCAAACCAAACCATCCACACCTTATTCCCCCCCCCAATCCATCCCAATCCCATCCGAACTCTCCTCCAACAATTCTGAACTGCTGCTGCTATTCTCCCCTTTCACTAACTATCCTTCTTTCTTTCCTCTCCCTCACCACCCCTCCCTCCCTCCCTCCCTCTCTCTCTCTCTCTCTATTCCCCCCTCCTCTCTCTTGCTCCCTCTTCTCGTTCGGTCTTCCTCTCGTTTTCAACTTGTTTTTTGACTCCCTCACACTCCTTCCCTCTCCCTCGCTACGATCAACACCATCATCACCACCTCCTTTCGTTTGTCCTGGTTGGAATTCCTTTTTTTTCTTTACAGATTCCGAAATTTCCCTTCTGTGATTCCCCTTACTTTCACTATCTTACTCTTGGCGCCTATCGCGTGTGTCCAGTTTTCGAATCGAATCGAGTCGGTAATCCTAGTTTCGGGGGATTGATTGCACTACGGTCCTTCGTTCGGTGGCAGCCTACGTCAATCGCGCATCCCAGTCGTGATCTCTGGCGATTCCGGGTCGGCTTTCAGTCAGGCGATAATCTCACGGTTCCCTTTCCACCATTTTGGCCGGTGGAACACTTCTTTCCATTTTTGCTCGGTCACCATGGCTCCTCCACCGCGCCTGCGCGTTTTGTCAGGTTAGTCTTCCAGTGTTTGCCGGTACCAGATTCAGCCAGGCCGAAAGGCTTCGCTCCGTTTTGTTCTCCGGATCAGCTTCACGCTGCCTATCCCTCGCCATTTTCTTCCCCCCTCTTCACCCACAGCTTTAATTGCCAATTCACTATGGGCCGTCATCTGACACGGGTCTGTTTAGTTGGCAGCAACGCAATCTCAGCTTTTCTATCCTGGAGGCTCCAGGCGTCAACCTCCTGCGACGTAACACTAGTGTGGAAATCGGGGTTTGAAGCCGTTTCGCAATACGGAGTGTCTTTCAAGTTTGTCTCTCCGGTCACCGCCCGTTGGAAGGCCCCTCTGACAAGCGATCAACAGGTCGAAAGCATTCGGCAATGAGAGATTCAAGCCTCGTCACGGTATGTTTTTGTGTCGGAATGCCGCAAGCGGTCGTGCTGGTCAGCTGACGACGGTCATTCTACAGTGGTGCGTTCACCGGAAGAGGCGGCATCACGGGAAAACGCATACGACTATGTAATTCTCTGTGTAAAGGCCTTGCCCGATGTCTACGACCTGGCGGCAATCATCGAATCCGTTGTTACCCCTCAACATACCTGCATTTTGCTCAATACCACCAACACCCTTGGCGTCGAATCACACCTGGAACAGCGTTTCCCCACGAATGTTGTCCTCTCCCTTGTTTCCGGCGTCGAGATCTCCCAGATCGGACCTAGCGAGTTTGAGCACTTGAACTCGTCGAATATCTGGGTCGGTGCCACCAACAAAAATTCGAGCCTTCCTTCATCCATGCAAACCGACATGGCGGCCGCGTTGGCGATGACCTTGAGCTCCGGTCAAGTGGACTGCAAAGTGTCGAACAATATCCGACAAGAGCAATTTGAGCGTATCATAGGGTGATTATTTCCTGACGCCGCTTTTCTCCTGCAAATGGTGCTAATCATGCAACTACCAGGCCTATTGCGTTTTACCCAACAAGCGTTATGTTTGACTGCGGAAACGTCGCAGAACTTCTGCAGAAGGTCGGAGTGCGTCAATTAGTAACGGATGTGATTGATGAGCTCATCGGACTGGCCAAAGCACACGGATGCTCATTCCCAAGCGACTTTGCTCAAAAGACAATGGAGGCAATGGCCGCGCCTCAGTCTCCCAACCCCATGTACCAGGATTTCCAAGCTCGGCGTCCGATGGAGATCGAGACATATCTCGGATCACCAATTAAGCTAGCAACAGAACTCAACATTCGTCTTCCGCGCATCGAAACGATCTATGCTATATTGCACCACGTTAATACCACTAATCTAAGCAAACCTCGTGAATCGCCAACTCCGTCTATCCAAGCCCCGCCTCCACATCCCACCCGGATGTCCTCGGCTCCTCCACCAAGAAACGGCCCTCCCATGCGCCCGCCTCCCGGCAGGTCAAGCTCTGCAATGATGATGCCACCCCCTAGACGCGGACCCCCGATGCCCGGCATGTCACGACCTCCCAGCACACAACCCCCGCCAGCTTCTGCCAGGATGCCTCGTGAGCCGTCTCTGGAGGGTCTGGAGGAGTTCAGCCACCTGGTTGTCTATGATGACGCTGGCGAAGCGGGGCCCCCCCCTCCCAGAAACCCCAACGGTTATCCGGATGGTCCTCCCGGCCCCGGTCACTCACAGTCGACTGCTGACCTGGCCCTGAGAGAACGAGAATTGGCATTGCGGCAGCGCGAGTTGCAGCTTCGGGAACAGGAAATGAGCATGAGGCGGGGTCCGCCCCGCAGGGCTGCTCCCTCTCGGGCCACTTTCGACGAGGAAGATGAGGATGACTATTTCGATCCCATGGATACTAGTCTGGTCCCGAACATCGACCCAGATAATGTGGACATGCTGAGTATCACATCTCGAAGAGCTAAGAAGTTCCCGAGCGCAAGCCAAATACGCAAGAACCCCGAGCTTCTGTCCAACGGCGGCGGTCGGTCCTCGACGTTCAGCCGCTACTTCGGAGGAGGCAGGAAGCGTGCCAGTGACCGTATCATGCAGGAAATTCCGGGCCTCCATGACTCGCTCTTGGATAATCCCATGATGGCTTACTCGTCGAACCGCTATGGCGCTGTTGATCGAAACCAGATGGCTGCAGGATCTCGTACCAACTCCATGACTACGAGCCGAATGGGCGACTATCCTCCGCACCCTTACCCGCAAAGCCGGAGAAATAGCCATTCGCCCGCGACTCCTTATGGTGGCCCGCCTGGTCCTCGCATGGGCCGTCCGGCCACTGCTCAGGATCAACACTTCGGCCCTCCTCACGGGCCCCCCAACGGCGGTCACCCGTCTCCTCCGGGACACATGCGGGCACCTGTTCCCAGGTATCCCCCAGGACATGGTAATGCGGTAGGCCCGCAACAAGTTGAGCAACATATTGGGGTGAGCAATTCGTATCCCACTAAGGGCACTCCAAAGGAAAGAAGTCTGACCGGAAGTGCGAGCGCCAGCGCGGGGAGTGGTGATAGCGGCGCTAGTGCGAACCTCGATTCCGAGAATTCAGCCCACAGCAGCCAGATCAGCCTCGGCGCGCAGCAAGCAGCCGCGCCTGTTCGTTGAAAGCCAAAAGCCCGTTCCCCCTCCAGCCCCCTCCTCCACGGCAGTTGAGCACTTCTGATCCTTTCAACTGTGCCGATGCTTGTCGTGGGCCCTATACTTCCTCTTTCTCAGCCTGGTTGGGGATCGCCAGTCACGGGGGGAGTTCTCCTCCAGGTTGCTTTCTGCTTCTTATAAAGGATATACTTTTAATGAGATGCTCGGCAACAAAATGAGGAGGATTGGACCGCATTCCGTGTCATCCTCCGGTTGTTTTTCAATTATTCACATATAACGCAACGGACTTAAGGATCTCCCCCAATTTCCTCGTTTGGTTGAGCGGGCGCTGTTGCGCGCGCGTTGCTCGTTGGGTGATTCTGTGTCTCCTTCACCCTCATCACCTACCTCAAACTCACCTCTGCGGCAAATTCTTGATTCCCATGCTGACGGGCCTCTGCTCGAGCGATAAATACGTTTTTTGACTTTTCGCAGCTATACCACGGACGTTCATTCTCCAGTACTGATCATACATTCTGCTTCTGCATGACAAATTGTTGTACACTATGCGAGTCGGCGCATGATTTTGTTGAGTTCATACATGTGGTTCCGTCGCCTACTTGATTTTATACTCTCTGCTGCTTGATTCTTTTCCTTAACTTTTCCACTGTCAGTCTGACCTGCATGCCCTCCTTTGCATTTTCTAAAACCGTTATCTATCCGATGTTTCCATGCAGCCTTTGCCGTTTCTCTCATCGTGGTCTGGTTTCTGGCGCATAAAAAGAGCAGGGGGTCCATCATTTATTCGGGTGATTGATTGATTTGATATGGCTGGGTTCATGTTCATGCAGAGTAATAGTGAAAGCAACCAGGCCGTTGTGATGGCACGGCAACTGTTCATTTGATAAGAAAGAACCATGTCCACGACAAGACAATAAATGAAGTTGAGCGGATGATTCCATTGTGGTTGATGTTTCAATGGTGTCAGATCAATCCCCGCGGCGACGATGGCACGTGATGCGGAACCGTAGATTGTCAACAAATAATAAACAGGACCTGCGACGTCTTCAAGTACACATCACCTACCACCCACAGAAGGGATAATCTCTGCTCACCACGTACCCTTTGTCAGGCACATCCGGTCGAAACCTGACAAATTACATCCGAGAAAAAAAGGAAGGGCAGAAGAGAAGCTCGAAACACCATGCCTCCCACCCACCAATACACCCACAGCCAGAGCTGCCGTCCAAGCCAGAGCCAGAGCCAAAACAAAAGCCGCCACAACCACCTTCCCCGCCACTCCATCCTTCCCCCTTCCGCATCCATGGGCTACGGCGGCAGCACGACCAGCATGTCCATGGCCAAAACCCGCCAGTACGCCAACCTGCACGCCCAGCTGGCCCAGCTGAACAGCCACCTCCGCGACACGGAGAACTTGGTCCGCATGACGGCCGTGCAGGCCGAGGACATGCGGTTCCTGGGAGGGTATGTTGGGGCGCTGTTCATGGGATCTGCGAAGGTGTTGGGTGAGGAGGGGATAATCAAGGGTGACGAAGGTGGTTCTGATTCTGCTTCTTCTGGTGGTGGTTCTGGTGGTGCGGCTGCTGTTGCTGGGGGTGGTGAGAGTGAGAGTGAGTGAGTGAGGGTCTGGTGTTACTGGGTGTTGGGGATTGAAGGTATGTATGTGGAACTAGTTGGTTGCTCTGTTTTTTTTTTTTTTTTGGTCTATTGGATTGGTTTTATATTGTGGTTATGGACTTGGACTTGGACTGGATTGAATTATCGAGTGCGAAGTGACTAATTCATTGCTTGATGGCTAGGCTAGGGATGCGATGCGATGCGAGATTCAATTGCGATTCGCTTCGCCCCGTCTACCCAATCAGCAGATCGGGAAGATAACTGGTCATGTCTATCTCCTGCTTGCTTCGCGGGGGCTTCTTTTTCGATACCGGGAAACCGGAATGGATTCTGAAGTGGAGGGATATCACGAGTCGACCACGAAGCCTCCTCCGAGGATAATAGCGGGTTCGTCGATGCTGTGGTGTTCGTAACTGCAGTGGCAGATGAGGTTATTTCATCGGTTCTTCTCTTCTCTCACACGGATACACATAATGAAGAGAAGGCAACAGCAACAGCAACAACAACAGCAGCAACAACAGCAACAGCAACACGCCAGAAAGAAAGGTGAAGCTTACCTTAATGTACCGACACCACCGGCCTCGAGAATCAAGGCCGTCTCCGTCAACGGCTTGCCGGTCCAGCGCATCGCAAAGGCACGAAGGATATGGCCGTGCGCCACGATCAGCACGTCGCCCTTTCCGGAGTTGGAGTCGGACTCGAAACACGGCCCATGGTATTTGGTGCGGATCTCGGCGATGAGGGCGTCGAGGCGCTTGATCACGTCTTCTGGGGATCTATACAAGTAATTTCGTGGATTAGCATTAGCCCGGGAGTTGGGTTACCTTGATCGGATCGTTGTTTTTGTTTCTGGGTGAATAGAATTGCTCCCCCGAATATTTTTCATTGGGCCAGAAACGCAATCAAGGAGGGGGTCAAAGAACTTACTCTCCTCCGGGACATCCATCCCTCCAAATATCCCAGGCCCCCTCGCCGTTCTTCTCCCGCAGCTCCCGGATCTGTTTGCTCGTCAACCCCTCATAGTCGCCGTAATCCCACTCGCGCACCGCCTCGGTGACCTCGACGTGCGCCTCCGTCCGGATCGGCTCCTCGGCCTCGGACTTGCGCGCCTCCGTCCAGGGTAGCCGCTCCTTGCATCCGATCTCGAGGAGTTCGAGGGTCCGTTGAGCTCTTGCGCGCGGGGAGACGTATCTTTTCGACATAATTTGTTAGCTCAGTCTTGTCTTCACATTCAACTCAATAACCTTCTTCCTGATAGATGAATTGATTATGCACAATAAATCTTGGACTGTATCATATACCCATGGGAATCAATTCCACCCGGAATAGAGCATAGACAGACGGTAGATACATAATATCCCCTTTCCCATAACCTAAACAAGAGAGAGAGAGAGAGAAAAAAGGGGGGAACTATGGGGATGAGAAACAAACAGGAGGGAGCAAACATACACATGAACCAACTTCCGCGGCGCAATCAACCGGTCATTGCCCACCAAGGCTTTTCCCGTGGCCTTGACGCGCTTCTCGCCGTTCTCGGTGAGCGGCAGGTCGGTGGTTCCCGTGTGTCGGCCGTTGAGTGACCATTCGGTTTCGCCGTGGCGGATGATGAAGCATCTGGGGCTCATTGTTGAGGTGGAGGGAGAGGGGTTTCCGTGGTGAGTAGGATTTAAGGTAGAGGGCAGAGAAGGAGGAGGAGGAGAAGTAAGAGAAGGAACGATAAGATTTAAAGAAGTGAGCAAAGGCTTCGATTTACAATAGGGTAATACAGTATGTATTATCAATCAATTGCCCTCCTCTTGTTCTCAAGTTGGCATTTTCCCGTGCTTGCAATTCCAGGTGCAGTGGTGGTGGTGGGGCTTCCTTTTCGTGTTGCGTCATTAATTCCGTGAATCACCTACCGTTGCGGGGAGGGCCTTATCGATAGATATCTATTTGTAGGTCAATTGCTTGCGCACTTACTCACTGTGACTGCGCACTGGCCCACTGACTCAGTGTTTTCGGAGGTTATTGATTGGCTATGGAAAATGAGGGAAATTCTACTCTACAGATTGCATTGAACAGCTGAATATTCAGTTGAATTGGAAAGTTAGCTTTTCTCAGTTTCAGGTCATTGGATTAGCGGGTTGGGGACTAGCTGGAGATGTACTGTACAGGGTGAGCCTTAGAGCAGGTGTTTCGTGAGGAGAATATGTACCCCGATATCCTGAAACCCCAGGCGGCACAGAAGTGTTGGTCACGAGGGGGATAATGATAGGCCACGAAAAAAGATATCAGCGCCATCATTGCGGATCTCGAAAAGTGCGATGTGCCGGATAAAGATGAGATGGCTAGCCCAGATGACGGTCCTTGCGCGGTGGCTTCACGTCGCCTTCGCTCAGAGAAGATCCATCATTGTGCGTAGAGGTACGGTCACCACGTCGTCAATAAGTGAGTCTATGGTGGGTGCTCAGCGACGTGTCTTGGATACTAGCCTACATCGTCCGTCGGTGTCTCGGTTATAGACAGACCCCCCATCCACGGTTGCTCACTGGGTCACTGTGGAATGTCCGGCGTCTTCTTTGATAGTATAGATATAGTCGAGTTGGAAATAGAGCGGGGTCGGGAAGGGAACAGCATCCCAGTTGAACCTGTCAGGTTTGAAAAGAATTTGGTGGATGGTTTTTCAAAGTCGTTGGCGTGTCAGAGAGGAAGATTATCCATGTGTAGGGTGAAATTACCGATACCATTGCCCTATAAAGGTACACAGTGTCAACTGTCTTAACAGTGTGGTACGATCAGCGACGGAGAAGTCTATACTATCGAAATGCCGGTTCCAGGGTCCTCTGGTCACCGTCGTATTGAAAGCTGTCAAATCATGAGAAAGAGAAAGGTGGGAATGCTGGAAATCCCCAAGAGATATACTTAGGAAACCGCCCAATGGCATTATCATTGAAGCTGAGCAGACATTGCTTTTCTCAGGCCAATCTAAACTCTTTATGAGGTCGTCCATGTATACCTGATCCTTCTATGTCAATAAACCAGCCTTGCAGATAATCAGGTGACCACCTAGCTAGGTCCTGGACGGTTATTTCGGACCTCGATTCCGGATCACTGAATACCTACTGAACTACGCGCTGAATCTTTTACTCAGACATACATTGATAATACAGCTGTCATGCTAGGTGGCACTGGTATCCGGTATTGCTTGCGACTCAGTATGCTTTTCTGCCTAGATGTCTGGTTTTCCCGGCATAATCCAACCAGTGCCTCGCCTAAGAGCGAGGAAAATGTAACCGAACCATCACGCCAAAAGGAAATAAAAAATAAGAACGAGATATAAAGGAAAAAAATCGATCGTATTGAACAGCGCCCTCGCTTGGCCAGCACTCATCTAGGCCATGTAGGTGCTGGAGTCGACACCACCCTCGGGGTATTCGCTGCAAGACATGGTCAGCGAATGGCATACGGATAATCTGAAGCAGTAAAAACTTACGGAAGGGCGACTTCGAAGCGCTTCTCAATGTCCTTGAGGACCTTCTCGTCGTCCTCAGTGCTGACGAACGAGATAGACAGACCCTTCGTACCAAAACGGCCAGCACGACCGACACGGTGGAGATAGGAGTCGGCGTCACCGGGCAAATCGTAGTTGATGGCCAGGTTGATGCGCTCGATATCGATACCACGTCCGAAAACGTCAGTGGCGACACAGATACGCTTGTTGAACTCCTTGAACTCCTTGTAGCGTTTGATACTGCACGCAATTAGTGGTTGTCCAGAATTCACCGAATAGAGAACTTACCGCTCCTCCTGGCTCACACCGGAATGGACCGCGATACTGGGGAAGTTGCACTCGCGCAACAGCTTGTCAAGCTCCTGGGCACGGAGCGTGCTCTTGACGAAGATGATGACCTGGTTGAACTCCAAGCTATCCAGAAGGTCGTTCAGCTTACGGTTCTTCTCCGCCTCGCTGAGCTTGATGTAATACTGCTGTAGACCGTGGAGGGTGAGCTTGGTGTCATCGTCGACGTAGACTTCGAGAGGGTTGCGCATGAACTTCTTGCAGACGGGGCGGATATCCTGGGAAAGGGTGGCACTGAACATCATGACCTGCTTATCGGCGGGGGTAGCACGGAAGATCTCCTGGACATCACGGCGCATGTCTATGGAGAATCGTTAGCAATGTAAGTCTATCGCGGCGTGATTTAATCACTTACCAATCTGGTCAAGCATCTTGTCACACTCGTCAAGAACGAAGGCCTTGACATTGCGCAGAGACAGCTTCTTATCGCGAACCAAAGCGTTCAGACGACCGGGAGTACCAACGACAATGTTGGGGTAAGAGTCCTTGTTCGCCAAAACCTCCAGATCCTTCTGGATGGGAGTACCTCCGTAGAAGACGGCGGTGCGGACGTCGGGAAGGTACTTGCTGAAACGAGCATACTCGTTCTTGATCTGGTAAGCCAACTCACGGGTGTGGCACATAACGAGGATAGAGCACTCTCCCGGAACAGGCTCCAGCTGGTGCAATGTGGTGAGGACGAAAACAGCAGTCTTTCCGAGACCAGACTTGGCCTGACACAGAACATCGACGTTCAAAATGGCGGTGGGAATGCAAACTTGCTGGACTGTGGTAGGCGAGACCGTATGTTAGACTTGTACTCGATGCATGATACTTGTAATGGAAATAAAGCAATCCGTGTCGCAAGTCCGTCCATCCTCCGAGGTATCGAGAATAAAGGATGACAACGCTAATACGAGATTTCCGACACAGAACATAAAAGCAAGAATAATCTCAAAAGGAGCACTGTATCGATAACTCTTATCGCCAGCGTTACAGACTCCTATCAAGAGCTCTCTGCAGGCGGCAAGAGGACGGGTATCATGTGAAGACAATAGCAGGAGCGACCCTGCTTCGTTCAAAACACCCACTCAAGAATCACATTGAGTGGTCGCAGGCGAGATCTTTCCTGAAAATCTTGCTGAACACGGTCGTTGCCGTAGTTTGCCGGAGCAAAGGAGAACAATAAGCAGATGCTTAGGTGCTCTGACTCCTGCAAGCAGGTGGCTCGTCTTTTGATGACCCGAACACACATCCTCATGCCGCCCACAAGCTCGAACGAAATATATGCCCGGAAGCGACTATAGAACTTTCCCCGCGGAGATGGACGGACGGACGGACGTTGAAACTTGGAGCAATGGAGGGAGGTTTTTTTGTTTGGGAAAGAATATGTATGATGGACTAACCCTCCGATGGATGTTCGAAACCGCAGTCGGTGATGGCACGCAGGAGTTCTTCCTTGAGCAGGAAGTCACGGAAACCGGTCGAGTGAATGCCGACATAGCTGCCCTTCTTGTCGGACCGGCCGCCAGAAACAGTCAAGTCGCCCTTCTTGGCCTCTCCATTGGCGGCGGGAGCAGCGGTGGTGGCAGCCGCATCGGTGGTGGGAAGCTCCTCGTCAGAGTAGTCGATGAGATCCTCTTCGTGAGACATGTTGATGGTTTGTGGTGAGGTAAGAGGTGGTCTAGATGGGAAAACTCTGTCTGTTGAGGCGCGTCGCTTATACCAAGGCAGAGAAGCCTAGGTCTGGTGGTGTCGAGAAGAACGGGGTTGGAAGCCGGTGAGAAATAGATCTATGTTCGGGTAGTACGTAGAGCTGCCTCCTTGATGCTGTGAGATAGATTGAAGATGATGGCAGATTGTTGCGCGAAGGAAGGCGATGGAGATGGAGAGAAGGACAGTCGCCGCGCGAAGGGATGGAGCGGCTGAGCCCAGACAGCTTTGTCACGTGCCAGAGTGGATTAGTCACTGTCGGTCCGGGCCCGTCGACTGCTTCCGGTTAGCAGTTTTGTGCGGGCGAAGTGAAGCTTCCCTCGTCCACTGCATTCTCTCCACACCTCAAATACAGATTCAAAATAACTATTCACAAGGTCTGGACCGGGCCACCCTTGCAAATGGTCAAAGGAAAGTCCAAAGGCAAGAAAGTCTCCTCAGGGGGTGCAAATAGCCATATACGGGCACGCATAGACTATCTATACAAAGCCGCGACTCTCCTACAAGCCCAGTCCAGAGCTTGTCATGTTGACGACGCCACCAATGAGATGGACAATCAGAAGTCAAATGTCCCAGCACGTATAGTGCCGCTCATTGTTGACTCTGCGGGTACAGTGGCTGAAAATAAGCCCCAGCATAAGCAGAATGAGACAGGACAGCTTCCTCAGCTTTCTCGAGAGTATTTGTCGCAGATGCGCGGTGTATCCCTGAAAACGCAGCTTCGATTGCCAGTTGAAATGAAAAGATCATTCTGCAAACGATGCGACACGCTTCTAGTTCCTGGTGTAACCTGCACACGGGAAATCAGAAACCCCAGTCGCGGCTGCAAAAAGCCATGGGCTGACCTCTTGGTGATTCGCTGCTCTACCTGTGGCACAGAAAAGCGTTTCCCTCAAACAGAAAAGCGCAGCAAGAAGCTGCCTGATCGCCGGCAAGCGAAAACCCACGAGAAGCAAGAGAACCAGAGCCGTGCAGGTACTTGATTATCGCATCCTTGCTGCAGAGAATGGTCCTAGAATCTGTCTCTTAAATTGCCCTTTGATTCGCCTATCATCGTGGATGCGCCGTGCAATATAGTCCATCCAGAAGGATGGTCTGATGTGATTAATCTCTCAGCAAAGCTCAACCGCTAGTTGGACCGTTCTTTCGCGGTGAGGCTCTGCATATGTGCCATCATGCATACTTGACAAACACAACGGGCATAATCGAGTCAGATATCTCGAGCTCAGTTGTTAGGGTTGAATACTTCTCAGCTGATTTACGCTGATCTATATGAATTGGCTCGCAATTGGTGCCATCGCCTCAAATTTCTTCTTCACAGGGGCTGGCCTCTTTGAAGTCTTACAATTCATATATTTGGTCATCGGTCAGGTTCAACCTGACTGTATTAGAGTTTGCTTGCGCCCCTATGTCAAGGCCAAATGGAATGGGCGGGCATCAGTGAAAAGGTTGATTGAGGTGGCATCATAACACAGGATGAGTGCCAAAGCAAAAACAGAATAAGACGTATGAAAACCAAAAGATGTCATGTCAAATTAAAATAGATGCATGTTGGGGAATCGCAACATGATTGAACAGACAGGCAGATCGTCAGGTTCGTATATTGGGGGGCGTAAATCGTAAACCTGGAGACGACCTCCAGGTAAGAGCAAAGTCAAGAAAGAGAGTCCCAACGCTTAGCAACGCCATGCTGTCCCCGTCAAAACTCGATCGATGGTTTCGAGCCCCAAAAAAGCCGCGTGGCCAAGATTCAAACCTCTAGTCAATAGTCCTCTCCAGATACATAATAAACAGAGAAACAAAACCCGCCTATAGACTCATGGTTCAACAATGATGGGAATCGAAGTAGGCATATGAAACGCTGGACTAGTTGCGCATAGGTGTAATGTAATGTCACAGAGTCCGTGAGGACAATTTTGGTTTATGTTTTGCAGTTTTGTGTGTGTCGGTGCCAGAGTTGTTGTTGAGATCTCGTAACTTTCGTCTCGCATTTTGATGGTCCAGTGGCTTCCTGACAGCATTACCTAGGTGGATGGAGAATTGCATGAATCGTTTCGTCATCGACATTAAACATGAAGGGTCAGAGGAGCAACCTTGCTGGAAGAAGATTTGTTCCCGAGCTGCATAGATATAGGATAGAAGTTGATGGAAAGTGACGATATAAGGGCGCCAGAGGCGTCCAATTGTGTTGGCGCGACTGGGGTGAACAAGAATTCAGATCTTTTGATAAGTGGATGGGGCTGATTGGAGTTTCTCAATGCCTCCGACGGGCAGCTTGATCCAAGCGCTGGTCAAGACCTTCTATGCGGCCACGGTATGCTTTCACAATTTCTCTGATATGGCCGATTTTGGCGAGCTCGGTTTCCAGCTCATCTATGGAAGCTAGGATAGAACGTGTGCGGGCGATTTCAGCATCGGCATTGCGTACAACATTGCCTGCGCGATCGTAGCTGTTTTGAATTGAGAGCTGCATTTGTTCTTCGAGCTGAGATGAGTTAGCATCCAACTTCTATGAGGAACCGATGAGGTACATGATTTGCGCAGGCAGGGTGCGGTACGCAAACATCTTTCAGATGGCTGCAGATTACGTGAAGGTGGCAGGAAAGTGAGTAAACTAGTCACTCAAGGGAGGCGGAGACGCCCAAAAATGCATGATTGCACAATGCAGAGGAGAAATCAGACGTACATAATCAATGCGACCCCGGATTTGTTGCTGTAACCCATCCAACTGCTGCGAAAGCGCTCGTAGACTCATAGGGTCCAGAAGCAAACGTCCATGACTGCTGGCGGCACTGGCGGCGCGCGAACTGGAATTGCTGGTTCGTCCGGTCCCCCTGCCCCTGGAAATACCATTGGCGCCATGGCTGCCTTGAAGCGCGATTTGTTGTTGTTGTCTTAGGATCTGGATCTCGGAGGAGGTAAGGCCAAGCGAGGTGTCGGGAATCGATGCTGATACGGACATTTGGTCCCGGCAGAGACATGCTCCTACCGCGACAGTGGTCTAAGAAGCGCCAGTTGATCTCGTAGTGTGGATGTAGAACGGACCGCAGTTCATGATGAGAACCGAAGGAGGTAGGGAGAAGATCGCGAAGGAGCGTAGTGGCTGAAGCTTAGGGGAGGGAGCGGCTGCGAAACGAGATAGTGGGTAGACGAGAGAATCACCTGCTGGGTAGACGGGATCTGGCCGAGAACCGGTCAATGGTGAAGTCTGCCTCTGCCCCAGGGCGGCCTAATTTCTCCTTGAGCGTCCTACGGTGTCATTGGAGGCCACCGAAGAAAACTGGGTTAGGGGAGAGAATAGCCTATTAATTTGTAGGCGGCAAAGAAAAAGGAACGAAGAATAGCGGCCCTCGTGAGTCGGTCGGGGTTACACTGGGAGGAGACGGACGGCGAACTGAATCTGGTCCCCACGATAAGCCTAACGTGAGGTTCTTCGAGGGCGACGGTTAGGATCAGCCACAAGTGGTAGGAGTGGGTGAGGCGAGAGAGAAGCAAAAGCTGATGATGATGAGAGCCACTGCAGTGATGGGTTGTGGCCGGAGTCGAGGCAGAGTGAGGAGAGGAGGGGAGACAGAAAAGAGAGAGTGACAGGATGGAGGGAGGGAAGCAACCGGCGTGAACGCAAGATGCTACGATCAATGCGTACAGGACAGGAACAAACTCGGGTTTGATTCTTCAAAAAGAACGATCGAATGGCTTCCCTGGCCTTCATTCAGGCTCCGTTCTCGGGGAGGAGGACCGTGTGATCAAGGCTGAAAAGAGGATGCGATCCGGCCGGTGGTGGTATACCCGAATAGGGAGTATAAGGATGAATGAACAGTCGCTTGTTGGCAGTCTTGAGGGACACAGTAGAGGGAATGCAGCAGCGAGCATCACGCTTACTGCTAGGAGATGCCTGAAATTGTTGGATTGCCCTCACTCCCATCGCATTAGAAGTAGCAAAGCCATGCGATAGCGAGATATCATAATGTGATGCGCAGTGCCTTGAGGAAGCCGGAGGTTTCCCAATTGGGAAACCGGCTATCGCCCGCCCGCAATCTCCATCCGTTCGCTCGTTCAACTCTCCAGGCTCCTCCTCCATCTACAGTGCTTCTTGTTTCTTGCTTCTTCAGCTTCCCCTCCTCCACAGAAAACCACTGGGTCTCACCTCTTCTCCCTACCATCTACCTCTTCAGCCGCCTTGCAACCATCCACCACCAAACCCAGCTAGCGACCACCCCATTCTATTGCTCACCAACCAACGCGCTCGAATTGCCGCACCCTGCGCTTCTCCAGCCGCCATCGACCTCACCATCCTCCCACTTCCCTTCAATCAAACGGGAGCACCTCAAAACCCACTCGCTTATCCAATCTAGATCCCACACCTACTATCCATCGCCCGCTGCCCAACCTGTGAGGCTAGAGCAGTGCGCCCTCGCAACGTTCATTGGTCTTAGCCAAGATTCCGCAGCTACTACACCTGCGGCTTCGCGAATCCGCTGCTCCCGTGGTTGGGCTTTGCTCATGCAGCTTGTTTTGCCATCAGCCTGTGAGCATACCCCAAAACCTCCCCTCTCTTCTCTGCCGTTCTAGGCTGCTGCAGGTAGCTCTAGCTCTACTGGCCCTTGTGGCCACGCACATTTCGGGGATGTTCGTCAGACACATGCGTACCTTATGCGCCCCCTCCCAGTCCAGCCCTCTCCTCCTTCTGCCTAAGGCTCAAGCAGACACAAGAAAAAAAAGGAACAGGATCGTGGGAGGTGTGGCTGTACGGCTTGGAAGTCGGCTAATACCTGGCGTACTCTTTCAACAGTGCGAAACACTTAGGGTCTGACTGCATTCGAGTTTATGCCCCGCGCCTAGTCAGCTATACGGACTCTTTCTACCTTCGCGGCTCACTACCAATCGAGTCAACCTCGCATACCCCTGTACACACCATATTCGATCACACATATCAGAACAAATCACAATGCCCAAGGACAAGGAGCGCAGCATGAACCCTGCCGCGGCGCAGCGGAAATTGGACAAGCAGAAGAGCCTCAAGAAGGGCAAGGCCGAGGCGCTGGCGCGCCGAAACGAGAAACTAGCCCGTCGCAACCCGGAGCGCATCCAGCGTCAGATTGATGAGATCAAGGCCATAGAGGAGTCGGGACAAAAGCTACGACCACGTGATCAGCAGTTACTCGAAGCTCTACAGCGCGATCATCGCGCGGTGCTCAAGGCCCGAGAAGCGCTGGGCGACAAGGCTCCCAAGTTCGCGAGCTTCGGGTCTAGAAGCGGAGGGGACCGCGACGGGGATGATGGAGGGGTTCTAGGAAAGCGCAGGCGGGATGGTGGTTTCGGTGGTGGTGGCGGCAGGCGTTTTGGACGACATGATCGGGATGGCGAGAGTAGTGACGAGACAGATGAGGAGGTGCGAAGGATACCCATGCCGAGGGATACACCTCCACCTATCCCGCGCCAGTTTCAGAGACGACCAGGTGGCGACCAGGCCGTGGGTGGTGGTGCTCGAGGACCACATGCTCTTCCTGCTAAACCACCCGTCGTGGAAGCGAAGACGGTCTACGAGGCCAAGCCCGAGATCCGAGACCTGCGCCAGGAGGCCATCAACAAATTTATCCCCGCTGCCGTCAGGGCCAAGCGGGACGCTATACGAGGGCAGGGTAAGCTCTTGGAGCCGGAGGAGATGGATCGGCTGGAGAGGGCAGGCTACAAGGCGGACTCGGGTCACGCTGGGCCAGAAAAGGCCACTCCACAGTCAGAAGCGGCAGACGATGACGCCCAACGGCGATTATTAGAGGAGGAGGAAAGGCGTTTCAACCAGGAACTTCGATCAGTCCAGATCGAAGAAGTTGAAGATGAAGAGGCATAAATGCTAATGAAGCAATCCTTATTTCCACGACAATTCTTCGCGGAGCGAAAAGAATCGCATGCAAAGGAGGGGAGGCCGACTGAGTCAGCGCCTTATCTTCCTAGCTTATCCGTAGCCCTCTCTCTCTATCAAGAGTCCCCTACTCTCATTGCCAGGCTTCACAGTCGAGATTGATGAGTATGAGAAACGTAGATCACAGATGTATTGATCTGCCAATCTATTTCAGGATCATGTGACTGGAAAAACAGAAATGTGTATTTATGTACGACTCCTGGAGAGAAAAACTTCCCGAAATGAACAACAGAACCCAAGGATCAACCGTCTCAACACCGACCGGAGAGCACCACAAATGCGTAGAAGAAAGAGATAGGAAATGTACAGGTGTGAAACGAGTGTACTGGCTTTCTTCCAAGATCTGCATCGCAGAAGAGCCGGAAACTTGGGGGAGGCGGACCAAGACATCCAAGGGCATGAAAACAAGGTGACCAGAAATATCCAATTGAGCTGGATGTGGTCAGAAGCAATTATCTGTACAGATTGCAGTGGTGGATGGGGGAAAGGGGTAATTTTGAGGGGTAAAGAGGGGGAATTCATCACGGCATTAAGAGACAAAGGAAAGTAGAGGGTGTTGCGTCCTTCATGAGATGATAAGGAACTCAAAGTCAAGAAGCAGCGCACCAATATGCATCATCGAAGCTTTATACCATGTCTCGCATGGCTCAAGTTCGGTCTGAGAAAAATCAATCCACCCAAGCCGTATAACTCCGAAGTATGTCTTGAATTATTAGATGGTATATTGACGATATCAGACGCCAATAGTAGATACCCAAAAAGTGTGTCTGTCGTAAGGTTTTGCGGATCAACCGGCGAAACCGAAAGACATGAAAGCTGAGAGTCGGTGATGTATGGGTAACGTCGATGGCATGCCACTCGCCTCGTGAGAGGGTAGCTACCTCAGATTGCGAATGATCTTTCTTCCGCGAACCAGAAAGGGGCTGGGCATCTCGTCTTTTTCGGGATCCCACACAGCCGGAGGGTCTCGCGCGCTTGACTTCAGACCGCGGGAGTCACTGGCACACCGCTTGATTTCATCAACGGGACGGCCACCTGCGCGCGCCTGCGCCAGTTCAACTAACGTCCTCCCGCCCATATTCCGCTGCATCACGGCCTTGTACATGTCCTCACCGCCGCTGTTGGTTTTGGATGGCAGCTGCTTAACGGCAGTCTTGCGAGTCGGTGAGCCAGCATCAGCAGCCAGGTTGGCAGAAGACGGGATTTTCGACAAACGCCGATGTGGCGACCGGGGCTTGCTTTCTCTGGGAAGCATGTCGGAGAGACCACCGGACACCTGTGGTAGTCGGGAAGCGTTGGTCGGGAAGATGGGCGGTTGGGTGCTCAACTTCTGCATGAAAGCAGCTGTGTTCTGTCGCAGAAGCGGGCGTGAAGGGGCTTTGAACGGATCTGGCTTAACCTTGGGACGAGTGGGAGAAGGTAGATCAGGGATGTCGTCTTCGTCATCGGAGTAAGCCAGAGTGGGTTCCCACTTCGCTCGCTGTCTCTCGGCTTCAGCGAAAATGTTCTTACCGGAAGAGGTTCCAGACGTGCGGCGGGGAGACAAGGAAAGCGATGCGATAGAGATGGGCGAGGGCTCGGCCATTTGAACATCCATTGGTGACTCGACCACAGTTTTTGAACGGGTCAGGGGAGTGCGCGTCTCCTTGCGTGGGGCCTTGCTGGGGGCCGGAGATTCCAGCAACAGCTGACTGATATCCGTGCTCGAAGGATTACTCGTATCGTCGTTGCTGTTGGATGATTGGGATTGTTGGCTGTTCGATCGGGAAATGGTATCCTCTTTGAGAGCAGCGCTCTTCTTTTGCTTCTCAACCTCCAGCGCAACCCTTTCCTGAACTTCGAAATCGAATCTCTTCCGAAGTTTTTCGAGTTCATTCTGTACTTGACGGTCGATCTCCAGGCGGGCCTTGACTTCCCATTCTCGTCGGACGGTATTCTCCAATTCAGCCTTGATCTGCTGCTTCTCTCTGTCCAGTTTGGTGTATGCTTGTTCCACGTCTCTGGCCTTCTGAACAGCGGCCTCTTCGCGCCTCCGTAGGGTCTTTTCGAGATCCGCGACTTCCTTCTCCCTACGCATCAGGCGGATAATAGGAAGGTTGATCAGAGCGGCAGTATCGGGGCGATGATCGGGGTTGACGCGCAAACAGCTCGCAATGACATTCTTCAACTCGGGTGAGTAGAAGTCAGGCAAAGGAGCAAATTTGCCTTCTCGTATCCTCTGGATGAGCTGGATGTGGGTTCTGGCGTTAAAGGGAGGCTCTTTTTGGCAAAGCTCATACATAATGCAGCCAACAGCCCAAATATCAGACCGCAACGTGTAAGGCTCTGCTGCGCAGATCTCGGGCGACATGTAGAATGGGGTCCCGACGTAGGTAGAGGCGAAATCCTGGGAGTTCATCAACTTCGACAGACCGAAGTCACCGAGTTTGACGGTATTGTCGCTACCAAGGAAGATGTTCTCTGGTTTGAGATCGCGATGAAGGATAGTCATCTGAGCCTGCTTTCCCTTCAAACCAGACTGCTTAGGGGCAGGGCCCAGAATAGTTCCAGCTTCGACGGGATCTGAACCGTAATGGCAGCGGTACAAGGCCGTCGCCAATTGAGATAGAATGCGCCAGACGAATTCTTCCTCGGCGAATTTATTCGTCTTTTTTAGGTTCTTGATGATCATGCTGAGATCTCCACCACCACAGTATTCCATGTAAAGGTAGAGATCTTGGCTCGCTTTGAGGTGTTCGCGATGGTAGTAGGCGACGATGTTCGGGTGTCGCAGAGAGCTTAGGATATTGAATTCGGCCGTCAGCTGTTCTCGCTCCTTCTGCGACATTTTGATGTAGTTGATCTCCTTGCGGCATAGTATCTGTAACAATCCTTCAAGTCAGCATAAGCCGTTCAATGCTTCAATGGATCAGTCTTCCTTACAAAACCGTCTGCCTTTCGTCGAACTTTGCGGATGATCCCGAAGGAACCGCAGCCTAGAGATTCATGGTCAGTACTTTGAGGTCCAAAAACGTCTCGCATGACCTATGCGCAGTATGTGTGCCATACCAATCTTTTCAAGCACCTCATACTTGTCTGCCTCCGCTAACGCAATTGCCATTGTGGCTGCTGGGAGGAAAGACCGCAGACAAGGAGATGAAGTAGAAGGTGAAAGTCGGGAATAAGTGGCGAGAGAGCGAGGTATAGTAGCCTATGGCATTTATGAGTCGAGACTGTGTGACTGAGACCTGCTGGGGTTAGTATGGAGCGATGTTGGGTGGGAACATGTGGTTGCGTTGTAGATTTAAAGAAGTAGGTATGCAACGGGTTTGGCAGCGCCGAATGTTTAGGTGCAGGCTGTTGCTAGGCAACGCAGACTCTTGCCTTTCTGCAGCAGGCGGTGGAGACAGTCGGGCGGTGAAGCGGGCCATTGACCAGCATCATTGTTCCGTCAGCGGTTCGGCATGTCGGAAAGCCTTCACAATGCTGCATGGGACCGATGGACATTGAATGAAAGTTTCGATCGATATTTATCCTGCAAGAGCTCCATGATGTTCCAGAATGTGGGGTTCTAAGGGCGAGATCTATTTGAGCAGAAGGAGAAAAGCAAGATGATGCAAGGAGAGCGAACCTCTTTCGAATCGCCCTTTGGCCCCCTTTGGGTCACCAACCGTGGCGACTGTGTGCTCACGTGATTCAATCTTATCGATAAGCTGATGGCAATCAAAAGTCGCCCATTTAGGATTCCCCGCCCTCCGCAACAATAGTCACATACTCCGGGGAATTTGTTGCATCTCGTCCACCATGCCCACTCGTGACTCCGGTGCAATGCATGAACCGAAGGTTCTCCGAAAGGACCAGTTGGAGATTAGCTTGCACAACGAGAAAAAGCTGATCAAGGAGGGCACAATCAAGGACGATAACCCTCTTGACCTTAGCGAACCCTTTCGGGAGCTCTGCAATGCTTGTCGTAAGGGGGACCTCAAAGTCTGTCAGGAGAAGATCACGGAAGGAGTCAATATCAATGCCCGTGATCCATACGACTATACCCCTTTGATCCTGGTAAGTCTTCCCTGTGTGGCCGCAACCCTATTCATCTCGCTGCGGCGTGGCGAGTCGGCATTCGCGCAAGATAGTAACCAGTATTTGTGCAAAAGGCGAGTCTCTGTGGCCACTACGAAGTTGTTCAGCTGCTGCTTGAGTCTGGAGCTTTATGCGAACGGGATACTTTCCAGGGAGAGAGGTACGCACCTTGTCAATTTGCCCATTAACAGCCATTAGTCAGCTCACAAGATTGTGGTAGATGTCTGTATAATGCCCTCAATGATCGTATACGGAACCTCCTCCTGGAATATGACTATTCGAAATCAACGGATCCTCTGCAGCCACTTGCTGCTCATGTTACTTCACTTCTCACTCGCGAGAGCCCTGCAACATCGGATATCGTCGTGACAGCAGGCGATGAGTCGCTCCATTTGCACAAGTTCATCCTGGCCGCACGATCACCCTACTTCCGCAACAAACTGGCGACAGCCCCCGACACGTCAACATGGAGGCTGCCCAGCACAATCCCACCAGAAGCATTCGGGACGGCAATTAAATACCTTTACTTCGGCGAAGCCCCGCGCGACATCCGGAGTGGCCCGGGAACCGGATTCACCGAGTCGGAGGTCTTGTCGAATATCGATAAGATCGCCAAGCATTTGGAAATCAACACGCTTTTGGATAGTATACTGGACAGCGGAGATCGAAGGCTAGCCAGGCAAAGACGAACGCTCGAAGTTGCCAAGGGGCGAGACCAGTTGGAAGAGTGGTTCCGAGCGAATGTGCTCCAGCACAAGGTGACCGTGGAAACTTCAAAGGCGGACGAAGTCGAATGGGACAGAGACAACGCGATCTTCGCGGACGTATTGCTCCGAGCGGACGAGGAACCGGAGGAGATGGACGATCAGGCGGCCACAAACGGCGACGGCGCGGGTTCACACGTTCCGAAAAGCACTCTATTCCCCTGCCACCGGGCCATGCTCCTGCGATCTGAGTTCTTCCACACGATGTTCACCTCGCCCTTCCGCGAGGCTCACATGAAGGACCGCCTGAACATCATCCCGGTGGACTGCGCCCCAGACGTCCTGGAGATCGTGCTCACGTTCCTGTACACGGAGCGCGCGGACTTCCCGCTCGAAATCACCGTCGACGTGCTCTTCGCCGCGGACATGCTCTTCATCGAGAAGCTGAAGAGCAAAGCCGCCGTGGTGATCAGCACCCTGGGCAGCGGCAACATGTCGCAGGCGGTAGCCGCCCGCACGCGTGGCACCAAGGAGGAAGACGACCTGGACATTTACGCCATCATCCGCGCGGCCTGGCTGACACGCGTGCAGCGCCTCGAAGAGTTCGCCGCGCGCTACCTGGCTTACCGCTTGGAAGCTCACATCGACTCGCCGGAATTCTCGGAGCTAATCCAGGAATCCGCCGCCCGCATCCAGGGCCGCCAGGAGACCGACTCCATCGAGCTGCTGGACGACATCCGATTCTACCTCGGCGAGCGCTTCCGGCTACGGTTCGACGACGCCGGCATCGACGAGATGATGGAGGAGGAAGCACGGCAGGAATCCGTCGAGCAGGCCCAGGCCCAGGCCCAAGCCACCATAGCAGAGAACGAAGATGCACAAAACGGTGCCGTCGACAAAGTCACCGAGCGCGTCGAAGCACTAGACCTTAAGCCCGCGCAACCCGAAGCGCAACAAGAACCTCATCCCCAACAACCACTGATCCGAACCCTAGACGGCGAGGTCGTCGTCGACGAATTCGACCAGGATGCGCTCAACTACCAGATCCTCATGGACAAACTAGACAGAATCTTGGAAACGTTGGAGCTGGACGCTTGAGATTGACGGCGTCTTTTTCTTCTCTGCTTTTCACCCTTCCTTTCTCTTTTCATATCAAGGTAGAAGAGCCATGCGCGATGATGATTCGATGATCTATATACACGGAAATGGTACATATATACATAAGGCGCGGGGAATTTGGCGCCCTTCGGTGCCCCAGTAGAGGTAGGGCCAGTTTAAACTATACAACATACAAGAGATAGCTAGATATATGCATTTTTGGAGATAATGGATGGGTCGTGGGTGTTGAATGCTTCAGCGGTCATGGTTCCAAAGGAACTGATTGAAGTGGCCCGGGCCATTATCTTATGAATAGGAGCGAGTGGGTTGCATTGTCCCAGGGGATCCAGGGAACTGGCATCGTCGCACTAGTAAGCTCGTTACTGACCGAGTCTTACGCATGCTAGATAGCACTACCCTGCGAGAATGATCTAGTCTCCCACATAGTAGAAGCTACATGCAGAGGTGGAAGAACGCCAAGGTACTATGATTCAGACCTCAAGAACCACCTAAGACAGAAACAAACCTACAACCACTGGCACAGCTTCCCAAAACCAGAGCTTCAGGCTCCAATTCCAGCTTCCTCCGCCAAGCAGCTCATGCAAACACATCTATGCATTCATCTATCACCATCACCAAGGTACTACACGTACACAACCCACGGGTCAAGAATCGATCAAGCAAAACTCAACCAAACAAGCACCCATTATTCACCAGAAAAGATACAGGAAGAATCATGCGATTAAAGTGGCAAGGTCACGGCTCCCTCTTCCTCCTCCTCCTCCTCCTCCTCATCCTCTCCCTAAATTATCCCTTCCTCCCTCAATAACCTTTCCAATCCACCAGGGATAAGAATCCCACAGCCTCCCCCCGGCGGTCATATTACTCCCGTCCCGCTTTACCTCACGCCACTTTTCGGGCTCTACAAAGTGGTATTTAAGTTTCTCTCGCAAATAAGGTTTCCGTTTACTCGCGCAAGTCCAGGTATGGGGAGATGTGACGGAGTTGCGTCCCGAGCCGCCGCCTATGGTCGTGGCCGTTATCATGAGTGTGGGTGGTCAATGCTTTGGGATTGATGTGATGGGATAAGAGGTTGCTGTATGGATTTCTTTTAGCAGGATTGTTGGTGGTAGAAGGTATGCAGTGATTGAATAGTTCTGGAAGTACTGTTTAATCGACCTACAGTATAGCCAAGCCTAGCGAATCTGGCGATTCATCAAGAAAGAGTATTGTTTGTAAACCTATTCTTCCTCAAAAGCATTGTTTCTGCTCGATAGGCAAATGAGAGAGAGAGAGAGAGATGCTTACACCTGCTAGACACATAAAGAAACAATGACAGAAAAGTGATTTGGAATTGTGCCAGAGAAAGCCATTGCAATCCAGACTGACTTGGCCGGGATTATTCCCTATGGATTGGCAGGCATATACGATGAGGATGAGAATGCATGTTCTAGCCATGATCTCTTCCCGTCCCCTTCGTAAAGTACGTTGCTTGCGTCGATCCTGAAGAGAAAAAATCATCTGCTTGATCTAGGTTTTACATGCTGGTCTTGTCGTGTCGATCCTACTAACGCTCTGTTTTGATACTTGTCACTGGGTTCATGGATGGAGTGCATATCATTCTACACAGATAGATAATGGATGTATACTTCCGCTTTGCTCACCCCCTTGCACATCTGTACAGTACATATATCAAATCGAAGTATGTCAAACAATAGATACATACATACATACATATACACACAGACAACCCGACATATCGCAATGCATACCCGCATCATCAGCAGCAGCAGCATAACCTTCTCGCTCAATATCTCCCAATCGATCTTCTCGGTGAGAACACAAGACCCCGAAAACTTGCATGAGCATCGACGAAGATCATCCCCCATCATCATCATCGACATCATCATCACAATCCAGCCTGATCGCATCCTCCCGACGCATTGGATTGGACTTTTCTGCTTATTGCACACGGCGCCAAAAAAAAAAAAAAAAAAAAAAAAAAAAAAAAAAAAAAAAAAAACAAAAAAACGTCACAACCATACCCGGATAGAGAACACGGCAGTTAAGACAGTCATGTATGTCTCCAGCGTTTCGATTTGATCCAACTCTGACCAAACAGCAACCGACTTCGATCATCGCAGCCTTAATGCAGTTGACACGAATGTAGTGGGTAAGAAGTCATACGCTTTTCGACCCTCAAGTCCACCCACCCGGTCAGTCAGCAGGAAGCGGACTGAACTGCAACTTGTGCAGCAGTTACTGTATACGTACCATCGGCGACCAACCAATACACCAAAGCAAAAGCGTTGAAGCCAGCACAAGGTCTTTTTGACTGCGGAGCTTGGAGGATGATCATCCGAGATGGTAAATACTAAGTAAGAGATCAGATCGCATCGCGAGCGCTTGTTTTCCTCCCCCTCCTTTGACTAGTCTTTGGCTTATGCTCTCTGTTTTCTTCCCCCGCATTTCACTGCCGCACTGCTGTAGACGAGTGCCTGGAGGTTCGTGTTTCCTTTTCCTTTTCCTCTCTCCCTTGAACATTAATCCCATGTTTTCTTTTTCTTGCAGATTTGACCTCCACCGCCCTAAATATAGCATGCAACTGTCGGTTCCCGGCCAGCGATCGGGGATTTCCGCTGCTGTGGAGGAGGATGATCATTATCATCCATTCTGGGGGAAGTTTTCTACGCGTACCTACCAATCACATATCAAATTGACAACCTCATATAACAACAGTACGCCGAAGTTTGATAACCCGGAAACCAAAAAGAAAGCCCGAGTTTCATTGCAACAGTAGCAAACATACACAAACCAACCACCCAACCAACCAACCAACCAACAAACAACCCCCTACCCAACCGTGAAGAACGTCAGTCCTCGGTTCAACAATAATCAGCAGGTGCGTACCGTACGTGCATGATTGATGATTTTCAGTTGGTTTGATCGAGATCCGTTCAGATCAGAAAGTCAGGGAAGGGGGAGGGGGAGAGCAAACATGCTACATAGCTATAGAGACACCTACTGGTGTGTACTGTATGTAGTTGTTGCTGCAGAGATTCTCGAATCCCACATTTTCACATTGCACTCCATTTCATTTCCGACTGTTCCAACCCGGCCCTCTTTCCTCTACCTCGTCCTAATCGCAATCTACTACCTATCTCTTGCCTACCTACCTCAAAAGCTACTACGTACCATACGTATTGTATACACCGGACTCCAAACCGAAAGCTGACAAGATGTCATCAACTCGATCCTCACATGTAGCCCACCACTAGGATGGAACTGCATGTGATTCACCAAACAAGCAAGTTTTCGATAGGTAAAACTCGATATCAACCCCAAGCTATACTCAACGCACATACTTCATCATCCATATACGATAGTATACAATAGTATAGTATATGCGCTGGCACTCCCCCCAAGAAACAACCCCCCCCCCCCTAATAAAAAAACTGCCAACCCCATGATCGACACGCCCATCGTCTCGATCGGGTGTGCGGGGAGAAATCCTTGATTGGTGCAATTAATTCCGCGAGAACCTTTCTGAGAAAAAAAAAAGAAACCCGCCCGTTGAGCCAATAAACACAAGCAAGATGCAACCGCGTGCAGGATTGATACATAATTGACTGGCAGGGAAGTGCTTTCAAAATCGCGTTAGCTGTCTGCAGTGTAAATCCTCACTGCCGCGCGGGGAGGGAGGGGCGGCGATCCGGAGTCGCCGATTGAGGGGGGCGGAATACAAATGATATGATATGTTGGATTAATTGGGGTGATAATGTCGGGAAAGGGGCTTTAGGGGCTCGATATATGGATTTTTGGGGGGGGAGCGGAATTGTAATTCTTTGTATGTGGTGTGTCCTATTGTTGGACATCTCCCATATCATACAACTTTCATTATGAGGTGTGAGTTTGGTATATGTACCAGGTACTAACTCATTGCTGATTACTACGGAGTGCTGGATTTTGTGGATGAATTGAACGAATACTCCCTTTCGAACGCCCCCTTCCTTCTCGCTTCTATGGTGATGCCAGAAAAATAAATAAGAGTGGCTCGAATGCACAGAATCTGTCGTTCGTGGCGACTAAATAGTTCTTACTGATTGACGGGTTACCCACCAACCAACCAACTTCTGGCCACATGGAGACATAGGTAGAGAAGAGAGGCTATAGTATGTCTCGAATATAGAGGTATATCTCACGTCTACTAATCTCCCTCCTTCCTCAATGTAGTAGCAAGGCCAGCCCAGCTACCGTGGCCCTCCGCGATTCCCAGAGAAGGATCACCTCCGTCAGCGAACCACAACGCGGACGGGATGGCCAGGAAGAGAGTTGAGGCCGGTTTGAGGGGTGAGATGATGGCATGCTGTGCAGGTGTATGGTGTCTAGAGCTGGCTAGGGAAACCTTAAGCACAACAAGGATGGTTCTGACCGACTCCCTGTCTGCCGCATCTCCTAGAGGGACAGTATGTGTAGGCTTTCCATGACGTTGAGTCCGATTGTTCTTGCCCGGGAGGAGGTTCCAGCGCATGGACTGGACTGGACTGGACTGGACTACTTAGTACTACGTCGATGGTCGTCGACATGGCGCCACCATGACCCCTGCTTGCCGGGAAGGTGAACGATAATCAAGGCACTGGTGCAACAGAATCCCGGAGCCCCGGGTCGGTCCAGAAGGGTACCCTGTCGAGTCTCGACAGGGGGGGGGCGATCGGATGGGAACAATAATATAATTCTCACACGGTGATTCACGGCGGGCATTGTTCCCTCCGCGTCATGGGTGTGGATCAGCGCAAGAACCGGGGACAAGGAAAATGGAAATGGCTGGTCGAGGCGAGCAGATGGAAACCCCAGCATGGTTTAGCCGGGCTTTTTTCCTTTCCAACGGCGCCCCTTTTTGTTTGCTTAGACAGCAACGATCGATAAGCGAAGGGACTAGGACCAGTTAGCACGAGGAAGGAGGGCTTCCCGAGAAGTACAGGCGGGAAAAATAACGGCGCGAGTCCAAAGAGTACATTACTGGCTAGTGGCCACAACCCGTCTTGGGTCTTGCCTGCCCCGACACTCTGGCACAGGTCTGTGACCAAGACCCCCGCGTAAGCCACACCGGCTTTTCTTGTTTTGTCTCTACTCTCCACTTCTGGAGTTACTCGGTGTTGCGCAGCGATGCCACTCTCTTTGTCTAGTCGTTACAACGTAAGTGAGGACAGTTACAATGAACTTAGAGAGGATCGTCCCCCCTCCTCCCGCCCGACCCCCGACAGCTGGACAACAGCGACAACGACACGGACCCGAGCCAATGCAGGCAACCCGGTCGATCAAGGACCAGGGCGAGTCGACCTCATGCATAGAGGAGATCGAAGGAAGAGGCCGATAGTAGCCGTCCTGTAGGGAAAAGTTACTCCGACAACAGACAAATACACACGCACACACATAGGTACTGCATCCCGCAAGACCAA